AGCAATTCTATTGAACATGGTTTCCAACCGTTCAAACAGCGCGAGGTTGGAATTACACTATACATCATCATACTGCCCATTCTTGAATCCTGCATAAAATTATTCCAGACACCAAAGAATTGAGAGCTTGTGTATAAAAAAGTAATCAATTTCCAATAACAACAAATGCTTAATCACTGTTTATTTTGGAGTAAAATAGAGCCAATACAGGTATTTCATTCTACGTAAATACGGTTGTAATAAGCAATCAGCTTGTAATAGAAAGACGGGAAGAACATTTAGCCATGGTATATTCCCAAGAAAAATAGAGGTTCTGACCGCAAGAAAAATAAATGAAATGTTTCATTATACATGAATACGGCGGTGAACGAGAAATCTATCACCATATTCACGCAATGCATGTTTCTGTTGGTATGGGCAACACTTTCACAGCCATTTGAAAACCCATATCTGTCAACCAAGTAAAGCATTGACATGAGTGTCAAATCTACTTGAATTGAAAATACGTGGTGGTGGGATAACGCTGGGTAATTCAATGGACAAGGCACTGATCAATCGTACCTGCGAGCTTGTAAGCTTCAATAAATCATCTATACAAGATACAATACCAACTGCACAAGCACTGATGGTGACGGATAAATGTAAATAGATCTGTTGGCAGTGAAAACAAAGTGTGAATGGGCTTGATTATAGCATGTTTTGTTGATTTGAGTGGTTTTACAGTTGGCTGTATTCACAAAATGGAACATTTGCAGTCACTGCCTCTACTCTGCTTCGAAATAAGCAGTAGCTGAACATTCATTGCACTTTCCTATTACAAGCTGACCTTGAACTGTTATTCTCAATTCTTCAATAAACACAAATATCCATCGTATGATGCTCAAATCAAACCAGATTGAACTGGAGCTTTTTTTTGGCCTCCCTTCTTTCTCTTTAGCATAGCCATACGTTGTAGGATTGGCAAGCTTGAAGCCAGATCTATCCACTGCAATACATATACTGGATTCAACTGTTCTCAATCAAACCCCTCTTTGTTGTATCCTAAATATCAGACATGTTTTAGTTCAGGGGACAAATATTGACATATTAGGAATGAGGCGGCTGTTTTCATGCCGATCACCCAATATTTGCTTGTGATGTTCGATTTGGATGAAAGGAGAGTTGGAGATTGAACAAATATGGGATCTATCGAAACAGATGTGAACATTTGCCCAGCTTTTTATATGAAAATGAGCGCTGGAGAAAGATTAGCGGACTTGACGAGTTTAGAGGGCATAATATTGTCCAGTAAGATTGGCATCAATCATTTCATGGGACCGGTTATTTACTGTGCAGACAGCCTTATTTACTGCTCCATTCTACGTGAATACGGCCGTGAAAACAATATTCAGTAGCATTTTTACCAAGTACAGCTAATTGGTATCAAGGTATAACTATGGATTAAGTAGGCAGGGTTATATTCACTACAGCATTGTAAAGTGATATTTGTCATTAGCGTAGTTCCTACTGCAAATATGCATCCTCAATGTTCAGCCTTTGTTGGCCATTGGCACTGTGCATGCCCTGTATAATGGATTTTGTTGATTTATTAGCACCAGTTTGTTTGCTTGGTGGATTTAATCACAGTCATTCTGATTCAACCCGAGTGCTGTTTTCAAATCATAGCCAATTATTCACTCAATCACTATCTAAGCTGCCCAGAATCGGTTACCAAGTATAAACTTTTTCACTTGCAAGCTTTTTCTCATTCGGGTTTTCGCTCATGACGGCTGTTCACAGAATACAAGCATCGCTTTGGATAATTTCAATAGCAAAAGGTCAGGTATTTGATTGTGTTTTGAGAAAAATACTGTTTATAAATATTGAATAATGCAAATAAAGACCATTTGCGTATTTTGAAATAAAACAGATCAGGTAGAAAACCATATAGCTATCATGGCAAATCATCACCATCAACCGCAAGACTGTTGATACTCCAGACGTAGTGTTCAAATATGTTATAAGAATCTAGATAATGCTCAAATATACTCATTGGGGTTGAAAAATATACGCATGGTAAGCTGTGTTACAACCGCAGACACCTAGAACTCGGCACTTTATAAACCCTTATAATGTAGCGACCGGGTATACTTTACTCACGATCTTCCGCTCACCAACTACTTTTGACGCATAACCACTCACAATAACCCTCTGCACATGGATGGTTTTGTTTATTTTAACGGGTAAAATTATTGAAAAGTTCGGCAAGGAAATACTATAGTTAGGAATGAAAAAAAACTATCCCTTTTCTTGTTTTGCCGCAATATTGGTAACTAGATTTGGCAAGTCAATACGGAATAGAATGCAATCAAATAAAATGAGGGTTTGATACAGGGCAAGTTATGGTTGGCTGCTTATACTGCGTTTGCTGAGAACCGCAAGACTTTTCAAAAATAGAATCGAATTCAAAGAAAGCCATATGGCTCTGGTTTAGCGCTTGGCAAGGTAGTAAAACACCCAAGTCATATCTTACCGTTCTAACCACAAGGGTACTATACCAGATATATACATTTATGGCAAAATCAATACGATGAATAAAGATACACAATAGCAATGCCATTTTTCTCTACTATCGAGTCGCTTAAGGTCACGCCCCGTGTTTTTTATCCAATTTTGTTTTGCTTAGAGCCCAGCTAGTTTGTCAACCCAAAGCTATGATGGAATGATTGTAGGGAAGCGCGTTTACGTATATAAAATCTTTTATGCAGTCATGTAAATCAAATATACACCTAAAAGTTGACTCGTAACAGTTGGGTTCCCCTAAAAATTGACCGTTTCTTCGATTATTTCCTATTTATCTCGAGAACCGTCGTATATTCTCAACTCTATATCTTGGCCGACTTTCAAGGAGCTAGACTTTCCCACTACCCCTTTGCACATCATTTTTATTAGAGCATCATGTCCGATGCTGTATATGAACTAATCCCTATTCTACAGCCTGAGCGAGCACGAAGTTGTGGATTTAGTGGACGGCTGAACCGACGGACGATTGACCCATGCATTATTCTACAGCTTGGACTACGACTACCTGGAACAGAGCAACTGGTGCTTGAGTACGTGAATAGGTTGATTTTGCAAATGCTTTGTTATGTAGTTACCACGGTTACCAACGAGAGATTGGCTTAAACCTCTTTGAAGTAGTCCTCCTCAAACCCCACAAAGCATAGCATATCAGCTTTTTTGAAACCCATTCGATTTGTTGATATTCGATATGCTTTTAGGCCTGAGTGATTCTTCATATTTATAGCCATTCATTTTAAATCGCATGGATGCAATCTTGTTTGTTTTTAGCTTATAGATCATAGCTACCTTGGTGACTATTAATGTCGTTCAGAACTAAACTTTAGCTCCAAGACAGTATAGAATTGTATCATTCATATATTAAAAACTACAGTGGCATACCAAAGCCTTATGATTTGTCAGAGGTTACATGTTTGAAAGTATGCAGATCCATTAAAGTGAATCACTTGACAAATCTCGTTGAATTTATCTGAATCAATAATTCGACAGAGAAATGTGTGGATCAATCATTGTGTTAGATAATAGCTGGTTGGTCAAATGACATGAAAGCTGTCTATCTTTACCGAACCATATTCATGTGGATCGGCATTAATGAATATTTGGTTGAGTTTATCAGTATTCTATCTCACTTTGTCGGCCCGAGCTCATTTGGCTTTCTAATTTACCATCTTTTACTTATTAATACTCTTTAATTCTTCATGATTGTATCTTGCCAAAATGACCGACTCACACTTTTTGATTCGGTTTGTTTTTGGTCATTTGTCATGATGGGTTTCTGACACGCCCAATCTTAATAGCTACGAAAAGCTCGGGGCTGTATCTCGGTTTGTGGTGAATGCATCACTAGCATCTTCTGACGGAATTCATGATCTTAGCTTAATTATTAGTCCTAGCGATCCAAAGCGACTGGCATATTTTGAACAGAATGTACCATCGTCGCACAATACGTTGACCAGTTCATCGCAATCATTTACACCTACTTTAGTCTCGACTCAACCTTCAATTGAAACAAATAATGTACTCTCTAATACTGTGGATTCAAATAATATATATTCACAGCAACCAACACATATTGCCTATACCACGTCGCCTTTGGAGTCTTCATACGCATTGCATCCAGCTGCTTCCGAAGCAAATACTCACCAGCAATCACGTCGCCATCCAAACAGATCCAAGCCAAGATCTCATTCCAATCCACAGACCTATTTGGCTCCACCTCCAATATTCATCTCTAGTCATACCGTATCTAGTCCTATATGCAGTCCTACTAACCCTGTACCTTTTGCTGTACAAGACACCGTGCTTCCACCCAATCCTTCTGTAGATAAAGTAACTGATGTTTCGTCCAAGTCTACAGTCAAGTTGAAATCAAATACACCACTATTGTCAAACTACCCATACAATCCCAATCAGGATCGTACTGCAGATATAGTGAGTAAACTCTTGACTCAAAGTATCTCACTTGACTATATCTCACCATAATCGCATTTCACACTTAGATAGAGCAGCCTTATCCTGGAAGCAATCAAATCGTTAGCTCTTTATTTGGATCAACAATGTCGACATGTTTTTGTCTTTCAAATTTAGATGGCCATGTCGGGGCATATTTTTTATTTCCTGAAATATGCCTGCGCCTTGAAGGTGTATACAAGTTGCGTTTTACACTATTCGATATACTGGGGTGGGTTACTTTACCATTAGTTCAAATCTGTCAATCCGGCTGCACATGCACAACCTTATGTATTTCATGTAATCCTTGTTACGGATTTAATATCTTGTAAACTCATTTACATATTCTAAACATCATAATACTTTAGCTGCACTGCACAAGCTCCTCAAAGATCCATTGCAACGTTACTATCTAATTCATTCACATCGTATAATCCTCGCATATTCCCAGGAATGCAAAGTAAGTTGAATGTGCATTTATGATTTATAGATTTACAAGATGCATCATATGTTATATTGTTGGTTTAAATAAAGTTGAAATGTAGCCGAGAGATGATATGGGGGTAGAATGTGGAGGTGGGTATGTATCTGGAATGGTATGTAGTCAAAAGTTTATTTCTTATGAGCCACCATTTCCATACCAAGTGAATTGTGCTTATAAGCATTCTATATTGGATCATCCTATGTTAATTTTAAAGATGATCCCAGATTATATAGCCTCACACCCCTATATCATAACTCGAGCATATCCTTTCACTTTAACATCTTGCCTGATTGCCTCATCCCAACACATTACTTTTTTTAGAAACGAATATAACACTAGCTATTTATTTTTAAATGCACTACTTGCTTTTTATCTTGAAACTCTTGAATCTATGTTTTTAAAAACAGAATCACCGGATCTTGTGCATCATTTTTTGCGTCAAGGAGCTCCAGTTTTGGTTAGATCCAAGGCGCCATCAAAGAAAACAGCATCGATACGATCTACCGTATTAAAGAAATCACAGTCGGACAGATCCAAGGCAGTTGTTGGTGAAGATATGAGTGGTAGCTCTGCAAATAATGATAAGAAGTGATGGTGAGCACTTTTATTACAATACAGGGTTTAAATTTATATGCATTATATTAATGATTTGTGGGTGGATCAGGTGCTGGATGCTTGTTGTGCCTTGCTATATTGATTTGACTACAGCTATAAATGCAATTGACTATAAACTACATAGGTATTTATATAACCTTGACATGATGGCTATTGTGCAACCACTGATAACAACACATTATTGGTGATTGGAAGTGTATATAATGCATATTATGGTTGCACTCAAATTGCAATATTAATGTAAGCTGAGGAAAGGTGGAACGAACGGTTAATGCATTGATTACAGTACACCGATCTGCTCCAATCCTGTATGGTATACGAACAAAAGAAAGATATCATACTGATGTGAACTTTTGCACAAAGATACGCAGATGCTCCAATGCAAATTTAAAGTGACTTGCAAACAGTATTGTTTTACTTGTCTTTTATGTTTAAAACCAAGTGATTGGGTCGATCCAAACTACTGGTACCTTTACCAGCCAATGTTGAATAGATCTTTTTGTATTCTCTGTCATGAACTGACTGTAACGGCTCTTGTGTTCTACATCAAATCTATAGTGCTTGTTATATCACAATAGTGTTCAAAACCGTAGCTCAGGTTCTTGTAAAGTGCCCACATTCAATTCTCTACTATCTCGGCAATACTCGGCATCATGTCTTTTTAACCAGTCGTTTGGCATTGTATTATATTGGCTCGCAAGGCAGTTTTATTTCAATTGTATTCCTAATCTGAAGGGTTGGCTATTGCTGTCAACCATGGACTAGCGTTGCAGATCCTCCAAGGTGCGTATGATGGCTACACATGCTTTGTAGCTTCAGTTTGATATAAATAGGACATGCTATCCTACTCATTTGAAGTATACATGTCTTGGAAATTGAATAGTCGCTTCAACTAAACATTTCAATAGTCTTTATCCCTGACACTAGATTAGGATTCATCGCACCACAATCTACGTATTGATTTGGACAATAATTTTATCATACTGTGGCTTGCTGGGATTATGCAACTCCACTAGTTTTAAACTTTATATTAGGTATGTATCGAAATACATTGCTATTTAATTTAACTTGATTTAACTTTAAAAGTCATCAAATCATTTTCATATATAGGACTCTAGATTTCAGCCTCGATCAATAAATACCATTATTGCGCGATTTTGAATTAGTTTGTAAAGGCTGCTAATTTATGAACTTGAAGTGTGTCTATGCTCAATATCAACACCAAATTTGAAAAATGTATATATCCATGGTCTATAGTGATTAAAATTTTGGTTTTAATTGCTAGTATCGTCTTGTTTGAGATGGTTCAGTCTATAGCACGATGTTACAAGCATGTGAATAAACATGAACGAATGACAAATGCAGTATGCTTTGCTATATGAAATTGATCAAGATATAACAACATAGTATGTTTAAATACTCTTGGCGTTATTAACAGTATAATCTAAGCTTTATTTGCATCTTCATTCTATACTACTACCATCGTATTCGCGTAAAAGAACCACGAAGTAAGGGTACCAAAACACATAATAAACATTCAGTATCGTTAAATAATTGAACTACTGAATGACATTGGTTCTTTAAACTCTGACAAAGTTTATTGATTTTTCTTTGCCCATTTTTGATGAACAAATAGTTAGATCTCTGCTCCACCTAATCCCCAACTTTTCTTGATTCAAGTCAAACGCTAAGCGATCGGCATGAAAATAGCCGCTACGTTCCTAATACGCGCAATGTTTTCTTGAATTGGAACATGGTGTATCTGATATTAGGATACAACAAAGAGAAGTTTGATTGACAGCATCAAAACAGTCGAATTCAATATCTGAATCTGGGTTTAAACTTGTCAGCCGTACAATGTATGACTGTCGAAAAAGATAAAAGGGTGATTTTACATCAAACATATAATTTGCATGCATCATGTAGATATTGTTTATTGAGTAATTGAGAGTCTCGATTAAAATCAATATTTAATAGAAAAGCGTCACAAACATTAATCACTGTAGAATGAATACAGGTGTTTCATTTTGTGAATACAGCTGTGATTTGCTAATTGAAAAATTGTAGGTTTAGTTTCAAGCCACACAAGAGATACCAGCCATCTAGTGATATACTGGGAATAAAATATTGAATGAGAAATGAGCAAAATAGGGGATCCAAGTCCATAAATTGAATGAAAAATGCATGGTCAAACACATGAATAGGATCTTTTCCTCGTGGGTATTTTACTAATTAGCATAGCGCCAACAATCAAAGGGTATAAACGGAATTTACAACCCAGAAAAAAGGGATGAAGAGATGAGGTATTTACATTTCAACCCAATTTGATCGCGTTTAATAAACATGGTAATGGCATTAAACAGGCTACTGTTGAGCTTTTTAAATATTGAATTGCAGAGTTGGTTTAGATTAGTGTACAGACTACAACTGGAATACTGAGAATTGTATCAAGACCAAATGAGTAATGTTGTGTTATATTGAATCGAAAGCAGTAGACCATACCAACCAGTCGAATTGTCGCTGTGGTGAAAGACACAATCAATATATGCTCATGGCATTCAAATCAGTAGACAGTCTACTGATGTTTGCAAAGAAAGTATCACCAAACCTGACTTGCATAAAGTGTGATCAGGTGAATTTTAGCAAGTACCGCCCAAATACATGATACTGTTGATTGCTAACAATTCCTTGTTGTATTTCATCTCTCTATTGTCACCTGTATTGTTAACAACCATGAGGGTCAATTTACAATCATATACGAGTCAGAGATTGCAATATCAATCAAAAGTATTAGTTTTGCAAAACATTTACATCAAAGCTGTATTCATGTAGAATGGGACGCTTTTCTAGCGACTGTCCCTACTTTGAAACAATACAATACAATCAAACTATTTCTTTCTCCTCATTTGGTATAACCATGCACTGACAATCACCAAATCTAAAACCAAATTCGTTGCAATTTAGATATTGACCGACTGTTTTGATGTTAAACTCCACTTTGTCATATCCTAGAATCTTGGATATGCTCTAGCTCAAGGGAATAAAGATTGCACATTTCAGGAAGGCAACAGTGCATGCCAATCACCTAATATTTGGTTTATATGAAGGGAGAGTTGGAGATTGAGTAAATGGGTGATGCACTGAAACAGAAATGTGAATATTCATTCAGTTGCACAAAAATGAACACAAAACCAGTGAATGTTGCCAAGGAGTTCAAAAGACTGCTGTACGGTAAATTCGATGTAAACTGAGATCAATCATTTCATGAGATTGGCAGTTTATTATGCACTTTGGTACCCTTATTAGTGTTTCATTTTACACGGATACGGCTGTAGAAGCGCGTGCTATTGAAATTTCAGCCTATTACAGCTGTTGTCAAAAGTCACCAGAGAAAGACTGGTGCATGTTGCAGTGATTGCTGGTCCACCCTAGGGTAGTGTGGCATGTGTTCAAGGGTTCTTGAGGAAGGATTTGGACTGCATTTATGGGTAAAGCTAGGACAAGCAATACACTAATGCGTGACCAACCACGCATTAGTGTATTACAATTACTGATTGACAACGAGAAAAATGATTTGATAGGCACACTGCGTAGTAACCCTGCTGTTACTTATCTCCAAAAGTGAGCTGTAAGCTATTTTCATTTTGTACAAAATAGGGTTCTAAAGAGCGACAAGCCGCGCCTGATTCTTACTGCAACGACGGACTTGCTGCAGGCTCATCGTGGAGCATCTTGACTATCTAATCTTGAATCACTCAACCCTCTTCAATTCATAGATAAACAGCAGCCAATTCCACCATACTATTCTGTGTACCAATGGCTCTGTCATTGCTCATGACATTAGCCGATGCTGCTGACCAAGCCGTTCCATTGTCAGCTTCAGAAACGGCTGCTCTTTGTGCTCTACAAAGACTTGCTTTGATGAGTAGACCTGCTACATCCATTGCTAAACTGCCATCTAAACATTCAACCAAGACATCTACTACTTCAGTCAAGGTTGATGTGTCTAATGCAGCCGTACTGTGTTCTACTCGCCCTACTCGCATTCAACCTCACTCATTTCCAGGTGCCAACAGTCACCTTGATTCTTCATCGTCGCTCTGCTCCATGACTCATAGCTCAGTGGATGGCATTCAGTCTCCAAAGCCAGGTATGCTAGACTACATTCCTGCCACATCGCCAGACAATGGCAATGCTGGTCTGGTCAGTAGATACGCCGCTTCATGTATCGCTTCACCAGCTATCCCTACACGTCAACTGCAATTAAACCGGTCTACTCTGCGCAAGATTCCGTCCTACTCATCCCTAGTGATGCTTACAAGCGTTGCTTCTCCCTCTTCGCTTCCCACAGCCACCTCTTCTCAGCAACAACTCCCCCGCTCTGCCGAGAGCGGTCTAGATTTACTTACAGATGCAATGCTCGATGATATTGATCTGTCACTCACTAGCCACTCCATTTCACACTTGGTTTCTAACTACAAGCAAGATCAGCACCGTCTCTCCAAAATGGCAGACTCTACACTGCTGACATCAGCAAGCAAAAGCGACTTTTCCATAACTGCGCATGTCTGTATGCAATGCAATCATCGAGGGTCGCTTGTCACTCCAAGTCACTCTGCTATGAAGCAATCGCGAGGTATGTAATTATGCTTGTTGGTCACATTTGCTTGACTCCAGCTTGTTCTCGATTCAAAATCCCCAAATTGTGCAGTTTATTCATCCATGATACTCTCATCCGTCCTTGGGATGCAATAGGAAATTCTGGCATATGCCAGGACCCTATCGTATATTTGAATACTTTTGGCATTTCTCTAATGATTGGCTTGCTAATTGCTTGATATTATACACATGACTAATTATCCCAATGCTATCATTAATTTTCAGGTCAACTGATGCTTGAAACTAGACGTCAGCAATTGTCCATTTCTCTTGCACAGCGTATTGCTGCTGAAGAAGCCAGACTTCGATTGGTTCCTGCTAGTCCTGAACGCTTAGTTGCATTAGATCGACTAATGCGAATGCGCGCACGGAAGAATTCTTTGTTGATGGCAGCCAGGCAATTGCGATCTGTAAATCAACCTTCCTCATCCGTATCTACAGTTGGTACATCAAGTCCATCGTCATCCCAGCGTCTCGTAAAGATGACTAAAACTGTTGTTGCTATTCCTCCATTTGTACGTAGATCTCAGTCGAACCAGAATCCCTCGACCTCAACCAGCAAACAGAATTGTTCTAAACCACCCACACTCTTGTTATCATCTACAAGACGAGTCACTATTTCTTCTACCAAGCCACCTGGTCGTGATTCCATTCCCATTTTGCCTGTTACTAATTCCTGTCCAATCAAGCGATACTATTGTTCCAGTCTTGCTTCAAGATAGCTATTTTGATACAATATGCTATTCGGTACATATATTGCCCATCTTCATTTTAGCTGTTCGTTCATGTCTAATCTGAATATCTGTCTATATTGAGTTTGCATTTGCAAATGGATGTGTGGATTCTTGTTATTCTCCACATCTGCAATATACATTCATTTATACAAATTCCTTCGCCTAAACTGTAAAGCCTTTGGTTGAATTTACCTCGACCCCAGCTCTTTAGATTTCTCAGTACAAAGTCTCCGTTTTTAGAATAAAATGATCTAGCCCAATAGGCTATTGGTTAAATGGTTTGTTTTTGCAAGTTTGATCATGATTCATATTTAGAGTTTCATTGAAAAGTGGACAACGTGAAATTGCTTGCCTAGATGGTGTTTGGCGAGGTAACTTGCTGCCTGATGCATTCTACCAGAAACACATTGATGAAATAACGTCAATCAATTATTTAGCGGCAGACAAGGCTAGATTTTGATGAATTGAGCTGTACTAGACCGAAACTTCATTGACATTCCAAATTCAATCCATAAATGACTTGACATGATTTGCGGTTTGCATACAAAGCTCAAACTTCAACTTGATTCGTGACATACTCGATAATGCTGCAGGGTTCGTCCATCAACTCTTCCAGTGCATCAATAACATCTGAAACTCAAGGTGCATCAAACCATACTGCTCATCTTGTTTTATAAACCACCCACTCAGTATTTTTATAATATGGATTTTAGAAAATGATGCTGGTATAAAGAACAGGATTTTGATGATGGGCGGCGATTCTGAACATGAGCGTCTTGCACTTGTACAAGGTATATATCAGAGTCATGGTTCAGTTCGCTACTTGAAGTTTAACATGGCATTTAAACTCTTTACTCATAACTTGAATGGCTAGAGATTATGCAACGGATCGCTTCCAAGCCTGTCGAGCCCATTTCTACCTGGCATGCACTTGCAACCCATTATCCATCACAATCGGATCCTATACCGGAAACTGATCAAGTCGAGTCGTTGGTTTATGCAAATATTGATACAAAATACTATCAAGCCGAAGTAGCTTTTCAAATCTCAATGGAGCAACCGTGGCTAGATACTTATACTGAAGACACTCGTAATTTTGGCAGTGATGAACTTTGTCGTGGAAACATTGATGCTATAGTCTATGTTGCCGACAAGACTCAATCTGTAAGAATGCTCTAGTGTTTGTATCAGATTCCAATTGCTAATCTTGTATTCTCCTAAATGCTGGCGAGGCTTTAGATTGATCAACTGTACCAAATTCTTGAATGGATGAAAGCATATACCATGGAGTTTGATACCAATATTTCTTTGTTGGTTGTAAACGACTTTGCAGCAGATGTATTTGATTCTCAAACCGAGTTGGATGAAAAGTGTTTGGATGCGGGTGTCGAGTTGATTGTGTGGACTCCACTGCCCTTGGTTGATCCACTTGTTGCAACGGATCCAACCTCTACCTTGACTTCTCGAGCATTGGGATCGCTTTTAAATGGTGATTGGATGATGTTACGCCAATACATTCACTCGACTGCATCGTGTTATTCAATACTAACTCATACCTACTGCACTTGTAATTATATTGAAACTATAGCGGATGGAAATATGGGTGAAGAAGTCACAGGTTTAGATCGTATTTTGGAGGTCCTATCAATCAATATGTGGGATGGATTAAAACGCAAGGATGAAATAAACTTTACTGGCAACAATGAGGGCAAAGGCACGATTTCTCCACCTGAACAAATCATCAATCCATCCAACGACAATTTTGGAGCCTACACAATGGCTGGTGCGTTTAAACGATTGTGTTGCCAGTAAACATGTCTAGTCCAACTGATTTTTTTACTTGACTGCAGATGTAGATGATCTAAGCAAGCAGCTGTTTGGTGATATGGCGGATGAAGATGGATTTGAACGAACATTGGAAACACTTCAAAAATTACGGTGTATGTTTTTGGAAATGTTGCTATGATTATATGGAATACTTTAACTCTTTGTGCATATACTGAATAACTTGATATGCTCTAACATTTTGTGACATATTGAATCCATAGTACAAGGAGAAGGTATGTCAGAAGCTGATCGACGTACTCTTGCTGAAAAAGTGGCATTGGCATTTCAGCTGCAACTTGCTGCAGAGAGTGACGAAGAGAATGAATATAAACGAGCCTGATTTTTTTAAATATTATATTGGTTGTATTCAGTAAAAACAGCACTAAATAGGAGTGTTGGTGTATCATCAACGCTAATCCCATGAAATCATTGGTGCTGAATGGACTAAAGTGTTTTGAACTCGGACAAAGTTCATGTCTTTTTCTTGGACCTAAAGTCATACTCGATTAGCCATGATAATTGGCACGCTACCATATGCTGTATTGAGTTACTCGGTTATCTAAATATCAGTCCAATTTTTGCAAATTCACTTGTACCAAGATAAAAGTCTTTAAATAGCCAGTTTTGTATAAACCACCCACTCTCTTACACACCAAACTAAAACCTAGTTAAAGCACAATGCAGTTATATTGATTTGAAATTGAAAGGGTGATTATGCGATAACAGAGACAGGTGACGAATCGCACTATAAGTGACGAGAAATTGAGATTGGATGCCAGAAATCCGCCAAATTGAAAAATGTAGCAAATACAGATTGAGTGATAGGAGCCGATTAGAGTTTAGACGAGAAAGATAGCACCCAAGGCAGCTAAACACACGACAAAGCTTGTGCGTGAAGTGGTAGGTGCAGCAGAGACAAGACCGGCCTTGGGAACCAAGCTATTGCTTTTACCGGGATCAACAGTACTTTCTGATCCTGATGTGCCAGATTTCTCACTGTCCGTCTGTTGCTGTTGCTGCTGCTGTTGTTGCTGCTGTTGCTGCTGCTGTTGTTGTTCTTGCTGATGCTGTTGCTGCTGTTGTTTTCGAAGAGCACTAGTAGCCAAATCAGTGAATTGTCGGATCTGTACTCGAACACCTTCTGCCTCGTCAATATCACCACCAACATTGGATAAAATGAAAAGAGAGTCCAAAAACTATTGGTTGATAGTTCATTAACATGACAGGTGTTGGTACATTCAACAGTTGTAATAGTTTAGTATATACCATTGCCAGTAATCGATTCAACAGCACACTTGGATGTTAATCAAGTTTAAACAATACCTGCATGGAAAGGCCAGTTTGCAGAAAGATATTATGAGATTCTTTCCAAGTGTTCGACAAGTCATTGACACATTCAGGAAGAGGAATATTCGAAATAGATCCTGTAGTGTATAAGCAGACATGAATAAACGTTAGCCATAAACGTCAGAGCATTAAATAGAATACTGCTATAGGAATGCGAGTTGGTGCAAAGCACAACAGCTCATGCAATTGAAGGTGATAAAAATGTCCATTATTATAAATGGTAAACGGTGCACCTGCTCATTGCAAAGCAGTTCAAGTATCGATCCTATTAAAAATCCAGCGCTAATCAAATTTTCTATGATGCACTTTCTGCAAATAGGTCGCAGCATATTAGGACACATTCGTTCAACTTACTCTGCAAGTTCATCCAACTGGAAGCAAGCGAAGGATCAAGCTGAGGTTGTGCAGCAACCAGAGAGATTGCATACAGTAACGCAGTTATAGTTGCAATCAAATACATTTTGATCCAAGTAGTAAAAGAATGTGCAATGGTTTGTGTAGTAGGTAGATAAAACCCAGTTTAGTCAAGTTTCGATAGGTCGTCAAAAACACAAGAAACACAACGTTGAGGGCGGCGTGTTGGAGGCGTTTTGTAATCCTAAAGGACGCTGTGCCGTGCAGATTATAAGGGCGAAAGCGAGACTCATTCCAAGCTTACCATTCACACAGGTTAAAGCTTAAACCTCCCTTATCTTCCTATTTATACTCACATACGAATGCATTGTCCATGTATTGGCCTTTCATGGAAGCTGTGTAATTAAGATCTGATCCAGTCATGACAGTCTATGCTGGTGGTGCTGTGAGCCAGTGGTCCGATATTGGAGTATACCCGTTGTTTTCTGAAATTACAATTGAATCATGTGGAGTGTCGTGGCCAAAGGGTCGATATTACACTTGTCTAATTCATTTTGAAATCCATTGTGTGTACATCTTGCTTGTTTAACATCCACATTGCAAATGAATCTTGTGAATTACAATGAGATTTATTTGTAATCCACACGATTACACAAATTGACAACCAGGTGAATGTCAGTCATTTACTGCACCAGTTGGGCATCTGTCGAATCTATACACATACGTCTGAATTTCAAATTATATATTTTGTAGGATTTTTACAATCGTTGAGCACCAACAATCTCTATAGGAACAGAAAACATGATTCCCGATGTAAAGATTTTGTTGGGAATGATATAGATTCGGATGAAATGTTCAACTTGCACACACCCAGAAAATGTCGAGGGTGCAATAAACTTGGTCACATTGCCGGGATGTAGCAGTACTTTGAACGATTTAGATTGTTGTGTGCCAATCATGCAGTCAATAGACTCGGATGCCAATATATTGGTTCTCCCATGCTCTGCCAAAAAATGACCATTACGAACTTCTTCCAGAGTGACTTTGATGCCTTTAATGCCGCGCTTGTCTGCATTTGAAATCTGAATTTGAAGTTGAATATCCTGTCCAATAGAGTACATGCTCTGCTCAAGTCCCAGACTAGCTTCTACATCAAATGACGTAAAATCCTTGGGAAGACCTGGCATGACCAGCGGAGGATTAATCAACGGCATTGATCTAACTACATTAAACGCAATCTCTGCTGGCAATGCCTTGCCTCTTCCAGCAGCCAAGAACAGCTCCACTTTGATCACATACTTGATCTGGGCTTTAAAAAAATCGGTCAATACAACGGACGGAACAGCGTCAATAGGAACAACAAACTGCGCACGAAACGAACGAGGTTGTGCAGTGAACTCGGTGCCTAATTTTTTATTTTGAGTGCGCCAGAGAGGAATCGATTGTATGATGGTCGAGTTGAAGAATTGCACTGGAGGTGGCTCAGCGAGATTATCTGGGTTTGCTAGACCTTGTGCTGCACCTGCAATGTGGAATCGCTCTGACATGGACAGGTCGGCTACCAATTTGATTGCTTGTAGTGGATCTTTGTTGTTGAGCCAACAGACAAAATTGACAACATCTCCAGGAGCATATTCGCTCTTGTCGACAGTAAGCCTAAAGAGTGACATTGCAAATAGTAACAGGCTCGACTGATGAATGAAATATAAATATAATGGAAACCTGAAAATGAAGGAAATGGTGCTACAAAATCGAATTAGAAGAGGCGCAAACCGAAATAATTGAGCACTGCCAATTCAATGCTATATTGGCAGCCCGTCTATCTTTGTTATGCAATGCTCAACCCCGAATATTTAAACTTAATTGGGCGTCTTTAATGCTACATCGCTATTGGAAAATCAAGTCGTCCAAGGTTTATTTCGAATTTTCTGGAACATAGGGATGGATCAGCATCTCTGAAAAAGTCTTGATTCTATCCACTCCACGAATCTCATGTGTCAGCAATGGCATCTTGACAACATGAAAGTCCTCGTAGAGTTCATCAATTTCTTCCAAATATTTGGCTTGCATCTTGGCCCGTACAAGGCACTGCTCACAGTTGGACCCTGATTTTGGATAGAGCAATTGGTTTACAACAATATTGTGGGTGTCAATGTGAAACGAAGTCAATTCCTGGATCATGCGTTCAGTTTCGTAGAGCGAAAGAAACTCTGCTATGCATACACAGACAAACGTCGTCTTGTTCTATTACAAACAGTAGCATCAAATGCAGCGTATCAGAATCAAACTGGCCAACAGTATCTGCAATAAACGGCTATCCATAAATCACAACTTACAGGATTTTGGAATTGAGAATTAACTTCCTGAATGGTTTCACGCATGCCTTCAAGTTTTCCAAAGATATCTTCTTGGCCAACATCCATGCCCATCATTGGTCCCATCTATCACCAGTGCATTGGACTTAAATGGTGTATCGATAAAAACATGCTCACCAATGCCAGCAAGATCGTACCTGTTGCATCAATGGTCCTAGACGACTACCAAGCTGCGAGAATTTGCCAAGAGCATTGTCCAGTACACCAGGAAATGACAAAAATCGCAGTGTATGTCCAGTTGGAGCAGTGTCAAACACAATGCACGAGTAGTCCATAGACTTGACCAATCTGAATCAATATGCAAATTAGTCCAAGGTTCTATAGATAAAATGCCACACATGACTCACTTCATGACTTCTGCAAAACTCATGGCTTCATCGACACCCGGAATCGCAAAAGCTAGATCCTGCAGTTGCGATTGAGTACCAGCATCTTGGGTTTCAATCATTTCTTGGATGCTACCTGTTGGATCAATCTCCATGGCGTACAGGTTGGTATAACCATTAATCAACTGAGGGTTTTTGGAAAACTTTTGTCCAAATGCATCTATGGTTTCATTATACATGATTAACAGTGCTATAAAATCAGTCATAGAACATATAGAATGCGACATTGAGAAAGACAAGACTGTAGTAGAAGCTTGGCATGGAATATACTTGAATATAACTCATGGAATGCCACAGAACATTTAACTAGCTAATAGAATTCCTACCAGATAAATTGTGTGCAGGATCAGTAGAGATTAGTAGAACAGACTCTCGAACTTTGGCCAGCTGCGTAGCCAATGAACAACTATTGTTACAAATATGTGGTTAGAAAGATGCTTGTACAGCTGTATGCTCTGCATTCGCTAGCAAGCTGTAATAGATGAATGACTGAGAATGTAACCATAATAGAATCAAGTGTCATGATTTCTACTACAAACATGCTTCCATTAGATAACGTAATGACCCACCTGGTAGTGGTTTTGCCTACACCTCCCTTTCCTCCAACAAATATCCATCGAAGATCCTCCTGATCTAGTACGTTTTGCAGAGTGCCTTCAAGTTTTTCAAGATCATCGTCCATTTTGAATTGCAAGGTAAGTTTTGCACCATATTCACGTAAAATGAAATGCTGGATAAAAACAAGTGCTAATCTCATGGCATGACGATGATCGTGCAATGTATGGCTATTCCAGCTGTTGTTTGTTCCAAAGTAGAATAGTCACTGAAAGTGTTTCATTCTGTATGAATACAGTGGTAAACAATTGTGTTTGCATCGATTGACATCTGAATCAACAGTCATGATAAACTCCAATACTCGGTTGTTTCGAGATTCAAGCTTGATTCATAAATCTTTTAGTATCGCCATAGTCAATAACACAACCAATTCACACTATTACATTTATGGTATTTGCAATACATTTAGATTCATTTCAGATGCACCGACTATAAGCCAGATGAATGTCCATCGATCTGCCATGTTCATTGCAGCTACAAGAATACAACATAGTCTGGTTGATTCTATCTATCATACTCTCTTAGTAGAGCTCTAATCTTGGCATCGTGTTCATCATTGGCATAGTTTCTTCTCATTGCCCTATACCTATTGATGGTGGGATGTGTTACTTGAGTCTCCAATCGTAGTTTCATACAACACTGCTTACTTTTTGATAAACCACAGTGATTCCAGCTCTTTATATACATATTCTCCTAGACACCACAGTACAACAATGAATACATCTAGCAAACCAACTACACGAATCAAGTGGGATTACCATGCATAATAGCCTGCTCAATTTCTTTTGGATCTTGTAAGCCTTTTTTTTTAAGAAATGCTAGCTTAAGCTTATCTTTGAAGTAAGCATGTCTAAATCAGGCATCAGTTGAAAACCGATGAAACAAAGGGTTAAATGTCGGATATGCCTATTGACATGTATGAGCAGATTGTACAGCAAGAGCATGACAGTACTGACCCTAATGGGTATTCCTTGCCAATGTAGAGCAACTGTCAAGTCAGGATTAGTGAAAATGACGTTATACACATTTAAACAATACACTGTAAGGGTTTATTGCCTGTTTGTATAGATTACGAGTCTTGTATCGAAGTGCGTTTAGAGAAGCCATGTCTGCACTGCATCTATAGTCTGGCTGTTGATTGAATTCCATCGCATAAACTGAATTTAACACGTGACTTATTTTCACTTATTTTGACCGATTTGGCGCAGTCAACGCTCGCCAGACTCGCCCAATCTCTGAAATGTCTTATGCGTACAATACAGAACCGCCGACCAAGGGAAAGGTATTTTAATGATCTTGTCATGTTGATACAAATGTAGTTGTATTATTACGGGGTTTTCAAATTCAGTTGCTGACTTTCAACATATATTACAGGTCATTTTAAGAACCACTGTTGGAGAGCTGGAAATCGAGGTACATTGATGATCGGCAGCTCATGCCAGGTGTCGACAATCTACCACAAAAACAGCCCTAGATGTACTAATTGTTGGATTTTACATTGAGTAGCTTTGGCCAAAGGAAGCCCCAAAAGCATGCAGGAATTTTGTTCAGCTATGGTATCAAGTTTGCATATCAAAACCTATAGATCTACATATATTTAGTTAGGTATTTCTATAATACCGACCTATTATATTTGACCACTAATATTTTAATCACTAATTTGATACTAGTCTTGAGGGATTTTATGACAATACTATCTTTCATCGAGTGGTGCCTGATTTCATTGCCCAAGGTGGCGATCCAACAGGAACTGGATTAGGCGGTGAATCCATTTATGGTGCTCCGGTAAACTAGATTAGATTTTCTAGGTTTTGAAATTGAAAAACAGACCATCAAGTCATTTACAATCTTGGTTTGAATTGCTTGTAGTTTGCAGATGAGTATCATACACGACTGCGATTTACACATCGTGGATTGCTTGCAATGGTAAAGTAGCCCAGAACTAGGATTTGAAATGTGGCATGAATAGTATCATGTGTGACTTACTTTTATTGTTGCATCAAGTATTTAGGCGAATACTGGTCCAAACTCAAATACAAGCCAATTCTTTTTTACGCTTGGCAAAACCGAGGAGTTGAATCATAAAAACACTATTTTTGGAAAGGTAATAGTGCCTGATTGGGCCATGTCAGAGTGCTGTACTGATCGTGGAGTCTTATTTGCTAATCTGTCTGTCTTGTACTATACATATTACTTGTAGATTGTTGGTGATACAATATACAATATGCTTAAAATCGGTGAACTGGAAATTGGCGACGATGAGCGTCCAATCTATCCAGCAAAAATCATCAATTCACATGTTATGAGCAACCCATTCGACGATATTATTCCACGTGAAGTCGCTCAAAGCAAAACAACTTTAATTTCAAAAGAAGCCGCAAGACTGGCTAAAGAGCAGGAAGCTTCCAAACCAAAAGCGATCAAGTATGTAAAATAATGCATGGTTTTGATTTCAAAAGTGATGAATAATGAGTACTCTTTGAACTAAGAGTTTCAATTGCTGATATTTGTCGGGGTTTAAAAGAAATACGAGTTTGCTGTCTTTTGGTGACGACGAAGAAGAGTCTATAGGCCCCATACGCACAAAACACAAAATTGTCAGCATGCATGACGCAATCGACAACGATCCAAGGCTGAGCAAGCAGAATGCAGTTTGCATTCCAAAAGATGAGGATGTTGATAGGAGTACACACGCATCTGAAAAGCAGGTTGAAAAGTCAAAAATCGTGACAAAAGAGCCTGAGCGACGTCGTCCTCCACCACAATCGGACTCGGATGAGAGTGACGAGTTTTCATCTGACTCCACCAAATCGCAAAGCATCCTGTAAGTATACACAATCTGGTTTTCGCTTTTTTGATAAATAGTTGATCATTTACTTTTGATATAACTGCAGATCTAAAAGACAGGAGGAGATTCGCAAAATTAGTGGTCAAATCAATTCTATTGGAAAGCAATATAAACAAACTGATTCAAAAAACAAAAACGACAAATCCAAAAAAGTCACCACTACTACATTAGGCAAATCTGTCCCGTGTGTCAGTGATCTCCGTAAAGCATATCTTGCATCAGGTAAAGCTGTATCAGGAAAACGCAAACCCCAATCAACTTCCGACGCCTTGAGTCAGCTTGAGGCTTTTCAAAAGCGCCTTCGACAAGAATCAATTAAAAAGCGCAACGAGCCATCCATATCAAAAACCGGTAGTAGTTTCACTGAATCAGAACAGAGGAATAAATTGTCCCGATCTGCAGATGATTGGCAATGTGACCTGCATTTCGTTACTGGATGTCAAAGTTGTCGTGACACACTTGATAATGATGATGATATGGATGATGCTGGTTGGATGACTTCAACATTGATATTCGCAAAGGATTTGGGCGGTGCCAATGTGTACGAACCAAAGTTGGACGACTATTCCGTGTTTGATCCACGACAAGAGTTGAGCACTGCTGCTTTTATTTCTATTATGAATGCTAAGATTGAGTACTGTATTCTAATCTTTTTACATTGTTAGTCCAAGTCTAGGCGGAGGATCATCAGAAAAAAACAAGATGCTAAAAGATAGCAGATATAAAGGTAGTACCAGTAGATTTGACGCATTGCACCAAAGAAATGGATCAAGTAGTCGAAATAGCAACGAACATAAACTCGACAGAAGCAGCTCGAGAAAAGATCGTCGCGACAGATACTAGATCTCATGTTTTTCCTAAACAGAATAAACCGTGTTTTTCAAGTATATCAAAGACTACTCGAGCATATATTGTTTTTCCAGCAGCTTGTGAGAATAAACATAATTTATTTTAGTCAAAAAGCGACATTAAATCGTCCAGCTGCACTTTTTGCATTTCGGGTTGAGTGATGACACCTGCCAACTGTGCCTTTCGATGTTGTATTTCCAGCATCTTTTCTTCGACAGAGTTACGCATAATGTATCTGGTGACAGTCACTGGCTTGTTTTGTCCAATACGATGCACTCTGTCAATCGCCCTATAATTCAAATATGCGGTAGTGTTATACATTAGCAGCCTTGGTAAAATCACAGTAATTAAATAGTCAATTTTTGTATAATGGTAGCTTACTGGAATTCGACACTCTCGTTCCACCATGGATCCAACATAAAAACACAGGATGCGACCGTCAAGTTAAGGCCTACACCAGTGGATCTCAATGTCGCCAACAAAACTGTCACAGTATCATCTGTTTTGAATGTATGCAAAACTTTCTCACTATGCAGTGACAACCCACAAAATAGTTGGCATTCTATACAAGCAATAGAACATCTGCAGATTCAATTTTAAATACCATACCGATTTTTTTGCGATAATGAACCATCCATACGCACAAAATTGATGCCATGCTCCCTCATTGAAATTTCAACCAAATCTAGCATACGTGTCCATTGGCTAAATACCACAGATTTGATCTTTGGATCGCTTTTCTGGAGAGTAAGCAGATCATTTGTCAGCGTATTCAGCTTTTTTGAAGGTATGGATTTGATGGACTGAAGTCGTATTGTACTACCAGCGTGTAATGGTGCATCTTTGGACGCAAATAGCCTAGGCGATGTTGCATTTGCATTTTGTTGTGTTTCCAAGATTTTCATGAGTTCTGATTCTGCACATGATTGTCGACACATTGGACTATTATTCAAATGCAGACAAATATGGTATGCGTTTCAAATTGTTGAGATGGTCTACTTGCTAGTCAAAATGCATTGCAATTCGACTTACCATACAACTCCCTCTTCGCCTTTTGCTGATCGCTTCTCGATCATGTCTTCAACACAAGGCAGACATATGACATGCAAACAAGGTAAAACAACACTGCCTATATTCGTTTCAAAACAAATCTATGATCGTCGCCCAAGTTAGCTTTCATCTATCAACACCTAGCCATAAACAATATACCCTTTACTTGGACCTACAGGACATTCTTGACTCGATGAATCAGCAATATCATCCGCTAGTTTTGAAAAAAACTCGGCAGAGTTGTTTCCTCGAGTATACTTTTTGATCATTTCTTCAAGCGGAATACTCATGGAAGCAGTGTCTGCTTCGGTACACAGGCTTTTAGATTTGATAAGCAATGTATGATCGCACATTTGTCTCATGCGAGATAGCAGCTGAAAGACATGCATGTAATCTGCCTTGCCAATGATTTTAAGCTCCATAAGTTTATGTCTTGAATGCTACTCAAAGTATTGAAATTAGAATAATGACAAGCATTCATATCAATTCATGCCATCAAAGTGATCTCATTTATCAGGATAACACAAAACGTAGTGGCTTACTTTGAGAAGACTGTCGTAGATTTCTAAACAAAAATAAATATATGTAAAAGATCAGTGATAGTATTATTATGATTCAAGAGCAATTTCATTATACCTTGTTCATCCGGAGAAAAGTTTAAATATTTAATATCAATGGTTTTAGGTGGTAAACTAATAACTAAATTGCCATCTTGATTGCGCATATCCTTCATGCGTCTGTTTTAGCCGCGTTTAAATATAAAACAGAGGTAACCATCTATATGAGTTACAAAGAAAAGTGGTTTAAATCATGCAGTATGTCCAAAACACTTGCCTAATAATTAAAGGTTCAAGAATTGTTTGAACGATTTCCAACGCAGATCTGTCACGCTTTTCAAACGGAATGGTGACAAACGAATGCCAAAAGCAGAATTGGCACCATGGCTCGACACGCAAAAAATGGATAAGAGAGTATATATCGCTATTCAAACAAACTGTCAATTGGAAATACTGTCAAGTTTAAAACCCAATTCAACTCACTCTAGTTTGTTGACAATTGGAGTGCCAGTTATTGCCCATCTGTTTGTGGCAGAAAGAGCACAAACCATTTTAGAAGCCGCTGTAGATTTTTCTTTTATATAATGTGCTTCGTCTATTTGATAAAAACCGTGTCATATTAGTAGAGTTTAAAATCCATACTTTCAAACTACTTGCATATTGGTATTTACCCAAAACAACACGATGCCATTTGATTGCATACATGGGCGAGTTTTTCAAAAAATTCGAATAATCACTTTTAAGAGTTCCGTAGGTGGTAATAATGATGTCTGGCGAGGTTTTCTTTGCAAACATGCGTGTATCAACTCGCTCGCGTTCATTACCATAGTATACACCAACTCTAATAACGCCGGGCTCAAATGCTCGCTTTATTTCGTCTCTCCATTGTGCAAGGAGATTTACTGGACAGACCACCAAGCTGTAAATCATCGCATATGTTAGTCAATACACCACACATACAACAATTCAAGACAGTTGACTTGCGTGGCGTGGGAAAGCGGTTGTCCCATTGAAAACCTTTCGCTCTTGGTCAAATCCAGTCTGCTTGAGTGAATAAGAGCAAGCATCTCAATTGTCTTGCCCAGTCCCATCTCGTCTACAAAATAAACTATTAGCATGCAATGACTAATTCAACAGAAATTGTATGTGCATGTTTTAAATCTTATAAATCAGTTGTATACCAGCTAAAATTCCACCAGTGCAATGCGTTTCTTTAGGAGTTTCAAGAGATAGTTCTCCTGAAAACCGATTATAGTAAAATGGAAATCCAGTTTTTGTTGAAAGCTAAGCCAAAACACAAGGCAGTCATTAAATTACCAAGAGTTTTGTAGTTGAATTACACATGATCAAATATAGATACCTCTGTCCACAACGGAGAAATACCCATAGAATCCATGTCGTCTCTGTTTTCTTTGGCATACATGAATGCTAATGCAGTAGTTTGATAATCATGCAAATCAAGAGTCATTCCAGAACTAGGTTGCATCTGTCCAACAGCTTTTCCAAGAAGATTGGCGCGTTTATAAATCATGGCCAAATCACTACCACTCACTTCGGTGCTTTCGGCTGCCGGAAATGAATCTGATTCACTCGATTGAATTGAGTTTGACTCGTCTTGAGTAGAATTCCACACGGCAATGTCTATGCGCTTAAACATGAATGCTAAAGCCAGTTTACGCGAACGGACACGAGCTACAGCTTCAACCGTATCGCTTTCTACAGTATTCATCTGATGAGCAGTTGTAGCGGTGAATGCCTCTTGAATAAAATAGACTTTGAGTGTCAAGATAATTTCATCCAAAATATGAATGCGATCATTGACCAACAAGACAGTTCCCTCAAACTTGCACTGGTTCAGGATTGGAAAGTATCAAGATATAGTATTAGAATTTGTTTTTGTTTTGCTTTTCAAGCAATTACTGGACAGCCCAGTCATGCACTCATCACGCACAGCTTACACTCACCAGTTTATGATCCAAAAGTGTTTTAACCATAGAGGCACAATCGGTAGACAGTTTTCCAATCTCCAGGCCATCCAACCGATACAGCCTAACAATTGTATTTTCTTTTCCAGATCTGGCAGCATTAGAATGCAGAGGGTGTTTTTTGTACAAGTTTTTTGACTTTGTTGCTGATGAAAGCGGATTGAGCAAAGTAATGCGATCACCTGCTTTGATAATACCGGTTCCTTTACACATGGAAACGGCAATGGCGGTCATTTCTCCAATCAGTGCTGGAAATTGAATTTTATCGAGCCTTGATGATGGAGGATTCGTTTGGACATGAGGCATGTCCGAATGCGATTGACTGGTGGACGGCGTAGATATAGAAACATGACTAGCAGGAGAGTCTTGCTTGGAAAAAAACTGATGGAGTTTGTTTTTTTGGGGAGTTTTGAGTGGACTGTTGTGGTCATTAGAAATGGTACCGGACACTTGTTTCAAGAGTGTGTCTGACTTTATTTCATCATACAAGTGTGCATCAGAACCATTGGATTCTGCATGCTTCCGTTTTTTCTCATTAAATATTTCTATAGGCTCTGTAGATGATGCTGCATGAGAATCTTGATTAGGTTGAATGGTGGGTATATCAGTGGACAGCCAGGCAAATTCTTCTGGAGTGAGATTCAGAGCTTCGAGATCATGCATCTGCACTCGAGGCGTACAAGTAGAATCAGATACTGCCAAATCCTGACTGGTTTCTACAGAAGAAACATGGCTATCATCAGTGGTAACAGCATCTATCAATGGTGCTGTCATTCTGGATTTACAGTTGTATTCACGTAAAATGGAATACTTTTCTGCATTTGTCTTGCAGTCATCATCTATTTTGCTTTGAATAATCGAGTGTTGCATATTGGCTTTAACAGACATTCAATCAAGCTAGTTTTAAATTGAGTTTGTTTCCATTGGAATAGTCATGCATTGTACAATCTCCAATTTGAACCCAGATTCATTCATTGCAATCCAGATAATTGGGATTAATATTTCCAAACTTCACTTTGCTGTATCCTAAAATATCTTGGATACGCTCGCGCTCTAATCCAAGAAGCCAGTAGACTAATGGGTTCAGATGGCACACTATATTTCAGTGAATTTGGAGTAAACTGTCATGAGATTGTAGATTCCGACTCTTGCTCAACATTCCGCTTGACATGAATCCGATCCATTCAATTCCAACGTCAAGGCAAGCCAATCAAACAATGATCGAGCACGCTCAGTTTGCAATCACTTGCCGAGTTTTTGAACTGCACTTGCAAAATAATGTTCAATCCATTCATAAGTGTGGTCAGACCTGCTCTGTCTGTGGGTTTATCCTATCGCATATTACAGCACAGACCCATTCAGACTACCATCCGATGTCTTTCTTTTTTGAAACCAGCTCGTCCAGCCCACCTTTCCATCACTCAAGTTTCAAAGATCATTCCTTCCTTTCCAATGCATTCCTTCACCAGCACTCTACCAACTGGACGCTCCATGTCTACCCTTAATCAAGTCATTAAAGGATGTCGTAAAAAAATTCTTAAAAAGTCTCGATCTCCTGCACTTGAGGGATGTCCACAAAAACGAGGTGTTTGTATCAAGGTGTACACTGTCAAACCCAAGAAACCAAATTCTGCTCAGCGTAAAGTGTGTAAAGTGAGACTTACTACTGGAAAAGAAGTGATTGCTTATATTCCTGGTGAGGGCCACAATTTGCAAGAACATTCAGTAGTTTTGATCCAAGGTGGTCGTGTGTCGGATTGTCCTGGTGTGCGATACAAAGTCTGTCGTGGTGCCTTGGATTGTGCTGGCGTTGTTGGCAGAACTTCAAGTCGTTCTAGATATGGCACCAAGGTGAGTCAATGCCGTGTTGCATTCGATCTTTTTACTGTTGTTATTTTTTGCTTACCTACATTGCAATCGTTTTTTAATAGCGACCTGCCAAGGACGTTAAAAAATAAACAGATTTCGTACTACAGTGCAATGTATACTCCATTTATGATCGTGTTGATCAAACTGGGTTTATTTCAAGTCACATAGATATATTGATCCCGTTCAGACCGATCCAAAAACTGTTTTTCAATCAATTGCTCGATGCATCGTTTGATTAAAATGGTCGAGGGTGTAAATCTTGATTTCGACTGCTCCATAACTTCTTGAATCAACCCAGAATGAGAGAGTTTTGTACGTGCTTTCATAATCCGTACAATTGTGGCCTGGAGAAAATGTCTGCGGTCTTCATCAACTGCCTTGCGGGTAGTATCCAACTCATGCCTTTGTTCTGTGGGTGTTGGTCCAGACGTCACTTTGATTCTAAGTCGTTTGCTAATAAGTGCAAGTTTGTCGAGAGAATATGCATATCAGACAGATAACAGACAAAAATGATTTACAATAGTGTTAGTTTCTAAAAGACAGTATCATGATTGGAAACGATGAGATTGAAAACATGCTTGTACCTGGTGAACATTGTATTGAGAGTAACTACCGTATCTACGCTTAATGAATCGATCTTGTCGTTGTCAACCAGCAATAGTTTCATGTCCGCAAACACTTTAATAGTTTTAAAAATCTCTGCCAGCTTAATCTTTGTAAGCTGCTCGCATTCTCCTACTGTTAATGACAGCGAGTCATTAAACAGCAGTAGCACAGCCAAATAATGCATCGATATGTTAAGTTCGTATCGTTTATCTGTGAAATTCAGCTTTACATCCGCTAGACCATATAGAACATGCAAGTATTAAAGATCTGGCAGTGTTTAGTATTTCATGGTGAAAACAAAGCAATACCTTTTGACAAGTGGTGAAGCCATGAAAGCTTTCTGCCGCTAAAAATGCTATTATAGAATGAAAGAAACTCTATGGTGGGATTTTCAAACTAAGATAAATCAATCGAGGGTTAACTCTCAGATACTGTCATTTAAAAACCAAACATTGCATCACCTCAACAGGCAACTGGAAATCTGGGAACACGCCAGCAGTCAATGGCCAGGATCCAGCTGTTAATACAAAAATCTGAAAATCAACTATAAAAACATACATTTGTTAGAAATGCGCCAAACATCCATACCCATTTGGCATTGAAGCCGAGTTTATGTTCAACCTAAACACTTGAAACTTACTACCCAATTTTCGCGACTTGGCATCCAAGTCCGATTTAAACCTATCATTGATATCTTCACTTAATGATATATCTGTAAACATTCGCTGAAGCTTGCAAGTATATTCGTAGCCACATGCATCCTATTATTTTAAAAAGCAAGGTAAGTATCAATCCAAGCATAGTGACAATCCAATATAATTTACTTTGAGCCGTAAAATCATGGCCCTTTCTGAATCGCTAGATACTGAGGCTGAATTAATCAATCGTTTTGCAAGGGCACGAGAGTAAAACTTTTGAAATATATCTTTATCATCAACGTATTTAAATAAAGATATCTACACATTGCACTAGGTCAGCATTAAAATAGCAATGGTGACGCTATTCAAAAATAAAAGCAAACCATTTACTTGCCATTTTCCCTAGTCTTTCATCAACATCAACATCTCCCAACGTAGATTTCGGCGTTTTTTTCAAAAAAAGATCGCAATACCGGGCAAATGCTTCAAGTGCCAAATTGTCCTTTCCAAACTCACGGGTGTTGACAATGTCTCTAAATGCCTATATAATGTAAATAAATGGCGTTAGATTACATTTTTGAACTAGTTTTTAGCTTGACTCAATCTGTATACCTTGTCTATTTCTGCAATAAACACCGAATCACCTTTAAAAACATCCACAGCAAGCTTCATCAGTCGCGAATGTGTTTCAATCATAGTATCTACATATTTTCTAGGGTCCTAAAAACAAAAAGTATGACGGTAAGCTAAAAATGAATCCATCAATTCAAGAGTTGGATTTATACACTACTTTGAGAATAGATGCTGCAAATGGTGACATGGCGTCTTTTCCCTGTTTTGTCACAAACTTTTCGAATTCCTTAATGATCCTGTTGATGCCACCCTCGACTTTGCTTAGCAGTATATATGCTCGTGTGCAATCTAAATATTCAAAACAATAAATATCCACAATATAATGCAAAATAAAAAGGTTATGGGCTAGAGATTTTTGGATCAATAAACTCGGATATACCTTCAAATCGTCCCTCAATGATCATATTTTCAAAATCGCTATGTATTTTTGACTGATGTGCACTGACATACTCCGAGACACACGCAAATGACGCCTACATACATTGATAGTCAGCACATACTGTTGCATCATTGATTTAAATGCCAACCATTATACACACTCTGGGCAATGATGAGTAATGGCAATATCGCTTTGATCTCTCGGCTTCTTCATCAAGTCTATATATAGCCTAGTTCAATTCAAATGTGTTTACGTATTAGCTTTAGATTATTCGCTCAATCAGGCAAATGCACACTGAAGAGTCATTTTCAACTTACCTTGATCATAAAGTCAGAAATGGACAAGGAAGACATGGCAGCAGTAGACTCATTTTTGTAATATGACGTGATACTGTCGATGTAGGGAATTTCAAACTCCTCTGTATACAGCTGCAGATGCATATCAGACTGAGTATTAACCAAAACTGGCGACAGTCGAATGTATGAGTTTAAGGCTATAATAAAAATCGATTTGATACTGGCAAGGCTAACGAATTGAATCTATCACCTACTGAAGGAGTTGACGGCTGATCGGATGGCATTTGAAGGGGGTGCTTCGCCATCACGTTCGCGTCGAAGCATGGTCAACATCTGTTCCACCAAGGCATTTGCGTGGTTGCGCTTGATAGATGACAGGATATTTTGTTTCCATATCAGATAGGCATGCTATGGAGTATAGATTCAATTGCAAAGTATATAAACAACGTTTCTGTCGAGATTGATGTTGGAAAACCAAACAAAAGCAAGATGATGGTTATTTTATATTGCCAAGCCAACTCCACCTACTCCTTGAACAGTGAGGTTAAATATCTTTTGAGCTTGAACTGATGTGTGTGATGCAGCACGCTTCTGCGAATGGCGGTTCAAGAAATCGCAGACACGATCGGCATAATAGGATGCAGTGTAGTATTGCTCCCATTCTGCCGAGTATGCCGACACAATATCCTCATGCTCTAAAATCAACTAGCAGTAAAATTCAATATATAGAATTTATGGATTCAAAGCAGCGAGATAAGTTGAGTCATTTTGATAGTCTTGTCGCCACATAATGGCTTGTCGATTCAGTTGTTGCAGCCATGGCAGCCTACCTGTTTCAACCTCACAGTATGACCAAGTAGATACTGAACAATTCCTTGAAGCAACTCTTCAACAAATGGTTTGGGTCGTGCAGTGCATATGTCATATACAATCTGATACATATCCATGCCTTGTACATGATTATTCGACAACAAGAACATTTCCTGTAACCCTGCTTGAAAGGAAGCAAATGCTGTTGGAAAATCAATGACCTATATATGGAGTTAGGTACTTGTATATATTTCCTATGCATCAACTTTTGAGCAGAACTAGTTTTAAAAGTCATGACTGAAAACAATGAGGTTTGGTTACAAGTATCAAGTCCTTTTGAATACAACACATGCCTTGGGTCTGAGTGACATGTGTAGAAATAAACTCGAATATATAAACCTGATAGATTTAGTGGAAGTGAATTCGCATTTGAAATGGCAAACTGACTTTTACAGTCGCATTCACGTAAAATGAAACATTTGATTTCGCTTTGAAATCTGCAACAGTTGAACTCGACATTCTTGTTACAAACTGATTTTTAATACAGATCATCATGTGATGTTCACAATCAAACTATAGTTTTGGATTGATTGTCTATTCGACTTGATCACTTGGAACAAGTGTCGATATTCATCAGCTCGATATATTCCAGATCTGACCTGACACTTGGTAATCCATGCATTTAAGCTTTCACTCTTGTCAGTTCGCATTTACAATATTTGTAATAATCACCTCGTACAACTGTATGACTTGACTGTACTTGCAATCAATTCACAGGCCATCAAAAGTCGATAGTACAGACTGGTATTCAACCATTGTGTGTTGCTTGATAGCGATCAACTCCAAACATATTGTGTGTTGTGAAAAACTCAAAAAACATCAACGAGTATGTTATGCGTTGCAGAGGTTTATATCAAATCGACATGTTGATGCTATCATGTCAAAGTTTTGATTAAGCGAGTACAAGAATATTTCAATATCTGGAATGTGCTCAACTAACTTTGCATTGATACACGCTATAGAAAACTAACAATACTGTCACCATCAAGATGGGTCAGAACAAAACTTGAGTTTGTTGTAGATTGAATGAGTGATATTGATGCACTGTATGGAATTTTACAGTCAATCGTTGGTCCAATTCAAAACATTAAATGAAACTAAGAATTATAATGATATGCTATTGCATATAGCATTGTTCATTTGATCAAGCAATTGTCAAGATAATATGGAGTGTCAACTGGTATCAAAAAGCACATGATTGTGACTAGATCATGGATTTTTGACCTTCAAAAAAGCTTTTGGTTTTGCCACATGTAGCGTTAGAACAAGAAGGACATCTTAATAATAGCTGAGTGGATATGGATGTGTGGCTTTTTAGATGAGTATTGACGAGATCAGCAAGTGCCTCGATAAATATTGCATTGTCATTTAGTGATTCTACACGACGGAAATCAATTCCCTTCTATAAACAGTACAAGCCAATAAATATGTTAGTCGAATGTAAAAGGCTAATTTAGTACACGACTTTGTAGTGTCACCTCTTTAGCGAGATGTCCATATTCAATGTCTAATTCAAACAGTGTTTCGACGTGATCCGAGACGAATGCAATTGGGATTGCCAGCAAATGTTTGACACCTTGTTTCGCATAGCCCTCGATAGCTTGGTCAGTTTTTGGACCAAGCCATTGAGAAGGACCAACTTGAGATTGCCATACCAACCGATATGGATTGGTGTTGCCAAGTCGATTCATGACTTGATGAACCGTGGCAGCAACTTCAGCAGGATAAGGATCCCCACGATTTACTACCGACATGGGAAGTGAGTGTGCCGAAAAGAGAAGAACGACATTTTTACGATCTGCTTCTGAATAGCCTGCAAGTGACTTTTCGATATTGCGTGCAAATGCCTAGAATAAAAAAGCAATCCATTAAATCTCAAATAATACGAATCAAGCTCTGAATAACATGCAATGCATTACATCAATAAGTTTGGCATGGGTTGGATAGCGATCAATAACACTCCACTTGATTTCGTTTTTGGGATCGATCGTTTGAAGAGAGCGCCATAGCTGATTGAGACTGCTTCCAGTAGTAGAGCAAGAATATTGGGGATAAAGAGTCAGAGCAACGGCTCTTTTGACACCAGCCTTCTTCATTTCTTCCAGGGCTTCTTCAGTAAGCGGTGAGGCATACCTGAATGCGACGAAGCTCTTGTGGGGAGCTAATCATGACACAATCCAAGAGTTAGTTTAAACCAATCTAGAACATGGTTGTATGAGTAGCTTAATTAGCTACCAGTTTCCGGGGAGAGAGTGTCCATTAGTTTTTCTACAAGCTGGCCTTGACGCTCACTCCACATTCTGATGGGAGAACCACCGCCAATCTGGGCATACTAGAATATCGCAAGGAAATACGATGCTAATTAGATTGATGAACAAGACAGTCCATTGACATACACGTACTTGATCTTTGATTTTCGGAGTACGACGCTTTGAAATAAAGGGAGCCAGCTGGGATTGAAATGGCAGAGGAATCAGATCCTTGTCAGAGAATAGTCTGAACAGAAAGGGTTCAACTTCTTGTAGAGTATGAGGTCCTCCCATGTTCATCAGTAACAAAGCAGTGGGCGGTTTCTTTACTGCAGTGGTGGATAAAGAAGCGATTGGTCGATAATGTGTCAAATTCATGACAGCACATGAACGCATGGCATGAATAGCATGAATGGCAGCAATCCGACTCATTGTTGGTGTAAGAGTCGATGATTGTCATGAACTGTGAATACTCGGTCTACACGTGATTGTTGTCTGTTGCAAACCAACGAGTCGATCTGGCATTTCATGCCATCGATGATGATGAAGTCAGTCGCTACTTTGGGCTGTTTACTCGCCTTTCTCGCTCATACTGTGTCTGCTGGTCTTTATACTGCCAAGGACAATGTCATTTCTGTCAATTCCAACAACTTCAATTCGGTTGTCATGGACACTGAGGTATTCCTTCTTCCCAACCAATAGTTTCATACATCATCACTTATTTTATATATTATGTCATGGTCTTTAATAGCATCCAGTCGCTGTTGAATTCTATGCTCCTTGGTAAGTTGATATTCATGTTTCAATCCACATTTCAAAACTAGATCTAAATGTCATCTAGGTAGACTGAACTTTTGTTATACTTGACAGGTGTGGACACTGCAAGCAACTGGTATATAGCTGGTTTGATTTGAATTCAACCTCATTTGATGCTCATGCAGTAATACTTTTGTTTATTGGAAAACTAGGCTCCCGAGTATGTCAAGGCTGCTACTAGTCTGCAAGGTCTAGCTAAGCTTGTTGCTGTTGATTGTGACGAGCAAAGCAATCAGGCTCTTTGTGGTCGATTCGGTGTCAAAGGTAGACTATCCATGATTCATGTTGTAATGGTATTATTTTTGACTCGATATTTGTATTCGTGTAGGATTTCCTACCATCAAGGTTTTTTCTGGCGGCATCAAGGGAATGCCAGAAGGTATGCCATTGATTCATGTCCATCTATTATCCTTTTAGGTAAAACTGTATCGAGAAATATTAAATTTATATGACTGGAGTTAGATTACAATGGTGAACGAAAATCCAAGGCTATAGTAGATTATCTTATTTCAAAAATCACCCACAAGTACGTCAAACAGATTGGAATCATTGGCAAAAAAACTGTTTCTCTTGAAGATTTTGTCAAGGTACTTGGATCTATTTACAGTTTGGTGTTTCTATCTTGCATCTGCCTGTTTCATTAATAATACCGGGTTTCATTTTGAAATAGGAAAATGATATGCCTCGCATGGTCTTTGTTAATAAAAAAGATACTACCTCGCCACTGCTCAAGGCACTTTCTGTTGAATACAAGGACCGACTAACCGTTGGTGAAGTCAAGGGTGCTTATACCAAATTTGTTGAAAAGATTACCACCAAAATTCCTGGTGTATTTATCTGGCCCAAAGACACTGGTATTACCGATACTCCTGTCGAGTACGAAGGTAAATATTCGATTGTATGTGTTTTTTGAATGATTGAATCTGGTTCGACTTGGATAGTATTCAATTAAAATGCTCATTTTTACATGGCTTGCATATAGGCGAACTGAAGCAAAAACCACTCAAGGAGTTTTTGGAAAAATATGCACTTCCGCCTACCAAGTCCAAAAAACCAACCAAAGAGGAAAAAAAGCCTAAATTGGAAGAAAAGAAAAAGGATGATGCTTTCAAGAAACCACGTAAGTGTTTGAGCCTGAAAGCTGTTGTTTTTGCTCGAACCATTGCCTTTTAAATTGATTATAATGTCTTGACTGTATCAATAGTCGACCTTAATATTCCGGAACTCAAATCTCAAACCGATCTTGAAGAACTTTGTCTTGATCAAAGCGGTGTTTGTGTGATCTCTTTTATTGCCAATGACAAAGAATATCCAGAATTTGTTGCTGAGCACTTGACCCACCTTAACATCATTCAGAATGTAAAGCAAACCATGCACAAGAAACCCCACAATCCGTTTACGTTTGTTCAGGTCAACCCACTTCAGCACGGACTTCAGCTTGTCAAAGATTTCCAAGCCAGTGACATGTACCCATCTATACTAGCAGTCAATTTCAAGCGAAAGGCGTATGGACTTTTGAGAGCTGCATTTGAGGAGGAAAGCATTACCAAATTTTTGACTGATTTGATTAGCGGCAAAGGTAGTATTTCCAAATTTGATCTTGTGCCTACTTTGGACAAGGGCGACAAAGCCAAGGCTGATGCCCCAGTTCGTGATGGAGAGCTTTAACAGCTTGACTCGTTAAAATAAAATCAATCTGTTTTTTTTAATCTCTGATATTTGTGATACTCGGTCGCTTAAGCCATGTAAATGTCACCATCCCATCAACATTGCAATACATAGTTAATCAGATGAGGTTCAATAGATATTTAATATATAGCTATTAGCGGCCAAAATAAATCCTTCACAAATAAATGACACTGAATTAGAAAAACATGAGCATGATGCTATTGATCCACTAGACGTATTTAGAAAAGTGGTATATTGTATCAGGGTGCCAATATTTCTTTTGAAAACTGTCTAGGACCAAGCGGCTGAGTATCAATCCGACTCAGTTGTAGCGTCAATTGCGGCGCACCTTGATCATGATCTCGTATAATTAATTCATCCTTTAGCTCAGGCTGAATAATAACAACGTTTTTGGGGAAAGTGGGAGTTCTAGGGTTGCTGTTGGGTAAAGGTGTAAAGAGCACGTCTAAAGGCCTTGGAGGCTGTTCACAAGACATTGCTGCAATAGCTTGGTTTTGTTCCAAAAGATCCTGTATCTCGTCCATAGTGGGAGGAACTCTAGGCAACTGCGTATTCTTTTGCATTTGCATGATAAACACCAAATACGACACTGTATATACAATTGCTATAAGTGTCCATCCAATCGCTATAGGAGTAAATACGCCCGTTCCTGTGCGGTACAAGAGTTCACGCTGTGCGCTGTGGGTAAAGTAAACCACAACAATGGCCATCCACATTACGCACATGAAGGAGATTGTGCGAATGACATTCACAGATCTAGTATAGGAAGATCCAATTAGAACACTATAAGCTACCATGCCAGACATGATAAAAATAGCTAAAACGCCACGAGCTGTAGTCGTTTCGCTAGGTATCAACACATAGATCAAGAGAATAATGACGGCTGCGTTTTTAAACAGCAATTCAGATCGGGAAGTGTAATGGATCATGCCGTCAACTGGGACTGGTTCCTGGGCTGTTCGACAAATGGTGAGCAAAAAGTATCCCATCATAAATCCAGCTAGCGAATACCAGGTCTGTAAAGATGGATTTCCATCGTGGATAGGAAGACATTGTCGCTGGCGTGCTTCAACTGTCAATGCATAGTTTGCCAATGAATCTGCTGGCCAAAGCGGTGTGCTGTTATCAGACAAGCATCCAAGAGGATCAATCAAGGACGTCAAAATAATCAAATAAAGCAAATTAATCAATGGCAGAGGAATGACGACCCAAGCACCAGATACAATTTGACGAATACGACGTAGTACAAATGGTGGCATTCTACTTTCAAACGATTCTATGCGCAGTAGATGGTACAGTCCAGTAAATATAATCGTAACAATAAGTCCTACCAGCAGCATCCACCATGATATGGCAAATTGCACAGTAGTCAAGAACCGAGTATTGATAGACGGTAGTCCCATAGAAAGTGTCGAGGCAATCTGGCGCAGTGATTTTACAAACATGGCCGAACTGGAGGATTGAGCCACCAGCATACTCTGTTGAAATGCAATGTTCCTTAGCAAATCTCGCAGTGGAAATGATGCCAATTGGATAAACTCGGTGCCCAAAACGAGAATTTCAACACAGTTTGCAAACGTGAAATCAATGTGTTTGAACTGTGGTGAAATATGCTTGATTCGTCTGCGATATCGAAATGTCTTGTCAAACAGATAGTAGGTATCTGATACAGAACTCTGTGTAGGCACATTGTTATAACTTGTTTCGGCCGAAGTAATTTGAATTTCCGAAGTATTGCTATCATGAGTAGGTGTGTTTGGAGTTGTATTGATTGGTCGTGGACCTTTCATCACACGGACATTGGGACGAATGCTTTCCATTGATGGAGGATTAGAATTGGATCGATCTCGTGGAGTACTCATGGAGTCGACTGCTGAAGCAGGAGCATTTTGAGGGGTTAAGTATGCAATCTCGGCATCTCGACAAAAAGCAGGAGAAGCGATTGCAGATGTAGACATATTGCCTTGTGCATGTTGGGCAGCTTGAATCTTTTTTCTATTGTCCGTGCGTTCTAAAGTATAATGCAAAAACGATTAAATTGGAAACCAGTTTACATACACATCAATCCATTACAAGAACCATTACCCTTGTAGTATGAGAGAATGCGATCGATAAGAAATCCATTTACAGCAACAAAGAATAGAATAAGCCCGACTTGTGTTTGAGGGGCTTTAATAACTGGCACTGGAATTCCGCCCGAAGAATCGTAATTTCCAATGGCGTTTTGGATAATAATGATGGATACAAGCCACAATAGTATAAACATATGAGGGACGATTTTAGATGGAATCCTTCGAATCTCACGTGGATCAAAGGACAGGTCGATGCAGCCTTTAAGAATCTCATGAAAGTTTTGTACGAATCTCTCTGCATTCAGTTTATGATCGAGTGTATTCTAAATAGTAGTTAAAGTGAATATGTAAGCATAATCTCCGCTCATTCAAAGAAAAATCAAGTCGAACAAGACGACAGGATTTCAACGATACAATGGATTCCAATCCAATTGAGCAAGGACATGACGATGGGTACCTTTTGAAGTTTTTCCTTTGTTGTCCAGCGAGCCCATACTATTGGACCCAGAAGCTCTCGAGCAATGTATAGCACCACAATAGTGACGAAGATGGACACTGTGATGACAACAGTGCGTCTGTCAGTCTCAAAGTCACCCCCACTGACAATGGAGTCGTACACAATGTAGATTGGTGGAGTGTTTCCATCCATTGAAGTCTAGTTGTCGATAAGACTATTGCAGCTGCACAGAACAAATGGGTTGTACAAGAACAGTAAAACAATTGGATTTCAAAGCCGGATTATAAGGGTGGATGCAGTCGGCTGCAGTCGGGATTCCTGCTGCTGGGATCCTTGCTTATCGCTGCAATTTAATTCCTATTTATCAACTCTGTTATTTGGCTTCTCTCTTTATTTGGCTTGTATTGGAATCTACTAAATATTTATTATTTCAATGCAATCGAATAACTTGCAAGTTGTGTAGTGAATTCTTGTAATTAACTTGTAATTTCTGAATGTCCGCACTTGACTTTATATTCAGCTTTTTTTTGGTCTGCAATGGCCGACTTGTCTGCCAAGTCTTTTGCTGTCATGTCTGCAAACCCTCAAACAGACCCATTTTTACAACAGTTTGAAGATATCATTCAGGTAAACTTTATCAGCATTGGTCATTGCAATAAATCTACATGTTACCATCTTAATGGTCTCTACAATTCAACATCCCTGTCAATGATTCTGGTGCATTGATAACTCAAGCCTTGGCTTGAGTTGTGCTCCAAGATCCAAATATTTGCGCAACGTCATATTACATTTCAGAGGTATCAAAGATGCATCGCTTTGCATCTTGGTCGGAACCAGCTCTTGTCTGATGCTGTGTCGGCTTAGTTCTAATACTGGCGCTTATGTAATTTATAAAGAATATCCAGATTTGATAGCATTGATAGTGAATCGGACTCTAGTCATCCTGTTACTGATATTTAATATTAATAGACTATTCAGCGAGATATCAATGTGCTGGGTGAACCAACTTCAGACAGATCTGCTAAACGCAGAGCACTCGAACATATTCAGTCCGAAACTCTGTTGAAAAAACCAGCTTTAAATCCTCAAGTTCTTTTCAAAGTATTCTCATCCATTACACGGTCTACTCTTCGTGCAGTCTCCGATCCTGTTGAAAAATGTCGTGAACTGAGCATTACAATTATATCCGGGTATGTTGGCTATCAAATGGTGCTTTGTAGATGCTAGACTACCGTGGTTTAACACTTGAACTCTATTGCCAGATTTGTAAAGAACGTAGATGATGTGATACCATTCCTACCGTATATTATTCCTACCTTTACTAGCAGATTGGCTCAACCTGAAATCGTAGAGCCTGCAGAAGAACTTCGTCTGTTGATGACTCAGGCATTGCTTGATATTGTCAAAAAATCCAGACATGGCTTTGCTCCCTTTGTTGAAGATACAATCAAAATATTGGCTCGGACGCTCATGGATACTTACCCAGAGGTCAAAAAGGTAGATTTATTGTCAAACTTGCAACGGTAGCTTGAGCAAAATACACCAGATTCAAATCTTACTATTGATACACCACGTCTGAATCTTTAGGAATCGTGCAGGTTGGTTATCGAGTTGTGCAAGTTTAATGTTAAACCCGTTGCATTTCATGGAGATGCACTAGCCAAGGCAGTATTGCCTGTGCTTCATCACCGTCACTCAAGCGTTCGGATTATTGCTATTGAAGCAATTGGTGCAGCAATTCTAGTTGATGCAAAAGGACTGGACGACTGCCTCGATACGTTGCGCTCAATGAGTATGGACAAGGCACCACTTGTACGAGAAACCCTCTACACTATAGCTCATAAATGGATGCTGGAGTTGATTGACCGCTACACCTATGGGTACAAGATTCTCCCCTTGTTGCTTTGTGGAATGACGGATGACATGCCAAAACTACGTGCCATGTCTGTCAAGTTTATGGATGAAATTGGCGCATTATATGAAACGGAATGGGAGTCGCGTATCAAAGATGAAATGGACTACACTGATGGGTGGAGTCATCTTCCTAGTAAGTATTTGGCGTGTAGTTTTTTAAGCTGTTGCAAACTATATGTTCTTTAGTTCATTGGTTGACGCTTGCATTTCAATTTCCAGATCGCCCACGTGTTGGATCTCGACACCTTGCTCGAGACAACATGCAGAAAGTTGTAGCCAAAATTGTTGAGGGTATGGGCAACTGGACTGTCGAGGTTCGTATAAAATCAGCTCAGATGCTTGGGGCATATCTAACCCTGACTGAAGATCAGATCACTGGATATGTTGGTGTCATATTGCCAATACTATACAAAATTCTTTCTGGAGATGATCCATTAGTTATGGAAGAGGTTGGTTTTTATTTTTTACTTGAAGTGTATAGCAATATACTTTTTATCACCCACTTACGTAAATTTTGAAACACTAGGCGGCTCGTGTTGCAAGTATCCTTGGCAATTATGTCAATGCTGATGCAACGCTCTCACTTTTGTTGCCACAACTTGCCATGGGAGGAGGTAGTACCACGAGTTTTCGACTCGGGTGTTCCCGCACTCTGCATGGCCTTATTCATGGGGCTTCGACTACTATTTCAGCCCATGCTTCTCGCATTGTAGATGCTTTGGCAGACAAAGATCTTGTTTTAAACGAAAATATGCTGATCCTTTACGAGATCAGTCGGTGTGTGTGCGAGCTGCTTTTAAAGGTTACTACCATAGATCAAGACGTGTCATTTAAAGTTTTGATGATTTTGGCTCAATTGGAAAGTGTTGTTGGGGATGAAAATATGCCTGGGTATACCAATATGCAAAAAAAGGTATATCGTTAATTTTAAGTTGCATGGGTTTGTCTATAGAGCTATTTCAAGCAGTGTTTGACCCATTACTCCCTTTTATCTACTGCAAACCAGACAAACGAATCTCTTGTTAGACTTTCTAGCCTATGCCAAGTCAGCAACGTGGAGAGTTTGTATGGACTCTTTTTTGAAAATGCAATTGATACGCTTACAGCAACGCATACTTCTTGGACAAAGCACTCGGCCGAGCTTCGAGTCTTGGAGACTGTTGTTTTACGTGTTGGAGTGGCCATTGAACCGCATCTAAGCAAAATTCTTCCACTTGTCTGCTACTGCGCTTCAAAAGAAAGGGATTATGAAGTTCGTAAAAGGTGTGCTATAACTTTGTCTCGAGTGGATTGGCTTAATTTTATATTTTTTGGTAGCATTAATTTATTAATGGGCTTTTACTTTTATCCATTTCTGGTGGTCAAATCTCAATAGCGTGCTGCTACTCATGATCAAGCTTGTTCAAGTTTTGAAAGCATCACCTAGTTCGGGTCGAGCACTATCTAATGACTCGGAGACCTTGCTTAGAGGTATTATTATTCCTAATAGTATCTGGCATACCGGCCGAAATAGTGCACTATTGCGGATGCATGCCATGAGTCTTTTACTTATCATATTAGAACCTAGGCTGAATTCTGTTCAAGCCGATGAGCAAGAATGTGTTGGGTTTTTAAACGTATCTTTGTTAAATACAACATTGGAGCGTGACTTGCTGCCCATCTTGATCAGCAATATTGAGGACGATGAAATCGCAACACGTATAACTAGTTTAAAAGTATTATCAACTCTCCTTGACTCGGATATTGACTGGAATGGTAATTATTTGTCTTGAGAGTTTAGATGTATTTGAGTTATTTGCTGTGAAATATTGCAACTAAGTCTACAGTTTAAAATTACCAGGCTCTACACTTAAAAAGCTTTATCTTGAACTTCTCAAGCGTCTTGACGATGCCCAAGATAAAATTCGTGTTCAATGTGCCAACATATGGCCAGTATACTTTAATTCTGTTTGTCGATGGCTAGCTAAGATGGCATCCTCCTATCCGATCGACACTACAAACAAACTGACTTCTATTCCCGGTGCTGACGGTGGTGTTGTTGAAATCGCATTGGATACCGTTCACTGGCAGACAATGATCAAAGGTCTTACTATTCATCTTGATGACACCAACCCAGATATTCAGGTAAAGTGATTCTGATTCTTTTACTATTACGTGTGGGATTCATCATTGTTGTATAACGCTGTATTTCTGGGGTATATTGTACAATATATAGGATGCTATCTTGAATGCGCTAAAAGCTGGTGCTCAAAAATGCATTCCTAAAGAAATGCTTTCTGAACATCTTCATTCCGTGCGTGCCAAACATCGAACCACTAGATATATTGATGACATTCTTTTGGTATAAAATAAACGTTTGATTAGCAACGCATGAACCACACTAGTTTATTTTACTAATGTATTTGAATTACCCACTCATCCAGTTAGTTGGCTGAAACGACCCATATAGAAATGGGGTTGGCTGGTTATTGTTTACAATCATATTCATCTATATGCAACATTTTATACATTTACCTTGCAGTCATTGCTCGGGAGAGTTCAAGCATCAACACTATGGAGCAGCGCAATCCCAATCCACGCGACATGTGTTAAACAGCCGGTAAACCATACCCAATCAAACCGATGTTTTGTGGAATAAAATGGTGTCTAGAATAATATACGTGTTTAGAAATGTTGCATACTACTGCTGTATTCTAAAGGCTCATTCATTGCTGCCGAGTCTGGATGTTGGTTCAAAATAACTATCCATACCAACACCATTTGTTAATTTGATCGTAACCCTGCACTTCAATCAAACAGTATACTAAAACCACGACCGCTGTTGTAGATACATGCTCCAATTGTGTTTATATCTACAACAAATGTAAAGTGTCGAGTTGTGGGTTTATTCGTGTAATTGAAACCCCATTTACGTCTCCCATAATAGCAAAGTCTCATTCATTTGGTGTACGATCAGGATGAGCAGGCAGCCACATAAACGGGGTTTCGCCAATATTAAGCACAAACTTTGGAATATGCCGCATGTATGGAATACAGATTGCGTCGTGTGTTTCTTCTAATGCGAGTGTAGGTCCTGATGTATTAAATATAGGATATTTACAACACATGCAAATCACGTATTTAATCCCAACTGCATCTTGAACCATAATAATGACAATAAAATAGACTTGCCTATTTGTTTTCCATTCATAGTAAAAAATCCCGAGTTGTGATGTAAACCGCATCCAATAGTATCCCCAACACACCAATCAATATTTGGCATCAAATGAATGATCTCGATTCCGCTTGAAAAAGATTGCGAGGTCTCTTGACTAGCATCCATCATGGATACAAGGTGCTGATCAAGCATATAGTCAAATATACTCTTGTCGTTGTAGTGTAAACCATGGATCTTGAGCCATATAAGTGTCTTGCTGTGACGTTCCAAACATACAATAACCATTTGGTCTTCGCGTAGCAGGATACCAAACTGTGGACATTTGTCTACTCTGGCCATGCTGATATTTACTCTTGCTTCAAAGTAAAATAGTGGTGTTAAAGCAACATTATTCTCGGTAAGCACCGACTCTGCTTCAGTGACCACTCGATCTCTAGATGTAACAGATTCTTGAAGCATTTTACCCAAAATACAGCATATCAGTTAAATAGAATTTTGTTGGTAACCAAAATACATCAATAAAGAAAGCATACCAGTATGCACATGAGGCGGCGGTTCAAATACGTGTCTATTCTCTTTAGGCGAACCTATTGAACGTTCCATTATTAATGTATCTGATGATACACTGGCGATAGGAACTGTATGTTCTGGTAGAAACCTGGTCCAAAACAGTAAACAAATGGTAAACTAGACAGCATCAATCCAACACAAAACCAAAATGCAATCAACAACTTACTTGAGGGGATCAAACTTGCTACCAAATCTAAAGAATCCACTTTGTTCTGAAGTAAGGGAAACAGCAGGACACCACGTCACAGAGTTATCAACATTTGTAAATGCTACACCGAAAGAAACACCATTTAGACAAAATGTAATGGTTTTTTGATCCAGATCAAGAATGGCAGTAATGACATCCCCTGCAGTCCATTCAGCTCCATATTCATTCTAAATATTATTTCAAAAAACAATGCAGATGAACATCCAAAACTTGGCATAACTGATCTATAAATATGCCAGCAAATTGAACAAAACTTACATCATCGATCGAACCATGCCATTTCTTGACACGATGGCCATCAAATGCATACGAATAGACATTATCACCAACACCGGTACCGGCTTCAGGATCAAAAACACACTTGTCACACGCCCACCCAATTTGGATAATGCCAGTCGTTCGAATAACAAACTCATATGCATATCGTCCGTTTCCAGTAACGCCCGTATTCATACGCAAACTTTGAAAAGTCCAGTCGTCATTTCGAATCTATACAATACCATGATCATTGCAAATGTTTCATCAGCATCTTTGAATTAAAGCCACGTGGTAAAGCATATTGGCAGGTTTGGCTTCATTTGAGCCATGCCACATACCTCTTGCGTTTGGATCGCCATCGAAAACCCAGATGTGTAAACAGAGTTGAGAATATCAAATGGTGCCAGCGAATCAGTTTTTAAAAAAGTATCGAAACGGCATAGATTTTCTAATAAAATATTCATGTAAAAGTATAGAGTCTGCGAAGCCTCCGCAATGACAAATTTAAGGACAGTTGGAAATGCCATGTGAATATTAACAATCTCTTGAACTGGCAATCCTCTGCTCACACAAAGTGCAAGCGTGATGAATGCCTGATAGCTAAGAGTCTTGTTTTCAATTTCGAGCAAACCAATGAGAATGGCTACCAACTTTTCCCGGATCATGATACTCATTACATAGTCTAGTGGTATGAACAATATTGTTTTAAAGCATTTTAAAATAAGTGACTAAATAGCACAAGATCATATTTTAAAGCCATCGTGATTGCGCTGCAAAAATCTATTGAATCAAGCATACCATATTTTACTAGAGCGCCAATACATCGCAGCGCACCAGTTACAATTTCAATCTTGGTTGTTTCAATTTCGGCAGTATTGATTTCAATGTCTGATGAATCAAGTTGCTGAAGTAGTTTCAGATGATCATGATCAATGTCTGGGTTCATGGGTGAGAAATTAAGCTCCGCTACACCTTCCCCAGAAATCGTACCCATCAAATTTGCTCCTGAATCCAAGCCCTGTGCAAAAGACTTTTGATAGTCCTGACGAATGGCTATATTGCGCTGTTGACGATCGAGCATGTATGCAGAAGCTTGAGCCAGAAATGGCAAAACGGTTTCGGGAAAAGCGTAGTCTAACAATACAAGAGCAAGAAGATCCAACAACGCACCACAAGTCTCGTCAAAACAATCTGCCATATACTCTTCAAGAGTTTGTTCGTTTTTTAAAAGATCCACCTCGTCAAACACAGATGTATTTAAAAGTACAAATAGACACGATAAAAGATGCTGCACACTCTTGCATGACTGGAGTGTTTTTCTGGAATTTGAGCAGTCAGGACTGATTGAAAATCGAGACACAGTGCCAGCACGGCGTTTTTGAGGAGAACTGGGCACACTTGCTCCACCAAAAGTAACAAGCTCTGGCATGTAACTCATTAAAGGACTATCAAAGTTGGAACTGTGTTCATCATTTGCGCTGCTTTGGTTTGAATTTATCGCAAGATTCGGAAATGCCAACTCCAAACATTCTGCAACCTTGAGTGGCAATCGCTGAACCAGTGGACGCACCGTAAATACTGTAATTTGAAACCGAAGACTCGGGTCTAGTACATTCAGTGTAAACAAAATTATAATACAGTAAATAGGTTAATAAAAATACTCTGTTAAAAAGAAGCATGTTATTCAATTCAACACATTAAAACGTAATACCTTTGACAGCAATGGTAAGGAGTGCCTTTACAGCAACAAGTTGATTGGAAAGAATATAATTGCTGTTGAGATATGAGTCAAGAATCTCAATTCCATTTAATTCTGCAATCTGTTGGCATAATTGATCTAAATGGACATCCAGTTTAGTTGCATTCGTACATAAAAGATACAGCATACATTCATGCAGTTTGACACATACTTGAAAGTGTAGCAGCATTTAGCATCAATGCCGCGCCTGCATACTGGATTTCGGAATCTGTTGAATGGCAAAAGCTAATAATCAAATCAACCATTTTAGAATTTGCCAACCGGGTCTGATTTGACGCTATTCAGCAAAACATACGAGTACAAAATGGTTAGAGTATCTCTTGTCCGTAACCGTGTAAATAACTGGAAAAGGCAAGGCGAGTCTACCATTTCCACAAAGATACACTAGCATATCGGCAATATACAGCAAAACGTGATGAGGAGCAGCTTTGGCTGCATGGGTTAGTGTATCCAGTCCCCCACAATCAAGAAAAGTCTTGTGAATCTCCGCTATTATTTTTAAATAGAATAACAATAAAACAGAATAATCAGTTATGCAAGTTGGTGGATCATAAAATATAGACATTTTGGCAAACTCACACTTGCTTGTCAACTCATGCATGACAGCCTGAAATAGAAAATACAACAATCAAATCATTAGTGCTACACATGGTAGTCATCATTCACATACAATACTTTTACCATTGCCCAATACTGTGCTTCTGAATCTTTGGACTCAAGTGCTGCAATCATTGGAGGAAGAAGCTTTGCACGGACTAAATCCCGCTGAAACTTGACTGGAGCATTTTTAATCAAAACCAACATGCATATCAGCGTTTGTAAAAAATACACAAAATAAGCTTTGACAAGGCCAGTCAACTCAACATACTGTTTTCGGAACAAAGACACTTGATGATTCTAAGAGTAATGCGCGCAATCACAGTCTCGTTATTTGCCAAGCACATTGAAAAGGTCTTGAACAAACCATTTATTGCTAGAATGCGATCTTTAGCAATATCTGAAATTCATAAAATGTGTTTAATTCAATTGCCTGTTGATTGAAAACCACAAAACAGTTTACACTATTACTACCTTTTACAGCAAACTCGTGAAGTAGAAAAACAGCCCAGGAAACAAGTTCAACATCATCTGTGAAAAATATTAGTAGTGATGCCATGCATCTAATTTCTTGGTTCAAACCATACAGCAAAGCTTACCATGTCTAAGACACGCTGCAATGATATGGATCATTTTCATTTCAATAAGTATTGAAAGTTGTGCAGGAGCCTCTATTGATAGTAAAATGTTGGAATCTGATTCAATGCAACATGTAATGGAGTAAATTTGATCACGTTCAAAACCTTTCAATTGAATACAGACCTTCAGCAGGAAGACTTGATACAAGGCGAACAAGTGAGTGCAAGCATAATTTTTGCATACTCGTATTTCCGAAAATCAATCTCGCAACTCGAGCAAGAAGCTCGATAACGTTGTGCTTTACCATAATAAAATGCATATCTTCACTGATGGATATCTGATGAAGAAGCAGCAATGCCCAGTATTTCAAATCGCTATTTAGTTTTGGAGTAGCTGAAAGAAAATGAGTCAAAGGCCCTAACACTCCATACTGTACAATCTTGTGCTTGCTTCGCTCTATTTAAAAATTTGTATGAATATCCCAATTCAAGAAAATTATCCTAAACAAGAATCATATATACTCTTACCATCATTTGTAATAAGCGAAAAAATGGCACTGATGGCGTATCGCCTAGTGTCGTCATTGGTTTGGAAATTAAGAGATCGGACCAATATTTTAAGAGCCTTCATGCGAATAAGAACTGGACGGTTTTCCTCTAAATAATTGAAATCATGTGGCATTAATTGCTACAACTTCCTAGACAATCTGAATACAACAAATCTAAAATAGACTGTGAATCAGAAACCTACCATCTTGTGCAAGTTGCTGTACTGCATGAATGCCCATTCGAAGCATAATGGGATCATGTTGAAGAGTACAAGCTTTAAGAATATAAGGCAAGTGCTCTCCTGATTTCAGTAGTTTAATAGTAAAGACTAAAGTGAGCCAGCACGATCTGCAAGAAACAGCAGATATTTACTCGATACAATGAATTACCTGACATGGCTCTGTCCAATAAGATTTGAGATGCACTATAAATTATATTGAATTCAGCAGCTGTAATACTTGCTGAACTACATTGATTCAACAGGCTATACATTGAGCAATGCAAGCACACCTATCTTGAAGTAACAGATTTCCAGATCGACTCAACTCGGCTAGCGCTTCGAGACTTAGTGCTAATAGTTCAAACAAGCAAAATCAATGACCGTCCAATCCACAAGAGGTTGGAATATGCAATGCATTCAAGCTTCATGTCAAGTCCACAGTGATTGGTATGACGAAACAAGTCATTCCATCAACAACTTTACAACAATGACCACGCTCATATGCCAGACTAATGGACTGGACTGCAAACTAAATCCCCGATTCATAATACTAAATCCCAGACTTGATGGTTCACTCACTGTCCTCTGGTTTAGAAGAAATGCGTTTTTTTGATTCAGAAGAATGGCTGATAAAAGTAGCTTCTTGAAAGCTAGTCCAGATAGTATAGACTGTCAGCGTCAAGGCCAATCCAGTGGTGAATGCTAGCACATTCTGCTCGATTTGACTCATGCAAACTATTCAAGTTTTGGGTCGAGTCGTGCGCGACTTGAAGGTGGTTTTATGATTCAAGAGAATCCAACAGTCTCGTAACTCGATTGATATGTTTTTACAAATCGATTGATTCAAGAGCGACAACTGCTTCACCTGAGGACCAACCATGTGTTCTGTGCATGCACGTCAACTTTGGAATTAAACTAAAAATGTCGGAAGAAATAAATAACGAAGGTGTAGTTGACTAGAAACTTGATTTGAATAACTGTTTCCATTGGGAAATGCATGTGTCGTGTAGCCACATATATCTATTTCATTCTGTACATTCTATCGTATCCAGTTACTGCTGGCATTTCATTATCAACAGTATTGGACCAATACAATGCGTATCCACTTGAATTCAAAAATAAACCATCCAGCTAAATACGTGCATTTTAATTTGCAATAAAATAGTGCAGCAGGACTTGACTGGTAATTTCGAGCAAGACTATACAGAGACATGCCGTCGTTTGGGTATCAAACCATTCAATGTATTGAAATTCGGTCTACCATTGCCTCCACTTCCATATTACTCGCCTCAAAATGTGGATACGACAAATGTGTCAGTTGCTGATGATATGCGCCGTTCCAAGCTAGATCTGACTGGAGATTCCAACTTGCTAGGAAAATACGGTGGTCGTGCGTCTCAAGATAGTCAAGCTGTATCTGCTGAAGATCATTATGTCGAGGCTACTCCAAACATAAAGTCGAATCCACCAGGCGGAATCCACTCAGATGAAGGTAACCATGTCAGCGCTACAACCCTCATTTCGCTACCTGCACGCAGTACAACACATGCACCAAAATCGCATTCGGAAAAGACTAAACGCAGCATGCCAGATTTAAGCACGAGCACTACAAAACTACGCCATTCACGAATCTTTTCAATTCCAAATATCAATTATCAGTCACGATTTAAATTTTCCCCTACAATCGATGTTGAATCCAACGAGTATGAATATGAAGAAGAGGTGTACAAGATTGAAGTGCGAGGATGGAAAGTCTCCATACCAACCATGGAAGCTATTAATCTGGCCATTACGGCATGTTCCACGATCACTCATCTAAAGTAAGTACAGCACTGGAAAATATGCCATTTCAGGAAATTGCATCGTGCATGATGCTTTAGCCCATACACTTTTTCAAGTGTGTTGCTGAATTGGATATCTCGACTAATGAAGCGCTTGAATGCAGTTTCTGGAATTGCGGATTGACAGAGTCGCATGCTAATCTATTGGCGACAGCCATTCCAACCGTCAATATCCGCACGCTCGCTCTTGACCAGAACCCAAGTATACCAGAATCATTTTACTCGAGTTTTCTTGGTGACGACTCAATGCTAAAATCACTGTCACTTCGAGGAAATGGGATTTCGGATATTGGTGTCAAATCATTTTCTGCAGCATTAAAAGTAAATCGATCCTTGTCTAATCTCAATCTGTGGGACAATCGTATTACAAAAGACGGCGCGGAAATACTGGCCGAGGTGAGTGGAACTTTGCAATAGATTTGGATGAATTCATGTCTAGTTTAATGGGCCAAATATCTCTAGCTTTAATCCTTTTGTGAATTTGAAAATAATACACTAGTCCCTTCGGTTTGGCTGCAATTTACAGGTTCTTTCGCTTGGAAAGAATACAATTGGAGATGAGGGTGCTGCTTCGTTTGCCAAGGTATATAACGCTGCAATCAATTGTTGTCTGATTAAAAGTATATATGCAAATGTAACGGAATGTAAATTATATCTAGTGCCTTTCAAACTATTTATTGACCCAAGAAGAATTGCAAAATCGACGCAAACAGCTTGCCGAAATGGATCGATTGCGACATGATATGGAAGATGTAGGTGTATATCAGTTTACTTGATATTTACATTCAGCATTCAAATACCTGCAATAATCATGCATCATTCATTGGAATACTATCATTTCTACTGCATTTTTAGGATACTGCATCTAAAAAAAAGAATCGAGCAGGCAGAGGCGCTTCGGCAAAACCATTGTACGTGTATATCTGTTTTAAAGCTTGCTCATTCAGAACTAAATGATACTACTCAATTTTTATTCATACCGATAGTGATGACAAGAAAGACGATAAGGGGAAAGCTAAACCCAAGCCACTTTCCAAAAAAGGACTGGATGTTGTTGCTACACAAAGACCCATCAAAACCCCAGATGACAAGAACAAAAAAATGGTTTCAAATGGAACAGACGATAGAAAGGGAAAGGACAAGAAATGCGCTTTACCAACAAAAGTCGGAAAAAAGGTTAAATTGGAAGATACAAAGGAAGATATGGACGAAGTAGGTGGCTTCTATACTCAAGACACCAGTCTTTTATATTCAAGTATTGGCCAACTGAATCTAATATCACAATCATGTCGCTTTAATTTTTAGAACATGGAGTCTGCTAGCAGTGTTGAGCCAATGTTTGAATTTAACGGACAATGGTATCTTTTGGGAAATCGAACCCTAAACAGCCTGAATCTCTCTCATAATGGCATTGGGATGTTGGGACTCAAAGCGCTCAGTGACGCAATTATTGAACAAGAAACCACCAACGATCAGTCCCCAGATGGCTTACTCGGTGTATTTCGACTCAATTTACAGGTAATCGTATTAAACTATTATAATAATCTTGATACTTGGAAATCGATTTTAACATTATTTTTTAGTATAATTCAATTGATGCAGAGTCTGTACAGTACCAGCAACTGGTATCACTTTTGAACACACGGAACCCATTTTTTGAAATAGCCGATTCTGAAGTAGTGCAAGACGGAGCCATAAGTGAGCAAAATGAGATTGCACAAAGTGACAATGGCAGTCTTCCTGATGACACTACTCAGCAATAAATGAATTAAAATATATGCAACGCAAACACATTGTAAACTCTGGAGCTAGTTGGCAGAATGCTTTCATGTCGCTATTTTAGTGCAACCATACAAAGCATTGGAAATCGATAAGCATACACGACAGCATATCTTTTATTACTAACAAACCAAAATATTAGCATGTCTAGGTATTCAAAAGTTTGAAATGATCAAGTAGTTCAAATTCATAGTTTGGCTCCACCAGGAGATTCATTCAACGCAACATTCGTGACCATCCCAGAGCAAAGATGTAGTATTTTCGCGCTCAGTGGTAGAATACAAGTGTACGTTTCATGACTGCCAAGGTATGTTAAGCTCTGGAGTATATCCTAAAAGCTGGAGAAAATGAGATTTATAGTCAACAGAGAGCCCAGCGATTTTGCTTACTATGGGAGCCAATCAATTAGCTACTGACAACTTTTGCTCGAGCTCTGCCAAAATATAGTGATATTGCAAAAACAGCTGAGACACGGCCATATTCTATTTTGAATAAACTGGTTAGTATGGATTACAAAAACACTGTTGTATATCATATTTGTTACTTGCAAATTCGTTATATTCTGCCAATACAGTAGTGAACTGGTTGTGCATTCGAGTAATTCGATCGACATCTTGATTCAGATCTGATTCAACAGCCGATAGCTGAGGTTGTAGCCTGGGCAGTTCTAATCATTGGATATATAGTTGATGAAATGGATTGATGGTACAGATTGGCAGCTGTGGTTATATCTACAAATGACTGTCGCCTTGGTTTAAAATATAAAACATTTACTTACCACTTAGTGAAGGTATATCAATCAAGTTTTTAAGACTGTCGATTGCACTGAGATGATCTGCCATTTCAGTAAGATCGGCATCAGCAGCCAATACCATTTCTTTCAAAGTCGAATTTGATATATTTCGAGGCAATGTTCCAGGCATCAGCTGTCGAGTAGTGAACAGCGGCTCCATAGAATCATCTAGCAATAGTATTACATTAAAATGCTTTACCACTAGTGGTGCATGAAAATACCCAGATACACATACATAGCTGGATAAATGAAGCAAGAGAGAGTTGTTTCTGTAGTTCCTTTTTCAGGTTGCTCTGAGCATCCTTCAATCCGCCAACAATGGTTGCTGATGGGTTGTCTGCTGGCACTCGGACACTGGCATCTAGTGTGGTTGGAGACACAATGAGTTCCAATATATTCAGTCGATCACTGATACTATCTATAAGTGTGTTGATGCTATCTGTTGATTCCGTCATTCTGATATGGATGCTGTTTGTAATGGCAAGTGTTGAAAGAAACTTTGGTTGATGATTGTATCCAACAGTCTATATACCATCATGTCTATTCGACTTGATCACTTGGAACGAGTGTCGATATTCATCAGCTCGATATATTCCAGATCTGACTTGACACTTGGTAATCCATGCATTTAAGCTTTCACTCTTGTCAGTTCGCATTTACAATATTTGTAATAATCACCTCGTACAACTGTATGACTTGACTGTACTTGCAATCAATTCACAGGCCATCAAAAGTCGATAGTACAGACTGGTATTCAACCATTGTGTGTTGCTTGATAGCGATCAACTCCAAACATATTGTGTGTTGTGAAAAACTCAAAAAACATCAACGAGTATGTTATGCGTTGCAGAGGTTTATATCAAATCGACATGTTGATGCTATCATGTCAAAGTTTTGATTAAGCGAGTACAAGAATATTTCAATATCTGGAATGTGCTCAACTAACTTTGCATTGATACACGCTATAGAAAACTAACAATACTGTCACCATCGAGATGGGTCAGAACAAAACTTGAGTTTGTTGTAGATTGAATGAGTGATATTGATGCACTGTATGGAATTTTACAGTCAATCGTTGGTCCAATTCAAAACTATTTTGACTAAAATCAAAACATTAAAATCGAAATTTGTTTGCCTTTGTTATCACATTCAAAATGACCTCGAATGAGGATATTAAACGTCAAATTGCTCTGCTTTCTGGTAAATGTTTTATAATTACATATGCTCTCAAGTATATGTATATTTAGATTGCCTTGATTCATATTAGCTGGCATGGCCAGACAGTGTTGGGCTTGAGCTGCTCAGTTTTCCCTTTACACATTATTATTTATCAATAGCACATCTTAATGCGATGCAAGTTCATTAATTATATATTCAATTACTATTGAACAGGAGCAATACAAATTCATAAAGAACAGCTCTCATTACATTCAAAACCTAGCCATCAACACCAGAAACCATTCCAGAAAAGAAACACCACTTGGGTTCGAGATAAGAAAGCATCTTGTTTGCCAGCCTCGTCGAATCAGCAGCAATCCTATTCTTTTGTCAAAACGACTCCGTATGCAATGAGCGCTACTTCTAAACCTACAGGTTTTGTACAATCACAACATCAAAAACTCGTCAACCTTCGAGTCATCCCGGATCAATCTATAGCTCAGACCTCAAGTAATATCACACTACAATCTGGTCAATTCTCTCAAGACAATACAAATACAGACGTTGGATTGGACCAACCATCAACAACTTGCTACACTCGACACAACAATTCACTCATTCGTTTGGATCATGCACAATCTTTTAAAAATAGTATGTGGCTGATTAGAGTTTTAACCATCATGTGTTGATTTCGTCTTTGTGGCAGTTGATGTTGAATTCAAGTGTTTATTTTTTGGGCTGGGTATATTTCTGCGACACTTCAATAGACTCTGTAAATTACTCCAAACGAAAGTTGGCCGATACGAGTTTTAATCCAAGGTATTTGACATGGATTGGTTGTACTGATAAACTGGCTTGATTTAGGTTACGTTATTTATTTGACGCAATACCATTTTTTGTTTAACCAATGCAATCTATTTCAAACGATATGTATAGGAAAGCACCAAGTATGAGTAAAAACAAGAAACTTCTTGTAAGGGATGGCATGCTATATCGCTCAAATAGTCGCACATTAATCTCTGCTGCTTTACTTACGAGCGACAGCAAATCGGATGGCTCTATTCATAGCGATTGGAAGCGTAATACAACAAACATGTCTTATAGCAATCCTGTCGGCAATGCGTATGAAAACAATAGACATTCATATATCAAACCTAATGGATTTGGGCTTCATAAATCAAAAACTCTGAGAAGAGTAAATATCAATGGCACAGAATTTATGACTGACCTTTCTGGACGCAAATTGATTCGTACCACAGGTATATCTTTGAATTTGTAAATGTGTGCCAAGTTTTGTGTATTTATATATTGTCTACAGTGTACTTGATTTGCAATATTGCATATATTTATTTCATAACTTGCGGATTTTTTACCATGATTTTCTAAACCATCTTGTTGGGTAGATGCTAATCAAGGCAGTATTAAATCAACACCAAGGAATGTATTGGTCAATGGTGTTCAGTTTGTACGCAGCAAACGAGGAAACTTGATTTTGGCAAAGACTATACAAAAGACCCGACAAGCATCGGGTGCATTATCTCTACAAAATAGAGTTTCCAGGCAAGTGTTTTGCTAGTATTCTTGTTTATTTTCAAACCTACACTTTGAGTGTTTACCTTTTGGATAAATTTGTCGGTAGTATAGTAACTTTATCATTTATTAGATCTAGTAAATTCAAATGGGAAAAGACACGTTGGAATTCTGCAAAAAAGAAGGGATATTGCCAGTTTTATCGATATGGTTCGTATATATATATTTAGTTTAATTTGTATCATCATAACTATAGTTATCATTTTGTAGATGGCGATTTCTACTGACCATCAATGACTAAATCCATTGGTACCAAAACACACTGATTTTACACTGGTTTGCATCTCATCAGGACGATGTGATAAAGGCGATGCATGTAGATTCATTCATGATCGTCGGCGAATAGCACTATGCTTTTCATTTCTTAAAACAAAGACCTGCAATGACATGCCAGACTGCAAACTGTCGCACGAACCTACAGATGCCACAACTCCCTTTTGTGTTCATTTTGAACGTGGAAGATGTTCTAATGAAGACTGCCATTATTTGCATGTCAAACTATCCCCTGGAGCTCATGTATGTGCAGACTTTGCCAAGCAAGGCTATTGTGAAAAAGGCAGTATGTGTTTGCAACGTCATATCTTTTTATGTCCTGATTACGAAAAAAATGGTGAGTGTCCACTTGGAGAAAAGTGTCGTCTTCCGCATCGGTCAAAAACCAAACCGACCCGGCCAGTTTCGTATAATGATGCTTCTCGCAATGGATCGAGTGCATTGCTCACTGAAGAGGATACAGATGAGGAGCTGCAACTACCACCTCGACCTGATTTTCGACAGCTACAGTTGGACATTCAAGATGTTTCATTTAACTCTAGAAATCATGACGAAAAGGAAAGTATGGATGATGAGGTAATGAAGGACGATGATTTTGACTCTGATGTTGACGATGATTCTGGTGAAAGTGATACCTTTGAATCTATAAGCAATCGACAGGATATCTACACTGTAGATATCTTATCAGATGAGGACTCGAGTCGTTATAGTATTGATCATGATGATGTTGATGATTAAAGTGTGATATATAAACCTGTGTGCGTCAGTATCTTGATAAATTCAAGGCTTGATCATTCATCTCAACGAGTTTGAGCACGATAATGCTCAGAATTGTCTAAGCCTAAAAACCTGCAACGCAAATAAAAGTTTATTGAATATGCAAGATGAATGGCATTATTGTAATAATAAATTTATTCCTAAAACCAGTCTTGATGCATTGCAACATTACGAGCTTGTGACATTTACTGTAGTCACTACATTGAATTTTTGATCACACCATGGCAGTCCGGGAAGGCAATTAAAATACTTGCACCATGTACAGTTATTGCTTCCATCGTAAAACGATTTGGTCATGACAACAAAAAAGACAATCAGCGCAGGCAAAGCAGCTACCATTAATGCAAACTTGCGTCTTTTATCCCATTTCCCAAAATAAATCTTGGGCATAAATAAAATTCCCAGACATATTCCAGTAATGAACCCGCCCACGTGCGCCAAATTATCAATGTACGGCAGCATACCAAGGAGAAGGGAAAATATAATATTGCCAACCATTTTTAACAGTTCGATCCAGGGACGTTTAATTAAACTCCAGTTTTGAATGAGATCTAATAACAGACAAGCCACCATGCCTAATACCAAAAAAGGTTATACAAGATAGGATTCCACAGTTTTGTAAATAGATTCATCACATCTGATGGCTTACCATACAAAGATCCAGATGCACCGACACTTGGAACCCGAACATCGCTTAAACTAGCGCCAAATACAAAACCGCCAACACCGGATCCAATATAAATCAAAGCCATTCGCCACCAACCCATATCTTTTTCCAGCTGCAAGCCAGTCTGTAACTGAAACGACATGTTAAACAAGATATGTACAATTCCACCATGGAGCATAATAGGAACAAAAAAACGAAACCACTGATCGGGATGACCAGATGGAAATCCGCCCCATTGGCATAGGTCTAATAAAGTACAGTATGTATTATTGTTGATCGAGCCGTAAATTCCTGCGGGACATGCTATTTGGAGATTAGGTGTGTCAAAGCCAGTTCCTTGCTTCATGCATGGGATGAATCTTGCACCCATGATCATAAGTGTCTATAGATGCCATGTCAAAAAACAATTTCGTTGATCAGCATATCAAAGAGTAGTTGAATAAAAATGTATCATCAAATGGTTGAAAATAGGTGAATTTAGCGATTCCATTGTCAGCGAGTTGAAGGTGGATAACAATGAAAATATTAAAACAAGATTCAATTATTTCTTGAAGACCAGTCAGACTTACACCAGATGTGGGACCAATCATGTAGTTGAATGGATTCGTAGCTATGGGCGACCCAGTTGTTTTCGCATTCAAAATAAACGACGCGACTACAGCTGCCACTTGACCAATAGTCATCAGCGTAAGAAAGTAGGGATAGTGAGTCTTGAGTTTGGACAACTGCTTTCTTACAAATGGGTCGTATAATGCAGGAGGTAGATTCTTTTGATTTGCTCCTCCCTTCTTTTTCCCATCCCGAGCAAGTGTGGCCGATTCTTGCTCGTCATAAACCTGGCCACTTCTTGACATGACCTGTGTTGGGTTCATGGGGATGGTCGCGCTTAAATCACTTATTGAAGGCTCACGAGAGGCCGGATTAGAGTAAAAGAGGTAGTCATTGCGGATGTCCAGCTCATAGACTGTTGCGAGTGAACCCTCTGCATGTTCAGTAGTTGATTGCTCGGCTTGTAATCGCTGTGCCATTCCAGGTTCTTGGTCAGTAATTGAGAATTTTTAAAACAACACTATGGCAATGATTAGCAATAAGCTCTCCGTTCTATTGGATAGGTAAAGCCTGTAGAAATTCAACCGCCAGTTATATAAGAAACCCAATTCGAGAATTCCGACTTACCCGCTGGTGTTGCAATACAAATAATGACTAGTACAGTAGGTATAAATAAAGATGTTGGAATTGGTGGAATTTATTTTACTAAGATTTCTCAAACAAACCAGTGACAAACTTATTCAAGGGTGGAAATCGTTCAGCTGTGTCAGCTACTAGCGTTGAAGCTTGGCTGTCCGCATATCACTTTAGAAAGTATATACTGTACTTTACAATTGGAAGTTACACCAGTTGATTCTGTGACTAGATTATCTAGCTTATATGTGGACAAATTAGCTGCCTATTCTACTCAGTAGACTACTTTGGTATCATGAAGCTGTTAAGAGGATGGGTTATTCTAAATAGACATCCTAAAGTCCTGTAGTAGAACAGAGGATCAGGAAAAGCTGTTTTATAAGTATAGGATTGGCATTCCATAAATACACGACTCGATCGCACTCTACACATGTAGACCATCTTAAATTAGCTAAATGGCAGTAGCACTCAGGAATACCTTGCAGCCAAATCTACACTCTTATGGTTTGCTCACTATGCAAATCAATATTATAGCTACCGCTTAATATACATTTCAGTTTGGCATGGATCAATGAGCGTGATTACATCTTTCAAACCATAGTGGTAGATGATCTTACAGAACTCAGTATCCAATTTATTGTTCAATTGCAAATTCTTTGAGAACATTGTGAAATCTGGAGGCATCCTCTTGATGAGCCAAACACAGCTAAAATGAACAAGTGGGTCATAGATGCAATATACTTGAAAGTCAGCAAAGGATAACAAGCGCATCTCGGCACACGAGAAGCATGGCAATGGCTAGACAACTTGCAATTGCAAATCCACTCACCTTTCCTGTATCATATACAGACAACGATCCATCAATGGATGCTAAACCAACATGTCTGCCTTCTTTGTCCCAGCCAAGCTTGTTGAGTGCCTTTTTATTGGGCACGACTTCTGTAGCAATTGGAACTTCCGAAATGGCCAAATTATACAAATCAAATCTGCCACTGCTATCAACGGATCCGAATATGGCGGGATGGGTAGGACACCAAGCAACATCGAATATATAGTCTTGAGCCTCGTCAAACGAATGGAGGCACGATATAGGACCAGAGGATTGCATCCCCACTCTAGAGGTCTATAATCGCAGGAATAAAAAAATTATATATTTGTATCGCCATACAGTTTGAATCAAACTCAGTATGCCGGCACATTTACCTGTGCTTTCCATAGCTTCACAGTCCAATCCACAGACGAGGTCAAAAATAAATCGCAAAACCCTGCATCCGTTTCTGATGGATGAAAATCTATTCCAGTAATCATGCCATTATGTCCGCTATATACAAACTGGGAATCAATGCCAGCCTTGCTATAAAATTCAAACACATAAATTGTGAATAAATCAAGTTTGCCAAATGACAATATAATGTAAAACGTCAAGCCATTGATACACACCTTCCAGCACGATCGTGACGATTGGATTGATATATGTTGCCTTCTTCTGTTCCTACCCAATAAGTTGTAAAGTCATTTTTGGAAAAGTCCATACAAGAAATCGCAACTTCGTCTGTTCGACTATTGCTGGGATGCGTCAACTCAATCAGATCCTTAAGCATAGTTAAAAATACAACGATTCAGTAGTGTTCATCAGTTACTAAATACAAGCTCAATTCATACCTGAGGATGAGCAAGCATATCCAATTGCCAAGTGCAGACCACACCGTCTGTAGATGCAGTAACAAGATTGTGTGCATTTTGTGTTCCAACGATCGAAAGTGAGTAAACCGGATGGGAGTGTCCGGGTGATGATAATGATGTCTTGAGAATGGGTGTACTCTTGGCTCTGGTGTCCCAAATGACAATCTGTCCAGAATAGGTTCCACCAACCACAAGATTATGGTGGAAAGGAGAGAATTTTGCAGTCATAACATCAGACTATTGTCAAGTGAATCAGGAAAATCTCGCAAATAGTTAGTCGACAATTAAACAAATGCAATATTTAAAATATGAAGCATTGTCCTATATATACCAAAGATAAATCAAACCTACCTGGGCTTGAAGTGAAAACTCTGGCCGACCAGCCATATGGAGATTCCACAGTAAAACCAGCCCATCAGGTTCGTTGATGTTGGCCGAGTTTTTATTGTAAGATCCCAGAAGCAGTTCAGGATAGTGTGTTGACCAATCCAAATCGGTAACAGATCTATTCTTTGTAAGTTTTTCATTGGAAAACACGCATTTTCGCTGAATCTCGGCGACTCCTTTTGATGGTCTGTCAAGTCATACTATGTGTTATTAATTGATCAACACGCAGTATTTCCATATTTAAATGTTGTTTACAAACTCACAGTTGATCTACAGTAGCAGTATAGTCTGAAAGAATGTCATAGTCTTCCGCAAGAGCACGCTCGATATATCTTGTAGATTGATCAAAAAAGTGCAGAAAGTCTTCAGATGTAATGATTGCAGCCTTTTCCTGCTCGGAAAGTTCTGGTATATGCATTTCTAGTACAAATTATTATGAAAAAATAATTGACCAAGTTAATACATTTTAAATGCCTATAAACATAGTGCTTGTAACAAAGTAAACAACTGAAACACTCACCAAGAGACTGTTTGGTTTCTTCTAAAATGGTCGGTTTATCTTGAAATTCGGAATGAGCAGTGTCCCTGGATACAGAACGAAGATCTCTGGTAGATACCTTTTGTACCAAGCTGGCTTCGGATGATTTTCGTCGAAGAGCCGTCTCTGAATTTTTTCGTTTAAGAGACTGGAGCTCGGATGGCTTACGCGACAATGTAGGTGATTCTGGCAAGGAAGTTTCCCAAAATGTTGAAAAAGTTTCATCTGTCTGTACTTCTTTACTATATGTCACTACTTCAGGCTGATAGATATCATTATAGATGGTGCAAGGATTGTTGGTAAATTATCTATACAAGAAACTTTGATATTAAAAACAGTCATGATTTACCGCAACATCAAGCAAAATGGGAGATTCTAATTCCTTTGATGCATTAGAATCGATCTGCAGGTCACTAAAACTGAACAAAATACAGCAATCAATCTAAAAAGAATACAAAGCAGAGCCAATTTTGATTGAATTAAACGTACTCTGTATCTAAGCTATTGGTGTTGGCAGGCATGCCCTCAATGAACTGGCTTGCAGATTCGAGTGCTTCTGCTGCAGGAGCAGTCGAGTTGGCAGGTATGCTGGGTTGAACTGTAGATAATGGATCTTTTGCAGTTTCGTCATTTTTAGTAGATTTGGCATCCGAGACGGAGAGATGAGTGATTGTGGCTATTGGTCCAATTAGCGACTCGACCAATTGATCAACCTCTTGACGAAGTGTTAAATGAGAAGTCTGTACATGATTCAAGCACATTAGTCATACTAAAAACACATGAATTCAGTTGTCTGGTCAAGAACATACAGCAGCAACATAAGATGTCTGTGATGCCACTTCCTGTCGTTGCAGTCGGGCTCTCTGCAACTCTTTGAGTCTTTCGGTTTTACGAGCAATCTCTAATCCAGCAATTCAAACAAGTCAGCACGACTGAATAGTAATATCATATCAACTGAATCGCTCACCCTGTCGCAGTCGAGAAGAATTGGCTGTATCTAATGGCATTGTCAAAGACTTGCAATTCCGAATTGATTGACAAACTTTGAAAATGAACAACTTTCCCTCGTTGCAACCTGCTCGTCCGTCTGCATCATCCAGTCATGTCAAGAGTGGTCTTTGGTAGGAAACTTTGGTTTTGAAACACTAATCCGACTAGTTTGGGATATTATTGGATATTGGTATTAACCGTCAAATTCCTGTCTGACTATCAATCTATCCCAACACAACTCCAGTTGGAAACATCAACTATGATTTATCAGAAACTCAAATCATCGATATCTTTAGAGAGGTCGGAACTGTAGTGTCCTTTCGTCTTGTTTTTGATAGAGAGACTAGCAAGCCAAAGGGTTACGGATTCTGCACATTTCAAGGTATGATCAACGTAATATTTAAACATTGATCATTGGTACAACCATCTACTTTGGACAAACATGCACTCCAACCGCATATTCTGGTTAAACGTCTTTTTTAGATCATGAAACTGCTGCCAGTGCTGTGCGTAATTTGAATAACTACGAGATCTCTGGTCGGCCACTTCGGGTTAATTTCGCTGATGCAGATAAAGAAGCAGGACCAGATGGACAACCCATTAACTGGTCTGAAGAAGATGCGGTACGCTAAATTTAATTATATATCTGTGATTACCTTATTGAGCGATATTTAACTAATGGAACATGTTTAAATTACTAGCGACGTGGAGTATCTTCTCCAGCTCCAGGCGTAGGTGCAACACCCCGTGTACTACAAGGTGTCAATTCCACAGAAGCAGTGTTACAGGCAGTTGGATCTTTTCAGGCTTCGCAGCTAACTGAGCTTCTTGGTCATTTAAAAGTATGTAAATACTCGAATGCATTCTATTGTTTAAAATCTATTGTGAATCAATTGGCTTATTTGGAATATTTGCAGTTGATGATCCAAACCAACCCAGAACAATGTCGAACACTATTAATAAGGAACCCACAGTTGGCATATGCAGTGTTTCAGGCACTAATATCACTGAATGCTGTAGACCAGCCCACCATGCAGGTAATATTTTACGCGAATATATGATGATTATTCCTGTACTAACTTTAAATACCTTGATACTGGATTGCCAACACATATCTAGAAAATCTTACAAACTCAAAGTGCACCTCCTGTTGTTCCTGTAGTAGCTGCTACTCCCATGATACAACCTATGGCTCAAACCCCAGCAGTGGCTCCAGCAGGAGCACCTTCCCAAGCACATTTGGGTAAGCCTTTGATTTTGGTAGGATAGAATGTCAGATCTAACCTTGACCCCTTTTTATTTAAAACTTAGCCAATTTGATCGAAGAGCAGCAAAAGGTAATGGTTATATATCAACTGTGTTTATTTGGACATGCACACTATTTATTATGAACAACCACTAAACTATTTATACATTTAAAACTATAAATCTTTCTGAAATACCCTACACTTGCGATTAATGAAATCTTTTATAGCAACTGCTGTTGCAAGTCCTCAATCTTACACCGGAACAAATCAGTGCACTTCCAGCGGATCAGCAACAACAGATTCTTGCATTGCGTGCTCAAGTATTAGGTGTGCAATAAACATTTTCTATACTCCACCCATTTATTCAGATACTTGAAGTTGTATTCATGTAAAATAGAATACTTGTAATCTTTTTTGGAATAGCCAATTGTTAAGCACTCTTGTGTTTTCCTATCGAGACTCTCAACTCATTCAAACACAGCGTTCATATGATGCACAATCAAAATGAGATTGTCCTCATTTGGTAGCCATACATTGTACAACTGTCAAGTTTATCCATTCCAATTCAGATTTGTAGTTTATGCTTACAAACTCTGCAAACTCATCTTTATATTCTAAAATCTCAGATACTTTGCGTTCTAGTTTAACAATTTCGGGAATGCAACTATACGTGCCAATCATCCAATGTTTGCAGAAAGAGGGTTGTATATTGAGCAAATATCAAGGATGTGTGATGTATTGAGATAGAAATATGGAAATTCATCCAGTTGTACAAGAATGAGCACAAGAAAAGAATCGGTCAATCTTTTCAAAAAGTTTAAATATCACAGTGCTGTCCAGTACATCTGGAATGAGCTATTATTTCATGAGACTGATGTTTACTATGCACTTTGACTCTTAGTGCTTCATTTTATGTGAACAGCAGATTTCTTGTATTTATACTTCAGATACCAACCACTATATGGCAGCATACAAATAAACGGTCCAGACCCCATTCTGCTTTTGAACTTTCGTCTGATTACTCGTACAATCGGAAATCTTGTCTGCCAATCTACCAGTCTGCATACTTCTACGATTCATGTCACTGGTTAACCTCTTAAATGTTCAGGTAATTTATCTTTGGAATATTCTTTTTTTATTTTTTACAATCCATTCTGTCCTATATTAGCATATGCATCTTGATAATAAAAACTTGTATTCAAGTCACTCATGTATATCACCTAATCAACATGCAATTCTATTATACAAATGTGTTATTGCTATCAAGTTGGAATTGTTTCTAAATTGTATTTTATAAATTGTAGGTCTTAAATGACCCAGCACCTTTTTTGGCACCGCTCCAGTTTGAGATTACATTCGAGGTTGTTTCCGAAGTCAAAGAAGGTTTGAGATTGATGATAGATCTTGCTGTTTGACTCGACTATCTATTCATACTATATTTGTATTTGCTTTTATCAGATCTGGAATTCAAAGTTATTTATGTGGGCAGTGCACAGACACAAGAGTTTGATCAAATTCTAGAATCCGTCATGGTTGGACCTGTGCCTGTCGGTGTAAGCAAGTTTGTACTCGAGGTAAATCCATATCATTTTTACCATGTTGACTCTATATCTGTCGTATTTAATTCACATGCATATCTATACATTTGTTTGTAGGCACCAGCGCCTAACCCTGACAAGATCCCTAGAACTGATGCATTGGGTGTTACTGTGAGTTTTTAATTTTGCAGCTATTTGTATACCTTTTATCATTGCAACAGAGTCTGATCTAAATCTATCATCCAACACATCATTCTTTAAATGAAATAGGTCTTATTTCTCAGCGTTCTTTATATGGGCCGAGAGTTTGTGCGAGTAGGTTACTATGTCAATAACTCTGTTATGGACGAGTCATTGGTAGAGCTATACGATCCAGAAAACCCTCCAACAACAATTGATTTCAATGTCCTCAAACGTAGTATTTTAGCAGAAAAACCAAAGGTAACAATTTTAGCTTTTTGGCAGTGCAATGTTGAATATTATCAGCTCACTATCATTTTATTTTGATGGCATTTAAATATTGTATTAATGCTTGTAGGTTACACGATTCCAGATCAAATGGTAAGCTGCTTGTGTTTTATTTAATTGATGTCGTTTCAGCTCGATATTGATCCAACATTCACCCATTCTTTTGTATCTTGCTATTAACTTGATGCTTTATGATAACAGGGATCCAGAAGTTGATGCAGCCGCTACTAATAATAGTTCTTTAACCTCGGCTGGAAAGTGTGACATGATGGCACAGACACACCCAGGAGCAATGAACATTGAAATGTGAATGATACACATAATGATAAACACTTGAATAAACCATTGAAAATAATGTACTAGAAACTGAACATTCATTTTACAGTTCTGGCCAGATCCCGATTACTGCTGGTTTATATAGCTGATCATGACCTGATGACATGTTGCCATCTCAAGCAAATTGACTTTCAAATGTTGGCAACGAATGGTTCGACCGCGCAGTCCAGCAACTAGTATTCCCATTCAACATGTCCAAATGGCGTACTTCAACCATTACTTTTGCTAGTCTATTTGCTGCTGGCTCACTGTGGGTTTGCAGCAAATATGCTTTTTCTGCCTACCGATCGCTCACTCCAGAGGAGCTTGGTCTGGATGAGTTTGGTAAGTTGAATATGGATCAGATGCTGATGTTGGGATTCTATAACATATCGCAATCTCCCTGACTGGCTAACGTATGCGACTTGCCAACACTTGTCATTAGAATCACTGCATCAAGTAGGCAAGCTCAAGCTGAATCGATATTTGAGAATTCATCCAACCAACACTGATATCTGCTATATTGTTGTTCATGGGTTTGGAGGCCAGGTGATACTGCCAAATAATGAGTGATATTACTGATTGACTGAATGCATATTAACGGAGATTCTGTAAACTGCAAATAACCAGATGTTGAGCTTGGCACCAGTAATCAACTTGCTGGCAGATTTTGGCAGTGTTTTTGCAGTAGATCATGTTGGTCATGGCAAAAGTCAAACCTCCACCGATCCTCTAGACTACTCAACAGAGGCAATAGTCGAAAGTATCGCATCCACATTCAAATCCAGCTGTCCCCAGTTTAAAACGGTCGTCGTGATTGGCCATTCATTGGGATGTGCTCACAGTGTCAGGCTATCCAACATTCTTCAAGAGAGTGGAGTGAATGTCAAGGGCATTGTACTAGTCAGTCCCAAGTCCACTGAAGAAGATCTACCCATGCTCAAGAAAATGGTGCAAAGAGTATCGCCTATAGCGATCGACTTTATACGCTTTGTAGAATCGTTTGCCGGTGCATATTCAACTTCTGTCAATCGGATAGTGCATAAAAACGACTTGACTTTGCGTCATCGAAGTTGTCGATGGAATCGTGCTACACCATCATCGGTTATTAGACTGACAGCTCTTGGAGTGAGTAGAACGATCGATTTGTAATTTTACAACCGTACTCGCATAAAATGGAGCCTGTATTCATCTTGCAGTGATGTACATTACAATCCAAATATTGGGTTCTGATGTTGTCAATCAAGCTTCTTTTTGTTGTATTCTAAAATATCAGACATGTTTTCGTTCAAGAGGGCAAAGATTGCAATACCAAGAATGCAACTGTTTCCATGCTGATAATCACCAAAAGGAACCCCACTAAACTGAGCAATCGTTTTATAAAACTAGCTGTTTATTGCATACTCTGTAATCCTTATTTGGCATTCCATTTTACACAAATGCTACTATATGTCTTTATAAATTTCAACGCAGCCTAATATATTTTTATTTGTAAAATAGATTCACCTTCCCGAGCCTAAAGACTACGAGAGTATTCGTGCACCGTTATTGATGGTATGGATTACACACTGAAAATGCCGTTTGTATATACTATTGATAGATGTGGCAAAATGCTTACGAATCAATGACTTTAGCTCTATGGCATTCACGATACTCTTACAAAATATGATCCAAATGTGACCAACATTGAGAAGTGGGCCAAGAATTCCCAAATCTCAATTCATGAGCTTGATTCATCCCACCTTCCAATGTGGGAAGATAATGACAATTTCAACCGCCATCTTTTAGCCTTTCTCAAGGACATCAAGGCTGTTGTATAGTCTAAATATTACATTCTATTATTTTGGATGCTGTAAAGCATTGCACCGTTTACTTTAATGTTACACGTGTATTCACCAACAGTTTAACAATAAATATTTAAAACTTTGAGTAACTTTATTTTCATGTCAAGCCTCTGGTTCCATGCGTGCTAAATAACTGACGACAATTCAATGTTCTAAACTGTGGTAGTGCCAAGGGGTCGACTTATTTGTTGCTGTGATGCGCTTGAAAAGTTGGATGATTTTAAATGCTCCTTTTCCTTTTCGGCATGTATTTCTGATGATACTTGAGTAAAAAGCAAATCCCAATCCCATGGTTGATCAAGTTCGTCCAACTGTGACGGTGGGCAAAGTGCAGCACGAATCAAAATCGACATATCGATTCCAGGCACAGATAGATGCTGCAGCTAGTCATTGATAGAGCGACCACACATTAATTCAAAACAATCTAGTTGTTGATTAAAAATGCAGCCCGGATTCAATTTAACAAGTGTACCTGATTGACCACTGCATCGCTTTGAGAAATATCACTTTCAATTTCACTAATGGTTTTCATGGCTTTAGTTTTGATGGTAGGTGCAACTGCAACAGTCGCGCTCATGTCTTCGTCCTCGACATCCATAAGATCAGGAATAATCACCATGACCTGATCACCATCATCCATTTTACGAGATGATGCTGCATAGGCAGTCATTGGTCCGGCAACAGTTGTTTTTCTATAAGAATAAAAAAGGTTAATGACTTGCCAAAGACTGCCAAACATGAACACCTCACCTGACTTTTTCCTTTTCGTCGTCTATATCATTATTTGCAACAGGGACTCCAGAACGACTACCACGCCGATCTCTTCTACTAGCAGTCTCTCTCCCATCAGTCATATTTATCTCGTTTGAAGCAGTGCCAGACTTTTCAAATTGAGTACCTGAAAAATTAGGTAATGTAGGGCTTTGTACATCTGTGCTACTCATCTTTTTTGTGCTTCCAGCGTCTAGTTTAAGCATATTGCTCAAACTGAATTTGGGGATCATGTCGATTGATGCTCGAAAACGAGACTTTCGTGTAGGCGATGCCGATGCAAGATCGTCTTGATCCAGCTTGATAAAATGGCAATATCATACATGGTTTTAGTCGTCAAAATATAGAATGTGTTAAAACAGCGCTATTCTGATGGGACTGGTTTAAAAGATGATGCATATTTGAAGACTTCAAAATACTGCAATATGCTCAACATCGAGATATACCAGACAAGGTAAATTCAGCAACAAAAGCAGACAAGTGCGGTCTGCAATTGATTCACCACGTCCTTGAATGCATATATACCATTTCATTTATTTAATATACAGTATAATGCAACTTACTTGCTCTTGAAGTGAATCGGTTCGACCTAAAAGCTCAGACACATTTTCGTTGCTCGACATATTTGCTTTAGCTAAATTGTTGCTGCTTTGGCGTTGATAGTCTGAAGTCTTTAACGGCTCAGTTTTAATGGGTAAACTGTAGCCAGAATATCTATTCATTGAGTGGTTGGCTCCAAAGTCACCTTCATCGGCTGCTTGAACATTCCTGCTATTTCCACTTGAAGCTGCATGAGCGCGTCTACCAGCTATTGGATGGGTAAAGCTACCATTATTGCTGCTCTTGGGAGCAGTTGGAACAGTGTTGGGTTCAATGGCATTGATAGCCTCAGCCAAGGACTCATCCATTGAAGAAGATTTTAAAAAACTAGGCACCGAGTGATTGTCTGTTTCTTCATTTTTAAACAGCGACATGATAATGCTGGGTAGCAAACCTGAAATATGCTCAGCTTGAACTGGTAGGAAAAAACTTGAAAATGTCAATGGTGGTTCTTTTCAAGAAAATACAATATACATTTAAACATAGCATTGGGTCGTTTAAGATAAATTTGTTGTTTATTGTGCCGATTGCGCAGGTCCCAAAAAGTCTTCCTTGATGGTACCAATTGCAAACTGTAAAAATATCAATTCAAATCCAAATAAAATGAATAGCCAAATCAACAAATAGCAGGGTGTATTTTATAATCAAGCCATTTTCCAATATCAAGATCGATTCATATTAAAATTACAAAGCAATTAATGAGTAAACTTACAATTTCGGTCGCATCCACTCTTGTGCCAACAATACGAAGTCGGACAACTGCTCCTTTTTCCACCCGTAATGCAGCCTCTCCAAACTCCTGTAAATTACACAGTACTCATGTAGATTAGCCATATGCTTGAAATTATGGTATGTTGAGTTCAAAATAGGTATAGTTGCCTGACCTGACCTTCGCCTACATATGCTGGAGGGTTTGCATTTGCATCGAATTTGAGATATCCTGGAATCAGCTAGTTTGATAGAGTCAGTATAAAATGGAAACATTGAAATTAGTTGCTTTCTCGAAGCGTTTCTGATGGACTCTGCTGACCCATTCGAGCCTGTGCTTTATTTAAGCAATAAGATCGTTGAAGATAATACGCAATCAGATTGGTTACAAATGATAACCTACATGGCTAGATACAAAAACTTGTAATGGTCCAACATCTGCCCAAAACCCAATCTAATTATCCAATACGAATTTATTAATAACTGCATGCAAAGAAGTCGAGTCAATCAATATGGGACACTTTAGATCAAGAGCAAATCTACACCTTATTCACGGTAGTAACGAGCCCATCGACGACTTGGTTCTTGAACGGTTTAAATACAATAGCTTTGTACAAGATTTCGAATTGGGCAAATCCAGTATTGCTTTGCAAGACTCCTTTGCCAACGTCGACAATATCCACTACAGAAATAATGTAACCAAACTGTCCTGAGCAAATGCCTTCGACTTCTTCGTAGAGTCGGCGAGTGAGAAAAGCTCGGATTTGTGGTCCAAAGAACTGTGGATGTAGATTGATGGTATGCGAAAGTTGTTTCTGTGTATTCATTTGTCAAGATACAAGGTTCGTTTTTGAGATCCAAGTCATTATGAATATCGAAGTGGTGAGTGATGCATATTTCAACTCCTATTGTTATTGCAAGTCAAACAACTGCACTATATGCCATATATGGTCATCCTGTTTCAATTGGCATATGCCTGGAACCCATACAACAATACCCACCAAAAAGAACATTGTCAGTTATATATATGACACCACTTGTAGTTCTTGTGTAGAATTGAAGTGTGCAAAGTATAGTCGAGTCTAGAATGCATCATTTTTTTCACTTGACGCATTGCATGATCAAGAATGCAAGTTGATTCTTGGTCACTATAGATTTCATTGCAGTCATCCACGACTTGATCTTTTGTTACCGCATGTTCCACACTAAGTGCATGCATCAATGCGCTTGATTAGACTCGTGAGTTGTATCTAAACTGCATGTTTTAAATTAAATCCAGACACTGTAATGATACTTGAATCTATAAAAATTGTATTATATAAAGTGATGGAAAGGTGTATTTGTAGATATCTAGATGCCTTGCTACCCCAAATGGTTAAACTGCAGGACAATCAAGCTGTTTACCACCATATTCACGTAAATACAACACCAAGAGTCCAAGTAATAAACAGCCAATCTCATAGAATGATGGTCGTTGTGTTTGAAACCTGATCAAGGGAGCGACAAACACTATATTCAAAACCTTTTAAATAATGATATTGGTAGAATGTTTTGAAACGCAATCCTATTCATAGAGTTACAGGTTCACTGATTAAATCCTGCATAAAATGTAATGGTTTTGTATGGCATGCAATTCCAAACACAAAAAGTTGAAAATATCAGTTGAAGAAGCAATCAATTTCTAGTAGAAAGATGGAGAGAGTGTTTAACCTGGTATATTCTCGAGTAAATAGTCATTGCGAGATAAATACAAGTGTTCCATTTTACGTGAATACGGCTATAAATTACACTTTATTTTCTTGAATCTAATCCAAGACATGTCGTTCCTGTTTGGAGAGTCTCAAGAAAAGTCTTTGGCCCAGCTATCGACACATACTCGTAATGGTTTTAACCAAGAAACTCCCTTGACCGATGCTCCTGATACGGCGGTCGGAGCAGAGACTAGCACAATGCATTTTGCCATATCTACCAAACTTGGTTGGATAGCGTGGAAAGAATCAGAAGCATCCCTTTATAGGCAAGTTGGTATTGTGTATATTTACAGCCTATATTTCTGAAAGCTCCTGTTTAAACCCATGTTGTTTGAAATAATCACATGTACGATGGCCAATTGGTATTATAGTATCATGGAAAGAGCGTTTGGAGCTACGCGATGTGAGCTAAAACTATCGGATTTTTTAGACCAAATGGCAATGGAGGTTGAGATCCCCAATGAGCAGATTGTGAGCCTATATTTAGTATATTATCAAAAATCATATACTTACAACAACTATCCAAGAACAAGCTACTTTATTGGATCTAACCTGTTGAGAATTTTAGGACAAGTTTACAAAGTATTTTAACCAAGATACGCTGGCGGCAGAGATTGACAAGTTGCATGGGCTTGAGCCAGTTTTACACAGATATCGCGATGTGAGCCATATTGTACCATGGTTTAATTGCGAATTACATGGCATTCTAATATATAATAACTAGGTAAAGCTTAGCGGGCTAAAAAGAACTTTAGGATCTACTTTAGCAGTGGTGAATGGTACTTTTGCGTTTGTATTGAGATTTATTTACGTGATGCTCTTGGACTAATCTTTCCATTATAAAATAGTAAAAAGTTCCATTGACTCGCTTTTGAATCGAGTCAGATTTCTAGAGTCGTGCGGACAAGGACGAGAGAGAGAGGTGAATGCTATTCTAGAGATTGCCACCAATCAGATGAAGGATATCATGTCAAAATATACGGCCTGTGTCGATCATATTGATGCCAAGATTATGGAAAAATGTGAGGACAAACTCACTGTGGTTGAAGATAAAATTCTTCGGGTTGTTAGGGACGATCTATCTTTTATCAAGGAATTGCCTGTAAAATTATCACATCTGACATCTGCTCCCATTACCGCTCCAAGTACACCTATTAGTACGAATCTGACGGATCAGTCTCAGGTCAACAAATTGGGACAGGAGGATTTGTCTGAGCAAGTAGACAATAGTCGAAAATTAACTGCGGCAGTTAGTGCAGTCAAATCTACTCCAGGATCTGTCAAGATTGGAATAGTCAAATGTAAATATGATTTAATCTAGACATATTCTACTGGTACTATCCAAACAACTGACTCGACACTTTGTACTTGTTTGAACTCATCACTGATGATTATAAATACGTCATATAGCGCCTATTGGGAAACTATCTACACCTCAACAGGCTCTAGCAGCATCCTTGGCTCGGTTAGAATGCCTTTTAGCAAATAGAAATACCAAGTTTCCTCAAACAAGTGCCGAGATGGCGGCGCAAATAATCAGGGAAACAAAAAGCACTCTAGACAAGGCATTGGACAAATCTCTTTCTACAGATGCCGAGACGGGATCGCACACTGAGCCTATACTCACGATGGCTGATACCAGATCTGAAGAAAGTACAGTACATTTAGGAGCATCCATTGTTCTTGATCCTGCTCCTGAATCATATGCTGTCAAGACAGCCTTGCAGAAACAACAAAATACACAAGATCAGCGCCTTCCAGTTCTTCCCAGAAAGGTATCCGAGTCTCAGACTGATACTTTCAATGCAACTGTATCTGATGTCAGTGCAGTGGTCAAGACACAAGAGTCGGTCATGGAACTGGAACCATTGGAGAAAACTTTACAGAAAAGTGTTCAAGAGGACGAGGGTAAACTGGTTGAAACAGAGCAAGGCATCAAGGCCTTGAATGCCAACCACACCTCGACTGAAGAGAATCCCTGGTAGTTTATTGATACTGCATTGAAATAGATAAAGGATGCAGATTATACCACAAATACCTTTCCAATTGTTACTGATGTGGGCCAATTTTAATCCCACAATTGATACGCGATAACTATGTCCCAATTTTGCTGCCAGAGCTGGAATGCACTATAAATACAGTCAAGCACCCGCGAATCTTTGAATTGGTATTCTTGCACGGGAGCATTATCCATAACTGTGAAGTTACGACTGAGTTTGGATTATTGCTGATTGAAAACTAATTCCAATCGGCTCTTGACGCCCTACTGGGGCGGCAAGGAATTTTTGGACCCATTACTTAATAAATATAAGAAGAAACTAGACAGTTTATAGCTGCACTCATGTGGAATGAACTGTCTGCATTTGTCTTGCAATGAACTGCCTCTTGCAATAGACAGCGGTTGATTTTTGGATATTGACTGCTTCAATACACACAGCAATCCACCATGTGTGATGCACAGAGTTAGACTAGCTTTGAATCTCCCTTTTTCATTTTTGGCTTGATCGTGCGTTGTGTGATCACCAGATTCTCACCGCAATTGTATTGGAGTCCGACTGTTTCAATGCCCACAGCAAAACTGTACAAACCCATTGTATCCTAGTCACGCTTGTGTTTTCAAGAGAATATCGGGAATACAATTGTTTTCATGTCAATACTTGGTTTGAAAGGAAGGAGAGTTGAACAGGTGTGAGATGGGCCAATGTACATATTTCAGTTTTTATCACACATGAGCAAAAGACCCGCAGAGTTTGAGGCTAGAAAACAATCTTGTCCAGTAATATGGTGTGAATTATCGTTCCATGATACTGATTGTTTACACATGACACTTGTTTAGTGCTTCATCCTACGTGGATACGGCCGTAAGTCAAGTCTAGGGAACTGGAAACCAAGCAGTTTGTTGACAAAAAGATCGAACACGATCAAAAATGATTTACAATTGAAATAGTCAATTCAGAGCATTGACAACTAGTTGTTGCATCGAAATGTCCAATAATCCTGTAAGTCATGGCATTGTGTTTTGCCACCATCTAGTATCATGATCAATCTATTAACCTTATTACTAATATCAGCCTCAACCACAGTATCAGCCTATATATGGGCAGCAAGGTGGCCAGCCTTCATATCCTCAACCACCGCAGCCTCCATATGCTCAACAGTATGGCCAACAACCTTCATATCCTCAACCGCAACAGCCTCCATATGCCCAACAGTATGGTCAACAGTATGGACAGCAACCCTCATATCCTCAACCACCGCAGCCTCCCCAGTACCAACAGCCCACCTATAACCAGCAGGCCTCTTACCAACAGCCCAACATGCCGCCTCCTTCTCAACCTTACCAGCAGTCTCAGCAATATGGAGCAACTCAGCAAAACTATTCTTCTTCTGGTATAGCTTCCACCGACGGCCTGGTTCCCAAAAAGGATGGTCGTTTTCGTAAAGATTCCCCATACAAAGTAAGCTTGACTTCATTCTGAACATTGGCGACTGGATGATTTTCTGCTTCCATGCAGAAACTACACTGTATTTCTGCTGTAATTATTGAATCTATTTGCCCTTGAAGGGCTGTGTTGGATGCTCCCTACCAACGCCTCAATTTTATCAAAGGCCGTATTCACGTAAATGGAATCTGTATTATCTTGCAGCCTCTTTTACTTTGGAGTAGCCAATCGTTAAGCATTTGCCATGCTTTCCTACTACATATTGATTGCTTTTTCAATAGACAATCTCCATCCTTTGAAGCAACATCCATTGTACAAAATCAAACTATAGGTTTGAACCTCCCTTTCTTCACTTTGGCATCATACATTGTACGGCTGATAATGATGCCAATCAACCTTTGTACAAACTCTTGTATCCTAAAATCTCGGATACGTCCGCGTTCTAGTTTAGGAAAAAGATTGCACATTTCAAAAGTGCAGCTGTCGTCTCCATGCCAATCACCTAATTTCTGAATATTCATTTGGTTGTTTATAAAAAAGCATGGATGAAAAAGACTCAACTCAAAAAGTTCAAAGCATACAATACACTTTGACTTTCTTGTTTAGTGCTTCATTCTACGTGAACATGGCCGTAGTCCAGTCAGTATTGAAATAATTTGTTTCCATGGGTCTAACTCATTTTTCTCTTTCTAGGACGTATGGGCAACTATTGCCTTTTTAATATGTCTTGCCGGGTTTATTGCTGTATCTGCATTTGGTGTTACTAAATTGGACTTGAAAAACACTAGTAGTGGTGTATCCACTTCGAATGTACGCAATCGTGCTAGTAAGTATACATTGTTTAGAAAATTGCTGCACTATATTTGAACGACTTGCATTTAACATGTGTCGAAATTTAGCTACTGGAAACACCAGTTCTAATAGAACTGCTACGCCGATTGAAATATATATTCCGGCTGCAGATATTGGCGGTATCCTTGTTTCTAATGTTGCTGTCGGCCTTGTGCTCTCACTTGCGTATTTCTTGCTTATGCAACGGTAAATAGGACATGCTTTTATTGTGGTGACTCTTGTAACATGATGTATTCCCATATTTATTCGAGTTGATGGTTGAATATAGATTTGCTGGAAAGATGATTTATGCCTCGGGAATTCTTAGCATCATGTTCACCTTGGCTTTAGCTGTAGTGTTTGCCTATTTTAGGATGTATATTCCTGCTGTTCTATATGTTGTCTTTGCGGCTCTTTTTGCCTGGATGTTTTATTCATGGAGACACCGTATTCCATTTGCCAAACTTATGCTCAAGACTGTCACCAAGATCACCGCAAAGTATCCTGCAACTTTGATTGTCGGTATCTTTGGTGTGATTTTCTCTGCTGCATTTTCTGTTCTGTGGGTTGTTGGTCTTGTTGGAATCACCAATTTCCTCAATGCCGAAAAAACTTCGCCTGGTCTCTCTTATTTCATGATGGTTTTCTCGCTGTTTGTGTTTTACTGGACCAACCAAGTCATTCAAAACACCGTGCATATTACCATTTCTGGTCTTTTTGCCACCTACTATTTCATGGGTGTTGCTGATAGTCAGGGAAATGTTACTGTCAATATCAAGAATCCTACTGCAGCTGCAGCTAAACGTGCTCTCACAACTAGTTTTGGCCCCAATTGCTATGGTTCTCTGTTGGTTGCTATTATCCAAACCCTTCGTGCCATTGTTCGTATGGCCAGTGAAAACAATGACAACCCTGCTATTGCGATTATTTTGTGCTGTATCCAGTGTCTTCTTTCTTGCATTCAGGGAATGGCCGAGTATTTCAACAAGGTATGTTGTAAACAGTCGACAGTTTAAATTTAATCTACATGTGACTATATACTTATAAACATTTTTTGCTATATAGTATGCATTTACTCAAGTTGCAATCTACGGCAAAGATTACTGCACTGCAGCCAAGGACACGTGGGAATTGATCAAATCGCGTGGTATTGATGCTATTATTAATGACGATCTTATTGGAAACGTTCTTAACGTTGGTGCATTCTTTGTTGGTCTAGTGACTGGTGTTGTTGGTTTTACTTGTGAGTTTTGTTGCTTTGTTACTATGCTGCTACAAGTCAGTCTTTAACCTTTTATTTTGTCATGTTTTAGATATTCAACTTTCACCCACAATTCCTCACTACACAGCCAACTACATTGTCATTGTTTTCGTGTCGTTCTTTATCGGAATTGTTGAATTCTCTGTTCTCTCTAGCGTCATTGATTCTGGAGTAGCAACCACGTTTGTGTGCCTGTAAGTATTTCTGCGAATTTTCTGTTTTTGATTAGCTATTTACAATTCTTTTTTACATTTTGATTAAACCCATTCAATTAGTGCCGAGGATCCCTCTGCGCTTGCACGCACCAAGCCAGATTTGTACCACAAGATTGCAGAGGTCTATCCCCAAGCATTGATTCAGTTTTAAAAGTCACTGCGACTTATTATTCATTTACTCATAGTTTATTGACCCCCTCCAATCTGCTTTTTCTTGCACTTTTTTTTGATAATGGTTGGAATGAAATAAAGCTTATCTAGTCACCAAGTGCATGTTTTTCTATTCTTTATGTTTGTCAGCCAAGTCGAGGTTAATGTGCTGTCATTCAGTTGCTAAAAAACAAGATTATCACGAGCGTTACTCGAATGTCTGAATAATTCTGCAGGTTTTTGCCTGTTACTAAAAACCTATAAAATGGATCCATTGATGGATCTGGAATATTTTGAGGTAACTACAGTAGAATCTACCTTTACCCATAGCAAGCACTGCTATACTGGATAGTGTGATGTATAGACTAGATATTCAAAACACTGCTAGAGCGATCTATCAAAAACATGAACTGATTACTGGATGGATTTAAATGCTAGTTTTTGCAGTTCATTCATATTCATTCGGATGCATTGGTGCAGCATTTACATTCTAAACTCGATAAGGAGGTACTCATTAATAAGGCAGCTGCTGGTTCAACTCTCCACAAGAATCTCATGTGAGTTTCTATCAGCATTGATGCTTGTTGGCTTAGTCATTCATTCCCAACGGACTTGTGAATAAATTAGGATGATCTGGACAGTAGTCATAGCAGACGCATTATCTATTTCGAATAACAAGGAATTCAAGAACGTATCGGTTCTAGGCGAAGATGTAGCTGGACTGAAATGCAAGTATATTGTCTGGCTATTCGTCTGGGCCATTCAATCGCTAAATCAAGATATACAGGTTTGGCTTGTAATGGTTTATTTGGATAGAGACCATGTTGGCTTTTAGAGTTTCAATTGAACTTTACTTGATTGGGTAGATTCTCGTTCCGTTAATGTTGGCACCAGAACATTTATCGCTCGTTTCTTCAGTTTCTAATGCAATCGATGGCAATTTCGAACAGGTATACGCATTTTGTTGGTTTGTAATCTAAAATCAAGGCTTACATTTAAAATACACTCTACCTTAGCTTATTCATGCCATCATTTTATGTGAGATACAAAACAATTGGCTGCGTCCGTATGTAATGTACGTTGATACTGGTATTGCAGATCTGTTGCAAATTTGAGATTAAAACTCTTACAATTCGCTCAATATTTAGTATATACATAGCAAACCTAGCTGTAAAAAAAGGTGATGCACAACGAATTTGTACGGTGCTTGAAAGGAAACAGATGTATCTTGATACAGTATTGAGATTGATACACGATCATGGCTTGGATTTGGTAGGACTATTCACTATTGCTTATCGTGTATGCATTGGATATAAAATGTTTTAATTGTGGATCATTTGGTATTGCTTGAAATCGACACTTAGATCACACATTTAAATCTGGTTTCGCAATATCCTGCATGGATCAAAAACGATGCTCGATACTCCGTGTCACTTTTAAACAAACTACGCACTTTGTTTTTAAATGGATTGGTAACGTATTATAGCCAATGCTACTTACGACTCTTTAAAAATACTTTTTCTGACAACTCTATATGTTTACCAGCTGCCCAAACTCCAAGAATCGGCAATAACGAATTCTGCTCTTATTCTTAGAGCATATTGCACAATTGAGGCTGCATGGGGAATTCAGCTTGATATTTCAGAGATCGAGTGTTGTTTATCAATTGGACAGAAATCTAGTGGATTTAGGTATATTCTCATCATCTCTTTTATGCTTTTATACCAAAACACTGATACGTATGCAATGGTTTATCAGTGTTAATCAGTTCTTTACCACTTTCCTTATTCTTGTGGCGGACCAAGCTTTCATCCTATGCAAGGTAACGATATGGCTTTGTATCAATTTCCACAATTGCAGTGGTTTTTAATCGGAATTTCAATTATTTGTTTAAACTGTATTTTAAACGCAGGATAAATTCAAAAATGCTCTTCATACAATTCTGAAAAGCGACCATTCAGAGTTTTCCCATATCATTGGAGTGTATTTCTATACAGATCAGCCTGCTGAAATCAAGAAACTTTTGGCTGGCACACTTGGAATGCCATGTCCCATCCGTAAGCAACTGTTTTTGCAAAAATTAATGTATAGTAATTGTATCTAACTATTCTTTTATTTACAGGAAATGAAAGTTATTCTTTACTTTGCAAGTTTTTTTTGGAGGAAGTGTTTACCAAGCAAAAACTCGCTGAAACTGCTTTGGCGCTTGTGAACAAGAAAACAAATGTATTATATCTGTTTCTGATCACCTTTTGAAGTTGGTTTATTTTTTCATTTTAACTGCTTTTAAATATTAATTAGGTAGTTATTGGTATCGAAGATCTATCCATTAGTCTCACATACAATATGCTGAAAGCCAAGATTTTTCACAGTACTGGAACAAATCTTCAGCGGGCCATTTATTTGCTTATTCATCAGGCTCAAGATGGCACGCAAGGATCACTGCTTCCTAGTCTACTAAAACTGTATTGCGAGAGGTATATCGCGTGTTTTAAAAACGATTTTGAGCATGGCAGTGTGCTGCTATATCATGCCTTCAACTGCTGATATCCGCTTGTATTTTACCTAGCTCATTTGATTCAACAGGTCCATTTAGCAAGCTTCCAATCGAAACAAGCCATATTTTACATACTCTTAATAGCACAAGTTCACATGTAGCAGAGCAATCGCTTCTTTGCTTTTGTATCTTTTATCATCGTCATCAATGGTACTCCAAAGAAATGGATAGTTTCAGTAAGTTTCAATGTATGATTCAATAACCAGTTATAGTTTCACCATACTGATTTTAGCCCGTACATCAATACAATATAGACACATACACCGATGAGTTTGTCGATAATCTTCATCTCAGACCTATTTTGGATTTTGCCGAAGAGCACGTCAATGCATCACCTCTTTATGCTCAACTTGTTGCGCTGATTTTTGCCCAATGCCCAGAATACTACGACCCAACGATTTATTTAGACACCCAAATATATGCTACGCCGTTTGATCTGATAGATTCATCAATTCATGCTCAGATACAATCTCCTTTAGGAAACGTCACATACGAAACTTTTGATAAGCTCATCTTGGTTCCAGACGGATTTCTGTTGAGATCAATTATTACTGATGTATCCAAGCAAGAAGAAAACGTGATCAAAAGTATGCCAATTTCTTTATATGCTTGTAGCAATGAATGTGCGCTAATCCAGCTGTAATGTTTAGTTCTTAAGATGCTATATCGTAAACATGCGCGTCAAGTGTTTCCGCTTTTCGATACCTTGCTTTTGCTTTTGGTTCATGTGTTGCAAAAAGGGTATGGCATATGCTTTTGCCATTCTATACAATATATATTCCAATTTTTATTGTATTGCTACTAATTCAACTGTTCTATTAGGGGATCCAAAACATTGTACTATTGGATCAAGCAAACCTGGCTACGAATGCTAAGATATCATCCACAGCTGACCTTTACCAAAACTATGTCAAAGTTGAACGATATGCCAAATTTGCTGAAAAGATCCGCAACCGTGTATGTATTTATTGTCCATCAATTGGTTTTATGTGGCTTGCTTTTATTTGTCAACTAACTTGATATTGAAACCATTGCAATCTAGCCAAGCACAAGATAACTCTAGCCATATCCAAGAAGTTTTAAAATTTGGAATAGTGTTTGTGCAGACAGTTGGTTTACTTCCAATTTTTTTGCATGTATGCTATGATTGATACTTGGGATTTACGCAAAGTGTAGTTGCTTTCAAACGACTTATAAATAGTTGGCTGATTATTTTTGCAACTCTATACATCTGAATCTGATTTTTAGCTTGTTAATATATCGGCTTTATTATTTTCAACCAAGATCAAGCGAGCCAAGGTCAGTAGTATCAAGCACAGTTGTTATAAAAAATTTCAAAGTCTATTTGTCGAGCCAATTTCACTGATGCTATTAACAGGTGTTGAATGAGGCTCAAAAAAATTCTGTACTGCTGGCCAAAGATGCAATCATTTTTCAATCGCTGATGAAACTTTGTGACTCTGGTCCAGAAATGAAAGGTAATGCTTGATATTAGCGCCATCATGTTTAGTTGTCTACCATTCAGTACTAACAAGATATAATGCTTTTTAGAATCGGTGCAAGAATTATGTCTGTTTATCCATCAGATATTTGTTAACCAAGTTGGATCGCTTAGGTTGGTGCATTTTCAAGGGTACGATTCAAAACTAATTCCATTAGCAGTTGAGCACATTCCATCGTTACGTAAGTTTTATAAAAATGGGGGTTTAATTGTACACATATCAGATATTTACTGCTGTATGCTATAGATGTTGTCACAGATCTGATACCTGATCTGCTGATAGAGCCAATTACACATGATCGATTTGTATTTACTATCATTCTTGCCTCACATCTGTTTGCAAAGTATCCACTTGAGAAGAGGTACATCAAAACATTTGTGTACACTGTTTAGCTTGAACGATCGACCTGAAGTTTTTAATTGTTTAATTACCCAATTTTAGTTTGATAATTGCCAAGGATCTAGTTTTGCCTGCTATCATTAAATGGTCGCTGCCATTGTACAGACTAGCAGAAACAAGCGCTGTTAGCAGTACTAAAGGGGGTTTGAGCACCGGCCAATCTACTTCTGACTATGCTAGCACGTTTTTCGGACTTACAGAAATCATGCCCAGTCTTGTCACTCTGGGATTTGCGTTTCCCGTGCTTTTAGATCCTATCGCGAAACTACTTTCTGGTATTTTTTGTAATTTAAACTAGCTTGAGCTACAGTGTAGTATATTAACACGTTTCTGCTGTCATTGGTTTTGCTTTGATCCTATAGATTTAGAAATGCTGCTACGCAAAACTGCCAAAAACACTGCATCACAGAATTTGGAACTTGCAGTCATGAAGACATTGGCAGGCATTGCGTCTGATGTTATTCATTCCAAGAGCGGGCTTAACAAATCGCTCATGTAGTCGTTAGAACAATTCCAACCACGAATATCTAGCTAATAAAAAACAGTAGACTAGGAGTTAAAGTATTGAATCCGTCTACAATCTCGAATCAATGCAGCAAAAGTTCAAGTCTTGATTTCATTTATTAAACCATCAAGATGCATGTTATCAAACAAAGTATACATTGCAATGCGCCAAATGCAAGTGCTGTTTATGAATGTAGCAAAACGAATCTGCTTGACCAATTGGAATCCACCTGATTTTAGACACATCATAAAGTTGACTGTTTGCAAGAGTTTAAATTGACCATATCTTTCAAAGTTGCTTTTTTGGTATGCTTCAAAACATTTAGAGCTTTTATAGATGCGTGTTGCTTGGCTAGCTTCAAAGTCGTAGCTTGGGAAGTAGCAAGAACTGTTCCATAAAATACTACCGACGCCTTGTGAAATCCATCGGCATTGCTTTCGTCACTAAACTCCAACAGTTTAATCATTATTTAGTAAACCCCCCAAATCCAACAGTAAACCCCGAGATGACCGCGAATATTAACAATAAGCTTAAAACAAGCAGATGTACAGTCATATTAAACTATTACGTACCTTAACTCTAGTTTTTCCGATGAAAATCCCTGAGATTGCACAAAAGCAAACAGTTGCCGAATAGGTGGCTCAGTAATAGTCTCAAGATTAATATTGCTTTGAATGAAGCTGTGTACATACGGGAAAATCACCAACCGGGTTCTTTCCAGATTGTATCCAGTATCAATAAATATTGCTGCAACAATCACCTCAAACACATCACAGAGTACTTTTGGTCCATCAATTGCTTTATCTGCCTGTTTAAATGCATGTTGAGAATGACTATTTTGAATATAATTAGCATAAAGCACAATAGCTTCCTTGGAGTGCTGAGATAGTTGACTAGATTGCAAAAGGTGCTCGTGTAGTTTTAATGATACTAGTATTTTGCAAAACGCAGGCTTGCATACCGTCGCTTGAATCATTTTTGAAAGTGAGCATGGGTCTGCATGTTTATAATGTCGATAAAAATATCGTGCAACCAAAATGTCCATGATTGCGTCGCCCAAGAATTCAAGTCGTTCAAATTTGCTCTTGACAAAATAAAATGGAGTCATGAGGGCAATAAGTAGCAGTTCCGGATTATGAAAGTTGTATGACAATTTCTGTTGAACATGGTCAACGGTTTCTTGATCCAATCTACTGAGAATGGGGTTTTGCATAGACGATATTTGATGATCGTGCAACTTATTAGTGTCGCCGTGTCTAAAACAATGCGGCGGTATCTCATTTATCAGTCTAAAAGTGCGCATCAGATGCAAAGCTGCCTCAACCCCACATTCAAGAAAATATGCACCTAAAAGGGCTTCGATAAAGTCCGACTGCTTTTTTCCACAAAATACACGATTGTCTAAACAATCAACAGATGCGGTAGGTGCTACGAATATCCTTGTTTCGAAACAAAAAGATGGTGGGGTCCAGGAATTGGATTGAAATGGCGCTGTATTCAGCATGCCAGTCAAACTGTGTTGTTGAGCAATTTCAAAAAGATTCTTGTTTGAAACAAGGCCTGATAGTATCGTGGAAAGCTGACCGACTTCATACGACTGGTATGAACTGTGTAAATAATGAGCGACTCCGAATTTTAATACCTTGTCCCCCAAAGTCTCGAGTCTTTCATAGTTAGTTATACTATTTGCAGCTGGGGTTGTAAATGCAGACATGAGAGTAGATAGTGGAATTTGCTTTGGGTATAAACCATACTTTTGATCAAACTCGGCCGCAAGACACGCCGTATGAAGTGAATAAAGAATGGAAGGCAAATAATGAGCTACCATAGTAAGTTTCGCCGAAATCGGTGATACGCGAAATGCATCTGGAACCAGTTGAGGAAGATTGTCTAGGTTCTGATTATCATCTACACAATTATGTTTGTTTTTGGTGGCTTGACATGAGCGTCTGTAGTCCTTGATATGAGGAATACGTACACATTTAAGTAAATTGGCATTTGGATGATCGACAGTATAGCCTTGAGATGAAGCAATAGCCTGATAAGTTGTAATGTGTTGGCCCTTGCCTTTTCCAATAGTGAGCTCAGAATAGGCATTGCAATTTTCACTCCAGCATTTAATCTGATACTTGATATTGTTATGAGGAGTATATACTATAATATCTTTGGTTAAATCAACAATAGGTGCTGAAAAACAAGTAGAGTACTTTCCTGGTAAATTATGCAATGGGGATATTTCATTGACCAATTTCCGCAAAGAACTGTGATCATAGCGAGGATCAGAAAAAATACGATATAGACTCTGATGGCTAGGAAAGCAAGCGTTTGGTGGAGTAATTCCAGAATCAATCACATTTTGAACAGTAATCAAGGAATGGGGTTCAAGAACGGTAGTGCACAATGATACCCATTCAGAGAAGCTAACCTCGCGTCTAGAGTTGACCAATTCTACCAAATCCCAATTAATGGCCCAATCACAACCAGATTGCCGGTACATGGGAACCACTTCATAATAAAGATTCGAATTTGAATCATTGTTAGAACAGTCGTTTTTTTTACTTGTAGATGCACTCAAAGACTCGTCAAATACACAGTTACAACGATCATGATTTTGAAGCACTAGATTCCAAAACTGATGCTGAAATCGAAGAATCTGCTCATATTCTTGAGCAGAAAACTTTGTCTCAGTTGCAGTAGTCACTTTGCCAGATTTACTCCATGGATGGATATCGACGGGTGTATACGAAAAAGAAAGATCACACCATAATTCTGTAGCGCACAACGCATTACCAGGAAGTGCGCCAGTTGTGAGCAGCGCCAGTGTAGAGTCGGTCTGGAGCTGATCAGATGAACTGTCGGTTAACAAAGCGGCAGCAGACTGCAATACTAAAGATGCATTAGAGTGAGTGGTATTTATGTCAATGACCGTGACAAATCTTGAATGCGTTTCTGTTTTATTAGTTGTACCCAACTTGGACGAAAAGTTGCTAAATGAGTGTGGAATAGAGCGATGATGGCCAGTCTCATGGTTGGTATGGTTTTGTGGAAGTTGATTTGAATGACTATCTGGCAAAACAATATTGGAATGCACGGTTTTTGTAGCGTCGATTGTAGATTTAGAGAGGCTTTTAACAGGCGTCCGAGGCTGTAAGCGTTCGTCCAATTCCCCCATGTTATACAAAACTCGGCATGCCTCGAGAGCAGAGTCTTCACAAGCAAGTTTTTCAGTAAGCTGCCACATTCCAATAATTGTATCAATTTTGAGAGTGAGCCATTGTGGAATCTTCACTACGCATATATATCCAATATTTGGCTCCTTTGGGCACATCTTTGCTACCATTTCTGAATCTGATAAATCTATATCAAATCTAGTCGATCCACTATACAACAAACCATCAGCATTGATACCAGCACCATGTATAATGGTAGAGTTTTCATGCTTGGGATCAGATTCAGATGTAGCATAGACTTTTTCAAGATACTGTTGCGAGATTTTTAGCAGATACTCGTCCCATGGCATGTAATTTGATATAGACTTGTATCCATTTTTAACGGTTTGGTATATAGATGTTGGCCAATCCAACTGTTCCGAGTTTGATTTAGAAACAAGGTAAAAATCTAAAACTCTCTTTGCATCGGCCCGAGCTAAAATCGTGCCTTTGCGAGTACGAAATACACTTTTGCGTTTACCAAACAATAGTGGTCCAACCAAGTCATCTACGTGTGTTGTTTTCACAAGTGTTAAAAATGGTACCATGTCGTTTTGCAAATCTTCTTGATGACTGCTTTTTTTGAATCGATATAGCTTTTGAACCACCGAGCAAGAAAAGGAAGCAATTGACTCTGCTTTAGCAATTGCTTTTTTCAGTTTTGAGTGTCCTTTTGCTACCATTACAATAAACTGTGAACCAGGTACGCCTCCAGTATATCCCTTCAATCTCTCATAACAGAGCTGCTTGCGTGGCCAATCGAATAAAATAACCAGCCCACACTTTGGTCTAGTGACAATAAAACTATTAGCAGACATATCAACACGTAAATGTATAAATAATCAGCAACATCACTTACAAATGACACCTGTTTTGTCCAAAATTCGAAACAACAAGCACATTCAATTCTCGAGATTTGAATCTCTGAAGAGTGTTTTGAGTAGAATTAGTGCCTTTTTCAAAAGCATGGTCTACCACAGAGTGCGAAACAGAATAGCTGGGTGATTCAGTGTTCATCATGTGAATAGTTGACCCATTAATAAATCCACATCTAATAAACGGATACTTTTGAAAAGCACTACATTGGATGAGATTGCATAGTTTTTCTGCAGTTTGATCATCATGCACATAGACCAAAGATTGAAAGGGTTGTTTACCAAAATTGATAGTGTCAGTGGATTGATTATGATTTTTTGCAAGTGTTTTAAGGAGTGTATGCACTTTGATGCTGATATCAGCAGTGGGAATCTCAGATATAGACGTGTAATCATTCTGACTGGGCAAAGAATTGGTGCTGCTGGATTTTAAACTTGATTGCCAATCAGTGTCGGTAAAAGTATCGTCAAGATGCACTGCCTTTCGTTTTTTTGAAGCAGCTGCGTGTGTAACACCAAGGATCTCTTTGACCAACTTGATCGTGCACCACACACCCAATTCTGAAAAAGTTGCTCGGATCCTTTTTAATTGTTTTTCAGTGACTATCAAGCGCTTTGAATCTATGGATACCGTATCATGTTGTAGTTGAATGAAATGCTGAGCTGCTGCTATTTCGTCATCGAGCTGTTGTGTAGAAACAGTGTACGATTCATCTGAAAATGCATTGCCACCATCTCTCGCCTGTGGGAGCTTGCAAAAATAGCTTTGCAGTTCTTTTCTATCATGAGAATCAGTTGAATGAAAAGTAAAAAGGCTATTGAAATCATTGGTGGTTGAATCATATTCAAGCACTGTGACATCTGTGTTTCTGGGCTGAATATTGTCTTGACGTCTATCTGGGACTACTACGGTCTGACAACTAAACATTACCATTAAATCTTTCAAATTTTTCTCCAGATCTTTCAAATTCATAGATATAGAGTGGATAGGTATGGAAGAAACCACAAAGATCTTGGGTCGTGGAGAACGGACTGGGATATGGCAATAAAATCCGTTCATAATAGCCTGATGCTCCTGTGCATTACGAGAATGGTGGCATTCATCGAATATAATCAAGCATATATGCTTGGAAAGATCGAGATATTTTCGAGTCAATAAATTGACGAATAGCTGTTGTGGCATGACCAGAACTTGGCTGTTTGAAAACTCTTTTTGCCAGTGATTGTAATCAAGATGTGATATAGAACTGCTTTCCTCCCCAGAATAACCCCTGACTACTAGATCGGTATACTGATGGATTTCATTTGCCTTTTCCTTGACAGCTCCTTTGGTTCCAACACATACAATAGTCTGAATTCAATCTAGGTTAGTATCGTAATAAGCATACTACACAAGCCAGCAAGTGCTTTTAAATTTGAACACAATGGTAAGCCCAATTAAAAATGGACCCACTGGAATACTTGAATCACCATTACCTTGCGAGAGTTCAAGGTTTCTGAGTTCTGGATGTGATAGGTCGAAACAGCCAAGTTGTTTTCACTGGTGGAATAGGTTTGTTGAGAAGGCTGAACATGTACAAGTGGTAGTTTCTCGGTAATTGCATCAATCAGCATGATAGAAACCAGAGTTTTGTAGTCATTTGAATCCATAAAGGCAATTACATTGTGGTGGATTGCCTCTTCATATACTCGGATCTGATATGGTTTAATATTTTCTTCAAGCATTAGATTGGAGAGGATGGATTTTGTTGGAAAAGTACTACTATTGATGCTGTCATGAGTGTTGATAGAATCAAAAGTCTTGACTGGCCATTTACAGCTGCATTCACACGTAAAACAGAATACTTGTATTTATCTCGACTTTATTTAGATTTGGGATAAACGATGGTTGAATGCTTGTTGCTCTTTCCTATTAGAAATCGGACCACTGCTGAGCGCTTTAATAGTAATTGCAAAATCAAATTATAGTTTTGAGCCGATTCTTCACTTTTGTTAGTCATACATTGTACGATCACCAGATTTGCTACAATCCAGACATTGTGCTTGGTTGATAACATTAGCAATCGAACCCTTTTTGTCATATCTTAACATATCAGATATGCTCTGGTTCAACAAAACAAAGATTGCAACTTGTTTTCATGTCAATCACTAGGAAAAAAGACCAGCCAGCTTTAATAAGCTCAGAACACACAATGCTGCCTAGTAAATTGGCACCCATCATGCCATGAGATGAACTGTTTATGATGTGATTGAAACCCTTTTAGTTTCCATTTTCATGAATACAGTTGTATAGCTGGTGAATAAACGAAACAAAACAGCACCAACATTTGTGTTCAAAGTCGAGTCTAGAAATTCAAAAATATATTTTTCCTTTTGTTAGAACTCACAATCGCCTGCATTAGCATGTCCTCTGTTGCCAGTGTCAGGAAAAGAGCTTCTTCCACCATGGGTGGTTCTCACAGTCCGGACAAACCGTCTCTTTCTATTACTACCGTCGATCAAAAATCAATGGCTCCTTTTTTTGTCAGCACTGCCGATAGAGTGGTTTCTCTAGCTACAAAGGCTTCTGTATGTTAAACTGTATGGAATATCACTCTTTTCAATTGCCATATTGGTTAGCCAGTCTGCTATTCAATGATCTTGTTGTTCAACACGGCATAATATAACGGGTGTGGTGTTCAACTACCACCATTCTCTAGCTAGGATTGTTCGGCCTGATTCTCAATTTTAGCTGATACTCATTGACCAACTCCTGCCATTATTTTAGGTAAAATAACAATGCTGATTTATTTTAAACTTGTAGGTCACTATATTTTGTGCATTGGTTATATACTATGGCATCATCAATCCCTCTGCTGATTCTACTCTAAATACTAAAAGGTATAAATTGACTTTTAACGGATACTGCCAAAAGATACTTGATGTCAAACCTCATTCATTTCAATCCATATATGTAGAGGACTTGCTGCAGGAGCATTTGCTGTTTGTCTTGTTGGACTATTCCAGTTCAATGACGGACCATTCATTCGACCTCATCCTGCATTCTGGAAGTTGGTGCTGGCAGTCGGTGTTTGTTACCAGATTGCTTTGCTCTTTTTACTCTTCCAGGTATTGATCAATCTGTATTCACTTGATGGCTGGATATATTCCTTGTGATGGCTGTATCTAATCGTAGTTTTTGTAAAAGACCAAGGAGAACGCACGAGCACTTTTTAACTACTTTGATTCGTCACTCGGCATTCCTCCACCAGAAAAAAGTTATGCTGAAGACTGTGCAATTACTTGGGAGATTATCTACGTATGTTTTAAGCACTTGATTTGAAGGCAGTATTTATGTTGACTAACTGTAAATACCCTTTATTTTAGAATCAAATGGATGTGTTTGTGATTGCACATACTATGGGCTGGTTCTGTAAAGCCTTGGTACTACGTGATTACTGGCTTTGCTGGATCGTGTCCATTATGTTTGAAGTCATGGAGTACTCTCTTGAGCATCATCTACCAAACTTTGCTGAGTGCTGGTGGGATCATGTAAGTTTTGCTAATCGACACATCCTCTTGAAGTGATTCTTTGTAAGCCACCACTTCAATTTTATTGTACTTTATATTTGATGATGTCAGAATAGATTTAATACTATTTTGTTTATTTGTAGTGGGTTTTGGATGTGCTGATTACCAACTGGATTGGAACCTATTTTGGCATGAAAGCTTGCGAATATTTTGAAGTCAAGGTATGAACTAGATCTCCTGATCAGAATGTTGATTGGACACTATCAACATTCAACTTTTTAAAATTTAAATAGCACTACTCGTGGCGAGGAATCGGTGAAATCCCCACTATTAGAGGGAAACTTGCGCGAACAATGGGTCAGTTTACTCCGTATAGCTGGGTCAAGTTTGAGTGGCATTCGACCAAATCCTTTCGTAACTTTATTGCAGTTATTGGCATACTGTGTCTTGTAAGTTGTTATTATTTTTATTAGTGATGCTGATTTAGCTATGTCTCGTTTTATTCATCCCAATTGCTTTGTTTCAACTACAACAAACTTGGACTATCAGGAGCTGCAATGTGAGCTAAACGCATTCTACTTGAAGTATCTGCTTTGGGTTCCCGTGTCACATCCCATCAATTTGTGTCGTCTACTGTTCTTTTTTTTCATGTGTCTACCCGCTCTACGAGAAGCATATCAGTACTTGACAGATCGCAACTGCAAGACATTTGGGATGCATGCCTGGGTGACTTCGATATGCATTATTACCGAGTTACTTATTGTTATCAAATTCTCCGAGGGTGAGTTTACCAAACCTACGCCCAAACGCATCATTGTGTTGTGGACAATCCTTTTATCGTCTTTGGTTGGATACTCCATCTGGAGATTTGGAATTCCGTGGCTGCACGGACGCTCGTCCTCATTGCCATCACCAGTGCACCAAACCATACCAGAGGTGTCGCCAATCAAAGCCTCGCACTCAACTAACAAGACTGTCAAACATACGCAATAAACCATTTTGGAAGTTTTTAAATTAAAATATCAGTGCACAGTTTATTCATCATCCATAGCATCCAACTGTTTTTTGAATGCTTTTAGCATGGAAAGAACTTTGGAAGGTGCTGCACCATCTGCTGCTCGAATTAAATTGGCAATCATAATGATTTGTTTAGGTGTTTCTGCATTGATCCATACCCGTCCATTCATACCAATTGCTGTTTCAAATGGAAACAAGCTCGATATTTGAGCAAGAATTGTATTATTTTTAGCCATCAAACTAGATTCATCGTGTCCAAATTTCCAAAAACGCAGATATACATGAATTAGTACATTGACCGATCATGCATTAGTATCAACCTACTAAAAATACGAGTTTTTCGAGTTGTGATTCAATTGACAAACCTTCTACACATTCCAAGAGAGCACTTGATCATGAACCCATCATTGAGTTCTCCAAATCCATCAGCTTTTCCAGAGGAAGGATTGATGCATTCGATCTCTGGCTCCATATCTTTATTTGCAAGCGAGACACGGGCATATACCAATGCACCGACTTCTAGATTGGGTTTGTTACGCTTGGTTGCTCCTTCAAAGGCAAGTACAGGAAGTGCAGCGGGGTGTGGGCCACCAATATCTACTCGGTAACTCTCCATATGCTTTGATGATACAACTGCTAGTACTGGCTCACCAAGTGCTGGAATATACTGTTTACAGCCAAATGCATAGATTCAAAATGGTGATCAGTTGTTTCGAATTAACAAGTTGCATCATCCAATTAGACAAACAGTTTTGGTTCATGATAAAGGAAGGTTTGAATTGGAATATTCTCGACTCAGTTTGAAATCGATTACTGCATTGACTTGGTTTAAAAATGCACTCACCTTTTTTTGTGAGGCGGTCAGCCATAATCGGTTGCCTGACGCTTCTGTAACAAAGCCCGACTTGATTGCCACTATAGTGTCCTGCTTTTGTGATAGTCCAGGACCTAGTCTCAATGGACTAGCTACATCTATGACATCGGATGGAACAACGATATCACCAGGAAGCACAAACGTCGGCATCAAAGTTGATTAAATTAAAGACAAGGAACGAAAATATTTATATTTCAACTCAACTTCACCATGTTCTGAAAGCAGATTGCTGTTGTAACCTTTCAACAGCGTAAGTGATTCATTTGTAAAACTGCACGATTATTTCAGGTTTGCATACACACTTTATATAGATGAAACACTCAAGATCGTGCTAGAACAAGATCAACACCAAGCTCAGCGAGCTCAGTAAGCTCAGCAAGCAGCCACTGTTAGACTAAACAAGTGATGCTCTATACTCAGTCAAGTGAAGCAGTGAATTCTTCAGCCAATTGGCTGTGCCAGCAAGTCAGATTGTTGCCATGATACAGGAAACACGATCCATGGATGATTCTGCCATCCAAATCAACAATCTACCAATATTTGCGAAAGCATCACAAGAAAGTAATCAAACAAACGTAAGCTTGCCCCTTCTAAAGCCTCTTGCTCAAACTTTAAAAAGGTATTGTAGATGTGGTGGTAGTCGCTGCAGGAGGAGCAAGAATCAAACTGGAGCACAAACATATCTAGGATTAGAATACAACAAAAATGAATCTGTAAAGCTCAAGAAAACGGATTGCATGTCTCTGGAATGCAACTGCTGCTTTCATGTCATAACATTTGGTTTAGATGAAGGAGAATGGAGAAAGATCAGAAAACTAGAGTTTAGCCAACATAGTAATCTCCAATACATCTCAAAGGCTGGCTGTTTATCATGTACCTTGACATTCTTATTTAGTATTTCATCTACATGAATATGGTCGTCAAGATATTCAACCCAAGCCATTCCCCACTTTGAATTTTAGTAAATAAACCGCGAAGCTAGATCACGCAGCAAGAATAATCATTTAAACTTGCTATGCATCTGACTATTCACTGCATCATACATTTGTTTATTAGGCTATTTTACAGTATAGATCGGCAAAATCAATATTTTTACAAGAATTACATGGCTATGGGGCATAGCACCAGATTGTTTGTGCCCATGATAGCATAATGATTAAATGTACAATCTTGATATGAGCTGGTTCAGATTGACACCAAGAGTCACGCATATAGAGATGTTGCGTGTTTTGACTCGAATCAAAGCAGTTTGCTTTGATCTGGTTTGTCATTTGTTATTGTCAAGTATTCACTATACCGCTGGAATTTTTGGGAATATAGATTATTGGACACATTACTGAGGCTTTATATGAGCGGATAATTAGATTAGATCAACAAAAAATACATGATGCTTGTACCTAGCCATGCTTGATGATCCCCAGCCCTTATACCACGCTAATGGCTGTAAACAGGTATGACTTGTCATATGCGGCTCTGACAGAGTTGGTCCAACCCGTGAAATGGTAATTTCTAGAAACAGATGCAACATCATGTCAAAACCAATCAAGCCGGTTTCAAAAGCTCAGTAAGAATGACGAGTCATGCTTGACCTGTTGCTCCTATCAAGACTGTTGGTGTTGAATGAAGCAGGTTTAGAGTGCACCAGATAGAGTATTTGCACACTAATGAGTGAAATAAATAAAAAGGCATAGCATATGAATAAATGGAAAATGATCATTTGCATCTGCCTATTGCCCCACGTTGGCTTAGCATAGCTCGAGTTTTTCCATTGAAATAGGGGCAGCCTATGGTACTATTTTAATGTTTTATTAGGTATTTCAAATTTGCAATACTTGAAAACTTCTTTTTTTAAAAGCGAAACTAAGTTTGAATCTATAGACCATCTATTCTGGTTTAAATAAAGGTCGAGCCTTTACCAATTCACACCCAACCAGTTCCCTTGTGGTAAGTCTTTGTTGACTAAGCCATTCGAATTATCTAAATGCACGACTGCCTTTCTAGCACCAAAAATTGGTCTTGAACAGTTTATAGAGGGACTGTATACCAAGACGATGCAAACCACGTTGAATTATTCAGACCAATCTCAAACAATGACTTGTGCTCTTGTTGACAATTGAGCAAAGCATTTCCTTTTACAGTATATTGCTCAAATCAAAATGCTTGATCACTAGTATAAATCGTCTAAAGTGTCTGCCTTGCCCGTAGTGGGTAGTCAGGATCGATACATTGTTGATGCGTTATTTTACAGCCGTATTCACGTAAATGGAGCACTTGTATTATCTTGGTGACCACCTTCTATTCTATTTCGGAGTAGGCAATGGTTAAATATTCATTGCGCCTTTCTACTACAAACTGGCTGCTTCTTCGATAGACATTCTCAATTCTTTCAAACAATGTCCATTTTAGATACGAAATCAAACTATAATTTGAACTCGAGTGATCTTTTTAAACCTCCCTATCTCCACTTTTGGCATAGCCATAGATTGTACGATCAACAAGTTCGAAACCAGACTCATCCACTGGAATCCAGATATTGGGCCCGACTGTTCTAATAGCCAATCCCCACTTTGTTGTATCCTGATATCAGATATGTTTGCGCTCTAGTTCAAAAGAACAGTGATTGTACATTTCAGTAATGCGACTGTTTCCATACAATCACACAATGTTTACTTGTAATGTTCGGTTTGTAGAAAGGGAGAGTTGGAGATTGAACAGATGTGAAGGATGCGAAATGATTCAAACAGGAATGTGGATGCTGCTTTGAACACTCGCTCAGTATTTTTATATAAAAGTGAGCGCAAAAAGAGATCAGTAAACTTAATGAGTTCAAACATTGTTCAGTAAATTTGGTGAAATACCATTTCATGAGACTGGCCATTACCATACACTTTGACTCACTATTTAGCGTTTCATTTTACGTGAATACGACTATAATATTCTCACCACTGTATCGATCTGACTAAATTCTACTTATTTTTCTTCTGCCGCTGTTCATAGCTCATTAAAGTTGTACTTGCACTTACATTTTTTTCTGGAAATATAGGGTCTGTGCGAGTGAATTCAAACTACATTACTGATTCATATTACTTTGCTCTTGCTTTTCGTCTGACGGAAAAAATAGCAGTATTCCCCTACTTCACTACCAAATTGCCCAGCCACTGTTTTTTTTTCTAGCATTATACAAACAAGCCAATACTATTTATCCCCACTCAAAATCTTGTAGATTTCTTGGCAACCACGAAGCCCGACTAGATTTTCTTGCCACACATACTATTTACCGAGTCAGAAAACCTGAATTTATTTATCGGCAGCAGAACTGTATAGTAAATTTGGATTCACTGATAGCATTTACGCTAGTGCCTTCATAATCTGCACAACCAATTTTACTTCCGCTAGAAATTTAACCTTGCTTTGCAGCAACCAAAAGCACAATCCTACAAAGAGATATAGGCTTGGGGATCACTCTTTAAGGAGATGCCTGCACTTTCCCAGCTGCCGTTAGACACGACAGAAACAGAAGCCGTCATTCCCATACCTGTCACGATACCCTCGTCCATTTTGATAGCATCAACGGGCATCTCCCACAACAGTGCTTTATCAAACCCTGCCACTTCAGCCAGCACTCCATCTGCCACTATTATTAGTAGTATCAATCTGCGCGACCAGCAGCACACGGAGGATGAAGTGAGCACTGCTCAACCACCTTCAATGGCACGACAGACATGGTGTCATCAAGAAGCACAAGCCAGACCAAATCCACATCAAGCCAACAATGATACTGATGGGCCTGTTGTATCTTGTAGTAATAGTGGTGGCCATGATAATAATATCGCATTGTGTGATCCAAATTGTTCTCCTGTCGGCTCACGCAGCACAGATCAGCCATTCTATTACTCTGCACAATCCATGAAGCCATCTTGCTCCACAGACGAAGCACGTCCAGGCTTTCCACACCCTTTGCAGCACATTGAGAGCAAAAGACAGCCACTAACAGAGCAAATTCACACACCACATAGTCATAATAATGCGTTGGGCAGAAACCGCTTATGCTCAGACTCAAGCCAAGCCAGCTTATTCTTCACACCTGTTGAGTCGGCTCAAACCAAAGTCGCCAAGTTGACTGAAGAATCTCGTTGGTCACTTGGTCGCACAATGGCAAGCACAGCCACTGACGCGCTTGTGGCGCCAATCACTCATGCGTCGCGATCCCAAGCATTTATACGAGATTCATTATTCACCTCCACACCATCTGGCCATTCATGCCCAATACCCTCAACCAAAGCACAAGGAAAGACAACAGAAGCATCAAAGGATGGCGAGGAGAAACTGTATCAGGGTTATGTGCATGAAATTCGATTGGGGGCTGGATCGCGGATGGACCAAACTCCCACCATTGACCAAGTGACACCGTTGATTATGAGCCATGGCACATTCGACTCTAATTCTAATCAGCAGTTAAAAGGTACCCATATGTGTCAGGGTAAAAATACTCAATTTCAATACGGTTGCAATTATAACCTTGATCCAAACCATTCAAAGACTTGCAGCCCCTTGGATAGCCACGCATTTTCGCAACATCCATCCCAGTCACCATCGCTGCAATATAGTGCTTATAGTAGATCTGAATCTACTATAAGCACTTCACTTCAATCTTTAGAAAAACATCGGGCTCCGACCATGTCCTCCTTACCAACAACACATTCAACTATCTATCCATCAGACTTACATCAATACCACCAGAAAGGTCACGAATCCGGACATATACCAGAGTCAGAAACAGATCAAAAGTTAAAGCCAGAGTCGATTCAATATAATGAACAGAAGCAATACCAGAAACCTCAACAGCCAATTTCTCGCCCACTTTCATTGGAATCTCGGCACCAGCAGTCATATCCAAGTTCCACTTCGCCATTCAATATACCATTTCAGAGTAGTCCACTTTCCACTCGCCCAGCACGTAGATTGTCAGCATCACCACTATTGTACCCAACCCAACCTACTTTACATACATCGGTAGCACCATCATTGCCTACTGCAGCACATCTCATGCAAGGACTTGGCTCTACGACATCCTCCTCGCGTCGTGGTGGAAAGGGTATTGTGCGGCCTTGGACTATTGACGAGGATCAGGCTCTTGTAGATGCCATCCGAAAACATGGGACTCAATGGACTATGGTTGCATCCATCATCCCAAATAGTAAGCAACTTGTCATATTGACTATATATCCTTGGTTTCTAATCTTTTTGATTCCAACTCACCCGTCTTTTTAATATCAGGAAATCGTCGCCAATGCAAGGAGCACTGGGCACGAGTATTGTCCAAGCAAGTTCCACAATCAATGGTAGCATGCTTACCCAATACCACCTCAGCTATTTCTCAAGCCGCTACAGAATATACGTCTTCTTCAGGATCTACATGTGTCTCAATGTTACTGAATGATACCACTAGAACAGTACTTGGACAGAATGCCATCACATCACGTAAACACAATTTAGATGACTTTTCAGGATACCCAACTTCTCATGGATCTCATGCTCGAACAGCATCTAGCATGGACTCATCTGGTACGCCATCGTCCCATTATACCTTTGCCCATTCAAACCTACATTTTTTAAAACAGGATTCAGCGGCTACGCTTTCTAATCTGACTGAGCAAGATATGCCTCAATCGGGACAAAATACCAATCCTCCAAACTCATGGATTCAATTACACAAGAATTCATTCTCTTCCAATAGCTTACAGTCAAAAACTTTGAAGTCACCGGCCTTTTCTTCCACACAAAAGGATGGATATGCTTTGATGTCACCAAACCAAAATAATCGCATGCTTCGCCATAACTTAGTGGTGTCAGATACAGGAGTATCCACGGACGATGGTATGGATATTGACATGGCAGGAGACGATTATTTTGGCACATTGGATCCAGGAAACGAAACCGAGGAGACTCTTGGCCAAACAGATGCATCAACACATTTTTTAAAATTAGGCGTATCTCAGCTTACTTCAAGAGTAGGTCTATGGTCTCACGATGAGGATTCCAAACTACTCAAGGCTTACGAGTTGTTTGGTCCCAGATGGGTAGTGATTTCAAAGCATATTGCTGGACGAAATCATCGACAGTGTGAGAAGCGGTTCCGTCGTATACGGAAAGCTGCGGCGGATGTTGCAGATATTCCGAATGGCACGCAAACCAGCTCTGTCGAGATAGATCATGCTTCGATGTATTCAACAATCCCGAAATACAAATCTCCTCCATTTGATCAGAATTCTGATGTAATACAACAGGATAACCATGTTGCTTTACAATCACGGCGTAATTCACAAGAATCAGAGTCTTCGTGTCTTGTGTCGGCACGCACCGCTAATTCATCAATACGTTTACCGTCACTTCGAACTATCATTCCGGCCAATATTCTTGACGCTTCTCCACATTTAGATACCTCTTCATCAACTGGAGAACCACCTAGTCAATATATCCGATACATCAGCTCAAATAGCTACCAATTGAATCCCGATCCAGTTGGACCAAGTGCGCCTCAATTTGACATTTCACATACTCTTATGCATGAAAAACAATAGAGTTTGAGTCGTATTATTTTTGGATCATTCTAAATATGGATTTTTGTTTCCAATTTTTAAACTTTCCAGGTTTGTTTTGTTTTTATTCTTCCATTCTGGATTCTTTTATGTTCTGCTTCTATACCCATTTGTGCATTATTTAAGAGGTCAAGGATGGATGCATTGTTTAGTAGTTTCTGTAAACGTATGTCAGATCTAGATCTTTGCCTTTTGTTTCATGCCATCCTCGATCCACTTTGACCAATCTCAAACTAGTGTTGACTTTGATTGATCAAAATGCACTGACTAATGCATGTCAACTGTTTGTATATCTGCTGCTTGGTGTCAATTGCACTCTTTTACTTTCCCTTTTCTTTTATTATATCTAAATACCCAGTTCTTTTTTGAATACTATTTTGTTTTTTCAAACGGCATGTTTGGTTGTTAAAAATGATTTGAAGGGGAGCTCATCAGATGGGGTTGTGTAAAACTGTTGTGGCTAGAATGGCTAGCATTATCACTGGATACAGCAAATTTTGAGCTGAAATACAATATATATAATCATTTCAAATCAAGCCAACATTTTGCAACGCATTGGCCTGGTTTATTTATCCCATAGATAGGGCTCAGATACAAATGGTCCAAATGCAAAAATAACTCCAGATACATACATGTCATCTCTTTGAATTAGTCCGTTACTAATGAGTCCTATAACCCAACCAACATTCAGTCACAGTTGCCTTTTATCAATTCAAAATAGAGATGCTTGAGCTATAATGTCGTACTAAACATACCCATGGCACCAGAATTCGATCGCACATCTTTTAAGCCTGAGAGTTCATCTATGACCTCTGCAAGCTCTTGACCAGTAAGAATCTTTGACATGATCTTTTTAGAAAGTTCAAAACGACCACTTGATGCTAAACCCATTTCCCCCTACATTAAATAATTTATAGTTATTAAGCTCTATTACCAATCTGTCAGACCTCAGTGTTTCATCAAGGTTTTTAGCGTGCCCATATGCTCGATTAAAAAGAATATGTATTCCAACAATTAAATCCAACAATCAGCATCAATGCAAAACAGAATACGTACTTTGTTACTCAGGACAGCTATCCATCCAGACTCAAACCATCGATCACCGATCTGGTGGATTCCTCCTTCAATCCCTAAAGCTGATTAAAATGAATTAGCTTTACAAAAGCGGTATTGGAATAAATTGCCAATACGACAGGAAATTGATTTTGGAATCAGAATAAAGTACTTTTAGGATGCCGACATGACTTTGCATTAGTGTGACTAGATAGTGGGCAACACTAGCCCAGCATCGAAACTCACCGTAGTCCGATTGAGGCCTAGCGCATAACGAAGCCTTTGCTCTGTTTTCAGCTCCTCGTATAGTTTCATTGTCTGATAGGGGTTGGGCAGCAACTCCGCTGGGCACAGATAAACCCTCGACAATAACTGAATGGGTAGAAAATATCTGTGAACAAGCGGTTCGAGCAGCTCGTAGCTTTGCAGCATTGGTTGAGCCAACTACAATATGCAGAACAGGCTGCTGCGTTTGTATTGGCTTCGGATGCAGAGTGTCGAGCTCTGAAGCTGACATGATTGAAAGTCCAAAACAATAGAAAAAATGGCCCTTTACTCTGGTTGTCTTGTATTTTGTTTAACCCAGCGCAGTGCGGTCGAGGGTTATTTGAAAGTTTATTACTGCTGTCTTCACGTAAAATAGAATGTCAAGAATGCATAACAGTCAGTTTCACCAAGTGATTGGCGTCAGTTTACTGGACAGTATTGTCCTCGAAACTCCTCGACAAAGTTGATTGGTATTTTCCCAGCGATCGGCATGAGAACAGTTGCATTCCTGAGATGTACAATCGGTTTCTCAACGCGAATGTAATCTGATATTTCTGGAATACAAATACGAGCTTGTAGGGGTTGAAAACAATCATACCCAATCATTGGATTGCAATGGATGAGTCTGGAGATTGTAGTGTATGACTATACCAAAAATGAGAAAGGGATTAGTTTGGTTCAAAGCAATAATCTGAGCATCATATGATGAACATTGTGCTTTGAAGAAGTGAAGCGATGCAGTCAATCTCTGGTAGGAAAATGGAGCATATCTTTTATTGTTTTAGAGCAAGAGGCAGTGACTATGACACAGAATTCTATTTTACGTGAGTACGGCGATGAATATGACACTAATCAGATGATGTTTATTCAACAGGTATGCCAATAACATTGCTCAGGTCTATTCTCGGTTACCAACACCAAAAAAATGTGTCGAGTAGTCAGTACCAAGCAATGGGAAGTTTGAAATACAAACCAAGCATTTCTGTATCTGCACTGTGGTTTAAAATCAACCCATGACAATGCCCAATAAAAATCAACAAGCTCAATAGTATCAAAGGAAATCCACGCATCGAACTACTGCCACACGTCCTTATTGAGCTGCTGAGTTTGAAAGAAAATAGCTTTCATGTGAAAGACGTTTTAAAAAGCAAAGCACTGATGTGAATACATGCTGCTATGGTAGATTCATATGGGATTTTAGTATAGTTTTGATTCAGTATTGCGTATCACATTGATAGATTCAGTTGTTCGAGTTTGGTAGCACTGCCAAGATGGTCTATCGAAATGGTCGAGTAAATAGACAAACTTGATATACATTCATTATACATAAACCAAGGTAGACAGTGCATGTCCAAGCCCAAGATTCTACAATCCATGGTTACAGCTTGCATGTTTGAATATTTTCCACATTCATCCACCCTAAATCAAAAGGTTAAAAGTCGCAACCGTGATCAGACTCCGATTCCCACTACATCTATTCTACTAATTTGACTAGTAGAAACAGCTAATCTGTCTTTATTTTAAATATAACCTTTTAATAACACTCGATCCTTTTCTTACAAAGTATTCCATGTCAGTTATGGTTTCTGATCCTGGCACTTCATCCATCGGGTTTGTCATTGCCTGCACTGGACTAGTGTTTATCATGATTCCTGGTGTTGGGCTATTTTATTCTGGCTTGGCTCGCTCCAAAAATGCTCTCTCTCTTATCATGCTGAGCATGCTATCCATGTCTGTTGTAACGATTCAGGTAAGACTCTAAAGCAGATGACTAAATAAAAGTGGATATCTCGTATCCAATAATGCCGACGGTAGCATATCAGATGACCTCTGTTCGTGCAAGGACAGAGTAGACCACATGCCATATTTGGTGTTTCCACTGTCAATCTATCGGCATTTTTGGATATGCAGTCAGTTGATAAGATTTGCTGCTAACATCTTTATTGGCTGAAATACAATAATCTAATGCTCGTTGGAATACACTTGATAGTGGGTACTGTTTGGATTTTCGCTCGCCTTTTCAGATACTGGATCTGCCATTATTGGCAACTTCGCCATGGGAGGACTTAATTCGGTGGGAATGGATCCAATCCCTGTTGTTGCTACGTTTATTCCAGGAATCCTTTTTGCCGTATACCAGATGCAGTTTGCTACAATCACTGTTGCCCTAGTGTATGGATCAGTTGTTGAGCGTATTCGTTTAGTTCCTGCTTTGGTGTTTGCGTTTGTGTGGACTACCGTTGTTTATGATCCCATTGCTTACTGGTCCTGGGCCAATCGCGGATGGGTTCGTAACATGGGTTGTCTGTCTACCACTGCCCTAAATCAGACCCCGTGTGGTATTGGATCGCTGGACTTTGCTGGTGGTGGTCCCGTCCACGTGGCTTCGGGATTCGCCGGTCTCGCTTACTGTCTGGTTGTTGGCAAGCGAAGGAGCATTGGTCCTGGCTCCGAAAAAGTAGAGTTTCTTCCTCACAACATCACCAACGTATTCATTGGTGCTGCGCTACTTTGGTTTGGCTGGTTTGGGTTCAATGGTGGGTCTGCACTTGCTGCAACCCCTCGTGCTGCAATGGCTGTGACTGTTACCACCATTTCTGCTGCAACAGGCTCACTTGCTTGGACTATCATGGCGTGTCTTAACCACAATCGTTTATCCGGTATTGGGTTTTGCTCCGGCGCCATTGCTGGATTGGTTGCTATTACTCCTTCCGCAGGCTATGTCGCTCCTTGGGCTGCTTTAATTATTGGATTCCTCTCTGGCGTTTCCTGCTACTACGCAACGCGCATCAAGGATGCATTTGGGTTTGACGACTCTCTGGATGCGTGGGGAGTACATGGAGTCGGTGGTATACTTGGTAGCCTTCTTACTGGTGTGTTTGCTCAAAAGAAAATAGCTGCGCTTGATGGGGCCAGTATTGATGGCGGATGGATTGATGGAAACTGGATTCAAATGGGCTACCAGATTTCGGGTACTGTTTCGATCGCTGTCTGGTCTTTTGTTGGTTCTCTGTTGATTCTTCTCGTGATTGATGTGATTCCCGGTCTTTCACTACGTCCTACTCCCGAGGATGAAGATGCCGGTGCTGACTACTCTGAAATGGGCGAAACGTGTCACAGCAATGAGTCGACTCGAATAATCAATGGAACAAATCCGTCTCTGAGTGATGTGTCGGCCAATCGATCTAGTACACACACTCTTCGAGTGGGTACAGAAGTATTTTAAGTTTGGCTGTGACATTAGGATGTTTAAAGACTTATCAACTTTTCCAACTTTGAAACCATACTGTCCAGAACCAAGTGCTTTTTAAAATAGGTTGCACTTTTTATGCTCAAGATTTACATCAAATAAACTTTTTACAGTTCTTGAGATTAAATGTAGTTTTTGTTCAAACGCCAAATAGCTGGACAATAGTAAAAACAAGCTGCTTGAATTTAGAGCTTGCAGAAACAGTGGTTGAAAATACAACATTGGCTGGATCCAGCAGAATACTCGGCGACTTGAATCAAAAAAACACTGACAATTCCATGCAACTGGGATATCTTTTAATGGCATAGTTATCGGTGTTTAAAAAATGCTATTTGATAAAAACAAGATCAAGGGACTGGGTAATTCAAACACCGACTCGTCTTGTTCATTACCAGCATCTGTAATAAATACAGGCTAGTTCTAATCACGGTTTTGGCAACTTTGAAATGACTGAATCATGGCTTATCATTTTATCACTGTTACAATTGAAATAAATCATACTTTTTAGCTAGGTTTAATCCCACCACACCAATATGGAAAATATTGACGAGCATATTTGAAATAAGTGTTATTAAATATATTCGTTTTTTCTTAACCAGTCAGTAGCCATGAGTGCAGTCTGGACTGATGGAAGCATCACAAGCCCTTGAAGAATATATGTGTGCAATGTATCCAGTGAAATATCCAACGGTTCAATGTATTCTACAATCACCAGCATACAACGTTAAATTTGGATCGTGATATGGACATGACCACTGCAAATCTACACGAATGCGTTCAAAATAGTGTTGAAATACATAAGCAGCGTATAGATGATAAACTCGTACCTTCAGTATCACAAGAAAGTGGAGCTATATCATCCTCTGGATCAATCACAAGAAATGGAACGAATTTGTTGCGACTCCACTTGAGTTCAGGAATGCCGTCGTGATCGGGTGGAATCAGTCGAATCCATTTACCACCTCTCAGTTTGGCTTCTTCAGACAATTCTGACTCTGCAGTGTCTTGAATGCTGCTCCATAATAAAGCATCAAGAATAAATTGAAATGAGTTGAAACAGTCGACTTTCTACACTTTAGATGTTTAGCCTACTTTTTATGTTTCTTGGCATCAAATCCACCAGCAGCAAAAGTATATGCCATGACGTTTGGACCCTGTGCATATTCTACCAGCAAACGGACAGTTTTCTAGACCATCATGATTACCGTGGTTAACGCTCCAAATCAACGACGGAAATACTAGATCTAGTACTGGTTTCAAAACATTACCTTTTTAGAATTGTAGGGAAATACTGTTGCGAAAGCAGGAGCTTGAGTGCCGTGCCCAGCAACATCCCTACAAGATGATTGTAATGCAATATTGGACAAGAAATGAGATTTGCTAATGCGAGATACTGTTCAGATTGAGCTTGAACTTACCAATCAATCACACGGCCATCTGGAGACTGAACCTGACGACTCCATACTGTAAGAAAGCGCTTATACGTTTGCTGTTCAGAAACAATAGGCTGCTGTTTTCTGCTCTGAGCCAATTCATTCATCTGCTTGTCCAACATACTCTGAGCCCAACAGTTATCAGAGCTACTGGGATGAGTATTGTGTAAAACGGAGCCAATTTTATATTGGTTATTAGCTTTGGTGGTAAAGTGGTTTTGAAGGCATGCGAATACTATTCGAGTGGATGGAATACAACTTGGGCTGTTGCCAGCACTCAGTTCTAACAACGCAGAAACTCGACTAAAATGCATTGTATCTATATCTACTCAAGACTAGATATTCAAACCCTTGATATTGCCATGTTCACGTAAAATGGAGCATTAAAGCGATAAACAGCCAGTCTCATATGATGGAAGTTGTGTTTATTGAAGAATTGGGAATCTCGATCTGTACCAAGAATGCCCAACAGATATCCAGTCGTTGTTTATTCCTGAGCAATGACATGATGAATACAAGTTCCGTTTTACGTGAATACGACTTTAGATTCAAGTGCTTGCCCATGATCCGACTCTAATGGTGATGCAGGAAGAGGCTGGGAAGTCGTATCTGTTGAAAGTGAATGACCCGAACTCACAAAATCACAAGTGCTCTGTCCTACAATCAGTGGCTCTTCCAAGGTCAGATCTAACAACTGTGCTGAAATCGGTGCATCCGGTAATGCTCTTGCGCTGGACATGGATGTTGCAATAGAACTACTTCGCCTTAATTCTTGGACGTAGTCTCCAAAAATCTCTTCGTATGACTCGATACATGTCTTGACAATCGTCCCGATGCCTGCACCTTGGACGCCAATGGCACACATTCCAACATCAAGTACTGGATTATCGCTGTGCACAAAATTGGGCGACCATACAATCGTTAGATTACGTGATGTCATGAGATTGGTTTCGCTGTGCATGTACACGGCATTGAGGAGATCAAAGAGCTGGCAAAGAATGAGTTGCGTGGGTATCGTTAGACATGGGAGAAACTTTGTTCGGATAAAGTCTATCTTGTTGTTTGCTCCTATATATTTCAATGTATACAGCCAATATACATGTTAGAGACATCACGATTGATGTAAATACACGCCAACAGTAGTGACAATCATGAGACTGAATCAACTTTTGGTACATACGTTCAACCTCACGGACTGTTGGATATAATGACATGTGAACCAATGGTAATGGCAATTCTCGAAACCACAATTTAAGTAGACTGCACACAGTATGAATGCCACCTAGCTCATCAAAATCCACTGGAAGCCCTTCGTTATATAGGTTTTTGGCTTTGTGCAATGCAGTGAGCGCGGCAGATTTTCGAAACAATCCCTCAACATCCATACCTGTGCACAACCAATAAATGCATTAGATAATCTGAAGCCATATAATGTAGAATGGGCTCATTGAACTCGATCATTCATATAGCAAACATACCATTCTTCTTGATATAAGTCACACAATCAAGAAATATAGATGGACATCCTTTTGAGCCATCAACACCCATTAGAACATCCAAGCCCACTTCAAACACCTTTGTGCGGATTTGGCGTGTGGGTCTCCGTGAAAAGGATAAAAACCCAAATGCCTCTTGCTTTTGATTGTATCTAAAAGTACAACAGTGCATTAAAACTCGAATGATTTAGAAATCAATCTCAATATTACAAGACTCAATATATGATGGGTTTATACGCAACTCTTGAACCGCAGCAGGCATTTCGAGTTTTTGCATTGGAACTAAAGTTTCTAGTCGTGCAAGACTATCGACCCATACAAGCTTACTAGCAAACTTTGGACTAGAGTCAAATCATACAATTCAAAATTAGCCTATATTCTTTAGTTTAGACATGAGATTTAAAGTGATTTTTAAACATTGGCACAACCCAGCTCAACTGGCAGCCTAATAAACAGATCAAACATGGTATCAACGCAACACACCTAACAATCATTCCCATGGTTTGCAGCAAAAATTTGGGCCACATGGATGGATGAACCACATAAAGAGCTTTGAGGTTTTTGCGAATACTTGTGATCCAAACATTTAGAATCATTGTTAGAATGAGTTTGTAACATCAGTGTGGTTTTGAAACTGATCTAATCTCATTGACCTCTTACTTTCTGCTAAGTTTTGAATAAGCCTGAAGAGTCCAGCTCCAAGTTGGATAGTATGTGGCTCCGCCCGCAAAAAGAACTAGAGAATACTCATTGACAGACAGCGCTTCTAGCCGCTCCAGTAGCAATCTAGTCAAAAACTTTGATAATCAGCTTGACTGAGCAGACACTCCATCAACAACATGATCTGAGCAAAGCTTACAAGAGTAGTATATCATAGTTGACGGATTGCGGAGATGGTAAATGACAGCAATAAAAGGCATACATGCTTCGCCCGTTATTGTCTGTGCCTAGTTATAAAATAGCATATAGTAGTTTGATTCAATATGTCTGCTCCCAAATACAACATCAAGATGATCGGTAGTGAATAAGCCAATATATGGCTAGTAAGCATTTAGAATGTGTTTTTCCCACTCTTGCCAAATGAGCACAAGGGCTAGTTTGTGAATGGCAGACTGAAGGTGCTCAAGTTTGTCAGCTGTGGCTTTGCATACAAGGACACATCCATGTAGAGCGTGAAGAAGCGGCTTTCAAGCTTATTCAATGTCAATTGGTGAGCCATTCCGACATGCATGCTGGAAAAGCAGCGGTTCTTCAATGCACATTTTCATCCGAATACAAAAGTACGTTTGTGGAAAAGTGACGGAAACACAAGACATGGATTACAGACTGAACACACCTGCACTCCTGAGCAGACTGTCAGAAAGGGCAGAGCGAATATCTTCGTCAGTCATTTGTTCACCAATATCAATGCAGCAAGGGTTTTTAGCAAGAGATTGTTTGAGCAGACTCGTAGGAGATACTGGAGAGAGATGCAACTGCATTGAACAACTAGAGCATATACAATGTCGTTGAATGACAATGTTGAAGTCCGTTTGTCAAGTTCGTGTAATCCGCCGTACTCACGTGATGATTCGTCTGATAAGCTTTTATGATTTGATTGGTCAGACATTCATGTGTTGTTGGATCAAAAGACTACTTTTATGCACAATGAATCGTATTCTTGATTTACAGTCGTATTGATGTAAATGGAATACTAAAGGCGTCAAATTACATAATAAACGATCAGTTTCAGATATTACTGGACAACATTGTTTGGTAAACTCTCTAGTTTATTGGCCTTGTGCTCATTTCGTATCAACTCGACACATGTTTATATTACAGTTTCAATCAGTTTTCAACCCTTGCAAAACATTCAAGACTGGCATGAAAACAACTTGCATTTCTGGAATGTGCAATCATTGTTTTTTGAACCAGAGCGCGACGTATGTTTTTAGAATACAAGAGTGGAACTCGTAGAGTTTGACAACGGTTGAACCCAATATCTGGATTGCAATGGATGGATCTGGTGACTGTGCAATATATGGCTATGCTAAAAGTGAAAAAAGGGACAATTTCAGTTTGAAGCTAGTGTTATTATAGACGGACATTGTGGTTCAATTGACAATGTCAGTCATGATTAGGAGAGTGAAACAAGTATTCAATGAATAGTCAACCACTGTTCATCTCGAAACAAAAGAGTCACTGCAAGCTAAATGAAAAAGTGTTCATTTTACATGAATACGATTGTAAAACAAAATTTAACCTTGGAAACCAACTATTTGTCCAAATCCTCGGGTCCAAAACTGTCAGGAAGCAACTCCTTAAGAGATTTGATTTCCACCTTGTCAAAGCTTGCAGAAAACTGATAAACCTAAGATACAAGTGTTGTTGTAAATTTGTCAATATAAAACTAGTGAGTAGTTCGTATGCTGTTAAAGGCACAATTTACCTGAATGTGTTTTCCAAACTCGACCATGAACTGGCGACAGAATCCACAAGGTGAAATGGCAGCTTCCTTGTCACTATTCAAACATACAAAATACCCGGGTTAACAGCTTCATTGTGGCTCTCAGTTACACTCAAAACTTGATCGAGTATAGTGGCATAGATACAAATGCTACACTTACGTGATAACAGCAATTGCCAAAAACTTTTTGTGGCCTTCACTCTAAAAATTCAAAAAAGTATAAACTCGGTCAGCTTAAACCGATCTACAAGAGCTAAACCAATATCCTGTTAAAAAGTCGAGTGTATCAACATGACTAACCACAGCTTTAACAAAGGCAGTTCTTTCAGCACATATGGTTCCTCCGTATGAAGCATTTTCGACATTGCATCCTACAATATATTGAAACAGGGGTAAGTACAACTCGATGACTTGCTAGGATAGATTTAGTTCAATAAGTTGAATCTATCATTTCAATCATAAAAGACATTGCTTGCCTAGAAAGACTTCGCCGGTAGGAGCCAAAAGAGCAGCACCGACTCGAAACTTGCTATATGGAGAGTAAGACATCTCCTTGGCTAATTGCAATCCAATTTATAAATAAGGTTATTTATGTATAATCGCAGATACCAAATCCATGAAATAAGAATATCATATAGAAAAGGTCTTTAGTTTACCTTGGGTGGCAAACTGAGCCAGTTGCAACTGTACATCCTTGGACAGGACTCCTATTAGTAAGCCGAGTATGGGTAGGATCAGTAAAGCTACTCTATCTATGAAATCAAAAATCATCAGTACCATTGGGAGTGAGAGTAGCGATGTGTTGAGCAGACAGGAACGGCATAGTTGACAGTTTGTTGAATTGATGGAAAGTACAACTTGCTTATTGCTTTTACAATACAAGCAAATGCAGTGCACAAACCTTTATAATGAATTACAATCGTATTCACGTAAAATGAGCACTTTTTCATTTAGCTTGCAGTGACTCTTTTGTTTCGAGATGAACAGTGGTTGACTATTCGTTGAATACTTGTTTCACTCTCCTAATCATGACTGACATTGTCAATTGAACCACAATGTCCGTCTATAATAACACTAGCTTCAAACTGAAATTGTCCCTTTTTTCACTTTTAGCATAGCCATATATTGCACAGTCACCAGATCCATCCATTGCAATCCAGATATTGGGTTCAACCGTTGTCAAACTCTACGAGTTCCACTCTTGTATTCTAAAAACATACGTCGCGCTCTGGTTCAAAAAACAATGATTGCACATTCCAGAAATGCAAGTTGTTTTCATGCCAGTCTTGAATGTTTTGCAAGGGTTGAAAACTGATTGAAACTGTAATATAAACATGTGTCGAGTTGATACGAAATGAGCACAAGGCCAATAAACTAGAGAGTTTACCAAACAATGTTGTCCAGTAATATCTGAAACTGATCGTTTATTATGTAATTTGACGCCTTTAGTATTCCATTTACATCAATACGACTGTAAATCAAGAATCACTAAACTAGGTGAAATTAGTTATCCAGCAACTGAGAATTAGACCTTGGTCATCAGATAAAGGCTTGATGATCTGGTCACCAGTCCAAAATGTTCCGACTAGAATACGTTTTCTATGCTCAACACCCACAGTTCAAATCCTAACATTAGTCTTTATGTTGAAAATAGGTGGTAAACAGCCCATTAGCTATGGAGAATAAAAGCAATAATGCCAGTGATTGCAATAGTAGATCTTCAAATCCAAACTAGACACGTCTAATGGGTCAGCTGTAAAACATGGTTTTGAGTTGTCATTTTTACTTGCAATCCTAGTCCAAACAGCCATTGTACCTACTCTACCATTCACAAACATGTCAGTCTCGAACATCGATGCACTTGTATCTGCAATAGAAGAGTAGGTTTATCTTTTCAAATGAATCATTTGATAATGGTATATGCTGGACTATTTCGGGACATTGCTGAGCAGTACCATATCAAAGTTACAAGAGGTTTATAACCAGTGTTGTGTGATTACAGTCCAACAATCAAACCAAAAGGGCCAGCTACTATTTGTGGAATGCGAGGGTGCAAGGAAAAGCTGAACATGCTTTCAGTAACCTGCGACTTGTGTAGTATTCGTTTCTGTATGGGTATGTAGACATCTTTTAATACTTTGCAGACAGTCAAGTAAATTGCAAGAATCTAACTCGATTGGATGATTTTATGTATTATAAATCAGCTCACAGGCAGGTTTATTTGAAAATAGTTTGAATGTGACATTTTATCCGTAGATTATATTGACTTTTCATAATGTGTAGGCTTCCAGAAGTGCATTCTACAACATGTAGTGAGCAGAAAAAACAGCAAACTCACAAAACTACCAAACAGGATGCCAGTCTATTGATGGAATTAAATAAGCGAGGTGCACGAACTCTGGGTAAATCTAGTGGAGCAAATCTATCCGTGGCAGCGGAAAAGGAGAGAGCAAATGCTCGGGCAGCTTTACATAAAAAGATTGATGCTGCTTCAAAAAGTCGAACAAAATCCTCTATAGCTACATCTAGCAACACTAGTCGCAAATCTAAAGACGCATAGCTATAGCCGTATTCATGTAAAATGGAACACTAAATAAGATGCCAGTAAAGTTTAATGCCATGGCTTGTTTCTCGAGCAGTCTGCGTTTGTTTGAAATAAAGTCGCCATATGCTTCATCACATACCAAATATCACGGCTGGTGACAATCAAGAGATATATTTGTTCATACTTTAACCCAGTTTTACCATACTTTAAAGACGAGTTTTTCGTTTATAAAATGGTACGATTGTCTTGAGTTAGTGTACTCTATATGGAGTGCCGAAGATCGTGTCGGAACAAGACCAAACCAGAGAAACTGTCTTGTATTGAATCGAAAAAGGCAGCAAATCATTTCAACACGCCAGACTGTCGCTACAACACAATATAAACGATGAATGCATCTGCCACTCAAATCAACAATCACGCAAGACAATGCTGACGATTTCTTCATCTTTCCATTACCATGTTGTCACCGTGATCAAGGGTGAGCCACTTGAGCTGTTTCAATCCAACCCAAAACATCGCTCTCATTTTCAACTTGACTTTTGAATTCGATTTCTTCGATTTGGCATGTCAAGTCCGACTAGATGGGTAGTCTTGTCATCACTGGCTCTAGTATTGGTCGGAAATTACTATGTATGTTTCAATAGTAAATGAATTTTTTACTCTGCCTATACACTCATTTCATATTTATTTGACTGGCCATTCCACCACTCATTGAGGTTTGAATTATGAATTGCTTCAAGTATTGACTATTCAACGCTTGTTTGCCATGCATCTTTAATAGATATACGACATTCCAACAGCACTCAATCGCCAACTTAATGCAGCCATGGGCGTTGACAAGAAGCAATGGCAGTTTAGCCTTGCACAATCGTATTCATTCTACACATTGCCCAACATTATCATGCCGTTTGTGTCGTCCATCCTCGTTGACCGAATAGGTATATTCGAGCTAGTTTAATTTTGAAACATTGTATGCTTTCCGTCTTGATTGCACAGCCTTATACAGCTATATTCATGTAAAATAGAGTACTTGCATTTATCTTGTAGTCATTGATTTGAATAACCAATGGTTGAATGCTGGCTGCATTTCCTACTAAAAATTGGCACACAATCCTTCAAAACACAATGTCCATCGTATAATACAGTCAGGCTATCGCATTCCCCACTTTTGGTATAACCATACATTGTACAATCACTAGATTCATCTATTGCAATCCAGATATCGGATTCGACTGTTGTCAATACAACTCCACTTTGTTGTATTCTAGAATACCAGATGTTCGCGTTCTAGTTCAAGAAACCAATGATTGCACATTTCAGTGATACAACTGTTGTTTGCATATTAGTCATCACAAGAAAGACCAGTGAAATGTGTTGATGAGTTTAGAGAACAATGTCGAGTAAATTTGACACTAATCATCCATGAAACTGGCTGTTTATTATACACTTGTCACTCTATTTTATTTTACATGAATATGGATGTAAAATAACGAATCCATATAGCTAATTCTATCCAACTACTTGTCAATCCTGATTTTCAGGATCTCATTGGGCTCTGGTGATACTATCTCTATGTACGATTTCTGGTTCGATTGTATTTGCTGCTGGAGTGTATATGCAAGATATGTTTGTATTTCTGGCTGGACGATTTATCTTGGGACTTGCAGGTAGGCGTTTTTAAAGTTGATATGCCCATTTAAAGTATTACAGATTGGTTGAGCACTTTTTATGTAAAACCGAATACTGTCTTGATTAAACTGAGTATACTCCTTAATCAAAGACTTTCTATATGCTAATCTTTCAACATATTATTGTGTGCAGGAGAATCGCTAGGAGTTGCACAGGCGCGACTAACCTGCCGCTGGTTTGGTGGACCAGAACTAGCATTTGCTCTTGGTATCAATCTATCTACTGCGAGATTAGGATCAGTACTAAATGACCTGCTTACACCTACGTTTGCTATGCTTCCGACTACCATGTACAATGGAATTCTTGTGGGAGAGCATGCTTCTACGCAGTTTGCCGTGTTTATAGGGGTGTTTGTCAGTTTTTGTTCAACGCTGGCAGCAATTATTGCTGTCATCATTGATCTCTATACCTTCCAAGAACCAATCTACCAATATCAAAATATACCTTCATACCAAGATTCCGTGGGCGGTAGTGCCATTGACAACACATTACACCCTTACGAGGATCATCACAACATTGACTGTAATGCATCGTTCCAGGAATCAAACACGGGTAATTTTATAGAACACCACGCCAGTACTTCAAATCTGCAGCCAATTCAACACGGTGCAAGACCTTCGAATTTATCATTTGCTTCTTTATCGGTTGGGAGCTCTACAATGTCTGGTTTCATAGCACCACAAACTGTTGTGAGAACCTGGTGGAGTCCTTTGACGGATAATTTGGCTCATGTTCAACATGACACGACTTTGAATGCTGATATGCATACAAGAACATCGGAAACTGCAAATAGTATCAGAGATTCTATTCAAACATCTTATGCAGAACAGAGTCAGCCAGTCCAGAATATTCGTGACTCATTGGGAAAAAGTGTTCCTACTATCCATTACCTGCAGAGCTTTGGATCAATTTCAAATGCTACACAAAGTGCTGATTCCGTCTCTACTATTAATCCTGCTCAAGCGAGGACCGCGTCTTTATCCTTGGTCAGTCCACGCAGTCTTGCACAGTCATCACATCGACGACCATCGCAATCACTTATTCAAACAATGCCATTAGTTGTTGAGGAAGAACAAAGGGAATCTACCCAAGGACTTTCATCGCCTGATGAATACCTTACATCTGCCTATCATACCAACGACAATATAGCATCTGATTATAGCATGTGGACGGAAATATGGTATTTGCCACTTGAATACTGGCTGATTGTCAGTCTTATGGTGATCTATTACGGGAGCACAATGGCATTGATAAACGTTCTTGGAGATGAACTGCAGAACATTTTGCTCTTTCCAAAAAACTCACAGCAAGCTGGATGGATGCTTGCTATACCTGATTTAGTATCTACAATACTGGTGCCGGTGTGTGGATCAATAATTCAGTATCGCGGACGCAGAATATTTATTTTAGGAGTATGTGGCATGCTGCTGGTGATAGTGCACGCTGTGCTTGTGTTTGCAAAAAATACCATGGTTCCTGCTGCGGCGATTTATGCCATCTGTCTTGTGGTTCTTGGAATAGTATATGCTTTTTATATTTGTGTAAGTGTATTGTCTTGCATTCTCGATGGTAATATACGTGACTAACCTAACATGTGTATCAACACACTCGGGACTTTACATTTTTATTGCTGCAGATTGTATGGCCTTTAATTGCATTTGTTGTGCAAGATAGTTTTCAGGAAATGTCATACACTCTGTCAACTTCGCTGTTAAACACTGGTCTTACGATTATCCCACTTTTGTCAGCACAATCTATCATCACCTCTGGCTCGGTTTCAGACTATACCCAAATGCACTATTTACTCATGGGGCTATCGGCATTTGGTACGTTTGTGATTTGTCCGTTACTCTTTTGGAAGGATCAAGTTTCAAACGAAGGGATAATCAACACAACTGGTGATGCTGAATATGTTCAGCGTGTTTCCCATCGCATTATATCCGAGTCCGATATTTATTGTGATTACGATATCTATCCCAACTATTATCAGCAGGCTGATCATCCCATAGGATATGATGGGCGAAACGACGAAGATGGCTTGAGCGAAAATTGCATTGATCGTAATCATCAGCAGTATAACTCTAAAATGTCGTTATCAAATCCTCAAACTTTGGATCATTGTTCGACCAAGTTGACCGATACAAAACGATGGTTTGAGTATGGTACAATGTATGGCACTATTGTGGACGAGAATACAGGCAAAGTTGTAGCTTGCAACTCTAAACGATCGTTGCCGATTGAAGCAAATGGTTTAAACCCCTATGAGCAATCACATTGCGATAATTTACAGGTATACAACTCTGCAGGCTCAAAAGCACTCAGCGATACCACATACAATCCATATAGTGCGTTGATTCATTAGTTTTAAACCGCTCTACTACTGGGTTTAGTTGGGCATCTTTTTAAAATCTAATTAAAGCTGTATTTACGTAAAATAAAACACTATTTATCTTGCAGCGATTGCCTGGGAATAAATAATGGTTAAATATACAATTCTTTAATAAACAATGTACATGTAATGTACAATCAAACTATAGTTTAAAACTGAAATTGTTCACATTGGCATAGCCATATATTGTAAAATCGACAGGTTTGCAATCCAGAAATTAGGTTTAGCTGTTCTGGTATTGTCAAATTCTTTCTTGTTGTATCCTAAAACATCATAGATACATTCGTATCTAGTTCAAGGAAATTATTATACACTGACATTCATTCAAAACAGCAAGGTTTAAAATACTATAATACATTAAACTTTTTTCAGCGATTTTTTGAATAAACTAAATCAAGAATTCGACTTTGACTGAGTGACACGCTTACGATGTTTACGAGAATTGATATGAATCTGCCATTCATGCTCACCGTGTACAACTTTTGGAAGTTTGGTTGTTATATCTATGCACACATCGCATCTTCGTTTTCCCCAACGCTTTGTATCATTTTGAGCAAATACTTGACTGTGATCATCAACATGTCTATCTTTTTCCTTTTTTATATCCGCCAAATTGGGCAAAAGTTCCTTGGCAGCGTCAGATATTGATTGCGGATCAACTGTCTTGCCATCCTTGACAAATGACTCCACCAATTGAATTGCTTGGGATTGTATACGGGTTTCCCAGTCATCCAGCACGGTTGCATCAATAAGGTAAAATGCTGCATGACCATCAATGTGTTCAGCAAGACAAGCTGGAGCAAGCTTATTTCGAATCCATGTGGTTTGTTGACGAGCGTATTGACGTGTTGCCGTTTTCATGGCCTCTATGCCGAGCAATTTCATACGATCTAAAGCTGCGTGTTTAGATGAATCCTTTGATTCAAGTGTTTTAAAGTATTCTTCAAACTCTTTGAATCCTATTATACCAAACATGAATAAGAAATTGATTCAATTTCAATATTTTGTAGATATTTGAGGGTTATCGTTTCATTCAACTTACCAATTGCTTGCATAATTCCGCGTACGTTTTTAGTGATTTTCATGTGTGTATCGGTAGAATTCAATGACTCGCCATCAGATTCGTCACTTTCAACTTGACTTGCATCACTAAACAACGCTTCATTGTTGATGAACAACTCTGCACCAATCACTTGTCCGGCCAGCACTTTATTGCGCATTTCTTGCAACTCACTAAACAGTCCGTTCTAAGTTTAAAAATACAATCAAACATTAGAAAAATGCTGATCCCACACAGTTGGCATGATTAAAAACGTACAGAAATCATTTCGTCTACACGATCATTTAATCGATTATTTAAAATACTTCTTTGACTGTTTAGCCAAATAAAAACAGTCGGATACCTAAGATTAGTTTTACAATAATAAACAATTAACTCTATGCATAACATTCACCTAGACATGGTTTATGGTATATACTCAAAAATACATTCACTAGTTGCCATACTTTAGTCTGGTAACATGTCGCTTCTTTTCATCCTCCTGTTCCTTTATCCAAACACTGTGCAATTTACCTGTTACCAAATAAATCTATTGTAAAAGGTTGTTTAGATGCACATGATTTTTAAATTCATTTCCAAAAATACTGCGACATATCACTCACCTCAAGGCTGCGTCTGATTTTGCGATAGTTTTTTGGATGCCATCTGTGTGCCATATCTAGACCACAATAAAATCTGAGTACGTCTAATAAAAACACTCGCCATTCAGTTCACAATGCATAAAGCAATATACACCTGGATCAATCTGCTCAAGCAACAGATACATGGTTGGCAGCTGAATAAATTCAGCAAGTTGTACTGGAGTATTTACACGTGGATCTGAGGACACAAGTGCATCTACAAGTTTCTTGACCAACTCTGATGTCTGATCTATGGATGGATGAATATTTTCTTCAAGCGGACCTTGACCTCCCAATCCAGCAGTTGGTGCAGATGGGATAGTTACATCCTCCCATAGCAGTGATTGGATATAATAGTTGGTCCCACCAACAATTACCGGTATATGTTTTTGAGCGTGAATGGTATCAATCTACAAAATTACAGCCATATTCACGTAAAACAAAGTGAATAATGGAGTCAAAATACATGATACACAGTCAGTCTCAATGATTAGTGTCAATTCCTGCCAAGTTTAATAAACATTGTGTCCCCTAAACTCCTAGAGAGTTTATTGGTATGTGTGATCATTCTTGTATAAACCAAATAAATGTTTACATCACAGCTACAGTGCATTCCGCACTTGTTCAAATTGAACATTACAATATTGAATGACATGAAAACAGCAGCTGCATTCATAAAATGTGCAATCTTTGGTTTGAACTAGAATGCAAATGTATCTGAAATTAGGACAGCAAAAAAGAATTGCAAACATCAAATCCAGTCATTGGATTGCAATGAATGAATCCGGTGATCGTACAATGTATGACTGTCAAATGAGGACAATATCAGTTTAAAACTATAGTGTGCATTACATGATGGACGCAGAATTAAGAATGCCAATTAAAGCTGCCAGTTTCTAACAAGAATCAACAAATGTACATACTGCAGCCTGTGCATCTCGAGAAAATTGCGACATGGAGTATTCATGCAATGGATCGACAAAACTGAAAAGGTGATGTGGAACGAGAGCCAGTTCATTAGATGTGGGTTTGTTGGTAGCAATATCCAGACCTTTGTAAACTTGCATAGAGTCTGCATTGACAATTTGACCTCCAATAGCCTTTGCAATCTGAACAGCAAGTTTGGATTTACCAACTCCAGTTGTTCCAATGACAGCCACTATACACTTTTTGAATGCTGGCTGCATCGAATCTGACATCCGAGTGCTGTAGATGTAAAAAGTTGGCAATTAGGCTAATTTAAGCGATTGCAAATCAACCCAAACCAGGTTTTGGCCAAGTCAAATTTTGGCAAAATTAAAGCAATTTTGGCTCATTTTTGTCCTTGTTAGAAAATTAAAAGTCCAGCAAGACACTGTTCTTGTGATCGAATCAACCTCTCCCAATGACTCGTCAACGGTCCTTGTCCAGGCCTAGAGGTCGCAGCCCACCTACTTCCAGTCAAAGAGACCGTCACAAGACAAGAGAAAGTAGTATGAGTCGTAGTCCCGTCAGACATCCTACAAAGACCGCCAATGGAGATGATGTAGATGCCGATATTGCAGTCAGACCTTTGCCCAAATACAGCCGTCCTTCGTCACCATTAGCAGAAAAAGTATCCGTTGGAAAGGAAGAGACAGCAAGAAAGTCCGTCAAGGGATCTGCTTTGTCTGGCTCTTTGGCTCGTAGTCGCACCCGTAGTCCAAGTCCGTCAAGAGGCCGCCAGCGAGCAAGGTCCAGGTCTAGGTCCAGATCCAGTAGGTCGTATTACTCTTCTCGTTCAATGTCTCGGTCTAGATCTCGCTCAATTTCTCGTTCCAGATCTCGTTCAGTTTCCCGGTCTAGATCTCGCTCAGTTTCTCGATCTAGGTCCCGCTCCTATTCTACCCGATCGTCTTATTCATATCGATCTGGAAGTCGCCGTACTTTTTCTCGTTCCAGATCTAGGTCATATTCTCGGTCTAGATCTCGCTCGTGGTCCAGATCTCCTCGTACTCGATTTCGTCAAAGATCAAGGTCAAGGAGTCGGTCACCTTTTGCTCGTCGCTCATTTCGTCGAAGCAAAAGTCCTCCCAGAACCACCGGGTATGGGAATCGACGCCGTCGTAGCCGTAGTCCACTTCCTCCTTTGAGGAAACCTTTGATTAAAACAGTAACCGTCTATCCACTTACCAACAATGTTGAAAAGGCGCATGTGAGAGAGATATTGACATATTTCGGTGATGTGGTGCGTGTAGATCTTCAGCGTGTCAGAGGTGGAAGTGCTAATGGAGATGGAGGACTAAAGATTGCTGAAATTGCTACAACATCATCCGAAAATGACCACGATAATGGAACGGGCGATCTTAAAAACACACCGCATCAAAAGGCAATTGTAGAGATGAGTACTGTGAAGGATGCCGATGAAGTAGTACACGGCATGCACAATGGCATGATTGATGGCCTTACTATCAATGTAGTGATGCTCACAGCAGTAGAGAATGAAAATCGGTTTAAAGGGATCAGCGGATCAAATATGGACAGAGCTGGTGGTAATCAAGGTGGTTCAGATCGTGGTCGTAGCAGAATGATGGATTCACGACTGCCTGCACGGAATGGTCGAGGAAGAATTGGGTTTAACAGCATGCGTGAAGACCGCAGACCATTTCAACGCAGTGGTGCAAGATCTCGGTCTAGATCTATATCACGATCTCCATCCCGAAAGAGATTAGCTGAAGGAGGCAGACGAGATCCAGTTCGTGGACGTTTCCGTAGCCCGCCCCGGAGAGATGTTCGCAAATGGAGTCCAAGTAGACGATGATTTCAGGATGGAGATTCTTTAATTTACCTCTGATCTAGCGGTTGCTTTGTAGATCCTTATGCCTTTTATCTTTTTATTCAATTAAAAATTGCCAGTTCCATCTTTGGCTGTCGTGTATTGCTGGTCTAAATAGTTGAATGCTTTTGGCTTGGACAGTATTTGGCGTATATAATACTTTGTGTGTATGAACTTATATTGTGCCCATTGCAAAAGGCATACAGTTTTACATGATTGATATTCCTGCTTTAAGCTTTATCGTAAATAGTCATGCCGTCAAACTTATTGCAAAGAATTCCAGCAATATGGAATGGTCTACTCTTATACACGGAAAAAACTGCACAGCAACAGGAAATGGCTGATCGTTACCACACAGCAGAATGGACGCAGTATAAGATAAAATGCGTTGATGCAATCTAATCAGAAATGCGCCGAGTCTGCAAAGCAATGCTTAAAGCAGTTTGGCTCCAGATGGTTTTGGGCAATATATCTGATTATCTTTATAATTGTTGCTTTAAAAATATATACAATAATTATAAAATATGAATACTACAGTCTTATTAGGGCAAGTATCGTTTAAAGAATCATGTCAGATACAAAAGTAATGCAAGAAAGATTCAAGAGCTAGATTGTATGTGCTTAATTCAAGTCGAATGCTCTGGTTATTACTGTAGATAATAAATTACAGCTGTATTCACGTGAAATAAAGCTTGTATCATCTTGCAGTCACTGCCACTATTTTATATCGGAGTATCAATGCCCAAACATTCGTTACGCTTTCCTATTATAAATTAACTGCATTGCCTCTTCAATAGACACTAATTTTCCAATCAACACAGCGTCCATATGATGCATACAAAACCAAACCAATTTGAACTAGAATTGTCCCTTTTTTATCTTCTGCAGTCATACATTGCACGATCTCCAGATTCGTACATTGCGATCCATATATTGGGCTTGACTGTTGAGTATTCTAATATCAGATCCACTCACTAGTTCAAAAAATAATTTTGGGAATGCAACAGTTGTTTCCATACCAATCACTGAATGTTTATTTGTAATGTTTGGAGAAAGGGAGAGTTGGAGATTGAACAGATGTGGATTAACTGGAGCTGTGATGCGAACATTTGCTTAATTTTTTATACAGAATGGGTAGAGACCAATGAACCTTGTCAAAGGATTGAAAGAATACAACAGTGTGGTAAATCTAGTAGAAACTGGCCCAGCTATTTCATAAGCCAGTTGTTTTTATGTGGTTTGGCCCCATTTGTTCCATTTTATGTGGATATGGCTGCAAGTTTAGCTACAGACCATAAATTCAAAGCAAATGCGAACACGTATTGTTTATATGGTTCTAATAGTATTTCCAACGGCATATCTGATGCTTGTTGATCTGCATCAAATTTGCCAAAGCACACATACCACTTCATATTTTCTATTTAACGGTGCATCCTAGTCAAATAAAGTTGGTGAAAAGAAACCATCTATTGACCAGCTCTTTTGACAGATTCAATATAATTTGCAGCTTTAGTGTTTGCCTTTACAAGCTATTGGTAATTTCCAGCCAACAGGTGCAAGCTCTAAGCGAGTATAAATTTCGACGCTGCTCCAGCAGCAGCATTTCAAATACACCAAGTAGACATATCTACTAACGGGAAACTGGTTACTCAGATGAGCTCAGGAAGGTTGGGCCACAGTGTATCTGAAGGTGTCAAAGAATCCGAAGCCCAACATGATTCAGCATTCTCTTCATTCAAGACACGCATGCCAGACCTGGAATTGAACCAAACGGCCGATGAGAGAATTGAGCGATTCAAGCATCAGCTACTCATGGATATGGGAAATGCGACATTTACCAAGGTGAGCCGACTGTTTGATACTAGAATGTGATGGATTTTAAATCGGAGGCTTTTGAGATCCACCATGACTGTATCAACCAATACACTGGTTAATGACAGTCCTGGTAGTTGCGATGGAGGGATAAATGTACCGTTTCTATTTCTAGTTGGCAAGTAGAAGCGCGTAGATAGCAGTGATTGCTTTGATTATAAAGCTATTGTATTGGCATTGAATAGGATGGATGGAAGATGCAATTCATGCCTGAATGGTCAACTGGGAAACTATCTTGACTGAATATGCTTATTGTAAAGTGTGACAAGACACATTAGCTAATTTCTACACACCTGGTTACTGCTCAACCACAAACCATGTGGTAAAACTTGCAATCGTCTTGGGTTGATATGTGGATCAATACTTGTCAAATCGTACATTGATGGGCGAATAGTCTGCACCAAGACTCGAACACAATGCTTTTTCAACAGAACAGTCTCGGCCACAATTGGAAGCACTTTCTTCCCCTCTGTTACGCTCGGTATCTTTCCATACCCAACAACAACCAATACACTATCAGGCATCGCAGCAATCGCTCCCAGGACAGCCAATGCAGCCTCTGCCATCCAATGCTAAACCAGAAGATGGCGAGACCAAACAGCAGCCTGTTCTGCTGCAGCAAGCGCATCACCCATTGCAGCAGCAACACACTCAGTATTTTCAGCAGCAGCATGCTTATTCGCGTCCACTTCCAATGCTGCCAGGACATGCGATACAACCTTCGTCTATAGCCCATCCTTATCAACCACCTCCACCATTTCAGATGCATTCTTCTAGTACTGCTGAGAATGGGCCTCCTATTTCTATCCATCCGCAACAGCGACCCTTACCTCTTCCTCCAAGACCCATCGTGCCAATAGGAAGACCTCCACAGAATCAGATGATGGGGTACCCTCAATATCAACAGTTTCTGCAGTACCAGCATGCCAACAACAGTGCTGGAAACATCATCAATGTTTATCATCAGCCAGGACAGCTGCCTCCTCGACCATTCCCTCCAACTTTTACTCAATTGCAGCAGCTCAACCATATGCCAGGTGGCCAGTATATACGAGTTGCTCCTCCTGCTTATACTACTGCCATGAGCCACGGTCATTTGGTGCAGTCGCCAGCAATGGCCAATGTCGGTGGTGGGTTTTTGCCACCAATGCATCCTCCATCATTCAGACCTGTAATGGATCTTGCTTATGTTCCTGAGCCTTTCTTGGATTCTCATCCAACACCAGTTTTCCAATCTGCTCTAGATAGCAGTGTCGACAGCAACTCGGATATAAGTGCTTCAAGATCAATTTTAAATACAAAACCAATTCCAAGTTTACCCCAAAGTCAGGTGCAATCTAATAATACTGTCATTACAAAACAAGTTGTAGATTCAAATTCGAACCAGATTTTGCCAGCTGAAAAACAGCAGGCATCAATATCATTTACTACTACGCCTGTCCAGCTTCAATCTTCACTTGCATCGACCTATTCCAACATGCCACCGTCTTCATCTCAACAACACGAGTCAGTTTTTCCCAAGGTTGCTCCTGAAAATACTGTCTTGGCTATCAAGTCAACCGCACTATTTTCTTCTGATGCTGTAGTTCCTCCAGTAGTAAATATACTTGAAGCATCTCCTATTGCTAATGATCATCCCTCTACTACTGAACTGGTAAATCAATCCACTGATCAATCTACTGATCAATCCACTGATCAATCTGCATCATCGCATTTGGTGTCTGAATCACAGAATTCGCTTGCTGCTGGGCTATCAGACGTATCGCTTGCTCCATCTCCTCATATATCGGCATTTATTGCGCGTTCTGGATCTAGTGTCAGCATTGCCAGTATGGCTTCGTCCCATAGTGGCGCTTCATATAATATTTCTACTCCAAATTCCCCAGATCTACGCACCGTTAGCTGTTTATCCAAGGCAATCGATCAAAAACAGCTCGAGGAGGAAGATGCAAACGTATACCAACCTGTCGAGCCTGACTATGCTAGCGCAGAGACTAGACAGCATATGTTCCATATTACAAGTGGATCATCCAGCACTGCCGGATCTCCAATGGGATTTGCTTTATCTATGAGTCCTGCTAGCTCATCGTTGGCAGCTACTGGTCCAGGATCCTTTCATTCTCAGTGGCAGCCACAAAATGTTCATAATGGACGATCCATGTCACCACTGCGCGGATCTGTTCCTTCTCCTGCAATGAAGACAGGATCCGTTGATAGTCAGACTTATGGTGCATCGCCTGATTCTGCAGTCATGGCAAAAAAATCATTTGAAGATGCACTAAAGAGACCAACAGGATCAGGATTATCCAGTCCTGCACATGCATTGCTTCCCGGTATAGAGCCGGATCTACATGCATTTATTGGATCTCCGCTAACTCGACGCCATTCGAGCGTTCGCAGAGGTGGGCTGACTTCACGATTGCGCACAACCACTTCCAATCAAGTACTGCCAACTATTCCTCGCAAAGTTAACCCGCCATTGCAGGATGAGGCGACTGGAGTTTTTTTGGATAAATTCCCCTCCATCTCCATGCTGTTGCAACATAGAGCACACCATGCAGTCGGTGCTCATGCACTTGCTTTGACCATGCTTGATCCAGCTGGAAAGGATAGTGTTTCTATATCTTTTGATAAACTATACCTCAAAGCATTGCGTGTTGCCGAGGTGCTGCATCGAAAGCTTTATTCTTCATCTTTGACTGGCCAATTCGACGATGTTGCTCCTGTTGCACTTTTATATAAACGCTCAGATTGGATCGATTTTCTTATTGCAATGTTTGGCTGCATGCTAGTGGGAGTTGTTGCAGTACCCATTGTCACATCATCTGTGAATAATGCCGAAGAGCTTGCCGAGTTGGAATTTATTCTTGAATCGTCTAAAATCGAAATGTGTCTTACCACTGACACCAATGTGCGCGTCTTGACTAAGCTATACTCGCAACGCGGTGGAGCTATTCCTCGACTTGAATGGCTAAAAACTAATGAACTAGGAGCATATAGCGCTCAGCGCGAGTCTGCTTCTACCGATAGAAAACAAAGCACAGGAGAATCGTCCAGTACTGAATCTATCGAGGATCCAACGTGGCTACTAAAGCTCACCGATACTACATCTGATCGGATTGCATATATAGAATATGTCAAAAACTCTTATGGCGAATACAAAGGAGTTGCTGTTCATCATGGCATGATAATGGCTCAATGTTCAGCTGTCAAAATAGCCTACGACCTTCAATTTTCTGATGTGATAGGTGTCTGTCTTGAGCCGCGTCAACACGTTGGACTTCTTTTTTCTGGATTTGCCAATATATATGCCGGCTGTGCGTCTGTGCTATTCTCTGAATCCGCCATATGTACGTATGGATTGTGGCCAAAATGCATCACAAAGAAAAAAGTGTCTTTATTTGTCACGGATATGGGATGGACGTATGAACTCATTGCTTCCAACAAGTCTGCCAAGCCCACCACGGAGACTTTGTCGAATATGTCTGCACTGAAAAAATATATTATTAATTCAGAAACCCTTCTCCCAGGCATTGCAGCTGCGATTTCCAGTACATTACAGCCTTTTGGATTTCCCGGACCTGGTGTTGTTGCTTCACTCTTCACGTTAAATGAATTCGGCGGATCTATTGTTTCTATGGATAATATCACTCAAGCCTCATTTATGGAACATACCTTGCGTCTTAGCTCAATTCGTAGCCATCGGTTTGAATTTCTTTACAATCAATCTGGTGCTGAAGTGCCTGATTCGATTCGCGTGTGCGACTCTGGCGTTGTAATGCCCCAAGGCTCTGTTGCTATCATAGATGATGAGACTGATACACTTGCTTTAAATGGATGTATTGGTGAGATTTGGATTTCTGGTCCTCATATTCCCAAGACGCTTCAAAATCTACCGAAACTTACTGAGCATGTGCTTCAGGGACGTCCTATGCTTTTTGCTAGTCCTAACGATGTTTTTCCGGAGAGCCTTGGAGTGAAACCCATCAAATCTTCTCAATCGAATGAACTCAATGTTTCTGACAAATGCGCAACAGAATCCGTCATTTCCCACAATCATATACGAACAGGACTCTATGGATTTCTACTTACTCGTAAACAGGTCCCATCATTGCCAGATTTAGAACCTAGGATAATTGTACTAGGCAAAGCAGGAGGCATTATTTTTCAGCGGACAGTTGATATACCGCGTATGCCTGTTCATCCTTTGGCGTCGACAAAACCACCACTTCAAACAAAAGACGACAATTCCAAAATGTCCAGTTCACAAAAAGAATACAGCTTTCATTTGGCTTCACAGCTAGGCAACACTGTAGCACTGTATGTTCCTGGTGTGATTGCTACGGTGTTTTTCGATATTCTGTTACACGGCGAGTTTCTTCCCGTTGTTCTTGTTGAAACACACCGTGAGGATGTTGATATGATAGGTCCTCATATCTACCAAATTTTGAGCGAGATGTATGACTTGCATGTGTTTTGTGTTTCAGTATGTTATCCTGGCTCATTGCCACGCATGTATGCAGACACTCATACAGGCTCAGGGTTTCAAACCTCGTTTATTGGATTTGATGCACCTGCTGTAATGCGTGTTGCACCTGGATCTCCATTTAGCACCACTGTCAAGATTGGATACGATAATACCCTGTGTTTACAAAAGACGATCAATGTGGACGTTGAGAGCAGTAGAAAGCTATTCCACTCGGGCTCGCTTAATCCCTTGTTTGTGTATTTTAATGGATCTCCCAGAGTCTATGGGCATATTTTGCAGAGCCCAATTCCTGTATCACACCAACTTACAAATACAGAATCCAATACATTGCAGATTGTTGGTGCAATGAAAGATGCTCCAATTTTAGATGATAGATTTAAAAAAGATCTGCGATCATTCAAGTCCGTGCTGGAGTTGCTTATGTGGCGTACAGAAATAACTCCAGAGAACATGGCGTTTACTGCAGTTGATATGCGAGGACGAGAAACCAAAATCGTCACGTTTGCCAAACTGTCTACCAAAATTCATGCACTTGCCAAACATTTGGTAACAAAAGCAAACCTTTCTTCGGGCGATCATGTGCTGTTGATCTGCACACATACACTCGAGTATCATATTGCTGTATGGGCGTGCTTGTATGCCGGAATTGTATGTATTCCTATTCACCCACCTGATCCTACTCGACTCAAAGAAGATATTCCTGTGTTGTTGAGGCTTGTGGATGAGTTTAAAGTCAAACAAGTGCTTGTCAATGGTCCTGTCGAGCAAGATTTTAAATCCAAGGCAATTCGTACATTGATTCGAACCATGCGTGGTCCAATGATCAATTCTTCACAGTATTCCATTTTCCCAGATATCTGCAATGTGTCCAAGGCAAGCAAAACTAATAAGCACATGTCAATCAATGATACTGCTTATCAACCACGCACCCATTCAAAGAATGCTGCTGCGGTGGTGTTGGTTTCTTTTAACCCCGATATGCAATACACGTGCGTTAAAATATCGCACAAGACTCTTATGGAGCAATGCCGTATTCAAGTCACTCAGAGCAAAATGTTGCGATCGACTTTATACAGCAACAATTCTTCCGGACAAATTTCATCTGATCGATATTCACCACCCACATCACGTCCACTAGTGTCTTGTCTTCGCGCATGCAATGGCATTGGATTTACCTATTCGCTACTTCTTGGCGTATACACTGGTGCTGGTACCTATATTATTTCTCCTTTTGATTATTTTGTCAATCCTCAAATTTGGTTTGATGCTATTCACAAGTATAAAGTCAAGGATGTGTTTGCGTCGTATTCAATGACGGCACATGCAGTGAATGCGATGCGAACAGGCTTACTCCGACCTTTTTCATTACACAATCTTGAGAACCTAATGATTCCACTGGATGGTCGTCCGCAGCCACATATGTTTCAAGCTATTTCAGGTACATTTGCACCTAGCAAATTATCTGATCAATCTATATCAAACGTATATACACCTATTTTTAATCCACTAGTATCTTCACGATCCTACATGGCTGTTGATCAAACTACACTCTGGCTTGACTCGAGTGAACTGCGTAATGGATGTATTAAAGTTGTCAAGGAACTTCGCGGACGACATGACTTGGCGACAGAGCTGAATTCTACAGCTGTGTCGATCAGTGATACCATCATGGTTCAGGACTGTGGCGTGATTGTCAACAATACGGTTGTGGCAATTGTCGATCCCATAACAAAGCAGCTATGTAAACCCAATAGAATTGGTGAAATATGGGTTAGCTCGCCTGGAACAATTGACGGTATTACAGGCTCAGAAGCAGCTAATGGAGCACACAATGGTCGTCCAGCGGGATTATTTGATTGCGTGATACCAGGCATTGATCCTGGGTTAAAGTTCACCCGTACATGTGATCGTGGGTTTTTATGGCCTGTGCCTGTTTCTGCACTTGAGGCTCAGGCATTAGCTATTGGTGATGAACCCGCTAGTGGATGGGATGGGTTAGTTAATACTGGACTGCCATACGAGTTGGTTTTGTTTACACTGGGACCTTTTGTGGATGAAATTGTAGTAGATGGATTGATCCACTATCCCGAAGATATCGAGGCAACGATTGAACGCTGGAGTGTAGCCTCTACTATAGATGGGTGGTATGTACATGGTTTAAAACTGTTTTATTTGAAACTTGTTATATCTAACTCGAGTATTTTAGTATGGTATTTAAATCGCAAAATCAAGTTATTGCTGCGGTCGAATGTGTGAATCTACAGATGGCATTAAACATGGCACCTCAGATTATGTTGGCAGTGTTGGCCAAGCATAGATTCTTGTTGAGCTTGATTGTGTTTGTACCTTTGACTTTGCTTGCCAAGAGTCGACACAATGAAAAACAACGAGGTCGAGTTGCCACTGCATTCCAAATCGGAAAACTGTAAGTTTGATACGTGAATGACAATTTTTAGACTTTTATACTAACTCTGCTTGTAAATACCAGTCCTGCTATGGCAACAATCCACATCTCACCCACATCGAATAAAGCATAACGACAATTTGACTACATGTTTACATCATTAAATGAAGTAGAGAATAGTTCAATTTATAGCAGTGCAAGATAGAAATAGTCTTGAATGTTCAAACAGGTTTAGTACTGTATTCGTAGTATATATCGGTAGAAGTTTAAATATTTTAACGCAAGTCTTGTTTAAAAAACGGGTATCACTCGATGCACTTATATACTACTTGTATTGGATGAAAGATACGTTTATTTTAACAGCCAAATTTACGCAACAGCAATTTTTGGAATCGGTTAATTTTGAGTATATAGTTTATAACAAAGCTTACATCCGAGTCAATGGAGTTAGACCCAAAGTACGTAGAGCGTTGCTTAAAGCAAATCTTGCAGCAACATACAACGCCAACCGTGCGTGAGCAAGAGGTTTTTCCTGGCCACTAACCCACAGCACATCGATCGCTGACGATATAGCATGACTGAGACGCAGCGAGTACGAAACAAGGTTGCATGGCTCATAGTTTTTACTCAAATCACGAATGACGTCTGGATAAAGTGCAATGGCTTCTATAAGAGCCAAAGCCTGAGGCTCGACAAGCAAAGTGAGATCTATGTCCAAAAGAGTGTCGGCTGAAACTTGCAAGTGTTCAGACTGACGCTCAATGGAGCAGAGACGAGAGTGTGCGTACTGGAGATATGGGCCAGTATCACCTTCAAAAGAAAAGATTCTTGACCAGTCAAAGGTGTAATCTTTGGCACGACGGGCACCCATATCTTGAATCATGGTAGCAGATTGACCGACAATATCGGCTACACGCTCAGGATCAACGACTTGGGCATACTTGTGTTCATTCTTTTTCATATTGGCGTGCATTTCATCACGTACTGTGTTGAGAATGTCTTCGAGGAAAACCACTGTCCCTCTTCGAGTACTCATGTTGCCGTCTTTAGATTTGATCAAGCCAAAGCCAATATGAGAGCATCTATCGACCCATGTTTTTCCTTGTAGCTCAAGAATTTTAAACAGTTGCTTAAAGTGATGATCTTGCTGGGTACCAACAACATAAAACATATGGTCAAAATCAAAGGTGTCTTTTCGATCACAAGCGGCAGCAATATCACGGGAAAGGTACAGCAATGACCCATCTGTCTTTCCAATCACAGCAACTCCAAGTTTGTATTCTTTCAAGTCCACAATAAGCGCGCCTTGATCGGGAACCAGCAAGCCCACATTTTGCAGCTCATTCATGACGCTACGCATTTGGCTGAGAGAGTACTGGGACTCACCCGAGTAGATATCAAAATGGACATTGAGACGGCCATAAACTTCCTTATACTTGACGATACTAAGATCGCGAAACCGCTTCCAAAGATTATAAGCATGCTCGTCACCATCCTCCATTTTTTTAAAGTAAGCACGAGCTTGGTCATGGATAGAAGCGTCTTCAATGGCTTCGGTATTGATACGGACGTATACGTCGTACAAGTGGCGAATAGGGTCTGTGCTCAAGGCTTCATCCGATCCATAGCGATCAAACCCAACAGCCAATAAGCCAAATTGTTTTCCCCAATCACCAAGATAGTTGATAGACACGGTACTCCAGCCAGACACATCCAGCACATTTTTAAGAAAGCTGCCAATAATAGTACTACGAAGATGACCAGCATGGAAGGGTTTGGCAATATTTGGAGAGCTGAATTCGACAACAGCGAATTTTCCAAAGCCATCCGAGTTGGATCCATATGAAGTACCGAGGGTAACGGCAGAAGAGATGACTTTTTTAGAAAGAATAGCCTTGTTGAAGGTAAAGTTGAGAAAAGGGCCAGTTGCAACGGCTTTTAAAATCAGATTGTTGGGTTGGAATTGTTTAGCCAAAGAAGCAGCCAGTTGTGTAGGGATGCCGGGAAGTCGAGTGCGAGGAAGTGGTAAAGACATGTCACCATTGGCTTTATCACGAGGTTCTTCCAATAGAGAATACAGCAAATCCTCAGCAACACCGGTCAGGGAATGAATCTGCTCGACGATCGAGTATCTAAAGGTATCCAAGATGGGAGCCGACTCGATTGCTTGATCGATAGTATAGGCAGCATCTGAGAGTTCTTTATCAGAATGAATGGCTTTAAGCCAGCCAGCAAGTTTTGGAGAAGAAGCGTTTGTAGAGATCAAAGAATCCCAAGCCAACAAATCAGCAATAGTGGTAGAATCACCAACAAGAGCAGTAGTTGGAGCAGCGAGATCGAGTTCTTTCAAAAGAAGAACATCAGGAGTAGCGGAAGCAGTAGCATTACGGATGCGATCTATCCACGAATCAATCAGATGTTTTGTAGCAAATACCTGTTCAGGATAAATAGATAGAGAAGAGAGAGGATCTGCAGTAGAAGTGTTTGGAAAAGCTCTAGCAAAGTAACGCAGAATAGAGCATTTTCCAGTGATGGTAGTTTTATTAGAAGCAAACGGACCCTTTGGAATAATGAGAGTTGAAGTTTGAGCAAGCAAATTACGATCCAAACCAACCCGAATAAGCGGAACAGCAGCAGTTGATTTTGCAGCTAAATGGTAAGCAGCAAGTTCAGCATAAGGACGACATTTTGGAGAAAACAGCAGATACAGAGTAGACTGATGATTTGCCAATGGAGGAATATGTATAGATGAGAGCGTTGTTGCAGACATGCTTGAAGTTGATGAAAGTGATTTTCACTGAAAAACTCAAAGCCTTAAATTACCACGTGATCAACACCAATCAAAACCAGACAATTTGAACAGTTAATTCAGTCCAATGGCCACAGTGCAGCAGAGTGCAGCAGCAGCTGTTGCTGCGTTCTCGTCTCTGCTCGGTGTCATGACTGCACTCATCAACCAACGTGTTCCGGATTCTTACATGGTAATTACGTCTGAATACTGCTCTAAACTATTCCATTTCATTCCATTCCACTCACCATCACTTCAAGGATGAGATCTTCCATGTTCCACAGGCTCAGCAGTACTGTACAGGAGTCTTTGATCAATGGGACAGCAAACTCACTACTCCTCCTGGACTCTATCTTGTTTCTTTGGGATTTCACAAACTATGGATTGCATTCCTGCAAACTCCCATTTCTGGCTGTTCTGTTCTTCAACTTAGATCCGTGAATGCTGCATTCGGAATAGCTACTCTTCCTGTTATATTCAACTTGATTCCTCTCATTCATCCTGCTCGAAACCAGTCCTTCACGTTTAACGCCATAGAGGCTTTTGTTATAAGCTTATTTCCAATCTCGTTCTTTTTTCATCTGCTGTATTACACCGACTCTGGTTCTACCTTTTTCGTGCTGTTTTCGTACTATCTGTCACTTCGTGACAAACTCTTTTTTTGTGCCTTGGTAAGCTGTCTGTTTTATATCATTCAACTGTATATGCTTGCTTTTTGGCTGATCTTGCCTTGATTTTGCTACTATAGACTGGCTTCATATCTATTTGGTTTAGACAAACTAATGTGATCTGGGTCGCATTTATTGCTGCCACAATTTGTATCCGTCATCTCCAATCAATTGATTCAACTACAGCATTGGATTGTCCTGGATATAAGCTGAAAAGTTGCGGTAAGAATACTTGCTTTTGATTTGTAAATCTTTAGGCTTGCAATGTAAATTAAATCCACTTGGTCCCTGACTCACCGTGTTCAACTCAACCAAATAAGGGCATCTGATCAAGATTATCTCACAATTTATTGGTAGATTAACGTTAAACATTCCATCAGTCTTCATACTGTTGTGGCCGTTTATCGTTGTCATTCAACTATTCGCCGCGTTTGTTTACATCAACGGAAGCGTTGTTTTGGGTACGGTTTTAAATTACGTTAAAGTACTCTTGGCTATACAGAAACAATGCCGAGATTTTCTAACATGCTGTTTAGGAGACAAAACCAATCACACTGCAGGACTTCATATTCCCCAACTGTATTACTTTTGTGGATTTTCAGCATTTTTTGGATTCTTTGCTGTAAATATCCCACAGGCTATCTTGAATTTTCCTGGTGCGCTATCAAGATCGTTTAAAAGGTGCACTTGTTGAACCTATCGTTACTTTAAAATTTGGTGTATGCAACTGATATATCTTTTAATTTCTATCAAGCCTTACTATATTTTCATTAGTTTGGATCGTTGCTCCTGCAATCATGTTTGAGACAGTTCGGAGATTCACGTAGGTCAACTCATCAGTCTGTAATACAATTTATACTTTACTTTTATTGCTTGTTTAAAAATAACTATACTCACTTTATTTGTGATGTTGATGCAATGGGATACGTTATGCATAGTATTGAGCATCCTTTTCTGCTTGCAGATAACCGCCATTTTACTTTTTATATCTGGAAGAATATATTTCGACAATATGCCGAAGCTCGCTATGTGCTTATTCCAGTTTACATGTTCTGTGCTTGGGCAATCGTTCGACAGCTGGGTATGTTAATTTATTTTTTAATTCATGTAGAGTCTCAACTTGATATTAACATTTTGAATTGTCGAATAATTTGCATGTGATATAGCTAAAACGCAATCAGTACTATGGATAGTCGCGTATATTGGATCAGTAATGCTAACGCTAATTCCATCGCCTTTACTCGAGTTTCGATATTTTACCATTCCATTTATTCTTTTACGACTACATATTGCAACATATTATAGGTCTGAATCTACATCTGGAAAACGCACAACAAAAACAGGATTTCCTGGCTGGGGATGGGCATTGGCACTTGCGCTAGAATGCATTCTATTTGTCGGCATCAATGTATCTGTGCTGTATTTATTTTTGGAAAAACCGTTTGAATGGCCTACCCCAACGGATGGATCTAATTCAATAGGGCACTTTACAAAAATGCGATTCATGTGGTGAAATTATGGAATACAGAGTTCTCATGGCAATTTTGTCCAGATGTGTAATGCTCAACAATGCAAGACAATTGAACACTCACGGGATTCGGAGAATTTAACATGTTTTGATTGGTCAAAAACAAGAGTAAAATATTGTCACGAGGGACATTAGAGGGACTCCCTGTCTACCTTGAATAAATTTCAAGTTTTCATTTTTGTCGATTTATTTCTTGTTCAAATTGCAACGAACTCGACATCGACTCTTGCAGCCCTGCTTCCATCTCGTATTTCAAGCAACATCATTGATATACTGCCGTCAATCCACTAGTTTGACGTTTTTTATTTTTGCATCCTCTCGCATTTGCACGATTCTTCTGCAATTGTAAGACCAGAGCGTACCTTTTTAGTGGTTCATGCAGTCAGGCGACAATCGCCATTCAGAGTACCATCATTACTATCAGTCGACTGTCTTTTCTGTCTACATCGATTCTCTCTTTGTCAAACACACTCCTGCGGATATCGTTGCCGCCAACCCAGACCTTTTGAACGTCGGCAAGACTCCTACTGAGCCTCCCTAGCGGTGCCTTGGCATATCTCTATTAAACCGTTTCTATCCTCTTTCAAATACCAAAGCTCCTTCAGATCTGTGATATTTTTATAATCAATATCTGCTTTTGGCCATCTTTTTATCACGTAAGCAGAGCAACTATTTTCAGATTTAAAGTGCAGTTTGCAATGAGTGTAACTCTTTGTTTAAACATCTATGGACTGTCTATCTGCACTGGTATATTGGTGTTTACAAAAAACTCAACTACATTTTTTATATTAGCTGCTCTCTTCATATCCACTGTTTAAATAATGCAGTCATCTAACTGTCCAATGTATGTGATTATCATGTTTTACTGCAAATGCTTTGCCACTTTAATTTGAACCTACTACGCCTCATGCCATTTCAGAATTTCTTGCTATTCATGTATACAGCTGCCATTTTTTAGCTACACAGTTGCTAACTCTGCTTGTTGTGGGTTGACTGTTTTTAAATGCTTAGTCCTACTGCCACTGGCCCCATTGAAAGTCACTGTGCCACAAATACACCTACTAATACTTTTCCCAACTCGAGTACTACATGTCCAACTGATAAACTAACCCTTTCTGGCTTTGAAGGGCCAGAAAAGTTACTTGAAATCTGGTTCAAACCACTTCACGCATCAGTACGTGATGGAGATCACACCCGTCGTACCCACAAGCATCTTAACCATTCGTGTTCTGATGAAGATTTTTCTGAAGGATCTTTGTCAGACTGCGATAAACCTATGCATCATTATGCATCCAATATAAACAAGGACAACGATTTAAACCGCTATGAATTTCGTCGATATGGTCTTCGTACCGTACGCCGTGATGTCTGGGAAGACATGCTCAGTATTGTACAATGTCGTGTTCTGAGTGTTATCAAAAACGAATTTGCCGATGCCTATCTTCTTAGGTAACTACATTTTATTGTCTTGCAACTACGTATTGAGATCATGTGATGGTTATACCTCCAAACTATTCCAGTTTTACCAACCTATTTCTATGCGGACAATAGTGAGTCTTCCATGTTTGTCTATCAGAACCGTATTGTTCTCAAGACCTGTGGTACTACTACTTTGCTGAATGCCGTGACTCGTATTCTTGAAATCGCCAAGAACATGTGTGGTCTTGAAGAAATTGATGCCGTGTTTTATTCCCGCAAGGCCTTTCTTTTTCCAGAACGACAATCATGGCCACATGGAAAATGGAATGACGAGGTATCTTATCTAGATACTATTTTTCCAAATGATTGCTTTGATACCTCTGGCTATGTTGTTGGTAAAATCAATGGTGATCACTGGTGTTTGTACGTCTGCACTCCCGGCGGCTTGGATGTTGATGGAAACCCCGTCATGCCTACTTTTCTCGTGGAGTCTGATCAGACATCATCGGGTGAAGACACTGCAATTTTTGATGACAGTGACGAAGATGATGTCACTTTGGAGATTCTCATGACCCAGCTTGATCCCGAAGCCATGAAAAGCTTTTGGCGTACAGAAGAAGAGCTGGCGGCTGGAATGAGTGCCGAGAATAAGAATGCCATTAAGCACCAACTCAAGAGTGCAGGGCATCGTGTATTTTCCGAAACAGGCATTGCAGATATTTACCCCGAATCGACTGTTGACGACTATGTGTTTGATCCTTGTGGCTACTCTTTGAATGGCCTGCTAGGTCCCTACTATTACACCATCCATGTTACACCAGAGGATATTTGCTCATATGCCTCTTTTGAAACCACAATTCCTGTCAAGCAGTTTACTCCCAAGCACAAACGAGAAGGCATTGAATATGAATACGATACATTCAGCCAAGTAATCCAAAAAGTAGTGGATCGATTCAAGCCTGGAAAGTTTTCGACTACACTATTTGTTCGACACACTGCATCCAACAAGGTTGGATTGGGACGCACGCATTCACTGAATGGTGGAATCCATGGATTTCGTCGTCGCGATCGCATTATGCATTCGCTTGGAAAATGGGATCTGATATTTTGCCATTTTGAAAAACATGCGCATATCGCTTCTGTAGCCAAGCCGTTGGTTTCTTCCTCTGTGTTCAAGTCTATACCTACAGACACTTTTGTTCAAGAGAGCAAGGTCGAGTCTTTTGATTCTACTCCAAACTCTGATGTTGAGGATGAGAGTGATTCCGTGCAAGTGGTGGGTCATGGCTGCGGGTTGTCGCCAGCTGGTTTAATCTCTGTTGCCCATCGCTGAATGGGCCAGGTTGTGACTCGAGTTTCTGCCACCCTAATGCTGTTGCTGAAATGTAGACCAAGTTTGTTTACATTTTGAATAAAGTCTATTCATTTACTTTTTGGCGTTTGTCCACTTTACTTTTTTCAGCCTAACCTTTCAAGCATTGTTGGTTTGACAAATCGAATCAATTCATGAGTTTATCAAAATCGCTAGTAGCCAATGCTACCAAGAGGTATTGTGCATGCACTATACTTTCAGAACTAGCTCCTGAAGAAATATGGCGCTATATGTTGCAGGTATGTTGAATTCAATCGAAAATTTGATTGAACAATAAATGAAAGCCTATATGCATCAGCATGTACATTGAACAAGTAACGATTGAGCCCCGTTTCTTTCCATTCATGGTTACAATTTCCTAGTTTAATACTAATCTGGTGCTCTATAGTTTGTAGAAGACATAGACTTGCATACTTTGGCCAAAGTGTGTCATACGTTCCGTCGTTTTTCTGCCGATCCGGTCTTATGGCGACGAGTGGTGCTCCATCGCAACTCCTTTCGCTTGCAGCTTCGATTTGCTCTTCCACAACGGCCTTCTCGTATAGAACTTGCCTCTCGTGGTATTTTACGTTCATCCAGCAGCTCGCAAATTCTTGCTCGTCATATCGATGAGGGTCGATATGTCAATGGTCCTTTGGGTGTACAAAACTTTAGGGCAGGAAGAGCAGTGGAGCGAACATTTACTCGATCGGCGCTCGGTAGACTATTATTGGCTCGACCAGACGTGGATGAGCTCTGGTAAGCTACTGCACTACATCAACCTCTCCCATCAGTATTTTCTATAGCCATTTGGTGCCAATAGACCATTGTGTTTCAGATTGTCGATTAATGAATGGTTGTTTCATATGATGCTCACATGTGCTCCATTGATCCACAATATCACGCGTTTATTTGCATGGTATTAAGCAACCGTGGAGTGTTTTCTGAGGATGTCGCTGCATCGTTCAAGGCTTCTTGTCCATCCAAGCACAACAAGTATGCCCCATCTTCACCTGCAGTCCGAGTGATTTCTCCACGTTTGCTTCCCAAGATGACTGTGCTACGATCTGCTTTACGAAGAGATAAGCTCAAGCACTCGCTTCAAAACCGTAAATCATTTCAAGAGATTCGAGACTTGAATGTAACCAAACGTAAGTTGCGTCATTTCACCCACGCCGTGTTTCTATTGTGTAATGTATTTCCATGAAACTTCAACATTATGAGTTGACGTCAATTGATCATTACAAATGTGGTTATGCACTATTAGCTCGCACGTTATGGAGCGTACTGCCTTCAACGTTGATGATGCTTACAAAACACTTGACTGGGCTTCAACTTCAACGCAAGTTGAAACAAAGACCTAATATAGAATGGCTCGAGTCACGCAAGGTTATGCAGTCAGCGGTCTATACAGCACACATCCTTTGTCCAAGTGTACGACCTAAAATCGCCTATTACGAATCGCTATCTATTGTTGAATAGTCTGACACCAAGTCTATAAAAACTCTACTTTTAGCATTTCCTATTTGATCACTGTGACAACATCCCAAGGCTTTGTCGCACTCTAGGCTCATGAAACATCAAACCAAGTCTTCAAATCATGCTTTTCCGAGTGTTGCACTAAACATTTTGTACTTTCTAGATTGTAGCTGCCAAGGCATATCAAACTAGACAATAAATGCCACATTCTAAATCTACATATTGTTTATAACTGTATAGGTTGAACATGTACTGCAATTACAATATAAACCTCATGTTGACTAAATTTCTCAATATTTACAGCCATATTCATGTAAAATGAAACTTTTGTAATGATCTTGTTTTGGAATAAACAATCGTTACATGTTCAATGCTATTGGAACAGAAATGTGATCATTCGATTTGTATTTTTGTACAAGAATGAACATCAAGACCAGTAAACCAATGAGCTCAAAAGCAATATTGTCTAGTAAGATTGGTACCAAATATGAGACTGTTTATCGTGTATTCCGACTTATTTAGTGGTTCATTTTACGTGAATACGGCTGTAATAGCCTTCTAGTACATGCAAGAAATAAATCAATTCATAACAAATAGTCCAGTGAACCATACAATGACATCGGTTTATATTAGTAGTCAGTCATCTTCAGTAAATCCGGCAAGAACCTCATTGTCACCGCCATCAGCACTATCATTGTCAATCTCCAATCCATCAAACAGTTCAACGTCCACAACAACGTCACCCTCTTCCATAAATTGCACATCCGAAGACACCAATGTCTGATCACGTTCAAACATTTGTCGTCCAGTAAGCTTCCCAGAGGCCTTGTTGCTTGCATTTAGATCAATCGCCAGTGCAGCAGCATGAGAAATGGACAACTTGGCACCTGCTTTTTTCAGCTGACGAGCTTCTTCCAAAAACTTGGTCCTCCATGCCGAAAAACTATCGGGAGTAACCAGTGTTCCTCGATACCGCTCTCGATCAGCCTCTTCCTCTGCAAGAATTCTCTGTTCTCGATCATGTTCCTCGCGTAGCATGCGGCTTGTTAGCAGCTGTTCAATCTGCTCCTTGCCATGCGATACCATGGCAAAGATCATTCCCATTCCCAAGGATTCAGATCCGTGTGCTAAAAGCTTATCGTACAAGATTTGACGGTCTTCTGCACAGATACCCTTCACCTGAACCAGTTTGAATAATGGCAGTTCTTCTGGGTATGTTGGTGTGTATGTAAACTCGATTGCAAAAGTGGGATGATGGAACACAGTGTCGTCTACACCTTCACTCTGCTCATCGTCCTTGCCACCATGTGATGTATCGGTGGGAACCATGTGTGGGTGAGTAGCGTATTCATCCTCATCACTTTCGTCAAGAGTTTCCTGATAGTCTTCATGAACTGTTAATCCTTGAGCCAGAGCATGCATCTTGAGCAGACCCAGTAATTCCTCATTGTCCAACTTGCAAGTGATCTGGAAAGTGGCAGGCGGACCTTGGTCCATAACAGTGAGCTCATCCGGAAAGATATAACCAAGAGAATCCAGTTCAGTTGTCTGCTCTTCTGTATAATTCATGATTGCTGAATCCAGTTGTCAATGTCGAGTATCAAAACTTTTCTTGTCCACAACAATCGTCATTTTCAACTCTCGGCTGGACTGCAAATCTATTCATTACAACATGGCAAACCATATTCAGCTGGCTAAAAAAGTTGCTCAATCTGTTACTAACGCACTGGATGATCATGCTTTAGTGTTTGATTATGTTCTACTGCATAAATTGACTAATGCTCAGGATGGATGTAAGCTCGTTTAGTAAACTGTTGGCTTAGATGTACATGTTCAGTCCATAAATGTTTAGATTATCCATGTGTGAATGCAGGGTTGGATATCATAGATCTGCTGCCCATGATTCCAGACACAAATGATGAAGCCATTGTTGCATACGCTGTTCGTCAATATTGTGTCGATTTACTAGAAATCTCTGAAGATGGTGGATCAATCCGTCGTAAACATCCTATTCCTGACTACCGCCAAATAGATTCAAGAACGATATATGTGGTATGCAATTATACTAGATTGATGGTCAATCACAACCATCTTGCATAGATGAGTTTGTTTCCATTTAAAATCTGATGATTTAAAGGTGTCTGATGCTCTACTGAACAACGTGGTAAACAATTAGGAACGACTTGCACATACATCCAACGAAGCATGTATTCGATCAGTATTTCAGTCGTTTGGTGAGATTGAACAAGTGGTCATGTCTAAATCTATTGTTTCAAAAGGGTTTCCTGGATGTGCTTTTGTTGTTTTCGCCAAAGCAGATTCAACGAGTTTAGCTATTGATCAATATGACGAATTTTGGAAACCACTTACTTCCAAAACCGACGTTGCTCTGTTTCTCAAAAATGAAGCGATATCTCCAAGCGGACTGCGAGTCATGTCAAAGTACATTTTTAAATTCATACGTGGCTGAATATTGGACAGACTATTGAATCGCATTTGAGTATTAATTCTTTTTTGATCAAGATTTGAATGGAACAGACGGACGCTTGAATATGCTAATTTGCTGGCTGAAAGACAAAAACTATTAACACAAGTCAAAATAAGCAAAACCGGTCAACACCATCACGCTACGTTTGTCTCTGGAGTTGTCTGTTTGTTCGAGGGTATACACATAGACACTAATGCAAAATACTTGAAGGTACTATAGTCAAACACTGGTATACGACCTATATCTGCAAGATTGTTTACTGATCATCCTGAATGTTGTGCAGAATATGTTTGAAATGGTGGCACATGTTGCATTTGTAGACTTTAAACCGGGCCAGGATAAAGTAGAGTATATAGTGATTTAAAAGCACATGGTGTTTAGTTTCTTGTATCTAACCCTTTATTTACAATGTGTTAGGGATATATTAGATTTAAAACGGCATATGATGCTCTTGCAGCCGAAACTTATTTTTCTAAACAAGCCATTTTACAATCACACAAGTCATGCACTGGAATACTATGTTCTAGCTCTGATAGCCCAACATCCACCTACGAGATGCGCGTTAAACTACGTATTCTTCAAGGTATATTGATGACTTGAATGGAATCTAATACCAGATTGTCTGCTTTTGTATATACACGTTGTAAAATGATTTGGTTGTAGGAAAAGAAGAAAAAAGCTATTGGAAATTCATCCACCACACTCGACGCAGCGCTGGAGTTGTAGATATTGCCAAAGACTCGAGGGTTGAACGCATTGTATCATCTCACGTCAAATTTGACGAGAATGTAGATTCTTGTTTAAAAATAGTTGATTCTAATAGCGAAAATCAAGTGGAGACTGTAAAAAACAACTGCACGAGTCAATCTGAAGCCAACTTATTAGGAAAACATACTAAATTTGATGTGTCAGACGACGATTGTGATATCATGACAGCAGATCAAAGTAGTGTGTTTGAATGCATACCAAAACCTGAATCTGACATGGGTGGTCAAAGAATAAAACGGCTGGCTAGTTTTGAATTGGATCACGAGCAGGATAATAGTACAGGAGCCTTGCAATCGACTGGATCTGGTAAACGACCGCGTAGGAGGCGAAGACACGGAAAACGCATACATCAAGGCGATTCCATAGCACCTGCTGACAGCTCTTGATTGTCATGGTTCAGGTTTAATCCAAAATAAACCTACAGGGTTTATATTGGCAAAACCAATAGCAACTATTATTTATGGGTTGAAAAAGTCAGGTGATTCAACCATTGCATTCAGTAAATTGTCAATCTGCAATTGTCTGGACATTCAATGTTGTTGATTCCTCAACAGTCATCCGACTGATGAGTAGGATCATTATAAGGACATTGATACTTGGGAATTGTATTCCCAGCGTATTGTCTTGTTAGTAGTTGATGTCAATCATCAAGCCAGCCTACTTTACTGACCAATCATTTGATCCAATATCAATCCTATTGTCAAGCTCTGCACTAATGGTTCATTCCAATTGGAATTGAAGCAAGTACAGTGCAGTGACGAGGCAATGGAGCACTTCAGGACTGAATCTTGTCAAGACTCATCGAGATTGTCGGTAGTGTGTGCTCCAACATTGGTACTCTTTTTTTTTGGATTCAACAAGCCGTTTATGCTTTCAAATAAAATAGATTACTTCATTTTGTAAATCCTTAGAGTCCATCATACTGTATCGCTTGCGAGAATATAACAACGTCAAATACAAGCACGCCTAGTGCACCAAGAATGTAAGGAAATGTGGCTGCCCAAAAGTATGCATCAACAACTGGAAACCGAAGGATAATGGATAGACCATACCCCAGATTGCCAAAAATCGTAAGGATGAACAGAAACATGCTCACACCCTGGACCGACTTGCGTTTATAGTTTTCGATAACTTGAGGGATTCTGGAGATTCAAGTGGCTCAGTTAGTATATGATCCAAACATATCCGTGTAATATGACAGTTTCTACAGCTTACCGACTAGTGAAATATAGTAATCCAGATACCCATGCCATAATGCAGCCAAAAAGCAGTTTCCAACCGGATGTTCCTGCTCGGACATTGCATACTGAAGCCAGATCCACAAATACATCTATGAGTTTAATGTTCCGAGCATCAGCACCCTGAGCAAGTGCTGCCACCAAGGCAGCAACACTTCCTGCAGCGGAGAGTGCCAATCCAGTGCTATTGGATTTCAATTTGGAATGGGGATGGTTATCGTCCAAGTCTGATTGCACGTCGACAGTTGCTGTAGAATCCTCAATGGGCATTCCTTCGCCTGTGGGAATGGGCTCGTACTTGATATCATCTTGATGTGATTGCTTGTAGACATATTTATAATACACGTATTGGGTGACCATGGCTATATCCGTCGCAATAAAATAAGACGCAGTAAGCTGTTGTGTCGGAAACTGATCAAGTAGAATTGTGCCTATCAAGTTGCTGATGTCACCAAACAACCATAACAAGACAAGTCCCGCTGATAATCCATCGACGGCTTTTCGCTGGTAGTTTTTGTACTGTCGAATAGTAAATTGTATATCAATTCAAAGGTAAGATGGAAAGCATCCGATTTGACACGTGAATAGCAGGATAAGCATGCGGCTTCAATAGACAAAATATCATGTGTCAAGGGAGAGTACTTGCAAGTTGTGGGAACATGGAGACGGCATATGCAGCAATTCCAGCCAAGCCTGCATAAAATGATATCTGATCAGTAAGCCCGTATATGCAGTCGCCAAAATAAGTTCCTATCCATTGAATGTATCTATGGGTTGATGGATAACAGGTCAAACATGGCATAAATTAGTTGGCATCAGTCAAGAATCTATCAGCATACTGTCTCATTCTATCCAAGATTGCATTTTGGCTACTTGAATGCAAGTCCTGCTCTAGTGGCATTGCACTGAATTGAATATAAAGTAGGGTTGCTTGAGTGTATAGCCAAGCTGAACTATTCACCAAAGCTATATAAATGCTTTGAGGAAATGAGAACAGTCGCTAACCACTCACTATGAGGACAACGAGTAGCTGACTTACCTGGCTCCATCAACCTTTTCTGGAAAGCAAATGCAAGGCTGCATCTTTAGGATAACTGAACAAACGAGCGAGTTGGAAACGAAACAGATAAATGACTCGCCATCAGGTACGCCTTACTTGTCATAGTAAAAGCTATCATCCAACTGCTTAGTCCACTGTGTGGGGTATTGTGTAGCCAGCAAGTGCTTTGAATTTTAAACTATCGTTTGCATACAAGATGCAAGGATCAGCCAATACTCGAATGTAAATCATGCAAATCAACGTGCTTGAGCTGGCATATTCCAATCAGTTGTCTGTTCCCACTTAAAGTGTAGGCATCAAGCCATTCAACACATCGTTTCAATCTACATCTGAAAACTCCCCTTGAAACATAATACAAATTAAAAATCGATAAAATATAATTCCTACGAAAGTCTCCACACTATTTTAGTGCCCCTTCATTCGCAACTCCTCATCAATGTCCATAGCCTGAGATTCGTCAAAGTCTTCACGTTCAACATTGCCAACGGCATCGCGTGTAGGACCAGCGAGTCTAATTACACCAATACAGCATGAATCAGTAAGCAAATATATAAAGTAGGTTTGCAGGAATAGCGGCTTACGTTTCTTTTGGTCGCGAATGGCTTTCATTAAGCCCATGTCCCATAGCAGAGCTTTTTTTGAAATGAAGAGCCTCCGCAGCAATAATATCTAAATCAAAAACAATCATTATTGTGAATGAGCTATACTAGAATGAATCGTAGTTTATATAGCATCAAGTATAGAAATAGTGCGTACGCTTAATTTCTTCGATCGAATCGATCGACTCAAACGAGAAATCGCACGGAGAAGGGTGAACCGGCTGTCGTCAAGAAGCAAATACAAGCATATACAATCAAGCTGTTAGTATCAGCGTCTATTTGCTTGAATTATAAACAAGTGCCTACTAATACATTCCCAAACAGCTTACCTCGTCCTCACTATCATGGTATGCCTCAAGATAAGGATGGGCTAATGCCTCCTCAACAGTAATGCGAAGTGCTGGATCAAACGAAAGCAATCTCTCCAAAAGGTCAATGGCTAACCATTTAATTTATGAGATTAGTTAAACTTGTTCACTGCATTCAAATGTATTTAGAAATTACAAAAACATACCAACTGGAGTTGCTTTGGGATACAGATTGATCCAAGGAACCTTTTTCATTTTGGGCAAACTACGAATGTAAAGTTGCGCCTAGTTGGAGAACAAGTTGTTAGTTCAATCACATTAAACCTGGAAATATAAATTTAAACATGGTTGAAATTTACCCTTTCGCTTCCTATTCTAGATAGTGTCTCATCATCAGGAGTTCCAAGAACACTCAGAATCTGATTCAATTGGTCAACATCTACCAATCCGTATACATTCATCATTAGCACGACTAGAACGCAAATATATCTGATTTTTGGTCCAATTACTGCAATACAATAACTTACAGTCACGGCCTTTAAAAAGTGGTTTACTACCAAGAAGCTCCGCAAAAATGCATCCAACAGACCACATATCAACTAATTGGAATACACTGGTGAGATGTCAAATCATGTCAAGGTATTGCAATACAAACAACTCACTGGCTTTGGTATAATTTCTAAATGCTAGCATAATTTCTGGTGCGCGGTACCATCTTGTTGCTACGTATTCTGTCATAAATCCTCCATTAACATCAGGCTCACTAGAGAATCCTCTCGCAAGCCCAAAGTCGCATATCTTGAGCTCACAGTCAGCATTGACCAACAGATTTCCTAAACACGACAGAAAGAGTTTAACATAACAGCGATATGCACTACTTGATGATGTTGACTAGCAAGAATATTTGTGTTTTTACTTGCCTGGCTTAAGATCTCTGTGAAGCACATTAGCAGAGTGAATATACTTGAGACCGCGACATATTTGATAAATAAAATATTGGTAGTGTGCATCTGTAAGAGCCTGTGCCGACCGAATAATCTGATGCAAATCCGCTTCCATAAGTTCCTGAACCAAATATCTACTCATTATAAAAGCAGCGTAAATGAGCAAATAAGTTATTTCAAACCAGTAGGCAAACTTACATTTCTTCGTACTGGTCATCTTGCTCCGTCACTTCCATATCCAAAATAGATGTAATCTATAGCAATTTTAAATTGATAGAAAAAGTCAGAGCTGTACCAAAGTAGCTTATCAAACCTCTGTAAAGGGCATCAACAGTGAGACTCACATTTTCGTGACCAGTAAAATGCCGCAACAGTTTAATTTCTCGAATTGCCCGTTTTGCAAGAATTGGCTTTTCAAAGATCTTTGATAGTCTTTTAATTGCCACTTCAACTCCTGTGGATCTGTCCTTTGCGGCACTATTTAATTATAGTTGCAGTTTAAAATCAAATCCATTAAAATCTATCAGACTGGTCAATACCATGACTGAGTCATTCAAGGTTTAAAAGTGATCATAAAGGGAATCTACAAGAGATGATTCAAAGGTTGATCAATACTAGTTGACTAGTTTTCTCGAGCTGGTTTGATTGGTGGCATATACATGACTATTTTAGTTTATGAACTTGCAACAATACATGTGTAGAAATGATTGACAATTATATACTCAACCATTGGATTGGGATGAAAAAAGATGACCATGAGTGTTTTTTAAATGATCATAGATTGGCTATTCAAAAGTAGTGTATTTAAATCCACATGAATAAATCGTTTGCACTTGAACCCAAAGCACAGTGTAGTACAAGTCCAATCTGTAGCCTTGACCATATTGTCAAAGTACTACATACTCGGCATTAGATAGGTCTTGTACAATGTTTTGACATGAAATTCACATCATGACTACATATGGCCAATCAAATGCTCGAAAAAGACATTCAACCCAACAGTAAATCCCTAATAAACCAAGATCAAAGTATAACCTTTGAAGCTACTGTAGATAGTTTGCTTGAATAGGTAGCACCAAAAAACATGTTTTAACAGCAATCTAGCCGCTAAATGCCCACTCCACTTGATGGCTATTGTTGGCGACTAGCTCAGCATATTGAGACTTTGTAGAGACTTGGGATATGAACACCATGGCAATCAGAAGATCAAAGCATCAACAGGAGTGGGTTGGTGTTGGATGGAGCCGACACATACCAGACTAAACCGTAGGCGCCTTGACCCAAATCACGCAGCATCTCGTACTTGAGATCTAGTTTTGGAGGAAACACCATCTTTGGAGCAGCCATTTTGATCTGCTGAGGTTGCTGACAAGAGTTGAATAGACCGAGTAAGAGTATTTCAAAGGCTGTAACAATTGGACGCCAGTCGAGGTTATTTTACACGTGAGGTTTAGATAAAGATGAGCTAGTCCTTGGCCTAGGACATCAAGTCTGCTTTGATTGCATATAAATCAGCGTATCAATGACTTTACAATGTAAAAAGTCGAATGCATTCATGTTTAGAGCGTGTGCATCTACAATGATGATACGGATCTGAAGCAGATTAGATGATTGAATCATGACCAGTCGCAGACTGGATGTTGCATGAATTTAAAAAGATGTTGCAGTGCTAGACTCGTTGATTCACTGCGATGAGTGCAATCACAGTTGTTTTGTAATAGTCATGTAGTATCCAGCTGTTCTAGTGCTGGAAATGCAGTGGATTTCAGGACTGATCAGTCATGACTAGCATGCTCATCTATTCGAGTTGAACAAGCAGCTTCGACGGAAACAAGTGGCTCGGCTGAACGCATACGCATCCCTGCCATTCTGCATATCGAGTGTTTTGAACTAAAAGCGGAGCCCCTTGTTGACCTTACATTTCTGACCTTGACCCATTACTACTCAACATCGTTTCTTGGCTGCCTTTTGAAGATATGCCTCAAAGTGACAAGAAGGAGCCATTGCAATTGCCCCCATTGCTCGAGCGACGCTACAAGCTCATCCGTGAACTGGGTCAGGGTGCATATGGCGTGGTTTGGTAATAAATCCACATTAGTGCTAGAGTCCTGATTCCTCATTGCTCTGTAGTGCCATGGGTGATATCCATCTGGTCTCTTCAAAATATTAAACATGTTGCATACTAGCCAGTCTATCGCTCTACTGGTCATTATATCAGACATGAATTCACTGTTTATTACTGCTACTAGGAGTATTAGTCTGCAGTCCTATCATGGTCTACACATACATGCGTGCATATATGGCCATCAGCTATAAGCCGCGACGTGCTACTGCCAATGGCTAGGATCTGTATGACTGGATATATACTACCCTGTCCTTATTGTTTTTAATAGCAGTATTGTGTCAATGTCAGGTCAAATAGAGTTGGTTATAAACCTGTGAGTTGCATGGTGCCTCATGGCAGTTTGAACTCAACCCCAAATGCATGATGCATTGAGTAATGGTTTCAGCATCTACTCCCTTTTAAATCACGATCTGCCAGTGTATCGTTGGTGCCGTAATGAACCTTGGTCCTGGTGTCTGGCTTGGTCTGTTGACACTACTCAGCTACAATAATACTACTTGGTTGAATTAGCCATATGCTTATATGTATATATGATTGAACTATGATTGCTATTACTACATTGTAATACATATATGTTTGATACTTTGTTCAAACAGTATGCTTGACTTGTAATTGTGACAAGCATCTTCATGATGGCTCTATTTTTATCTGCATTTTAAACTGCCCAAAATAGTGAACTGTTGGTTAGCACTACTAACCTATTGTTACATTTTGGTAAATACGTATTTGCATCGGATATGGTTCAACAAATCACACATCCACTCTGTACTTGCATGCTGTCATCGAATTAGTGCTGCAACTGACATGTCTACTGGAAAGGATGTGGCTATTAAGAAAGTTCATAATGTATTTCAGAAGCCCATTCTTGCCAAGCGAGCTTTGCGAGAAATTAAACTACTAACGCACTTTGCTGGTCACGAAAATGTAATGTTTTAGCAATTGACTAGCTTGGAACTATCATTTTATCAACTATTTATGAATATATTTTGGGTCTTTAATGCATGGACGGGTTGAAAATGGTCTGAACCTGTGTGAACCTGTGTGAAATTTTACGTTTTATAGATTACTTCTATTCTAGACATGGAAATTGCCGACTTTACAAGTTTCAATGAGATTTATATTACTCAAGAACTCATGGAGGCTGATATGCACCAAATTATTCGTTCTGAGCAACCCTTGACAGATGCACACTACCAATACTTTATTTATCAAATATGTCGCGGTCTCAAGTATATTCACTCTGCTAATGTGCTTCACAGAGATCTTAAGCCAGGCAAGTAAAAACACAAATATTCTTGCTAGTCAACATCATCAAGTAGTGCATATCGCTGTTATGTTAAACTCTTTCTGTCGTGTTTAGGAAATCTGTTGGTCAATGCTGACTGTGAGCTCAAGATATGCGACTTTGGACTTGCACGTGGACTGATGGATACCCAGGATTCTGGATTTATGACAGAATACGTAGCAACAAGATGGTACCGCGCACCAGAAATTATGCTAGCATTTAGAAATTATACCAAAGCCAGTGAGTTGTTTGTATTGCAATACCTTGACATGATTTGACATCTCACCAGTGTATTCCAATTAGTTGATATGTGGTCTGTTGGATGCATTTTTGCGGAGCTTCTTGGTAGTAAACCACTTTTTAAAGGCCGTGACTGTAAGTTATTGTATTGCAGTAATTGGACCAAAAATCAGATATATTTGCGTTCTAGTCGTGCTAATGATGAATGTATACGGATTGGTAGATGTTGACCAATTGAATCAGATTCTGAGTGTTCTTGGAACTCCTGATGATGAGACACTATCTAGAATAGGAAGCGATCGTGCACAGATGTATATTCGAAGCCTTCCTCAAATGCCCAAGATCCCATTTGTCAACTTGTATTCGTCTGCATCAGAGCTTGGTAGTGTGTTTTTACATGGTCATTTATGAATGTATTGGAACTACAGTTTTTGATGCATGTTATTTTTATTATTGGAGTCAGGGTTAGAGATGCTAGAAGGGCTTCTCAAGTTCGATCCCGCGACTCGCATGACTGTTGATGAGGCATTGGTTCATCCTTACCTCGAGGCATATCATGATCCTGGAGATGAGCCAGTACATGATCGACTATTTGATTTTTCGTTTGAAATTGTCGAGTCTATGGATGATATGAGAAGTAAGTTTATGTTTAAATGGACCAGTATATTGGTGTTGAGACATATCAACTTATTTCTGTATTAATGATGCCTCGATTGGTATTTAGAGCTCATTTCGGCTGAAATTGTAAGTTGAGCAGGGTTGAATTAAAGTTTATTGATCGTGGCATGCTAATGTTTTATCAAATGGACATGCCATTAGCGTGAATACAAACATTCCCAAGAGTCGAGTAGTCAAATGGGACTTGGACGAGCACAACTACCGTAAGCTTGAAAATAATCTGCAACCATTGTGGTCAACCAACTGTTTTGCTTGGTAATATGTTACGAGATGTAATAACTTGTTATAATAATGACAGGCTTAACGTTTCAGAGAGGGCGGATGGAATAGAAGGGCAAGAGGATTACACAACTGGTGCCATGGATGTGGATGAAGAGCTTCGAATGCGAGATTATTGATGTCCAAATCTGTTATAGACTCGTGTATTTGTTGCAGATCTTGGAGGTTGGCTCAGTCCATCCTCAAACTGAACCCTTTGACACAGTTAAAGTCTGTAGTCTTTTTAAAATATAGTATGAATTCCATAGGCCTTATTCCCAGTTCCAATCCAAGCCTAGCCTAGATGTATTTTTCTGAATGAATTCATCATGACTAGCGACAAAGAGAATAAAAATGGAGATAAATTGTAGCAACCATCAATCTTGTTTTTTACAAATATCGGTAGATTGCTGGTTTGAATGGCATGGGCATCGTTCGTGTCTCCTGTACCTCAACCAGCTTGCTAAACAATCTGCTGTTCTTGATTGAATACAAAAGTCTCGTTTAGTCTTGTTCCGACACAAGCTTCGACGTTCCAACTATAGTCTACATTAACCCAAAGCAATTGTGAGGTTTACCAACAAAAGACTCATGTTTCCGAAACACTGCAACAGCAGCCTGCTTGATACTGTCAGAATGTTCATTAAACATATGAAATGGCTGTTGAAATATAACCAAAAAAGATATTTTTGGTCCTGTTTGCATTGTCTTGAGCTGTAAATTCATTTCATAAATCGCTCATGGATGGGTTTCGATGGTAGTTCAAATGCAGATATCACTACCCAACAAGTGTTTGGATGGGTGACTTGGCAGTGTTATCGAGCATAGTACAAAGCAGAGCCTAGCAAGCTTGATATAACTGTACATATAAAACAATCAACTCGCCGCCGTCCTTTATCAAGGCTCTTCTCTGGTGTTCTAAAAGCTTCCAATTCAACTTTTGATGTTTGCTATAGAAACAGATTGAATTTTTGTAAAGAAATCAATCGATTTGGTTAATATTCGAGCCTGCATTTTTCTTTCTTCAATATTCTTCCCATCTAATTGCACAACCCAATGGTCAAGGACACAAAGTACTATGACATGCTCGAGGTTTCTCCAGATGCTTCGGAGGTATGATGCATTTGCATATTCCTTTTACTCTTGTTTACCATGTTTGTATCGGCATGTGCTTATTAATGCATGCAAACGTTGATTTCTTAATCCATTCGTTTATAATCAAACATTTACTGACTGTTTCGATGCCTACTCTTATCCCTGCCCAACATAAATTGTAGAACGACCTCAAAAAGGCATACCGTAAACTTGCTCTAAAGTTTCACCCAGACAAGGTAGGCCATTGTGTTGCTTGGACGGTGTGATTGTTTATATTACGTCTCGGATCCAATGGGTGTTTCTGTTCATGGCTTTGTTTCTTGTATCATATTCAACCCGACCCACTATATTGAGTAAATGTATCATGTTTGGTACTTGTCAAATGTTGGTGGGGTAAATATCTTGTTCAAAGTTTGTTCCGCCCACGATTTGAAGGGAATTTATTCGCGATCAGTAGTGTCCGTATTGCATTGGGTCTGGACCACTTTGATATGAACCCACCAACTGTCTTATTAGACCCCACAGCTTGGGGTTCCTTTTGAAATCATGTCCACAAAAGCAGTTTGAACTATGGTTGCTAACTTATAACCATGAATCAATATTCAATCTAATACTACCTTGAACCCATCAATTGTATTACCCACATCAAGAATCCTGATGCAGGCGATAAATTTAAAGAAATCTCTCATGCGTATGAAGTGTTGTCCGACTCTCAAAAGCGCAGCGTATATGATCAATACGGTGAGGAGGGTCTTTCTGGCGAGGGCCATGGACATCACGGCATGTCTCCAGAAGACTTGTTTTCACAGCTCTTTGGAGGCGGTGGTGGTATATTTGGTGGTGGAGGCGGTCGTCGTGGACCATCTGGTCCCCGCAAAGGAAAAGACATGGCACATGCACTCAAGGTCTCTCTTGAAGACCTTTACAAAGGAAAAACTACCAAACTAGCACTACAGAAACAAGTCTTATGTTCTGGGTGCGACGGAAAAGGTGGAAAGGAAGGTGCAGTCAAGACTTGCCCTGGATGCAATGGTCGTGGTTTCCGCGTTGTTATGCGTCAGCTTGGACCTATGATTCAACAAATGCAACAGACTTGCTCTGAATGTGAGGGTGCATGTGAAATCATTCGTGATAAAGATCGTTGCAAGACCTGTGTCGGCAAGAAAGTCGCGACTGAGCGCAAGGTAATGTCGTTTTTTAAATATTTTTCAAGTTTTATCTTGCACAATATGTGTTGGATTGGCTGGAAATCATGTCTAGACACTACATATCTGCATCAATAGCTAACCCTAATCCTGCTATTTAGATTCTCGAAGTTTTTATTGACAAAGGTATGCAGGATGGCCAAAAGATTACTTTTGCTGGTGAGGGCGATCAGTCTCCTGGAGTTATTCCTGGTGATGTCATTATTGTTATCGAGGAAAAGCCTCATTCCTCGTTCAAGCGAAAAGGCAGCGATCTTTACTATGAAGCCAAAATTGATCTTCTTACTGCTCTCGCCGGAGGCCAGTTTTCAATTCCACACCTTGACGACCGTGTATTGTTAGTCAATATTCTTCCTGGAGAGGTCATTAAACCAGGAGAGACCAAGGTCATTAACAATGAAGGTATGCCAACGTATAAGCGGCCATACGACAAGGGCTCCCTGTTTATCACATTCGAAATTGTGTTCCCTAGCGCCAACTGGACTGATGCTCAGCATATGAAGCAGCTTGAAAGCATTCTTCCCCCTCGCCAATCATTGCCATCCTTTGGCACGTCCGAGGTCGAGGAAGTCGTGCTTTCTACTGTCGATCCAATGCGTCAAAACCGGCCACAGTCAAACGCCATGGATGAAGACGATGAGCAAGCGGGAGGTCCTAGTGTTCAATGCCAGCAACAATAAATTTTTTTTAAAAATACTATTGTTTTATTGTATAAGAGTTGCTGAAAGAACATGTTTGGCTGCTAAAGCAATACTGCGTGCAACCATGGCCACCGTCGATTCGTCCTGGCATTCCAAACGCACACTTGTGTTCAACCCTCGACGCATCTCATTGTCAACAGTGCAAGTCAATAAAATTTTACAAGCGTGAATAAATGGTGGAACAAGTATCTCTGCTTTCCACTGATCCCTAACAAGCGTAGCAGCATCCTTACATACACCCGAATTGCCTACCAACCACTTGAGCATGGCCAACAGCATTGATTCAGCAAAGGTTTTGTCATCTATGTCGTCGGCAATGCAGGTCTGGAAGTTGACCATACGAATGGTATTGGATAGAGCCAGATCTGATATGCAAGCATGGGAACTCAAAGTAAACAAAGACCTTGAATCCATCACAATCTATACGGTTGCATATCAGCCTATTAAATTTGATAGCAATACTATATTCACAATGCCAGATATTTGGTTTTGCAATTACCTGTTCAACGCGCTTAGATAAAGAGTTGTAGCATGATGCGTTTGAGGAAATGGCATCACCAGAATGGAACGAAATAAATCCAGTTGGAGGATGATCTGCATGTATTGCAAACGAAAAAATATCCAATTGCGTTTCATCAAGACATAATGATGCGTATAATGGTTCCTCTCCTATGTCCACGTTGGGGTCAGTATACGATATATTGACTGATACTGCCAAAGGGAATACAGTTGCAGGGAGCTCGGCAACCATTGTCCTATAATTTCAGAATTCAATATATGCATCACATCAATGATAGGCATTTAACAGCATGGTTGGAAACCACTGTAATCTATGTATCCAAAAACCAAATGTTTCTTGTATTTACTTACCACGGGTTCTCTAAAAGAAACATGCCAACTGGGATCAAAACAGATGACATGGGCAATACTATATTATACTTGGAAGCAATCTCGGATTCAACACAAAACACGATATTGACTACAAAAATAAAGTAAGACAATCAAAATAGTAATCAACAATCAAACCAACACATTGGTTTACCATTCCAGCCATGATTTAAATGTATTGACTTGACGACTCGGATTTCAACTTGCACGCATGCACGACCAGCAGATATGACTGGAACTACCAAGCACTTGAAAATGGGTGGATCTGATTCTTTTGTGCGATCCAAAGTAATCTTGCGAAAATGCTCAAAAATTGTGCGCGGTTTGTCCAATCCCTTGAGTTTTCTTGTCAGGTCCTATGGCACAAAATATTCAGTTAAATAAATAATAAACTTTTTCAGCATATATAAAGGTGTTGAACATAATGTATGTGGCTTACTTGTGATTGAATAGTCAATTGATTTTGGGTTGCGCTTAAAGGTTCAAAATCTCTCAACAGTCTCTACAAAATAAAATCAGGATCGGTATATGCAGATTATTCACAAAATTACACTGTGCAAGGTAGATCACCAAGTAACAGCATACCTCAATATGACTTTCAAAACTTTCATACAAAGATGTCTGCAAGCAATTCCAAGCAATTTCTGCGCATCGGCCATCGCTATTTAAAGCAATAATCTGGTTACGGTTTTGATCCAAAGTGAGCTTAAACCATCCGTTTCCTATATCGGATTTGTCTAAATCAAATTGCTGCTTATGACCTAGATGTATTTCCAACAATAAAGTAAATTTAGATAGGTTCAATGGCGTGTTTATATCAAATACATCACGTATGTTTTATCAAATCGTCAATGCAGTGAATAGTGGAGCAAATCAGCATACATTTTAAATACAACGTTTTCCAAGTGATGCATGCTAGGGATCCATCATCTACAGAAACTACCAGGCCCTCGTGCATCCCGACAGCAGAATGAATAGTAACAGAAGTTGCGAATATCTGTCGAACACGTCGAGATAATGTTACCAGATCTAGATCAATGATAGCAATAGAATTCCGTCTAATATCACAAATATAATAAGCCTTTTATTTCAACTGGCACATACAAGTAAATGTATATCCAAATTTGAAGCAACATACCCAACAATGATCACCGTGTTGGCGCGAGTCAAATGCTTTGGTGTAAACTCTTCCGATTGATCTTGTGAAAATGCAATTGCAAGCATACCAACAATTGGACTCTATTAAATTGTCCACAAAATTATTAGTTACTTTTCTACATGTTTCTACAAATGATCACCAAGATTAATCAAATCTCAAATATACTAACCTGTAGATCGTATACTAGCCCTTTTGCTGAAACACGAGCTGTTTCACCAAGACCTACCGAGTAGATTCGACCAGATATATCTGCAATTAATATTCCTAAACTGAATTATATTGCATGAATTCAAGGTTGCATGACGGTTAAAACACATTTACATTTGAGAATAATTAAATCTTTAGACATCACATTCAACATACTTGTCAGATCCAAAGAGAGCTGCCAATAATAAGGGATCTAGTTTTGCATTATTTGGGAGCATTGGCTGCATTTCGCTGTTATCTATACAATTTGATCCAAGTGTAGCTACAGTCAAGAATATACAGCCATCATACAACATTCAAATATTGCTCATTTTCTTAAAACTTTGTATACATCAGGATAATGAATCAAACAATGCAGTAATAAAAAGATATCTATAAAACTTGATGAAATCATTGAGTCATATGCAATGATTTTGGCCGAATCATTTAGATTTTCGATTTCAATGATAGATTCTGATTCGTACATAAAACTCTGCCAAGATCTAAATGCAAATTCAATGTTTTTGGAGTCGAGTCTATGCAGTACAACTCCTAACTGACAAGTCGAGAATATCGCCCATCCTTTCTAGGTATAAAAATGCGAAATGGCCGTTGCATGATATTCAGAAAGGCAATAAAACTTGAGTCGAAAATATTTTAAATAAACAGCTAGGATTCTAATTTACCTGGAGTTTTAGCTGGTATTTGAAATTTGTTTCTAGCCTGTTAACGATGGGATATGTTGGCGATGCAATAGAATCCTGTGTCAATCGAAGTCGCTTGTGAGTATTTTGTGAACATTGATTGGATTTTGGTTGTGCTGTTTTGAATGACTGACTAATTACAAGCATTTTAAATCAGCAATATGTTGTCAGATACTGCGGTTCTTGAATTCTGTTTGTCACTGGTTTATAACGGACAAGATCGTTTAAAATAAACTTTACATTGGTAAATTAGTTTGTGATGCAGAGATGTGATCTTCATATATAGTGGTTTGTGGAGCGAGATCTACAATCCAGTAGGTTTTGTCCGAGTTTGAAATAGCATAAAGATTGTCCTTCCAAGCATGAACTCCTGTTATTTTACATTGATTCGATATCCACATGGCAAATAGTTTAGACGAAAAACAATTGCTTGATGCCAGTTTTTTTTGTTCCAGATGTTGACTTGAATTCGTATCCAAAACATGGATTGCTCTTGGCATTGCCCATAAAACAAGCTGGTTATGCCGAGAAACCTGGACAAATGTTTCAAACAAAAGCAGATCAATTTCCTGCCATTGTGGAAATACAAAAACTATGTTTATATCGACATTTCGGTTTGATATGCTGCCAGACACGCTGTCCATCAATGATTTTGAATGAGTTGGAAACCGCAGAAATCTCGGATTGTTTGTTTATTACCTGAGGATGGGTTACTGTTTGAAATTGTTTTTTTTCCAGACAATCCAATCCATAACTCATCGATCGCAAACTTACATTCCACAACTCAAACCGAGTACACCAATCGTGGATAAATTAAAAAGCGACAGAGCAAACGCATTCTTGGAAACTGTACTGTTTTAAAGTCACTTTGCAACATGGCCGAGCAAGCAAACTTGCATCTTGAGGGAATGCTCCCAGAACTTAAAGACCTCGAGCAGCGAGGCATCTTTACCAAGGTACAAAGTGACAATGATTGAAACAATGCATCAACTCATTGACCTAACTCTTTATTCATTATGGCTCAAGTTGGAGATTAAATCAATTGTTAAAAAACGAACTGCATTCGAGTATGGCATCCATAGAAAAATCGTGAAAAAAGCCGATTTCCTCAAGTACATCGAGTACGAAATCAACCTTGAAAGGTTACGCAGCAAGCGAAAACTACGTCTTGACCAGACGTCTGGAAAAGGAAAGAGAGGAGTTACTCTGTCAGATTACAGTATTGTTTGTCGAATTCACCAACTTCATCAAAAGGCACTGGGTCGGTTTTCAGGCGATATTCGACTTTGGTTACAGTATTTTGAATGGTGCAAGAGAGTTGGCAGTTCAAAGGCTCTTGGTAAAAGCTTTGCCAAGTAAGTGATGAATATCATGCACACTAACCACAGCTTTGGGTTGGTTGAAATACCAGGCTTACGTAATTTGACTAATTTTGGATATTAGAGCAATCCAGCTACATCCAACTAAGCCCATTTTTTGGATCCTAGCAGCCACTTGGGAATTCGAGGAAAATAGTGATATCGCATCGGCTCGAGGTACATTTATAAACTTTAAAACATTGACCCTTGTGTAGTGACTGGCTGAATCTGAACCAGTACTGACATCGATTTGAACTCCTTATTCGATACTATCCATAATGAAACAGTTCTTATGCAGCGTGCATTGCGAATCAATCCAACCAATCAGAAGCTGTGGATCGAGTATTTCAAGCTGGAGTTGCTTTGGGTTGAAAAAATCAAAGAGCGTCGGCGTATATTGTTTAAAGAGGATCTTGACAATATGCCAATCGATACCAATTCAAGTGTCAATGACAAGGATACAAAAAGCGAGACAGATGACTGTATTGATATCTGCAAGGATGGAAATGACGAGTCATCTCAAAGTAAAAACGTCGAGGTTGCCAAGTTGGAGATCGAAGCCGAGCTTGAACCTACTTTGATTGAAAAGGTACTGCACTTTAATGATTATTCATGTACTGTTTTGACTTTACTAATCATGATTGATTTGAATAGGATAAAGCAATTACAGAATCTCAAAATCATGATAATAATGAAATGATGAAAAAGGAATTGACCCCATTGCAAAAGACTTTGCTGGAAGTTATGGTGCCTCGTGCAATTTATCGAAATGCCATTAAAGGTTTGTTGAACTTTAGCATGCTGTATAAAACCAGATTGACTTGACCATGCTGAATTTTTCGCCTTATTGACACCTTATTGATATGGTTTGTTTTTGTAGCGTTTCCAAAAGATCTTTCTTTTTCCCTTGCATTTTTGGAAATTTATAAGCAGTTTGGCAAAGGATCTGTACTAGGCATAGAAGAGATTTATCAAAGGTAATCTACAGCACTACTATGCAGCTGTTTAAACGCAGTTTTATTATTTTCTAAGCATTAATGTTTCTGTGATTGTGACATCTATAAATGTAGTCTTAAAGTAAACTTTCCTGAAGATCCCGAAGCACTTTGTATTTTTGCAGAACACCATGTTTTGTTTGTTCAAGAAACAGATCCATTGTTTCCAGCTGCTCTGAAAAAAAGTATTAGTACATACCAAACCAATCTGGAGGCTCATCCAACATCCACATTGTGGTCAAAGTATATTGCATTCATGAGGTCTAAGCGGTCAATATGCATTATTCCTGAGCTGGTAAGTAATTATATGTATATTTCATTAGCTTGTTTCTCAGATCGCTTTGAAGGCGTCATCAGCAAATATTCTAATTCAGTTGGCTTGGTTTTTAGATTCGCTATTTGGATATCCTGATCTTGAGAGCATACAATGCCTGCCATACAGCCAATTGCAGCACTATTCTACTTTATTTAGAATGGACACGATGGGTAAACGATCAAGACAAGACCGACATTATAGATAAAGCTCTCTCGGCTTTTCCATCTTCTTCACTTTTATGGCTGGAAAAAATCAACAATTTGGAATCAATTATGGAAAAGAAAAGTGCATTTGAAAAGGCAATCAGTCTTGTAAGCAATGCCGAAAAGTGCGCCTTGTGGCAATGGTATTGCCAATTCACTATTGAATGTAGCAGCAGTCCTAGTGAAGTTCAAACTGCTTTTGAGGTGATTGCGTATTTGCTTTGACATTTTGAAGATTTGCACCATGCCATTTTAAACTAACAATAATATAAACATTTTGATTTTTCTCATACAGACATCGCTCTCAGCATCTCAACTTGGTGGAACCAAAGATGAAGAAACTTTCAAGGAACTTTATCTTGACTGGGCCATTACACAGCCTGATGGTCTTGAACTATTCCGTAAAATTCGTACTACGTTTACTAATCAGAAATTACAGAGCATCGAGTTTTTTCAAAAATGCATCGGTATAGAAACTCAACAATGGATGAGTCAAATGGCTGATGGCAATATCAGTGAAGCCGAAAAAACCAAACATGCTTTGGAAACATTGTGGAAAGGTGCTGTGCAAGTAGATCGCTCTCGTCTTGGTGAGTTTTAATTATCTGTTGAAAAATTGTCGAGTGTTTTTAAAATCTAACTGCTTTTGGAAATATGGACTGTTACAGATACATGGCTTGGATATATTCGCTTTACATTTGAAATCTGCAAAGATCCGAAATGTGCTGCTCAGCTTTATTGGATGGCCGGAAAGGAAGTGGACGATAAAGACGAACTTGAGCGTCAATTTCAGGAGATGAAGCTATGATTTGGTTTCAAGCTAGTGAATCTTGATTGATTGTGTTGGGTGGAGATGTTGTGGATATGAATTATAAACGCACTCGATAAAGTAGTGCCTACTATAACTTTTGAAGGCTACGGTCGTATTCACATAAAATAGAACACTTGTGTTTATCTTATGGTGACTACCTCTATTTTTCTTTGAAATAAACTGATTAAATACTCGTTATACTTTTCTAGTAGAGATTGGCTGCTTCAAACACAACGTTTATATGTGCACAAAGTCAAAATCATATCTGTTGTATCCTAAAGCATCACAGATATGCTCGTGTTTTAATCCAAGAAGATAAGATTGTACGTTTCAAAAATACAACTGTTGTTTCCATGTCAGTCGACCAATCTTGATACTCGACTTGGATGGATGGAGTATTGAAGATTATTCCAGCTATTAGTCCTGAGGGTGTGTTGTCATAAATAATTATTTTTTGAATTCGTTTATTTTTATCAACATGGTGTTTCTTTCAACCCAAAAGCTACTAAAGCAGAAACTAAAGCAGGTATACAGTGTTTTCGGCAATGATCATTAAATGATTCTCAATCCATTTTGAAATGCAACCTTCAATCATTAGGTTTGCTGATCACTTTCAGTTGAAATAGGCATTGGACAAGGCAAAAGTAGCAAAAAAGTCAAAAGAAGCAACTGAAAAGACGGCCAAAGAAAGTGCCAGCAATGCAGCAACCAAAAAAAATCAAGTAGTGAAACCAGGCCCACGGGATAGTTGGCCAAAAGGACCTTTGTATAAGCCCAAACAACCAGTATTAGCAAAAGTAGACAAGGCACCACCTAAATCAAATCTCACTGAATTACAAGAAAAAATGCATAAACAGCTTGCAGGAGCAAAGTTTCGCTGGATTAATGAAAAACTGTATACTACGAGTAGCAAGGAAGCCGTTAAATTGTTCAAAAATGAGCCAGAACTGTTTGGAATTGTATGTGCCATTTGTAGTTTGATTTAAACTCGAATTTTGCTGGCATGAATATCGTCAGGCTTAAATTTATAAATGGTCATCGTGCTAATTGATTTCAACTATCTGGATTTGGGTATAATCCAATTTTGTGATACAGTATCATGCCGGATTCAGTTCACAGGTTAAAGATTGGCCAGTAAATCCAATAGATATCTTTATTGATGATTTGCGTGGTAAGCCACCATTTACATTGGTTGCAGATATGGGATGCGGCGAAGCCAAAGTAGCTGCAGAGCTTGGACGAATGATTCGAGTAGAATCGTTTGATTTGGTTGCAGCAAACGAGTACATTACCGCTTGCGATATTGCACATGTCCCGCTGGCTCCAAAGACATGTGATGTAGTTATTTTCTGTCTATCATTAATGGGAACAAACTTTGTTGATTTTCTCAAAGAGGCATACCGTATTCTCAAATTTGGGTGAGTTTGAAATGGCTTCTTGAATTGCTAGATTTGAAAACGCAAATGGGTCAATCCTTACTAACAACATTGGATTTGCACTACGATAGAGGCAATCTCAAAATTGCCGAGGTTGTGAGTCGTATCAATAACTTGGATCAGTTCATCAAAGGCGTTTGTGGCATGGGCTTTACATTGGAAAGCAAGGTATATCAATACAATTTTGAAGCTTGTTAATTGTGTCAACTGATCATTTGGGTCCTTTACTAACTGTTCTGTTATTGATGTAGGATTCATCAAACAAAATGTTTGTGATTATAGAGTTTGTAAAAGGTGGCAAAAAGACTGAAACGGATGAGCTGACTCTTAAGCCCTGTGTTTACAAAAAACGATAGATGCTTGATACAAGTTCAACTATTTTAGCAATATCAATGCCATACTCTGCAATGAGTCTCGTACCAAAGCATGTTTTTACTGCAGCTGCTTTTTTGGTCCTGCTCGATCCGTGACTTGTTCCGAATTTTATCTCAATATTTGCATTAAACAATTTTTTAATTCCATGTTAATCTTGCCAAGCTGTAGCTGTTTATTTCCAAGTTGAGTTTATCCAAGTACTTACCAAAGCAAGAGTTGGTGAATTGAATTAGTGACTAATAGCGAGTCGCGTTCGCCGATTCTTTCCACAATTATAAAGTATAGTTTAAATATCTGGTAGACTTGCAAGAATCTTATTAATTCGGTGATACAAAATCTGCTACAACTGAAATTAATGACAGTACAAACAGATAAAGCGGCTGGTCTTAAATCTCGCCAGTTATCTCGAGACAAGCTCTGCTCTGCAGTACAAACCATGAAAGAACAAGACATCACAACCCTTTTACGCCAGCCCAGAGTTGGAAATAACTCGAGAAACAGTAGCAATATTGTATTTGGAGACTCAATGGAGTGTAAGATATGCAGTATGAAATTTGAATATAATGTAATAGTATCAGATATTGACGTGCTAGCATTGTAAATGCAAACCAGCTGGCGAAAAATATACTTGCAAATCTATAAACTATGAGCAGGAACGCAAAAGAATAAATAGAGAAAAGCTGGAGCAGCGCATATCTTTAAAGCAGTATGTTTTGGATTAATTTTAAAACTTATATTGCAATGAGATTGACGCTATTGTGTCGTTTACACCTTGGATGTAGATTTTTAATATATTTCATATAAATACATAGAAACCGAATGACTGAATTGGAAACTCAGCGATGGAACCAAATGGCGGCTGATTATTCTAAAAGTCAAAATCTGCTCAAATCAAAAGGTATCAAAACCAAGATTGGTGCTCAAAGGTGTGTTGGGTTTAAACTGCATTATAAATATGATACAGGTAGACATTAATCCAATTAAAATCTGCTATATTAGTGTACACTACAATTTAATCACACACGAATACCACGATTCTGCCGGAGGACGCCAACAGGCAGCTAAGGATGCTCAAGATATGGTAATTTAAGCTCGATAAAAGTGCCAATTAAAATATTACATCATCATAATCATGACTATTTTATTCTATTTAAAATTTCACACTGTAGAATTATGTTGCTGTTCGATCTGCAAGGTTGTATCTTAAAAATAATACATTCAATCCACTTATGTGCTCAGATATTCCAAAAGCAGCAAACCTCAATCAAGAATCACAAGAAAAAACAAGTCTTGCTGAAAGTATTGGAAAGAATGCATCTGGAAATACTGCTGATAAACACCTCACAGCATCATCACTGCCTAATATTCGCAACATCTCAAACAATCATTTTAATTCAGGAAAAAGTGATCAAAACAAGCAGATAAACTTGAATGGGCTAGAGCCACATAGCATTCAAACTCCCAATCCTCCCCAGTTTGGACGACGATCATACCGTATTATACAAAGTGCCGGTGCATCCAAAAATTTAACTACACCAAAGCATCTGTTGTCCATTGTGACCAATACTGCTCAACTTTTTAAAGATCGCACGGCTCATGGTGAGGGTGGAAGTGTAGTAAAGGGTGTGCCGATATACAATGTGTTGGGAGTTGAGCAATCTTCATGGGCAAGAAACTACTAAATTACATTTGCTTGACTGCATTTGTAACTTGAATAAATAATCGACACAATTTACTGCCACATTTAACCCAAATCTTGACCAAATAAATGTCATACAAAACGAATCCAGCTTAACGCCTTGAATAATTCAATGTATCGTTTAATTAGTTATCTATTGGGTATACAATTAGTCAATCTGAAACAACAGCAAATTTATTCAAGCTGCATTCAATTCAAAGTATTTTATCGGGAATGCTATCAAGATCCATGGCTATTTTGTAAAAACAAAAATCTCACGGGAAAATCCTGCAGACTTGGCTGATGGAGGATCAATCGAAAAAAATGATGAAAATCCAACATCCTGACCAAGTAAGTAATCTACAAAGTCGGTGGGTTTAAACTTTATGCGGCTGTAGTTTTTCTGAATTGTACAAGTTAGATTTGATCGCTTGTGATAGGTTTCAAAATTCTGCGGCTCGACAATCAACCGTCCGCCAAAAAGCAATGATTGGTAGCACTTTTGAAAAAATCGCTTGATGCCCTTGTCACCACTGTTAAGATGAATCCATTTGGTGATACTGAGAGCAAGAATGGTGTGGTATCGGTTTGCGTCGCTTGGAGGTGGAGGCTCGTTCAGCCAATCACCAGCACGAAAGGTAACATTGAATGGAAACAAAGTAGGGTTGGTATAGTTGGGGTTTGCTAATGAATGCTTGTTGGAATCTACACGATCGCTATTATCAATGCTCGTACGACTCGGATCTGACATAGTATTAAGTTTATGCTGGTTATCGCTAAACGATTTTTGATGTGAAAATGGCGAGGTATCTGCTGGATCTAGATAAACTATAGGGAGTGGACCAAATGAAATAGCACAGCTTGCTGGATAATAGTCAAAATCGCATATCAGTGCATCAGTAGATGGTTTAGTGGCAGCGTTTTCATTTGAATCTACTGCATAATCGGTATGCGGAACCAGACCTTGCAGTTCAGTAGGTAATTTACACGTAGATCCACAAAATGCAAGCCGAGCTCGAGATTTCTTGATGAGTGATGGATCAATATCTACGCCTTCAATTAATGCAGGTTGGAATGCCATACCAATCGAGATTGTCATCCAGCCAGAATTACAGCCAATGTCCAGCACTTTAAGCCCCTCGAACCATGACTTTTCGAATGCAGCCAGTCGATAATCTAGCCTGCTAGAACTTTCTCGCTTTCCATAGTATGAACTGTAGTTACCAAACTGGAATATTTTGCCAGTCTTGTGAGGTTTTTGCTGCAGTGATGGCGATACAAGTGTGGTTTTCTTTGTGACTGGATTGTGAGGGCAGTCCTGCTCTGAGTTTTCTATCAAGTTATCCCCGATCACACTACTACCAAGTTGCCCACTTCCACGATGCTTGCGTTTATATATATGGGCCAAGTATGGATTGTCCATTGCTTGGGTTGTTTGCCAAGTAAAGGTCTGGTTCAAACTACAAACTGTTTTCCCGAGTCGAATATAGATTTAAAGATATTTCAATTCCACATTCACTCTAAATATGCTAAATTACAGCCATATTCATGTAAAATGAAACTTTTGTATTGATTTTGGACTGGAATAAACAATCATTACATGTTCAATGCTATTGGAACAGAAATGTGATCACTCGATTTGTATTCTTGTACAAGAATGAGCATCAAGACCAGTAAACCAATGAGCTCAAAAGCAATATTGTCTAGTAAGATTGGTACCAAATATGAGACTGTTTATCGTGTATTCCGACTTATTTAGTGGTTCATTTTACGTGAATACGGCTGTAAAAATAGAATCGGCAGATTCAAAAACTGTTTTATTCAACTGCTGCAGCAAACGGAGCATTCGCTTTGGCTTGATTAATAGTGCTGCTATTTTTGACGCTAGTGTCTGCTTGCTCATCGGAACTAACACACGGTGACTGTTTCTTGGATACTTCAACAGCAGCCTCGCTCTTGAGATCTTGTTCCTTTTGTTTATAGATGCTTTTAGCCAGTCGATTGTTGACAGCGACTACCTCGCGTAGTTTGACTTTGAGCTCCTTATTTGCAGATTTGTAGTAAAACACATCCTTTTCTAAATTCCGAACAATTGAGCCATCGGCATGTTTTCCACTATAAACTCCCAAAATCGAGTGTTCATATCAGAATTACAATCAGTTTATAGTCATAGCTAAAAGTCGAGCAAAATACAAATTAATACCTTGAATCAAAATCTGCTTGTACTTCAATTTCTCGAGTCTGAATGGGCATAACTTGAGAAATCTTTGGCGCTAAACATTGCTCTTCTTTGGTCATCGCATCCAATGCACTCAACTGTTTCTGAAAATGCTATTGCATTTAAAAAATAAATAACAGACTAAATCCAATAAAATCAATGACGAAAAGCAAGTCTTACCGCCTCTGCTGCCAACAACTGTCGCTCATGCACTCGTTCTTGTCGTTTCAATTTTTGCTCTAATTTAGCGGTGTAGTCGGCGCTCGCGTGGAGTTGAGCCTTCAATTGCTGTCCTTCCGAGGTTATTTTATACAGGTCTTGCATTGTATGGATTTTATCAAGACATTCCAACACCAGCTCTCGACAGTTTTGTAATGAAGCAGTTCGCTAAAGTAGAAATACGTAGCAAATGATTGAAATGATCACATTTTACCATCTCACCCCGGTGCTAGATATAAAACTAATAGCCACAAAATTGACCTACCATTTTTGGAATAATATCCACAATAAACGGGTCATTGCCAAATCGATCAATCAGCTCGTGATAATCAATATCATCTTGAACATCTGATGTGACATCTATATTCTCACACAATACATTATGAGAATTATCATAATCCATTCCAGATTCTATCCTGCGCTTTTCAGTTCGTATTTCCACAATATGTTTCAACAAAACAATTTTGTTTCTCCGTAAATGCTCAAGATCTGTGAAAAGCTTGTCGCGAGTTTCAGCCTGATTTAAAAACATACCACAATATTCAAATCAGCTTTTGTTTACACATGAAATCCCATTTTAACCACTACAAACAACATAAAAGCTTACTGAAGCACTCTCCAACGCAGCTTCTCCTTCATGAATTTTAACCTCTGTTTCATCCAATTTGGTTCTGATTTCACCAAGACGCTTATTGAAGTTGTGGCAGATTTTGACACGTTCGGCATCGCTTGCGGCAGGATAGTCGTTTGTTTTAATATCAGATTCAGTATCCGCGACAGATTTTGCAGCCGCAAAAGACACTGTCATTGCACCAACTTCAGAATTGACACCTGTTTTATAAAGCAACTTCAAGTTGAGCAGTATTATCAATTGCAGAGCAATCTATTCTCATCTCACCTTTTTCGAATAACCCAACGCGTGACATTTTTGAAGATCCAGCAATACTTGCCATATGTGGAGTCTCTTTAAGTTTACGACTCATTGTGGTAAGCTCTTCGGTCTTTCTATCAAGTTTCTTTTTCCCAAGTTCGATCTGCATCTTCAGCTGTCTAATCTGCTTATTGTCATCTTCAATTTGTTTTCCAAGTGCTGTCATTTCTTTTGATCGTCGATTATCAGAGTCGTTGAATTTTTCAGACTCTTCTTTGAGCTTTTTTTTCCACATGGCTATTTGAATACTCATTTTTTCAATTTCTTGCTGGCTTTCTTGAAATCGTTTATCCGAATTATCCTTGTCTCTGATACCTCGTTCTAAATCTTTGACTTTGTTTTTGAGATTAAGAAGATGAGTTTCCTGTGATTTTAATTTTCGTTCGTATTCCTCCTTAAGCCTTTCTTTGGTCTATCAGTATAATTTTACAAAAATGAATAAACAAATCGGGGTTGAATTAAAGGATAAAATCTACAAGGTAAAACAATTCAATTATACTGCAAATTCATTACCTGGTCGCTTTCAAGCTGTTCATTTTTTAGCTTGGCCACCTCTCTATGTGTGGTTTCGAGTTCACGCTCAAGCTTCTGAATGCCGTCGTGATAAGCATGTCGCGCTTTCTCAGATCTATGTAAATGAAAAACAATTGTAGAGCAAGACATATCAAATTACTTTTGCAGATATAAAATCACATAGACTATCGAGAAATTATTTTCTCGCATATTTAATAGCACATACTCTTTGTTTGCCTTGGATAACTCCCTAAGAAGGTCAACCTTGGCCTTCATCAATGCATTAAATTCATGTGTATAATGACGAGTGTTTGTCTCTAATTCAGGCTCCACGCTGTTCTCCTGATTCATATGCAATGAAAACTCAGGACTATAATATATTTAGATTAGCACATGTATGGTCATTTAATTATCAATATACAAATACATACTTGATGTGAACTGGAAACTCAATTATTCCATCCTAAGCATAATATGTGTAAATATTAGCATTGGGTTAAAATATAATGGTAATGAAGTGTTTGATTTAAACTTACCTCGTGATGAATGCTGGATAAAGGCATTTCGGTTTGACAACCTGTTTCATTAAGAACTTGTATAGACATAATACTGGCCTCTCCGCCGCTATGCTCTTGTAATGATCTTAATTCGTTGCGCAATAAATCATTTTTGTTTTGCAAAGACAAACTTTCGCGCTTCAAATCCGAGTTTACTCTAATTTAAATGCCAATCAGATTCCAAGTATAATTGTAATTTTAAACAGAGCTGCAGATATCAGTTGACATAAGCAATAGTAAAACTTACTGCACAAGATGAGTAGCTTCAGCACACATATTCTTCATACTATTCTGAGCTTCTTGAGCTTCAGTAAGCTGCGTTTCCAAAGTCGATATTTTTTTTTGTGCATCTTGAAGTTGTTGTCCAAGCAAACCAAGAGCTGGAGTTGATGTAGTATTGTGAACAACAGAATTCATTTCAGAAATGGATGGTCTAGTAAAAAAGTTTGTATCAGCATTTCTAAAGCAGCAGACAGGTCTACAATATCTGTCATAAACTTACAATTTTAAAAGAGTTTTTTGTCGTGGTGAACGAGAAAATGATGCATGAGACGGTCTAATAGCATATATATGTAATTGTATTGGATCTAGTTAGATTAAAAATATCAAATGGGTGCTGACTAACTTATATCTGCCCCGTGAATGGATCAACTTACGCGTCCGATAGTGCACTTGAAACATTCCATCCAGAATCGCTATACTTTTCAAGAATTGCGCAAACTGCCGCTTCATCAGATGCATGAAGATTTACACCAGACAACAAGGTTTGAACAGCAGAGACCAAAATTTGGATATTGCTCTCAAGCAAAGTAATAGTCTGTTTGGCTTTGGAAAGTCTAGCGTCTCTATCTTGCAATTTCATTGCCATTATGCATTGCTCTTCATATACACTCTGCACTCATTCATCTAGAATTAGCATTATTGAAAGACGTTTAACAAGTAAAGCGTGTTGTATTATCGAGTACAGCTTACATACATTTAGTTCTGCGGTAGACTTTGACAGCTGTGCTTCCAACTCGGCTTTTTCAACATTGACTGTTTTCAATGCCTTGGTTGCATCTAATAATACAATCTCATTATCAATATATTGGTGTATAATAAAGCAAGCAACCCATGTAGAAAATAACATACTTGCTCCGCGAATAGTGCGGTTTTTGAGCTCGTCCATAAAATACTGCATCAACTGCTCATTATCAAAATCAATCATTTCTGGTGATAGATTTGTGGCCAAAGCTTGCTTTTCACTACGACCCTGAAGCTGGCCTTGTAGTTGGTTGATTTTTTGATGTAAATTAGATACTTCTACAGCCTGATGATCCACCAGATTTACGACAGGTTTGTTATGAATTTTGCGTGCCCTATAGGCATATTTGAGAGTATTCAATGTTTCGTCCATATCATCATCTAAAGGGCTCACACATGCAATCATAATAGTTCGAGAGTTTCCCCCAAGTGAGTCTTGAAGCAACCGAGTTAGCTTGGAATCGCGATATGGGATATGCGTTGTGTCACTAACTTTTCCTGGCTTGTCAGAACCTAATGCACTAATGACATTTCCTAGAGCTAATAAACCGCTGTTGATTTTCACAGACTCACGAAGACGAACACCTTCTGCGCCTGTGCGTTTGAGTCGCTCCGAACCTGTTTAATGAATACGATATGCGTTAAAATGCATTGGACGCAGATGCAATTAACATGTCAAGCAAAATATAACTATACCTGCTAGATCCACAAGCTGCAATTTTGATCGCCGAAGTATCAATGGTTCAGTATTTGTTTCCGTTGATGATATATTTCGTAGTCCTTTTCTAGATATTTGTTCAAGTGTGATGGTGAAAATCGCATGCGACCGACTTGAATAGCTGTGAATGTGAGTGTCACCCGTAGTTCGCTCAACCCCACCTCTTTCAAGACATCTACAAAACGATTAAACGTAGCATGGATTTTATCCTTTTAAAATCTCTAAAAAACAAAATCATGGTATTAAGCATTCACATCTGAGAAAAGTAGAGCGTACCTCATAAGAGCTGCTGGAGTTGATACTGATTCTTCGTGAATTCCTGAAATTGTAATCACACCCAACTTGTTTTCACGGATTGCAATATCGCGCTGATCATTTCCTGGCATCAACAAATCACGAATCTAGAATAAAAAAAAGTAAATTTCCGTACCCATCATTGGTCGAGCTTAAACAGGTCATTTTTGAATAACTATACCTGCTCCTGATATATTTCTACAAACGACGCTCGGATTTGATACTCAATATCTGCATCTCTCTATATAGTTCAGCCGAAAGCAACATGTCAGATAGGGTTTCAACATGCTATACAAGTCCATCAAATAATTGAAACTGACTTTGATATGCTCAAAGATATCCAGAACAACACGAGGTATTATTCCTCGAATGTCATCAGGTGCCTTATGATCATTGCTAGATCCCATCGTGAATGTCTTTCCACTGAATGTCTGGCCGCTTAAATCCATAAGTGTGATCCAAAAATTCAAACAATAGTCCGGTTTTAAAAAGTTAGATTCATCTTGCAGTCGAGTAATTATCATCCCGACTCTTCCAATCATCAATCCATAATCAAAGTCTAGTCCAAAAACAAGTCTTGAGGAAGAACTTGAACTCACTAGGCCAAAATGGTCGCATTAAACCCCTCAAAAAATTGATTCATCAGTGGAGCAACCAAGCCTTCAAAAATCTCTCGCTGAGTGGATTCTGGACCATAAGTCGAGTCAAATGTAAACGATTTTCGTTGATGTTGGTTGCTGTTTCCAGTAGTCCCGTTAGCATAGGCTGTTGGATTTGAAGCTACATCCAACTCTTTTCCGACTACAACTTGTGGCTCGCCTGGAACGAGATGGACGCAAACTCGAGGTGCTGGACGAGTGCCCACACCATATCCGTCTTGTTGAACAACGGCTGGTCGAACCTATTAGCAGCAAATACACATGGAGTTTAAACCGCTATTTCAGACATCGAGATTCAATACTCAAATAGCATTATTGAATAGCAACTTGAGTGGATACAAGATATTGGCGAAATTGCACATACTCGCAATGCAACTCGAAGAGGTACAAGCCCAGGCATCGGACATAATAGTGATGAAGATGATACTGTTTTTTCCAAAGCTGCCACTACGGAATGCTCTGTCTGGTCATCCACTATCAAGGATTGAGCTGCAAGGTTTGTCATCAATGCCAAATCAGCCAATGTTTCCGCCTTTCCCAAACGTGATAAACTCGCGTACAATAAAGTTGACAATCGGACATGGTGACCTACTCAGCTTGTATATCAAAGAAACCACTATTTCTTGAGAGTGCATTGTTTTGATTGGTACATGTTAATTGTATAGTTTATTATAGTTTAAAATATCGAAGATGGTCAAAGAAATATATACACTCGAAGCCATGCTTGTTTTGATTGCTACTTTGATACCTTGGAGAGCGATGAGTTTAATAGCCCGGATCGCGACAATGTCAGTGAGGAAAGTTTTGGAGGTAGCGGAGGTCGGAAAAATTGCAGAGTTGATGTTGGTGAATCTGCAACAGTTGTAGAGCAAGACATTGCTGTAGGAGAACTGCATACCTGAATATCTGTAAAATCTGGTCGTGGTGAACTAAAATCAATCGATATCAACATATGTTGATATCGAGGATCGCGCATAGCAGCAACAATTCGTGAAGAATTGCAGTAGAGTGAGAGAATTGGGCCCATATCTAGCACAATCTTGTGAACCAATGTACCCTTTTCAAGATTCCATATAAACAGGGTTTCGTCCCAGCCACCACTAATAAGATAGTTTCTAGTAATATCCATTGTTTTTATCCATTCAGTATGTCCTGTAATGACTTGTAAGCATGCTCCAGTTTTAAGATTCCATTCTAAAATGTAAAAGTATTGAGGTATGCAAAGTCAACCAGCAAGCACTTGCATTTCAATTATCTAGACATGATTGTTTCAAATGATCAACTTACTTCGAATAGTACGATCCAAAGATCCACTAAACAAGAACTGTTCACTTGGTTTAAGACATGTCACTGCTTGATCGTGTCCCTTGAGAGTCATGATACAATTCCCTCCTCGTGTATTCCAGATTTTGATAGTCTGGTCGGTAGAGCCAGATGCCAATCTTGAGCCAGCATCTAAAAGCGCAAGGCAATATATGTCACCCTTGTGTCCCTTCATTTCGTGGACAAGTACAATATTTTGCTTGGTTGTCAAAATGGATTTTTTTCGCCATCCAAACCGTAATTTTGACTTGCAAGGCCTAGATTCTACTAGACAATCAGAATTTATCGATTCAGGACGAGACGTTGGTTCAGACTCTGATTGAGTAAAGCTGTGCCGGTGCCATAATCTAGATCCTGATGTGGGTCTAAGAATTTCAGGTTTACTATATTCTTGAAAAGTATCTTGAGTTGATTCCAAATCTTTACTGCCTTTTTTTAAACTTGACACAAAAGACGACTTTTGACTGGAACAAGAGAAAGTTGAGCTATTGGTTTTTTGCATGGGTGCAGGCTGAGAATCATCCACTTCTGCTGGCATGAGACGATATAACCGCACCAACTTATCAAACCCTGCACACACTATATGATTAGCATCGACAACACAGATGCTGGACACGCCTCCTTTGTTGGCATTTTTAATGGATGCAAGGAATTGACCAGTAAATGCATTCCAAAATACCAACTCCCCAGACGTGTCTGCTGAAACTATGATGCTTTGAATAATCTCAGAATATCCTATGCACATGATTGGATTTTGATGATGTCCGTCAAATTGGGTTTTTGGATCGAGTTTTTGATTATCAGCATGCCAAAAGTCGGGCGTATCGACTTGTGAAAGTTGTAATCGTCTATCTCGTGACCCGATGATCAGTCTACCGGAATCGAGAGCAAAGCTATTAAGATGGTTTGATTCAAGTTAGTTGGACAGCATTATCTTTCAGTAAATTGATAGCATAGGTTAAATCAAGTTGTGCTGCCCATGATGTGTTACCAGGTAATTGCATCAGTTGGATCCAACGCATCAATAAGTCGTTTGGTGTATTTTCCAGAAATCCAATTATTCGTTCGAATACGATTTTCGTAGTAGATGGTTTTCCAACGAAGACCTTCTGACCAAAATTCACTGTGTTTTGAAAACAGGTCCTCATCATTTGGATTGCTAAATGCTCCGCTAGAAAGACAATACAGTTTCCAGTGTTTGGGACTCATTGCAGTTTTTCTCCAAAAATGGTTTACTGTGCTGCATTTTGACAGGTCAGATGGACATAGATAGGAAAAGATTTGCATGACAATCCCAAAGGGAAGAAATATTTTGTCATTTGCTGACAGGCCTTGATCAATATGATCTGAAATTGAATGCTGATCAACTGTACTATCTTTTCCATTATCTATTCCCAGATTAGACGAGTTCAGTAGTGTTTTTGTTGAGGCGAACTTGTCGACAATTGAATTGCTAAAAATAGATTTCACGAGTATAGTTAGCACCGTAATTACCGCCTATTTAGCCAGGGTACCATGAATTCAAGCGCAGACGCTTCAATTCAATCAATAGAACGGTGATTCAAACTTTCCATCCAAGTCCTTCAAAACAGCAAACTGCATATTGTCAGGCCATTCTAGTGTTGCTAAATGAACAGTATAAACCACATTTCTAAAATAAAAATACAGCAACATACAATTTTACCCATGAAAGGGGTATGTTATAATGCCGGACAGAACTTCTTCCTAATGGAAACGTTTTTCGTCGAGTAAATGTATCAGCATGGTCGTGCGTCGGAATAGTAGTAGACAGTTGCTGGATGGAGGCTCCGGTTGGTTTGATATTCACACAGGACATGGAAACCAAGACTGTCAATCAGTTTAAATGAACAAGATAAAGTACAAAATGGTTGGAAAGTATAAATTGCCAAGCAAGAACAATATCAATTCAATCTTACAAGCAATTGAACGCGTTTTGGAATGGTCAATGCAAGTGTATATTAAACCGCGTTTAGCAATCGAATGGGTATCGGATTTACCTTCAAACACTGATGCAGGGGTGGATAGATGATTGTAGACTCGTCTCATACAAAATAATCACAAGATACATCAAAAGCGCAACCTAAACGATTTCATTGGTTTATTTAAACTTATCGCGATACACCAGTGGTATACAACCAATAGCCAAAGACACCAGTTGCTGTTGCTGTAATCAAAGATGATGCAAAGTTGACTTGATGATTGTCAAGCAGTGCCAAACCACTAATATGCTTGAAACTTTCAGGAGACTCCCCCGCTTTCAACACTCGATGATCTTGAACAATCTGCTTCTTATCCTTGTTAAATATCGACTTTTGAAGCGTTGCTCCCAATAATGAATCTATCATAGACCCTCCAAATCCAGCAGCAGCCCCAATCAGCACCAATATTCCAATTGGGCTCGATGGTCGACTCATGAATGTAGTTTCAAGATACAAAGTCACTGCAGCTGCAGTGCCGACACATAGCCCACCAACAATGGCAGCAGCCGTCCCAAAAGCACTTACTCCACCATTCGTTCCTTTTGGAACTGTTTGAAAAGTGGTAATAAGGATTGGATTACTGCGAGATAGGACTCCAAGCTCGCTTGCCCACGTATCACCGTTACAACATGCAAAATGCCTTTAAACTCGATAGTAAATGAAGGTTGGGTTAGTATGTGATTTTAAAGCCAACAAAATCAATATAACCTATACAATGATGGGCCAGTGCATACCCAATATATGCAAACAATGCTGCTTGAATCAACGCATTGGTTTTTGGTGAATGGGCTGTTCCGTCTACCGTCTGCGAGATCCATCGCCAGTGGAGACAGCATAAAATCATTCCAGTCAGTCCATTTGACAAAACCTGGACAGCATTTCTTTGACCTCCTAATCGATCATGACTGTAAGAATCATTTGAAATAGCAAATAAATGCATTGGTGTAGCTACATGGACACTCTCAAATCGAGCATTAACTAGACTTGCCTTCAAGATGATTTTCTTCGAGTTGTTTCTTGATCTCACACTTGAACTAGAATATACAATATGCTGAACGTTAGAATGCAAGGTCTCGACAAGCGGTGAATTAGATTTAAACCAGTTATAAATGGCATATTGAAATGCAATGCTTTTAAACCAGACAAAATCCCAAATGACTAACCTTTGTGAGCTTGCTCGACGATAAATAAAAGGTCAATAGTAAAGATCCAAAGACTGGTGATGGATGCGAGAAAATGATTCCGCCAAGAACAACGGCAGCCAATGCTCCTGAATAAGAAAGTGATTTCTTTTGTATACCCCGGATTGATAGCCAAAGAAGTAGTGCAATGATAATAAAAGTACGTAATATAGCCATATCTGTTTACCGCCGTATTCACGTAGAATGAAATGCTAAAGAGTCGAAATACATAATAAACAGCCAATCTCATGAAATGATCATCCTCACTAAATTTACTAAACATTGTCATCTGAACCTTTTAATTGGTTAGTCTTTTTCTTGGCGACTGACATGGAAACAGCAGTTGCATTTCTGAAATGTGCGAGCATTGGTTTCTTGAACTAGAACGTATTTGATATTAGGATACAACAGAGCTTCAATAAAAAAAGCAATCCATTTCCAATAGCATTGAACATGTAACGATTGTTTATTCTGGAGCAGAATAGAGGTTTTAGCTGCGAGATAAATACAGAAAAGTGTTTCATTTTACGTGAATACGGCTGTAAATTGAACTCAAATTAGACTATTGATATAAAAAGCCATATCGATGCTATTTTTTCCCTAATATCCTTCCCAACTTTTTATCTGAAGTTTTTAAATTCGTTTCTACTCTGTTTACCGAAGTGTTGACTTCATCTAATAATTGATTTTGAGAATCCAGCTCTTTTCCAATCGTCAGTCCAATCTCCCGTTGACGCTGTACAACAAAAGCAAGCGAGTCTAGCTCCGCATCTTGCTGATGCATTGTATCACGCTGCAGCTGAAGTATCCCAGAATTGTCGAGTGAGCGAGTCTCGTCTGTTTCTTGAGGCTGCACGTTTGCCACTCCGAATTTTCTCATAGTTTTCACAGAAGTAGCAATCCGGCTAAAAGGTGAATGATTTGCAGATGTTGTACCAAACAAATTTTGGCGATCACTGGACTCTTTGGCTGATCTCGGCTGCATAGTAGGCGTAGTTAACGCCGCTCTAGTAACCTGTGCAATATCCTCTTTTAGATTCGCTAGCAGGTCCTGCCTTCTGCGGATTTCTCCTTTTGTGGCATATGCAGCCGTCATGCCTACAGGCCGACTACCAGAATTGACTGTATCTGAAGATATTTTAAGAGCACTCTCTAACGCATTCAGTCGATCTGTAGCAAGCGAAGTGGATTTGCGGAGCTGGACGTTTTTAGACTGTACAGTTGATGCATCATAAGTCTCCGCAGATCGTGTACGTGCATTGATTTCTGTGCGGATGTCGGTAACCAGCAACTGTAGGTCATGGAAATTATGTATCCAATTATCCGAGTCCACTAACACATGTCCAGTAGCATCCTCTTTTGACTTTTTGGCATCGGACGCTCGTAAACTGCCAGGAATGTTGAGAAAATCCATCCAGATATCAGAACGCCTCCATCGGGTATCTTTGGCATAGAGAATAGCTTGTAGGTAAGCTTCCAAGGCAATCCGCCTGGCTTCAACTTTTGCAGGATCAGTAGCAAAGCCAATCAAGCTATTGGAAAACAGCGACAGGGATTTATTGGGCAGCTGGGCCGACAAAGATGGAGGGTCAGGAAATAAAGCCAACAACTGCCTATTAAGAGCATCAAACTCGGAGTATCTACGCCAGACCGACCACTCTCGCACCTGCCCTTTCATGACCAACTTGTAGACGGTGTGTTTGGAAGGCGAGTCCCGCTCTTCAGTCAAAGGAATGCAAAGCGAGTTAATGGGTTCAGCTACACGGTTACCATGGGCTAGGTTTGATGATGTAGTGGAAGGTGGATGCGAAAACATCGAGTCCAGCTGCGACTGGTATACTAGATAAACGAGGATTTGGAAGTTGAGCTGGTTGATTTTATGCCCAAAATATTACAATTTTATGCCTAAAAAATAATTTTGAAGTTGCTCCGTTTTGACATTGAAAATCTGATTGATTTGATTTACTCGATCAATTAGTATTCAAATGGCACCTGTTAATCTGTCAGAAGCAATCAGCAAAATGGCTGCCGAGAGAGCTGTTGCTAACTCTGGACCAAATGCACCCAAACGGAAAACTGACGATGAGCTCGTAGATGAAGTTCTTTCTACTCCATTGTTCATGAGTCGTCTTTCCAAAGATGATGTCGTTGAAAATGAAACTCTGGCTGCACTTCAATCTCTCCAGTTTGATGGCACTCCAAGAGGTAACTAAAGTTGAAATGATTTGGATCATTCAGCCCATTTACCAATAAATCATTGTGCAGCTGATATGTATTGGTGTAGAAATATAAAAATTTATATTGATGGATCAACTACAATCTAAACTGATATGAAATCATATGATTTTCCATGATTGAATACTTGTACTAAAAATACAAATTTGGTAGAGGTGGCAGAAAACTTTAAGCATCAAGGAAATGCCGCATTCAAGGAAGGTCCTCGCAAGTACAAGGACGCTGTTGCCTATTACACAAAAGCATTGGCTGCAAATGCTCAGGATAAAAAACTTGACTCAATTTTGTATTCCAACCGTGCTGCTGTCAATCTTGAACAAGGTATCGACTGTGACTTGATTTTTAATTCGAGTGGTCGCTCTATATTTAGTTTTGATTAAACTAATTTTCAGTATCATAAACCAATGCATTTAGGGAATTATCGACAGGTGCTAAACGATTGTGCTGCAGCAATTCGATTGGATCCAAAAAACATCAAGGCACTGTTTCGTTCTACAAAAGCACTTTTTGCATTAGATCGGGTCGATGAGGGCATTGATTGTTGTGAGCTTGGAATTAGCATAGATCCGCAAAACAAGTCTTTGCATGCAGAGTTGTTGAAACTTAAAAAGAAAAAACAGGTTCTTGATGACCTGGATGCTAAACGAAAGCTTCGTGAGCAGCTCAAGCGTGACCAAGAAACACAGCTACAAAATGCCATTGCCAAACAAGGATACAAGCTAGTCCAAAGTGTATTGCCGGATGCTGATGATGATGATGACAAGAATGTAGCCAAAAGTGTTTTGTTGAATCATCCCCTTGCAGCAGACCATAAAATTAAATTTGATGCTACTACATCTAGTCTCAAATTTCCTGTCCTTTTTTTGTATCCAGAACACAAGCAGTCCGACTTTATTGCCGAGTTTGACGAAAATGACACGTTTTACATGCACATGGAAACCATGTTTTCAGAGGCTGCACCATGGGATCCGGAACATGCATATCATCCACAAGGTTTAGATCTGCTATTTGAAACGCCCGAATCTGAATCGCTCAACGGCAAAAAATCACTTGTTTCGGTTCTTCGAAGTGTCACTGCGTCCAATTCTCCTAGTCAGTCTGCAGCACACAAGTATGTTTATACTACTCTAAAGGATGCACTTCAACATCCATCATACAGAATTGTTGATGGCGTGTGTACATTTATTGTTGTTGTTCGCGATAGCAAGTTTTCCAAATCATTCCGTGATTATTATTGTGCATGATTAGAGATGATGACTGCAAGTATATGCTATTATTCAAAATTATAATAAACTATAGGCTTGATCTCTACACTTTAAAACCTATAAATTAGATTTGTAATGCATACTTTTTGTATCCATCTCATTTTACCAACACGCTTGTTTTTGGAGTTGTGCAAAAGTTCCATCCGAGTCAATTGGACAGCTTATACAAATAATTAAAAAGTGCACCTTTATGTTTGTAAATCTTTGTGTTTGATTTTGATACAGCATGGTTTCAAGAATTTTAGCGCTGATAGAGCATGCAAATAACATGCTGAAGTTTAATTTTTTTATTTCAACGCTTTTTTCTTAAAGTTGTAGTATTAGTTTGATTTTGAGACTGCGATTGCTGGTGTTGTGGTTGTAAAAGTAATTGCTGTTGTTGATTGGGTTCCAAAGGCAACAATCCAGTCGCAAAGTGTACTGAATTTTGAGCATCCATTGGTTTGAATTGAGTATTAGCCTGTGCACATTGAAGTGCCTGTACTTCAGTTATTGTAGTCGCATTAGTTGTAGTATTGTTTAAAACAGTTGGCGCTGCTCGTTTTAAACGTGATTGGCTACGAATTTTGCTTTTACTACGTTTTTTGATTCCTGTAGTACTAGCTAATAATAATGCAATGGTAGTTTACGTAAAAATAGATTAGAGTTTTACAAAATTACCAAAGTAAATGTATTCCAGATGAATTTTATTACCAATCATTGGTAAACTAAGCGCATTCTGTAGTATCTCAAGTGGCAATGTAGGGTTGACCATTGCATGATCTTGACCAATCTGACTGTCTGAATCGGTAATACTATCATCTAAATAAATCAAATTGAACACGACAGAGTAAGTATGCATAGGTCGATCTAGCATATACTGGATGCTAAATAGTATAGCAATTTACATACTTTGATCCAAATCCAAATCTTGGGAATTTAATCTATTGACTTTTGGTGAGCGATGGCGAGGACCAGTAAGGATGGTATATATTTTGGCAAACAGTCTAAAATCACAGCAAGTACATATAAATATAGTAAGTTACAATCTTGCCAAAATGGATTCGATAACAGCAAAGCCATTAAAATTTACAAAAAATAGCCAGCAACAAGATCCTGTATTAGCATGCTCCATACTGATCTATCTGCAAGCCATTTTTTTAGTGTGTTTTGGCAGATTCTATGTGTATGAGTTATCCAGAATCCAGGCGAATTTCTATAATGATGTTTTAACGGATATAGTTTTTTCAAATATGGAATTCAAGGATCACAATACAAAACATACCGATCGGCTCTATTCATCAACTGCTGTTGATTCTCAATAGCAAATTTGATGGCTAATTCAAACTCTTTTTCTAAATGAGATGATTCTGGAAGAGGTACTTTCCTATCAAGCAAGCCGTCTGATTTTTTAATAGTAGCGCTATTAACTCTATCTTCTAATTGCTGTATCAATCCCTAAATGGTAGATATATATTAGACATTACAGTATGAATCCATGCCAATGCGATCTAATACTAAAAGTTGCTCAAAAACATACTTTAACTGCTGTGCCATCAAGATCGATCAATCTATTTGCAGGAGTTTCAATGAAATGAAGAAATGCCACTACTGTCTGATTGAGCTTTAACAAATCCTGATACCATTTCGAGAACTTGGAGAGTTTCTTTGCAGGCTGCTTAGAAGAAACCATGGTGGTTTGTGGCACAATCAATGGCTGACTTTGAATTAACATACAAAAAGAGCACACGCATTACTCGGCTGTTTAGAATTGAAGTGATATTTGCAGCATATTGTGAATAAAAAGGTTTAAATATACCCAGACTTGAGACGATGAATCTCATCAAGCGCATGCGCCAATGCTCCTGTTATATGTGCCATACGAATCTCCAAGCTATTGATACGCTCCTCATGATCCAGCATTGAAGTGAGATCAGCCGTTGTTGTTGGTGTATTTGTGGTAAAATTTTCCGGCATGGTTTATAAGAGCCTGATCAATAGGAATGAGTGAGCATTCAATAACTACTGCATGATTGAATCTGAATTTACATAGTCCAAGTGTTTATCTTCTAGTAGTTATACACCAGAGATTGCAGATTTGAATCTCGCTTAGCCACTAAAGTGCTTTTGAACACCGCTGGTTCTAAAAACAATACCAGAGTGTACTTTATATAAAGCAACAACCATTCCAAACACTCGAGTTTATACATAGCCAACAGTAACTGCTATACCTGAGATGAACAAAAGATGAAAGAGTCGAATCAATTTGTAAAGGAAAGAATGAGAATAAATGTTTATTTTTCAACAATCGATTTCATCATGTTTTAAAACCATTCAAATGGCATCAACAGGCTGCTACAGTCTGTTGGAAGAGAAAGCTTTCAGTTTATAAAATTGCACGATTGGCTTACATTAATAGACTCGAAGTGAAATGCTGAAGATCGTGTCGGTCAAACCTAACCCTGACATTCAATCGAGTGAACCAGCAGGTGTGCCAGCAAGTCAGACTGTTGCCATAATACTACAGATACGATCGATCAATGCTCATGCCATCCAAATCAACAATCTACCAATATTTCCAAGAAAGCAAATCTGAAACTGTAGTTGAATGGATTCATGCGATTGCTTCCCAACACATGATACACTGATAGTTGCTGATAATTTCTGATTCATATCCATTATCGCTAATCTCGGTTGCAGAGTAAACTTGTCAAACGCTACAACTTCCAGATGTTTGTCGCTGTTGTCTTGCCAGTGTTTTTGATTGTGCCTTTTTTGCTCTGGGCATTGATAGTCATGCATAATACAGCTACAAAACCCTTATTGCTAGCACATATACCACCAGTCGACTCCAAACAGGCTGTTTTGCTGGTCACTGCTCATCCAGATGACGAGTGTATGTTCTTTTCTCCAACATTGTTATCGCTAGCAAAAACTACAGAGTTGTACGTACTTTGTTTATCTACTGGTAGGATACTCATTTGGTCTAAATGTGATGCATCATATACGTCATGATTGATTTTATTCATGGTCTCCTATTTATCTCTAAAAAAGTAGATTTAATTGTAATGTTTAACTAGGAAATGCTCAAGGGCTTGGTCGCATTAGAGAAAAGGAGCTTACTGCGAGTTGTAAAAAACTAGGGATTTCTAATGCTAGCCATGTTGAATGCATTGATCACAGGTTGAGTTGAAAATCAGTATAATACGTTAAGCAGTTCCAATAGATCTCTAAATATAGTGATTATTTATGCTGTAAACCAATTGTTTTAGAAAATTACCCGACTCAATGACACAAGAATGGGACTTTGATGTTATTCTTGATCATGTTGCATCGCATATTTTAGCTAAAAAAATAGATGCAGTAAGTCTATTCAACACATTCGAGACTACGTATGCTTGATACCGCGGTTTCGATTCTTTTTCAAGTTTAGTGTTTTAATCAATTATCAACCATTTTAGATTATTACATTTGATGATTATGGAGTATCTGGACACACAAACCATCGAGCTATTTATCATGCCATGAAACAAGGCAAGTATACAGGCAAAATATCCATTCCAGTATACTCTTTAGAAAGTGTATCAGTGCTTCGAAAATTCAGTTTTCTTTTGGACGTGTGCTGCACTTACATGGCAAATATTTGGGTCAAGCAAAGTGAATCAAATGGAGCTATTGTGTCTTTAAATAATCCAACTCGTCATGTATTTGTTGCAAACATGAAAGAGTACAAGGCTGGTCGCGAAGCCATGTTTGAGCATGCAAGTCAATTGGTTTGGTTTCGGCACCTATACTTAGTATTCTCTCGATACATGATAATCAACACCCTCAAGCTTGTTGAATAAAATCGCCACGGCATGACTATTTTATATTTAACACTGATTCATCCGGTTCCGAGTTGCACTGCGAACACGCTGGAGTAATAAAGTAACAGAGCTACGCATGGTATACGCCTTTTTTTCAAATGAATATTTCGACTGCTTCAAATGTTTGATTTGATCAAATAAACTCAGCACCGTTGAACATCCGAAACTTGGGTCGCTTAAAACAGCTTGATCGCCATCAAGATACCTTTCCAGAGCCTTTTCAAACAAGACCAGTTGGGCTACAACTTGGGCATACTTGGTCTGCTGAGCTTCGTAAATGGAAATCATTTCTCCAATATCTTCCAATTCTAAAGCAGTAAGAGATGGCGACTGAACAGGCTGAGGTGCAGTGATTGGCTCAGATATTATGGTGGGTTGAGATGCAACCAATTGAGTTGAACTGGACTCTGTATCTACAAGCAAAGATTTACACACTGTTGGTAATTCGTTGGTGACAGATGGAGAATCTGACACTACAACAGTAGTAGAGTTGCTGGTGTCTACAAGTGGATTAGTCCGAACAAATTGGCAGGACACTGCATCAAACAGAAAGTCAGGTTCGCGCGGCTTTGGTCGTTGACGGCATTTAATCAGCTCTGGATATCTTGGTGCACTATAATCTTTTTTGCCTGTATCATCACAGACCAAAGGTAAATCAGTTGTGAAATTCTCACCATCATCCACAGAGTTTGTGGATTGTTGAATGGTTTGAAAGTCTAATTCAGAAGTAGTTGATTGCAGGGTATACTTTGGCAAAATGAGAAGTTGGTGGGCCAAACTAACAAACAAGGAAAAATGATTAAGGTGTCAATCCAATACTACTATATTTAAATTACATCAGATCTATAAGAAATACCAATAAAAACAGTTCAAACTCACTCTTGTGCAGAGCTATCCAGTAGCCTCTCTCGACAGTACAAGTTAAAATCCGAGCTACCACGCTGTCTGCTTGCTAAATATGAATTAATGCGCCAACGTCTGCCATATTTACTAGCTAGTTTCCACTGATAATTAGACCATGCTGGTCTATCTTGAAAAGCGATGGCTGAAAGTCGGTCAGCACGTTCTCGTTGTTCAACCTACAGAATAGCAATGTAATTGTTGGTAAATGTATATAAAATCATATTGAAATACACTAAATTTTGACAGCAAACTACCTGTAGCAATAAACGCATTCCTTCGCTGATTAATTCTTGACCATGCCATTCTCTGGCATTTTCCAATCGTTTTTTAAATAATTTCTGTCGATCAACCTCGTTTCGCCAAGTAACAAACACTTTTCGTAAAAGAGAAACTGCCCAAAACGTAATGGGATGTACATGGGATAGGTAGTACAGTCCGCGCCAATTGCTACGAGAGTGCATCCACACTTTGAATGTTTTGATAAGAAGATGCTTTTGTCTGAATTTGCTCTGCATAGAATCGGTCACCTATTGCAAAACATAATAGATGACTTGTCAAAATCCATTGGCAACCTAAAATGTATTGATAAAATGGCTCTAACCTTGATCCAAACCATGTGTTTATAATATCTACGCCAAATACCCCAAGCAGTATGCTGATATCGTGCTCGATATGCTTGTTGTGCAGAGCTGTCCAGTTCAGCCCAATGAACACGCATTTGGTACACTTGTTTCCATCTCTTTACACATTTACATAGCAAATCTAGCAGTACAGTTGGCACGATTTAAAACCTAAATTACATGACAGATTTACAAAGCATGGGCTCAATTATTACCTATACTCTTATTTGTAATCCAGTCTGCACATAATTCATTTTCTTTTCGTTTGTGAAATGCACGAATATGTGTCCAAGTAATCCATGTAGCCATGGTCTAATCAGATTTATAAATGAAAAAAAGTCATATTTAAATGTTAACAATCTACTCAAAATTTTAAACTGCAGACAATAAATATACAAAGAGTATTACTTTGCGAAGCCAAGTGGTTTGCCGAAGTAGTCGAACGGATTCAACGATTTCGCTACAATCTTTGATTTCAAGAATACAGTTTTGCCATATTCCAAAAAATAATAATTTTATCTTCAACTCGCGTTGGTATTGAAAAAGATCTATTCTATATCTAAGTAGATTACATTCTTTTGTATAAACCTATTCGATATATGCAACAATAAAGCGTGAATAATAGTAAGACTAGGATTTTCTAAATATAAATAGTACATTTTATCACGATAGGATGATTTTAAAATAAACTTACATTCCAAGCTCGTAAATGTCGCAAAGCCACAGTTCGATCATGGTGTGCAATTGCAAATCGCCAGTGCATGAGCTGCTGTCGTTTCCCAATATGATGCTAAAAACATTAATGTTTAGTAAAAAAGGTCGATACTATTAGTATACAAGCACTAATTTTACAGCCAAAAGATTGTTTTTGACATGTATCAATTCAAATCGCACTACCTTGTGCCAAAATTGAAATGCACCATGCATCATACTAAAGTATCGAAACCGAGTAGCATGCACTTGATGCACCTTTTTTTTAGATTCAAGGCGAGTATATAGGACCCACAAACAAAGCATTTTTTGGGCCAAAACCTTATTGTAATATGATTCCACCATAATACGCTGCTCGTGCTGTTGTTTACAAATCTGGACATTTTTGACAAACGTGCTCCATACCCGCCAGATCATCTTATTTTGTCTAAACTCGATTGCATGCTTTAGTTTGCGTCGCTCTAGTTCTGAATGTTCTTTAAAACGAATCCACATCAAGAAATATCTTGCAATGCGTGACTGGTTTAAAAAAGTAGCTGCAATAGAATCAAGTTTGGCCTTTTGCTTGCAGAAACGTGCATGCTGAGAAAAGGCGTTCAAGATTTTTCTACAAGTAATAGATTGATAATGGTTACTAGCACGTTGTTTCATAGTTTTTTGCAGTTTGTAGCTGCGAAATAAAAAAAGCCAGCTATGGAATCCCCGGCATTGTAATTTGCTATTGTAGTGTGATACTCCAGGCACCATGGCAATTTCGTCCTTTTTGGTTTTGATATGGATTGCTTTGAGTGCCCACTTATTGAATACGGATTTTATCAACTAGCACAATAAACTTTAGTCAGCCAATGAGAAAGATTGAGAAACATAAAAGTGCTTATACCTGTAGGTTGCTAAACTTTTCAGCAGAGGCTCGCATAGATACCAAAGAAGTAAGACAACGAAATACTTTCAACTAATACACAATGATAGTGGTCAGTTAAAGGGTTGATATCTCGCACTTTCTAGTTACAAGTCGTGACAATTGACTTTTTAATCAGATTACCTTGGCATCCTTTTCAAACATAGAAGCAAATGCACTGATTCGCAATTTTACTAATTTCTTTTGATTGAACTGTAATCTCCACACTAACCATTTTGTGGTTATTAAGTGGCGATGGAAAGCACGTTCAATTCGAATTTGGAAATGTCCAGCCTTTATTGCTCTATCCGATTTTATATACCAGCACCGAAAAGCAACTCGAGCCACTCTGCATTGGTCAAACCATACTGCTGTCTCTATTTCACCAATAAAATAGAGTTGGCAATCATACATGCAACTGTAAATCGTTGAGCAATGTTATAAAAGGTACTTACTTTCTTGAGATAGATGCTGTTCACGGTCAAAGAGTCGTAAGCGCCATTTTAAAAATGCCCATTTTAGTATACGCTGGGTTGCGTGAATTCCAGCAGTAATGCTCTTATGGCGATATTCGAGTCGACGATCAAGAGCCAGTCTCCATAATTTCACACACTTGGCTTCAAGGTTTTTTATACGTACCCTGCTTGCTATGCTATTGTTAAATTTTACAAGTCTTTGTTTTTTAAACCGATCACTCCAGATCTGAAACTTTTTCAAAAGCACCAGTTTCCAATGTTTTGATAAAACCATCATCTTTAGTCGACGATGAGCAAAACGATGTTGAGAATACATTTTCCAAGCCTGTAAAGCCATGCCTAGCCTATTTTCATTATCTGTTCAGGATACAAAGAATTAGTAGACTTTACAGCGCGATGGAAAGAGTGCAGGTAAAGTAGCACAGTCGAGTTTAAAGCTAATTGAACCAACCGTATGATATTGCTTGCATTTCCAGATACTTTTGCCGTTTCCTTTCTTTTACAAATAGTGTCCATCCAGCCCATACTTTTCCATACAATGCAAACTTAAAGTGCACTGTTGCCCGAATATTCAATCGCCAGTCTTCATGACCAAAGGTTTCCACATTTGTTGGCAATTGGCGAATCTGATGTGTAGAGGGTGTAACAGTACTATGTATCCAACGACGAAAGCAGTGTCGTAACAACAGCAAAGTCTTTTGAGAGATGATTCTGCATGCAAGTGTATCCAATCGCCAAACCTTGAGGTAGATTCGTTTGAGATGCATATTTGTAGAGTTGGTTGTGCTCGATTCAACCGTATCGTCATCTACAAAGATTGTTTTTTCATCATAGTTGATGCAAGCTGTCGCACATGCATCATCTATTGATAATTGTTCCGTTCTATCCTCTACATGGACAGGACTGTATGGGTTCGGACAAGTCACATTATGTACTGGGAACATATCTTCCAGAGGAGCATTCGACAAATCCAAATGATTGGTATGATCCAGATTTAGAGGGTGTACGTTTACTGGCTCGATGGATGCTATTTGTGATTTCCAAATATTGGTTCCTAAGACATCCAGCTGGAAAGAAGTATCTTGGACATGGTCGACTGGAACATCGGCTACAGTCAAATTGCTTTGTTGTCTGGACAGAATAGGATTTGAATGGATAGCAATAGATGCAGGTTTAACCATGATTGGCTTTCAAAACAGCAAGAATAATAAAAATCGGTCTTTTTGGGAACTGAATGCGAGTATAAGCTGTCAGATTTGGCCGACAGTATTGTCAAGCTGGTGCTGAATGACCAAACTTTATAAAGATGAATAAACGGCTTACACGCCAATTTCCTTGAATCGGCGGTTAAATTTCTGAATCAATTTGACAGATTTCAAGCGACACTGCAGTAAACCAATCATTACTAATATTCTAATTTTATTGTCTTGACCTGCCATCAATCATGGCATCTCCTGTTGTTTCAAAAAAAAAGGTATTTGTAACTGTTGGCTGGGAATGTGTGGTCTTGGATATTGTTCATGCATCCATCCCTGTTCAGATGGTCCCTGGTATTGCAGACATGCATATTATCCAAGATAATGCTTATAGATATTCATCACAATCACTTGCGATTTAAACTTGTACATGATCTAATCTGGAAAATGAATATACGACTTTTGTGGATATCTTTGATAATCAACTGTATCTAAACAGTCAGTATCATGGGCCAACTTACTTCTTGGTGCTGGAATTCAAGTTTTTGAGGTATCTACTCTGGGTCAGCCGTTCGAGGTCGTTAAAACCCATATGGCAGGCAAGTGGTTTTAATCTGTTCATATTGTCTTGTTGAATTCAATACACATTGGCTGCTTGACTATCTTTCAAATTGCGTCTTGATAGAATTCATCTGCATGTTTTGATCATCGATATTGGCTAGATCTAAACTATGTAGTCTAACATGGTTGGATTGGATTTTGTTTTCAACTGCATTTATTGGTACAAGCTAATCGAGGAGATGGACTCATTCAAGCAGTCAAAAAGACATTCCAACGTGGTGGGATCGCTGGGTTCTATCAAGGTCTGATTCCTGTAAGTGAGCCTTGTCGACTATTGTGTTGAATCTAGGCTAGATTCATTGTGTTTTTAGCCCAACTCTTGCTCTTGTATTGTCAATCCTACTTGGAAAGTTTGGCCTTTCAATCGGCAAACTGATTTCACCGCTCAATTGTGGTGTTTTGGATTTCTAACCAATGAGCCTCGTTTGAGTTATCCATCAAGACTTGGCAAATTACATTAGGCCGCAGTTTAAAATTTGCATCAACTGAATACAGTTGTAATTTGTATTCATTGTTTCAAAAAACATTACCAAGTGAAAATTTGAATACGTTCGACTAACTCGTGCTCATTATTTTGGTGAATCATCTACGCTATAGTGGGCATGGATCGAGGCATCTACCAAAGGTGCTGTATTACTCTTTGCTAGCTCGGAACTTGAACATATTGCTACAACTAGTATGGGAATGTCCAAGGCAGCAGCAGGTGTAATGGGTGGTATGGGCGGTGGTGTTGCACAGGTATATTTATATTACATCGTGGATTCGTCCCATTATATGGCGTTTAACAAGATTGAACAGTATATAAGCTTATTGACTCGAGTTTACGTGAATTGATGGAATGAACGATCAAGGCGTATACAACAATGGGATTTTGCACGTTTATGAAAACTGTCGAGGTAACTCGACACAAGAACCCTGGAGTTTCCCTGTCCACTTGGGCTGTTGCTGGTGATATTTTCAAGCGGGAAGGCGTCCGAGGCATCAACAAGGGAGTGAATGCAGTTGCATTACGCCAAATGACCAACTGGGGTAGCAGACTAGGCATTGCTCGTGTTACAGAATCCACCATTATTGGGCTTCGCTCGCCAGACCAGACCAGCAAACCGCTCTCTATCCCTGAGCGTCTTTTTGCATCAGTCATTGGTGGTGCACTAGCATGCTGGAATCAGCCTATCGAGGTTATTCGTGTTGAAATGCAATCTCAAAAAGTAGATCCTAGTCGACCTGCCAAGATGACAATAGCCAACACGGGAGCATGGATCTGGAAAACAATGGGCATTCGAGGTTTCTACCGTGGAGTCACTCCACGTATTGGTTTAAGCGTGTATTTGACAGTATGCATGGTATTTGGAGGGGATCAACTCAAGGCTTGGTTTGCCCAGCAATCCAAGAAATGAATGGCTGATTTCCTACTTAGTCCTCTTTAAATTACACAAGGTCTATCCATTATTGAATAGAATCAAACACTTTTATCCCATAATTGTATCCTGACAATGATAAACACCATTCACGTAAAATAGAGCATTCAATAAGAGTGTCGAGAATAAAAAATGGATCTTGCAGTGTGTAATTCCAGACATTAGGAATGTCCAACACATATTCATTCTTTATTCTGAAGCAATCACTGCAAGATCAGTACAGGATTTTACCTTGCGTGAATACGACTGCAAACTACAACAATGAACCATCTTGATTCTGGATTGACTGTTGGATTCATTGGGCTTGGCGCTATGGGCAGTGGCAAGTGTTTTATGAATGTTTGACTCGGATTGTTCTTGAATCAAGCTATCCATCATTGCTCCTCAATGTCTTGCTCTAATCCAGTACCATTGCTAAATATCCAGAAATGGCAACCAACTTGCTGCAATCACTCAAGGCTCAAGGACAGACTCTTCATGTCTACAATCGCACCGAATCTAAAGCCCAGAAACTTGTTGATGCAGGGGCAATATTCGAATCAGGCGGTCCTGTAGCCATGGCTTCCAAATGCAACATTATTTTTTCAATGACGTTTGATGATCAGGCATTGGAAGAGAACATATCCAAGATTTTGGGTGAGTAGAACCAGTGGTTTAAACTAGTGTACTTTGGTTGCAGATTCATCATACAGGATTGTATGGACTCGAGTTGGCACGTTTAAATGCCAGGCTAAACACCAATTCAGTCCTATTCACGTAAAATGGAACACTTGAATCCTGCAGACTTGCTCTCACCCAATACTTGTAATATTTGATTTGGAGAATTGAAGATCAAGCAAGTGAGATGGACTGAAACTGTAATGCAAAAATGGACATGAAAACGCCAATCAACTTTAACGAGTTGATGGAACAATCTGTCCAGTAAACCGACCTATCATTTCATGAGATGAGCTGTTTACTATACCCTAACCCTTTATGTAATATTCTGTTTTGCGTGAATACAATGGATCAACTTATATTCTACTTTTATTGACAGAGGGGCCTCCAAGACAAGGATTAATATATGTCGAATGCAGCACAGTTTTTCCAGAAACAGTAAAAAAGGTGTCTACTCTTTCAGAAGCCAATGGCATCGCATACGTTGCATGTCCGGTCTTTGGTCGTCCAGACGCGGCCAAATCCAAACTCCTTGTTGGCGTTTTGGCAGGACCTTCAAAGCATGTTGAAAAGGTCCGACCATTTGTTGCTGCCATGACATGCAGGGTTCTAGATGTTGGTGTCGATCCTTGTTTGGCCAATGTAGACAAACTTGTTGGAAACTTCATGATTGCTGGAATGATTGAGTTGATTGCTGAAGCTCAAACTTTGGGTGAGGTGAATGGGTTGGAAAGAAGCAAAGTTATGGAGGTGGTTGATTTGATTTTCGGTGGGTCGCATATTGTCAAGGGTTATGGGGACCGTATGGTTCATGATAATTTTGCCATAAAAGACGGATGTGGATTCACTGTTCGTGGTGGACTTAAAGATACTGGACATATTCAACGATTGGCAGACGAGTCTGGTGCCAAAGTGCCTATTAACGAAACTGTTGTACAACATCTAAAGTCTCAAATGGCCGATGGTTGTGCAGATCTGGATTGGGGCAGTCTTGCAATGGCTGTAAGAAAGGTAATATCTACATTGATAGATGCTGTATGTACATCCAACGATAAACCTATTTTATTGTTTCGAACCCAACTAACCAAGAATCGCGAATAATTGTCATGGCTGTAAATTGAAATAAACTATTTATAGGAGTCTGGCCTTGAAAAATAAAAACAATGTATTGAACCAACTGCTTTATCCTACATGAAACAACAGTACGCCCTTGTTTTTCTTTTTACCAGATTTCACACCGCTAAAAATGTCACCCGATCCAGAAGCCCCATCATCCCGAATAACTACATCTCCTTGATGAGAAGCAATCTTGGATGCACGAAGTGCATCTTGTTGTTGTTGCTTCTGAGCACGCAGCATTTCCAAAGTAACTCGTTTGGCTTTTCCTGCTGTTGGCAGACTTGGAAAGTCTTGTCGAGTGTGAGCTCGATGTGCAAGTGAGGCTGCTGCAGGTGCATCCTTTGTAAAGCTAGATGCTGTCACAACTGTTTCAGTTCTGCCTTGTGGTAGCGCTTGCGTAGACGAGACTGATGAAGAATCACTCAGTGTCACACTCGATTGACGAACCATAGGAACCGAAGCAGGTGGAGTTTGAATTGTGGCAGCAGATACAGAAGAACTCCCGTTATTGGTTCTTCCCATGACACGAGATGTAGACGACATTCCAACAATTGGTTTTTGCTGAGGTACTGCAGACCTCACGACCAATACTTGTGGTGTTGGTGTTGGTGTAGTGCTTGTTTGTGGTGTTACCCATGATCCAACAGATGCAGATGGAGTCGATTCCTGCGTGATTTTCAACTAAAACATAGATTAAGATTGTGACAGAGCATACATTGTCATGGTATTGTGAGTTTATATCGCAATTAGCAGGCTTTATAAAAATCAAAAGCTACTACCTTGATCTTGTAATCATTCCATGCACGCATCATGGCACTCTTCTTGGGCATTGTCCTAGCTGCATTTTCGTACTCGGAAAGAAGCATCGACTTCTTCTTCTTTCCCTTTTCACGATGACCAGTGGCATTTTGGGTCGCTCCACATAAATCATCACTCTCGTCATACATCTCCAACAACTGAATCCAAATTCGTCCGGCATCTCGTCGAGACTCGTCCAAAAATTTGCCACGCTTTCCTGCCAATGCAATGTTCATGTATCCGTCTAAATATTCAGATGCATTGATACGACTATTACGAAACTCGAGGGTAATACGTTTAAACTCTTGAACGGAAGTAAAAGAGGCAGAAAAAAGCCGAGTTAATCCCTCAACAATCTGTGGCTGGCCTGAAAGCTGGAGATCTCGTTCAAGAAGTTGTTTTTGCTGGTGTTGCTGGTTAGACGACAACTCTTCTACTCGGCCTTGAAGAGCAAGAGATTCAGCAGGTGTGGGAGCAAGAGTAGTCTCGGACTCCAAGGAGGAGTTGGGTACAGATTTAGAATGAGAAAGAGTAAGCCGAGCTAAATGTTTAGGAATACTTGGTGATCCAGATTCAGCAGAATCGTTGATGGATGGAAAATCATTTGGTGAGTTGGACGTGGTAGATAGCAATGCACCAAATCCAGAAGGCACTTGAATGCGACGTTGTCTGCTTTCTATATCATGTGTTTCTGGTGGAGTATTAGATCGAGCATCGTCTCTGTTATTCCCTAAACTTCGATTTCCACGAGTTTGTTTGCCTTGTCCATTTCGAGTATTAGAGGCATTAGATGAACTACCATAATCAAAATTCAATGTTACGGGAGCACCTCGAGCTTTTGTTTTGATATCAGCATGCTCTTCCAACTAAATATAAAAGCAAATAGTTTACAAAATTAAAAAACACGAATCATTGAAATAAATGTATCAATAGTAAAAGTGGATAAAAAATAATCAAGTGTACCTCGTGTCCAGTCAAGTCAATATCAGAAGCAAATACCACAAACTTTCGCTCCAGACATAAAGGCTGATGACATGGAAAATGCTCCTTGTTAAAATGTTCCTCCAAACCCGCATAGTTGACATAGTATTGGTGAAGTCTGCCCATTCTTTTACATAAGAAACACTCCTCATGGTTTTTTCGGCAGTGTTCAAACAAATCATCACTGTCATAAAAACGAATTCGGCAAAATCCACATTCCGGATGGCCTTTGAACGAAGGATCATCTGGATCACCAACGCGATTATGCTGATGTAAAGATTTACTTGTAAACAAGGTATGTTCATATGTAAATGACTTTTTGTGAAGAGTACATAGTTCACTATTATAGTAAGATGTTTTGAAATGATTAGAGACAGTCAAATAAAATCAGTTTTAGTAATTACGAGTCGAGTTCCAAAACAGATTAAATAAGCAAACTTGGCATACCACATCAGCAACTCATGAGTCTTTTTTACATGCCGCTTAAGCTCATCCCATCCACCTGGACATGTGACATTACAGTCTTGATCGGGACAGTTGTATCGTAATATAAGCATGGTTTCGCTAAACATGTCCTCAGTCTCGAAATAAATAGACAGATGCTTGTCAAATTTCATCTGACTGAGCTGGTAATGCTCAAACAGTCCATGATCTGGATTGGCAATAAAAACCACCTTGGCTTGCTCCGTCTGTCCAATTCACCATCATAAAGCAACAGTTAAAATTTTGCTCTAGTAATTGAAACTATACAAAACAATGTTGCATATTCTGATCGTGGCATGCAGCCATCTGACGGAATTATAATATTGTCACCTTACACATGGGACACTCCCTCTGTTTATACAATGCTCTTAAACGAAGAGAACAAATATGACATATGGGGTGATTGCAAGTTCCAATTGAATAATACTTTATGGGATCCGCACAAATGAAGCAAACTTCCTCTTCATTGTCATGGTCGACTGCGCTTACAGCATCAGCATCAGCTGGAACTGAGCTCTTGGCCAACCCATTCGCTGCTAATCCAGACGGTGTCTTGAGTTGTGGGGGTTTCTTGCGAGTCTGCTTTTGTTTTTTTGGTTGATCTTGTAGTGAAGACAAGACAGAAACTACTGGTTCAGGAATAGCATCTGCTGCAATGGATGGATTAGAACTGCTTGAAGTTGCATTAGGTTTAGAACTCCTTTGCCTACTGTTTGACTTTCCTCCATTTCTTTTGGGAGTTTTCTCATTTTGTTGTTTCGAATCCATGGTTTGATTGCTAATATTCTAGTTGATTAACTGTAAAGATAAAAAGGACAAAAGTATTTATTTTAGCACGATTTCATTGTGCTTTGAGACCATTCTAATGGCATCAAGAAAGTGATGGCGCAGATGGTTTAGCAACTGACCGTATCAACAAGTCAGATTGTCGTTGTGATAAAGAACACACGATCAATAGATGATCCTGTCATTCAAATCAATATTTGTAAAACATCACTAATAATCTCTCATGTCGTCTTTCCATTTTCATGGTCTTTGTTATCAACTGTAGCAAATCTAAACACTCGTCAAGCATGAATCATTTTTACACTGACAACTTGCACTTGTTCAATGCATAAAATACATGGGAATAATTCGAGTATTATAAAATCTGCTTCTAGTTTTATTTCCTCGACGCACGTTTGATCAAAAAGTACATTCATACACGACGATACTTTATTTCCAAGTAATTCACTGGCTCAAAGTGTTGTGGATCTACAACGTCGTCCAAGACACCTCCAAAAAGTAATTTCTTCAAATTACGTTCCATCAGTCTAGCCTGCTCAATGCTATCTGATATTTCTTTAACCCCTTCTGTATCAGGATGCATGGGTATCTAGAAAGCACAAGGATATTGTAAAAGACGGTTGAATGATTAGATTGAGTTCAAGACATTCTATATTTACTATATAATCAAGCCAAATACATACTTTACTAGAGAGATAGCTATGGGGTGGTGGAAGCGGAGGGAAATGGGACTTCATCCATTTTGGCGAAAGCTGGAGTGATTGTCCATCAGCCTTTGTCATAGTTTTTTCGGTAAGCAGTGTAGGATTGGAAAAGAATGGATTAGCTTCCCAGACAGATTGATCAGTAGGAGCACTATGTAGTGTAATTGGAACATTTGAAAGCTCCTGTTGATGTGATGTGATGAATTCCTTGGCATAGCAGTGCAAGTCAGTCAATGACACTCCAAAGTAAACGAGACCCATTGAAATGTCTTGTAGCGTTGGTCGAGTGTGACCATTGAGTTCAGCGTAGATACGAATACGGTCAGTCAGATCGAATAAATCTGAGATTGACAAGATTGAAAGCCGCCAGTATAAGTGAGTCTAGAGTCAATAGCGGATTAAAATGATACAAGTGGATACATACAATGATCTAATGTAGATTCCAACTCTCCGAGAGCTTCAGCAGATATAGATTCAAAGCCAACTTGCTGCAGTATTCTAGCACAAATAGTCTGATGTACTTGACAAAGAAGTGAACCAGTTAGCTGAGGAGCAGGCTGGTTTCTTCTAGTGCTGGCTTTAGTAAAAGTGTGTTTGACACTATCAGTTTTGATTCGTTGATGTTTTAATAAAGTAGATGCTGATGAATGTTTCTGTACAAATCTGGAAGTACTTGATGCTCCGTTAGGAATAGAATCCTGGTCTAACGAGACTGATGCTATAGTAACTGGATTGGCAGACAAGGTTTTCATGGCAGAAGATGGCTGCAATTGAACTCTGCCAGATTCGATTTGACAGAATCATTAAAGAAATCGTTGTCGCTCTACACGATCATCAAGTGCTGGTCAAGACGCGAGCGAGTTTCGGCCCTTCGCATGCAGCAAACGATGCCCTTGGCGAGCACTCCTATTGCTGTATCGACTTATTTTACTGAAGTGACTGCAAATACTAGCAACGTCACTGACACTATTCCAAGAACTGCCGTTGCAACAGAAACAAGTCTGAAAATGAACGACTCTTCCACGACTACAGATGCCTCGTCTATGAGTGTCGCTAATGCCGCTCCTGTAAACACTGCAGTAACAAAACAACGTATTGCCATTGCTCTATGGAACTACGACGCGCAGGAGGTATGTATAATGTCTAGCTATGCATATATTTAAATACTATCGAGTTGGATTGGAGTATACACAGGCTTGCTGTATCGGGTAAAATGTGTTATACTAGCTTGTCAATCTAGTGCACCCCTTGCTATTCATGATTTTCTACTCATGCTTCAGTCGTTTAATATTTCCATCTATCGGATGCTTGATTCTGGCTGTATGTATTGAATAGGACAATGAGCTTTCGTTTGAAGCTGGAGACCGCATCATCATTACAGAGTTTTGCAATGCTGACTGGTTTGAAGGATCGCTGTGTTCGGCATTTGGATTCTTTCCAGCTAATCATGTCAAGGTCTTGCCTGAAGGTATTGGAGATTATCTACTAGGACAGACATGTAATACAATATCTCATTATTGCCTTTCTATCAATGTGAATATTTAAGCCTCCTCAATCTCAGTACTGCCTTCATCTGCTGACAATCTGCGTTCTGGATTCACAAGCATATCATCTGACCTGATTCCCCACCATAGTCTAGATTTAAATGGAGTGTTGATGTCTGAAACTGTATTGGACAAGGATTCTCTTACTAGCCATTCAGATGTAAATGTTACACCAGAAACCAGAGTTTGCGAGGTAGTTGTTTAATTAACCTTTTAATTCATTTGTTCTGATCTGCAAACATCAATCCAAAATCATTTTAATTCTAATCATCCACTTTTATCTTATACCCATCATCATTTACCGATTGGAAATCTCTGGGTCGCATGCTTTTACTTTTGCTGTTTAGTTTACAAATACTGGTAGTTTGCGCGACCTGGGAGCTGAATCTAAAGACACTTTTCAAAGTTTAGATCTCTTGCCAGAGGTTGACAGGGAAGAAGACACTGACAATGATACATTGGAAGTATCCCGTAGTTTAGGCCGCAGTACATGCGTTGAATATCAATCTGAAGATAATCTTGCCGATGATGGATGGCATGTTGTCACCACTGAAGATGGGCAAAAATACTATTGGAATTCAGCTACTGGAGAAACGTCTTGGAATGCTCCATATGGTGACACTCCAACAGCCTCATTCGACAATCTAAGCATTCATGATCGACCCGAAAAGGTGCCTACTGTTGGCATAGTAAGTGCTTTTGACACTTTTGGATACACATATCAACTACAACCGGTTTCAGTTTAAATTACTGCAATACATGATTAAAATATACCAAATGTAAATGTAGCAAAAAGAATCACTGGATTCATCACGCATGGTATCTCAAAGTCCCTCTCGAGATACTGCATCGCAAAGTGTAGTGCGTGAAAATCTGAGAATAACATCAGCATTGGCACAGATTGAAACTGTGGTGCCCGAGCTGATTCGCAGAGAGGGCTGGCTAGCATACAAGTCCAGAAAGGAGTTTGGCGGAGTTGACCCAAAAAGAACACACTCTTGGCATAATCATTGGGCAATTGTATGTGTTGGGTTTCTCATTTTTTACAAAGATGAGCCTGCTCGACTTAAAAAGGTATCAAGATCTTGACATATTTCTACTGCCAACAATGCAATATGTGTACATCGATTCGTTGATAAGAAATGCTTCCTATTTTAACTATTATTGGTTCGATTCAATAGAGATCAGATAAGGGTCATATTGGACCCTCACTGGTAGTGACACTTGAATCCATCACAATTGCTCGTGAAAAAGATTCCAACAAGAAAAAGCAGACAGTTTTCACCATTCAAACACGAAGTGGTGCGGTTTGGGCACTCCAGCCCCAAAATGAGTCTGAAGTCAATGAATGGGTTACTACCATATCCGAAGCAACACGAGAGGCATCAACTGCTGCCGAGGTAGTTTTATATCAGTGTATAGGCTTTAATAGGCAATCACACTCAAGTTAAACTGTATTTTCTAACCATAGTTTATTTATGTGAGGATCTAGTATGAAAATGTTACTGAGAAGCTGTTTGCTCATCAAATACCTGAAGAGGTTATTGTGGAGCCCATGTTTAAAAAGCGCTGTCAGTAATCAATTTTTTTATCAATCATGGTCTATTCTATTTGTTGGAAAACGATCATACCAACACTTTTTGTTTTTCTATTAGCTGATGACAAACGTCTTATGAAACACGATTCAAAAAAGAAAGAACGACTGCCTATTGCGGGTGATACTGAAGATGGTGACTCGGGAAATAAGGTTAATATCAAGACGAAACTAAATGCGTTTTTCAAACGGGTAAGTATAAATACGTATTTATGATCATCATCATTTGGTTATTCTAGCAACTCATTTTTATATTGACGTTTTTATGATTCTATGCGACCGTGTGTAGCAACAGGAGAAAGGGTCGCCAATTCGCGATACGGACAAAAAGGAAGATAGTTGTTCAGATGGTGAGTATTTTTAACTCGAGGCGTTTCTGTTGATGGTTTACTTGACAGTAGTTTGTTTTTTCATCAATAGGAGCTATTTTTGGCGGGTTTTTGGAAGTTCAGGTTGCAGAAGAAGACAAAAGTATTCCAAGCTTTGTTGAAAGATGTATTTCGACAATTGAAAGTAGAGGTAAGATTGTACTAACGACATTTCAATTTCAATAGTATTCAATGTATTTGTACTTCAAATGGATAACCTTTTGTTTTTGAAATGAATGTGTAATAGGGTTGAATTCGCAAGGAATTTATCGATTGTCCGGAAATGCAGCTACTATTCAGAGAATCAAGACACAAATTAACCAAAGTAAACTCTCAAGGTTTTATTGTTTTTGTGTTGATTTGATATTAATATCTTTTGGGTACTGTTTATTCTTGTTTGCAGTGGAGCCACATACAGAATTGGACGACGATGGACTTGATCTTAATGCCATTTCCGGGTTATTAAAGTGTGAGTTGATGTATGCATTAACTCTCAGATACCTTGCATATTAGTAGTGTGGCTACTGACATTTTTGAGCCAACAATATAATTAGTGTATTTTCGAGAACTCAAAGATCCACTTTTCCCCTTTTTATTCTACGATCGCTTTATTGCATGCATGAGTGAGTTTATTGATCGACTGTATCTACGACTGTCATGGAGTATGTTGACTACATTAGAATAAGCACTTACGGAATTGAATCTTGTTGGTCATAATGTATACTATCACTAGAAATGGAGGACTACAATGAACGCTTGATAGAAATTAAAAATTTGATTCAAGCGTTACCAAAAACTCACTACACGGTGCTCGAATATCTAATGCGGCATTTAGTCCGTGTTGCAGCACATAGTGAGACTAACAAAATGGAACCATCCAATCTGGCAATTGTATTTGGGTAAATCGTAATTGGCATAACCAGTGATGCTTTAAACTATTCGATGGCACGTATCTTGCGCACACTTGCTAACGCAGCTTTTATGCCGTTATTAAATATAATGTACATAGACCAACTATTATTCGCGTGCCTTCAACAGGAAATGACGATATGCAAGCGGCTTATGCCAACATGATGAACATGTCGTTTCAAAATGCACTTGTAGAAGCAATCATTATTCAAGCAGAAGTATGCATCACATCATTGTATAGGCAATCTCCGTTTTTATTCAACGTTGAAGCAATATCTAACCATTTTCTTGAATCCTTGTCTTGTATTAGTGGATATTTGATGGATCACCGCATTAAAAAGTTGAATTAGTCCATTGTTATACAAGTCTACTTTGAAAAGCAAATCAATTATAATCCCTCCAGCTTGCTGCCTCCATACCTTTTTACACTTTAACGATTTGAAAAAAGGAAAAAAATTGCACCTAACATGCACATCCTCTACATTGATTAATAAAACCCCTTGAATGTTAATATATAACATATTGGCTTTCAGTATAACCCTGTCAATAGTCACACCATTTTCAACATGCAATCAAATCTAGAGCCAGTACAAGATATAGATTACTATGCAGGTAAACGTATAGTTTCTCAAAAATTAGATATTGGTCTACTTGAAGAGATTCCGCAGTAAACTTGGCATCCAAAAAACACATTTCAAACATAATTGTCGCTATGGCACTCGGGTATTTTCCGAGACGTAAAATACATCTTGCGTCCCTGATCTGCCCAAAACACAACACTGGTTACAATTACCAAGTACACCAGATCAAACAGCGATAGCGCAGAGGTTTGAAACACGGACTGAAAAAACGGAATGTATATCACTGCCAGTTGACCCAACACACATGCAGTGACAGCATATGTGTACATTTTGTTTGTGGTCCATCCAACTTGATGAATCAGCCTTGTAGAAGATCGGCACGCCAATGAGTTCCACATATCAAAGAATACAAAGCACGTAAATGTCTAGCATAGTATTTGACCCAACAGTGATAAAGATGGTTAGTATTGTGAGATTGGCATTGAAACCTTCTGTACTATTTGATCAAGGATTTACCATGGTTCGTCCACGCGTCGTGACTACTCCCTCATTGAGCTCAAACACATACAGTAGTAATGTTCCAGTAACGATGATTGCTGCATTAATTAGTATACGCGTAATTAGATCCCTGGTCATAATTGGCTCGTCCTTGTGCCGTGGTGGCTGTTTCATTACTTCAGGATTTGCATTCTCTACACCAAGTGATTGCGCAACCGGTCCATCACAAATAATGTTAATCCATAAGATTTGCATAGCATTAAGTGGATTCTCCAATCCGAGAAAGGTTGAAAAGGCAATAAGTGAGAGTGCTGAAGCGCTCGTGCTAAGTTGGAAACATAAAAAGTTTTGGATGTTGTGAAAAATATTTTTGCCCTCTTCAATCGCATTAATAACAGTTGCGAGATTGTCGTTGACCAAAATCATATCAGCTGCTTCTTTTGCAACATCGGTGCCATGTTTTCCCATTGAAATTCCAATGTCCGCAAGTCGAAGTGCAGGCGCATCATTGACACCATCACCTGTCATGGCTACAATGGCACCGGCTCGCTGATGTGCTCGAATAATGGCAAGCTTATGTGCAGGTGACATACGATAAAACACCGAAATGCGTGATATATTTTCTTGTAAATCTATCTCGCGTGCGCTATTAATTTCTGCCCCAGACATAATAGAGCCTGTACTCACTGGAATGCCAATTCGAGAGGCAATTGCTCTTGCTGTACCATCTGAATCACCTGTAAGCATGACAATTTTGATACCGCATTCAATGAGCAAACGTACTGTGTTGGCTATCCCTGGACGAGGTGGATCATACATGGCGATCAAACCAACAAATATCATATTCTTTTGCGAATCACCGTAAGCAAGCGCCAATACACGTAATCCCTGTTGTGCGATATGCTGTTCTTGATGTTTAAATTCCTGCCGCTTTAAAGTACTCAACTCTATGACTGATGATTCTGATATATAATAACTGCTGCACATGTCCAGCACAGGCTCTAGTGCTCCCTTGACAAAACATTGTGTTATTCTTGTTGTTGTTGAGCGAGATTCTACCAGCATCCATTTGCGATCTGCATTAAACGGAATTTCTGAGATTCGGTTTTCTTTTATCCGTTCATCCGGCTGTTGGAGCTTGTCAATAAATTCCATAATGGCTACTTCACCAGGTTGGCCTGCCGTTTTCCCAGTATGATCAGTATGTGCATTATTACAAATGTTGGCGATTCGTAATAGCTGCACCACTGCTGAATGGTGGATAATTGTTGGATCAATTTTGTGCTCTACATCAATGGGAAATCCATGTGCAGCAGTAAATATTTGTGTCACTTTCATGACATTCATCGTCAATGTGCCAGTTTTGTCTACACAAATAACATTGACGGATCCAAGAGACTCCACTGATGGAAGTTTTTTTACTATGGCATGCCGTGATGCCATTCGAAGAACTCCTAAAGCCAGTGTCACTGTGACAACTATAGGTAAACCTTCAGGGATAGCAGCTACTGCTAAACTTACACTGACGGTAAACATTTCAAGCAATTTCCGGCCCTGAAGTACACCCATGAGCATGATTAGACCTATAAATATAAAAGATGCGCCTGACAGCTGTTTTCCTAACGTATCCATCTTGGTTTGAAGTGGAGTTCGTCTAGTTTCAACCTACCATTAAGTTTAAAAGCAACTCAAGTCAGCACATGCCAGCAGCATCTAACGATCAAAGCGTGGATGATTCTCGCAATAGATACAATCCTAATAAAAAATGGCTTACCTCGTTCATCATACAAAACACGACACCAAGCTCTGTCAGCTTTCCAGTTGCAATAACAACGCCTTTTCCATGACCTGAGTATGTCAAATTCAATAGGTTAATATATAACTGTGAAGTGTAATAGTTAATTTAACATAGGTAAGCAAGTCATTGCACCATTAAAAATAAGTGTGCCCATAAAAGCTATGTTTTTGCGCTCGTTTAATGAAACATCAGGGCCGACGTTCTGTAATGTATCAGTATGTTTCCGAGTAGGTTCGTTTTCTCCGGTCAAGCTTGATTCGTCGATATCAAGATGAACTGTCTGATAACACGGGTTTATCAATGGTCAGAGTTTAGTAAATAGTCAGACTTTTCATTGTTGGAATAAAAGTTGGTAATATGTAGATCCAAAAACTATAAAATCCTGATTGTACCTCAAACAATCTAACATCTGCAGGAACTCGATCTCCACGCTCAAATACTACAATATCTCCAGGAACAAGTTCGTTGGCAAGTTTTTGCCGAATATCTCCTTCACTAGAATAGAAAATTAAACCATTTAAATAAATTTAGCATGTACGAACACTTGATTGTTTTAGTTGATAATCAAACAGAACTGACCGAATAACATGACAGTGTGGAGGTGCTAGTTTGTTGAGTGCTTCTAATGATTTTTCTGATTGGTATTCCTGAACAAATGCAACTTAATATTGAAATGATGACACGGAATTCTGTTAGGTTCTTATAAATCGGTTTCAATCAACTCAAACTCGATATTACCTGTAAGTACAATCAAAATAGCCTATATATTGAAATGGCATTTAATAATGAAAATAGATTGTGAGCATTGATCACAGTATAAACCAGGATGGCTAATCGGTCGATTAAACTGAACAATCCCTGACCATCAAGCCCAATCTATAAGCTATAAATAGATTCGAATTAGCCACCTTACCAAAGTAATACTAATAGCATCTTGAATATTCCCAATGACGACAGATACAACAGCGGAAGCCAGCAAAAGCAAAATCAAAGGGTTTTGGAACTGTTCAAAGAATTTGATAAGCATGGACTCGGAAGCTTCTGCAGAAAGCTCGTTGAGACCATATTGGAGACGACGACGAGCAACCTCGGCATTGTCAAGACCCAAATCCTTGCTCACTCCCTGACGCTCCAGAGTTGCATGGGCACTGCAGGCAGAAAATATAGCAGAAATAGAGCGACTGCCAGCGTTGCTCAGTATATGGCCAACACTGTTGCTAGAGCCCAATGCAGATCCAGTATGGTTGAATGCTCGAGTATCTTGAAGTTGAGGTGGATTACCATCTATAGCAGTAGGATCGTTTGGACCTGTACTGGATACATTCTCCATCAAAAGCGCATATTCGGCAGAGCCAGCATTATCTGCTGGGCGAGACCACGCAGAATGGATAGGGTCTGAACGAGGACTGCCAACTCTGCCTGCACTTGCAGCCATAAATATTGGTCGAGTCTTTGCGGTTGGTGGATAAAGATTCAATACTTGAAATCATTACTAAATTGCAACTGGAATGCTATCATTGTAGATTCACGATTCATCTGCTCAGCTTTGAACCTTGATTTCATTGTGGTTGCAAATCAAGATTCAAGTGTAATAGTCTTTATTCAGATTTGATCATCGCAGAAAGAAATGCTCAACTATTCATCCACATCAAGGTTTAGGCAATAAAGCGACATTATAGTCGTTTTATTGCTGCTCGAAAATCAACTTTGTAGCATAAATCCAAACATTTGTATATTATGGGATTCAATATGGTTTGATAAACCATTGACATATTGTTTTTAATGTCTTTTGACAAGACTATTACTTTCAAGTCAGTCAAAGCAAGTCGACAGATTAGAATTCAACGCAGCTTGGGTTTCTGTTAAACGTGTTAAAGCTAGCGGCAAAGGGACGAAAGGATTTATTTTAGCACGATTTCATTGTGCTTTGAGACCATTTTAATGGCATCAAGAAAGTGATGGCGCAGATGGTTTAGCAACTGACCGTATCAACAAGTCAGATTGTCGTTGTGATAAAGAACACACGATCAATAGATGATCCTGTCATTCAAATCAATATTTGTAAAACATCACTAATAATCTCTCATGTCGTCTTTCCATTCTTATACTCTTTACTGCTAGCCGTGATGCATCGCTACAATTGATGTGGTTCTGATCACCACTAAATCGTAAGATGGCGGTGAACAAAATCGAGAAGTTACAGATAATAAATGCTTAGCAGACAGCCAAGAATTTATTAAGTCGATAAACAAAATGAGAGTCTGGTTAACAGAAAAGTAAAAGACGTAATCTTGATGATCTTATCTAGCACTGAGGCATGTTAAATTCAGCATCATGTTTAAGTATAATAGGGAGGCAAATAAGACAAAGTACCCAAGCGTTAGGCTCAGATACCCACCAAAAGGTAAAGCGATGAGAGCAGACTAAAACAAGGATCAACTAATTTTAACTACAATCTGTTTACACTTTATAGACGGGGGCGGCTTGACCTTCGACATTGCCTGCAGGGTCGTAGTGGCAAGTGAGGTAACTTTCCTCAAAAGTACCAGCAAGGCCACATCCCACGACAGTGGTAGATGGCCACACCAGCTGAGTATAGTGTCCGTATGCCTCAAATGCAGCATCACTATTTGCATTTTTAGGAATCGGTTGGCCGCTATAAAGCGTGTATTCATCAAAGAATACCTGGATTGATGAACGACATGTCATTGCCATGTTCCAAGCCTTGTTAAGATTTTCACCAGGGCGTGAATGCTCGTAAACTTTTGTTCGGAACATCGTGTCGGACCATCTTTGAGCACTCTCTTGTTGGTTGCGTGACCATCCAAGTGGAGGGACACCAACCAAAGCACGCTTTTCATTATGAGCATCAAGACAGTCTTGATCAACAGCACTCAGTCCAGTATTACCACCTTTACGTGGAACACCTCTAGGAATACCACCTGGAATTCCTGGAGGTGGTCCCTGAGGCGGTGGTCCCTGAGGTGGTCCTTGAGGAAATCCTTGAGGTGGTCCTTGAGGTGGTGGACCTTGAGGCGGTGGACCTTGAGGAAATCCTGGAGGTGGTCCTTGAGGTGGTCTTTGAGGAAATCCTTGAGGTGGACCTTGAGGTGGTGGTCCTTGAGGCGGTCCTTGAACAAGCTGCTGCTGAGGACTCCTTCTTCGTCGTATGCATTTTCCAGGACTTCTTTTATAGATGTGTCCTACATGTGATCGTTTGTGTATAGAGTTTTGCGAAACGTCAGATGTGGGGACGGATGAGGAAACGGATATCGATGATACCATCATTATCGTAAAGATACTCATCAAATAAAAAAAATTAATCATGATATTAATTATACTTGAATTGTTAAAGGTTGATGGAATAGTGATGAATACAGTCGACGTGAGTGGATAAAATTGGGATAGTATTCTGATTCAAAAGAGAAACAAGGCGAACTCTTATTCTATTTCTTATCTAGTGATGAAAAGCCAAATATTATTGGGGATCATGCCAGTATTTCACTGACGTAGATGTGGCATCTTTAGCTTCTGAACAAACACAAGACTGTTTAAAGCCACTCATAATCTATACACTACACGCTGGCTGTTCACAAGGTGGAATAAAGCCATTAAAAAAATACACTAAACAGCTTTTCATCTAAAAGATTGGCCAAAATTGTCAACAAGCCAAAATCTAGGCAAGTGGCGCAAAGGCGTTGACCTGATTGGAAGAAGATAAGCTTCGAGAAATTGGTGGCTTAGCCAGATGGAGAGTATCTGAGCTGACACATAATTTTAAACGGATTGAATTCCAACTTTCTCAAAGGCGTTCAGACACGCATATGACCAAGCAGTGGCTCGTTGATCAAGCGCCACAATATGGATACTGAAAAGCTACTACTGACTAAGCGGCAGAAGGCCTTTGCTCTGTCTTAGTGTTCAGTATATTTTTTCATTGCTGATCAATTGAATAAATTGTTGCTTGCAACTGGGAGAGTGTAGTACCTAAATAAAGTTGATGAACTTCCACTTTGGTACATCTATGCTGCACACCTTTCAAAATTTAAAAATCTGAGCATTACTTTGCTTTGTCCGTTTTCGATTTACAAGTTCAAAAATGTGTTGAATGCGACACTAGATATTCAGTGCATATTGAATAAACATTGGTTAATGGCTGTACTATTATTGCTTGCCAAAATATTCAAGCCACGTTTATCACCGCCGTATTTACGTAAAATGAAACATTGAATAAAGGATATCAAATTACATAATAAACATCAGTTCCATGGAATGGTAATTCACATTTACCGAATATTGTATTTTGATATTTCTTGTCCATACTCGTTTTTGTATAACTGAATAAATGTTGACACTACGTCTTGAATGCATCTCACTTGTTTAATCTCCAATTCTCTTGTCAATATTGGATGATTGCCATGGAAACAACAGCTGCATTCCTAAATCATGCAATCATTGGTTTCTTGGGCTAAAACGTACTCTGGGTTTTAGGATACAACTAGAGTTGTATTGACAATATCAGAGCATTCAAATCTCATGTCTGAATTAACATCAATCTAGTGATTGCACAATGCATGATTATGCCAAATGTGGACAATCTCAATTCAAAGCCATCATATGATGGGTATTGCGTTTAGAAAATCAAGAGTATCTGATTGAAAATATGCTGAATATTCAACGACTGGTTATTTCAAAGTAAAAAGCATTGCGAGATGATGTTCCATTTTATGTCTATGGCTGTAATTTTAAACTTTCCTTGAAATACGTGGCGCATACAGTTCATATCAAGTCTTACAATCATGGAAACAGCAGCTGCAATAGGTTGCCTCTCCACACTAGTCAATATATAATCACTACGCTCAAATAGAATGTATTATTTTAAACCTTTCTTTCCTACGTTATACTGATGGATGGAGCACTAATATGGTTTTTATTGGCAGGTTTAGGCTGTCTTGCACTGGCGTCCATTATCATCAATACAGCCATGGTTATGATACTCTTTCGCTCACGCTATGTCATGTCCCTCCAAAACATCCTATATATCCATTTAGCAAGCTCAAACCTAATCTACGGCATTCTCACTTTGGCACAAATCGTATCACCAATTACAGCATGGGCGAATTGGCTTGAAGTAAGTTTTCAAAAGTTGGAGCAGCTTTCCTCTCAGCGACAAAAAACTGGATCAGAAGACGATGCTATACAATGTCGACTGATTGCTATTACGACTCATTTCTTTCAAATGCTGTCACTGTGCACGCTGGTTGCAATCGCAAGACATCACAGCCTAGTGTATGCTTCATTACAAGAAAAATACCGATTTAAATCCTCGTTACTCCAAACTCAGTCTTTGGCACCGTTTCTTAAACCAAACAAAGAGTCTCGGTCGAAAATATCAACAGTCTATCGATCCAATATTGCACTCTGGATAGCAATACTTTGGAGTTTTGCATTTGCTAAAAGCCTGTTGGTTGTTTTGGGCAGTGCACACTATACCTTTTCTCTTGCACAGAAATTCTGTGTGACTTCATTCAATGATTCAACCCAGCCAGGAAAAACACTACACTCTATCGAGGCAATAGGATCACTTGTAATGGCAGCAGTCATTATCCGTTGGTATATGATTACTGCATCATCCCATTCAAAAAGCACAGAGTACAATACTTTGCATGAATCAAGCATCAATCAGCTCGACCTTCAGCAACATCAGAATCGGGCTTCTCAACACCCCCACAAGAATCGAAACGCCCTACGCATCTCGATTGCAGGCATTCTTGTGCTTTTCACCAAATCCATTATCATGGCATATGAAATTCACCAGGGCAAGCCAATCTCTCTTGCTTGGTTAGGATTAATAGTAGATCCAGGGTTTGGGATTATCTACACTCTAATTACAGGCGTCATGTTTTTTATACTGCATAGACGAGTCATGAGAAAGATGCTTGAGCATGTTGTACGATCAACTGGATCCCCTAATCTACACGCATCAACTAGCTCTGAAAACCAATATTATACTGGTAAACCCTCAATTACTACGCAGATCTCGCCTCGGCCAGTCAAGCTGTCTGAGCCATTTGACTTTAATAGATACCCTATAAACCAAAGTCGCCCCTTATCCGCTCTTGTCGACAATTACCAACAGTCTATACAGACTACACCAGTAAAAACCCAATCAATATTTCAGAAATCTGTCACAGCGTCTCTGCCCAACTCTACTCCAATCCTCAACCAACAACAGCGTTCCAACCACACTAAATTATCAACGGCCGTTCATCTCGAAAACAATGTCGAGTACTCATCAACGTTATTACAATCGATACCCTCACTCTATACGAAAACAGAGCTGAAAGCCCCTGTCGCGCAGGATTCCAGTCAATCACCTCGCACAACTGCCATTGTAATGACCCAAATATACCCTGTATCACCACATAGACTAGCAGTTCATTCGCAGCCACTACAATACAAATCACCAGATCATAATAAGCTTAATTCATCAGAAACAGCATCTCCCACATTGACAAAATCAAAAAGCTATACACCAAACGCAGTTGTAGACCAGAGCTCGCAAACGGTTTTAAAACCAACATTGGCATCTCAGTCACTGCTCGGATCTAGTATAGATCAATTAAATACCAGACACGTTGGTACTAGAAAGCGTGGTGCTGGACTGGCTTTACAGCAAGCACCACCTTATAGCATAGTTTGATATTCAGTTATAAATAGATTCATATTTTACACTGAGTTCAAGTCTATTTAATGAATAGTATTGGTTCATGGCAAAGTCAAAGCTTTATCAACTTGGATAGTTTAGTTTATATAGTCTACTATCAGTAATGCAAAGTAGACATTTGAAAATAATTGGCATTTTGAATTTAAACTTTACTAAAAATGTCTCACAAGATCAATCCACAAAATATGGAAAGTATCGTTTTCAACCCCATATACGCCAGTGCCGATCATGATTTGACATATAGCAAAAATGACAAGAGCCATGCATACGATACTTTGATTTGCCCATCTGCTAAACCTTTGGCAAGATGGAGCATTCCCGATTTTCGTATTGTCATGCGAGATCAAGTTCCAGCTATAGTCGAGATTCTTTCATTAAACCAGCCGAGTTCCTCAATGACAACTGGCTTTAGGTATCAGTAGTCGTGTAGTATGGATTATTACCTATTCTTTTGTCAATGTCTACAAATAATAGTTGAATTTTAAAGAATTGCTAGTAACGTTATGCTTGATTGGCTGATAAACCAATGTAGCAACCATATGAGTTTACAAAACAGTGCACCTGATTTATCCCACATGGATCATCTGCAGGTAGATATTCTTTATTCGCTATACTAATGCGCTTTAAACCCAGCATTGAGCTGTCAGTACAGCCAGTCAACAATGATTCAAATGATGGTTTAATTTTACCACAATGTCCAGACTGTAATCAATGCTGTACTTTTTGCTGGAGTAGAGCAAGGCACAGTCTGTGATCCACTTTTAGGGGATATGTTGGTTACATTTAAGCAGTTTCAATGGATACACCAATCCAGATACTTGTTTACGAATCGCTTGACTGGTAAGGTTTCTACCCCTACTTCCAAGATCCAGTTTTTAATTCAATATCAAACGTCCATCAGTGTACCTCCTTTTGTATGTGGTACTGCGTGCAATATACCAGTCAGCCAACATACTTTGAACACTAGCTTGGAATGCAGCCAGCATATACACGGCGATGCATTGAATCGAATAGGAAATGTAGAAATTGTCGACGACACAGTTGGGCTTGGACACGATGAGCCAGATTCACTTGTGAACCCTACTCCAAGTCGAGGCCAGCACAGTATATGTGACAGTGTCAGCTCTCGACAAGCCCAGTTTCAAGAAATTTCATCGCGAACCACAAGGTCGAAAATACCACACACTGCTGAACTTTTGGCAAATAAGCTCACCATCAAACATACGAATCCGCATGTTCGTGTTTCAAAAAGTAAATCGCACTTTCGTGTTGCTCGGCGAGTCAAAATAGTGCTTAGTGACACTGAAAAGCAAGTGTTTGTAAAAAGTATTGTTGCCACATTGGCAAAAACTCAGCAGGCTGATAGCAAAGAGCACACTCGTATACTTCGGTCCATCACTTTTAGGAAGTTTGTAGATGCAAAGTGATTTAGCTAAACAAATACCAAAATACCGGAAGTCTGCATACAAACACGCCGTACTCGTGTGAATTAATGCATCCCATCACAGATCACTCCATAGCCACCCCGGAACAAATGCAATCGTAGCTTAAACATCTAAATGGAGAGAGTTGACAATTTATTGGTCTGTATAATAAAAATAAAATAATAAAACTTCAAAAAGTAGATGGTTTGTTATGACGACAAGGGAGTGGTTTGTTGTCGCAACTGCTGCCGCAAGTGGTGCAACTGCTGTTCTATTTGTTGGCGATGCTCACGTTGATCACAGGCTTTGTGAATTGGAGATGCATCAGGAGATGGGTATGGCATGCTGTGTGCCAATTGTTGCGTAGAAACGGGGAAACTAAGTGCAGCAGGAATAACAGCGGATGTGTGTTTTTGGGATCGCGAGGAGGTTGGATAGGCAGATGAGTTTTTGGTATGAGCGATAGATTTTTCAGTGGATGGATACATATTCTGTGGTTCGGACACATGCTGTTGTTGACGAGTACTATAGTTGCCAGCGTGCGTCTTTTGGATGTGTTGATTAGTATTGACCTGCTGCTGCACAGAAGACTTTTGCATGGATCCAGTAGTATGTCGAAATTCGACAACAGCCTGCTCAATAAAAGCAAGCCATCCAAAGTAGTCCTCTTCTTGAACATGCAAGTCAAAGTTGAGCTGAGCCAGAAACTCCATCTCAGTAACATTGATCTCCAACAAAGGGATGTGAGAGACTTTATGCCAGGTCTTGTTAGAATATGTGTTGTCCATCAGGTACTTCATGGCCAGCATGAGAGTGCAAACGAGCAAGCGACATTCAGAGCCCTCAGCACCCTGAAGATCTGGACGACAGGATTTAATACGATGAACGTACTTGAGAGCAAGCAAAACTACTGAAAAAGAAAGACCAGTGCTTCGAAGAATGTCCAGAGTGAAGCGAGCAAACAGTCGTAGGCCAGGGGTAGGTCGAGCAGCCATTTCTGCAAAAGATCGTCCATGCCACATTGAATAGGTCAAGGTAGCAATAAAGGCAGGCAGGTAAGGAGAAAGCAGATTGGGTGTAAGGACAGTTTTGGACAAGGCAATGTTGGCAGCACGGAGTTTAGCAGCATTTGAGGATATATGTCGAGCATCTGATTGGGTTTGAGCTGCAGTATGTGGACCTGCTGCCATTCGGGTGATGGCAAGAGCAGCAGCGTGCTCATCGTCACTATGAATATGTGTGGATTGATTACTGCTATAGTGCTGAACGATTTCAGTGGGGGATGCAGCGGCAACGGGCATCCTGTAGGCTGATGGTGAAGCAGAGCTGGCGGGACTGTGATGGATTGGGGCGTAACGTTGAGAGTAATTGCCAGAACGGGCTGTGGTACTGTGATTCGACGTGGTGTTCATGGATGTATTGACAGATAGCATTGAAGGTGCCATTTAAACAATTGGACAAAAGATGTTTGATATAGAAAATTAAGTACCGAATCAAAAACAATACTTGAATTTGTTTGAAGACTCCAGTAAGATGGGAATGTACTAACGATTGCCCTTGAAGTGGTTTGTAAAGTGGGGAAGCCTGGGGTTTAAATGCAAACCCAATTACGAGCTGTTTGATTATAGCATTGAGAACAACTGAAAAAAAACAATCATGCGAAAAAGAATAAATATGCAGCGAGAGCAAAGAGGCGGCGGCGGGGCAGTGGAGCCGGCCGGAATGGTAGGGGGATCGTGTCGGCCAGACTTGAAATATGTGCTGGTAAGTTTGCATAGTTTATCGCTGTTTCTTGTTTGTGGATAATGTACTGGTCAACTTCGTCATTTTTGATATGCGCCTCGCTGTTGAGCATCACTTTGGTCCATACAAACAACCAACTGATTACATCTTTTTTTCGGTTCTATACCATTTATGTCATTTGCTATTGTTTTCTACCACCCCTTTACCACTTTTGAAAACTCGACAATGTCCTGGCTGAATAGGACTTGGTCGAACCCTGGCTGGCTATAGCATGGATCAGATCTGATATAGGTCAAGGCCCAATGTGCTAGCTGGCCACATCACGTGTTGATATACTAGTTTCATGCGGATGGGAGATTTACATTATCTTGCCAAACCTGGCTTTGTCTACTCGCACATACATTTCAGCTCAAATAATAATTAGGCATAAACTACGGCACACATAATACACTTAAGGATGGCTGAGCATTTGCAACAAAGCCAGAAAACCCTATATTTTCGTAGTGATTGATACACGCGATGAGGATATAGGGTCTGATGGATTTACAGCATAGCGAGCAAGGAATCAATGTTATTGTGCAGTCTGCTCCCATCTTGCGGGTTTTCTAACAATCGCGTGTTGCAGTATTGTTACAATGGCAATCTCTGGATTGGAAACAAATTGTAATTACAGCCACGTGTTTCTCGTACAACCCTACACAAAAAACTGGATCCGTAATCACGCCAGTATTGAAAAAAATTGCATTATTATTCATGGGCGTTTCAGGCCACTGGGCAAAAACGGATCAGCCTAATTATTTGAATTCAATACCAGTATTAGTTGACGTTTGATCAACCAGCCCATATTGTTCATTATGTTTTAAACTTTAAAACCCCTTTTATTATTGGTTTCAAACCGGCCGAAAACAGCTCTTATCACCAATTTACATTGTAAATACCATATTTTGTTTAATGTTTGCCAACAATCAAATAATATGGCCAAAAACAAAAATAATTTGTACAGTTTACAACATTCCCGTAAAGTAACTAAACCGCCCGCCTACACCTTCTATGGTCAGGTTATCATTACCCAATAAAGCATGAGATTCTTTTCGTTTAACCATATCTAAGCGACAAAAGCGTATCACTATGTGCTATACGCATTAGCAAATACGAAGGTGCGGGTTCATTTACAATGCCGAACAGATTACTTTTACATTGCACTATACTACCATATCAGTTGGTCCGTATGGCATAGTAAAAAGCATAATTAAAAGTATTAGATTTTGGTATTGCTTTAAATGCCGCCTCCTGGCATACACATTGCTATACCTACATGGAAAAGATTAAAATGCTCTGGCATATGCTGCATGACAGATTCAAACCTTTTGTTCAGAGTGCACACAACGCGATGGGATAGCGAGTCATACTATTTCATACTTTTTAATCTTTATTTCGCTTCAGTAGATAGTACGATGCGTATCACTCGTGTTTTGCTTAATGAGACCGACTTACACATGCTAATTTAATGTACTCTTCGTATTCCGATTTTATGGATAAACTAGCATTATACAATTAGAGCTTGCATTTTTATTCTGAGCTTCTATACAAATCAACCATGGATGATACAACTTGACAGATGGTGGCAGTTCTCTTCATCGTGACATATACCAAGGTGCTTTTTGAACTTGTATAGTTGTATTAGTCAAGTTTTGTATCTGATAATTTAAATGTATGCAGTGCCAATATCGCCGATTTGCAGCATAGTATGCTTTCTTGATACACTGCATGCTTGTTGCTCGGTTCTATATTGATTTCAACCCCCTCGTAGTCAAAAATGCGGTGTATAGTTGCACATTAATTTCATTCATCATAGTTGGATGCTCGAGTCCGTTTTGGATTGGTATTGAGTTTCTCTATATGACATTATGCTCCGATTATTTGAAATGACTGAATTCTCTACTAAACAATCAACACTTTGGTCTTCTGCATGGATTATGTTGCATCAATAATTCATGCTTTCAGCTTTATCGTTTTCAAGTAGAAGCTTAACATTCTTTATAAAAAAGCAATCTAGTACAGCTGCCATATACTACCGCATATTCAGTTTATTTCAAACCCTAGCCGAGATCGCTTGCAAACTGTTGCTTATTCTAACCATCTAAACCTTTTGGGCTTGTCAACTTTTTGGTGCTTTTCATGTATAGCAGGGCTATTGAAAGCACTGCTTTTTACAAGCAAGTTGGCCACCAGGAATAGTAAAAGGAATCAGATGACTTGGAAAAATAGCACTGATGGCTAATACCGCTAGTTGAGAGAGCCAGTGCATTTTTAGCGGATATTTGAAAGACTTGTGTGCTGAAATGCTTGATTCCAGCGCTTGTAACAGTTGATAATTTGCCACTCTTGAATGCATTCTCTGCGATCAGAGTACATGTGTGACCAGTCCTTCATATTGTATCCCAACAAACAATTCCCAACCATTTCATTTGTATTCTATTTGATCATCTTATATAGAATAACCAACAATGAACGTAATACCAGCATCTTGATTCGACCACAAACTATTTATCCTATGCAGAATTTCGGACTAGATCTACAGTAGTCCATCACTATCTGTAGTATATCTACTATAAGCCTTTTCCGACAAAGTAAAGGTTCTATTCTGTAGCTGATCCAACGTTTAATGACTGGCACTACTTTATTACTTTCTATCAACCTGATCCTACATATAAAATTGGTGGAATCCATAATGACAATCCCTCATCAATCTCATGAAAACCATGAATGTGTAGAGTCGGACCTCATATTTTTTGATTTGGAATAAATTCGCTGACATCTCCATCTACCCTAGACGCTACAGCATAATGGTTTTGGTTGTCAACAATTCAGTTTGATTAAGCTGCTGTTTTCGGCTCTTTTGATCATGCCTTCCACAGGACAAGATGTAGCCGAATGTCCCCATTCGGTTGGTGTATCCACACAAAATGGATCGTTAAGAATCAAAGTGTAAAAAACGGTCGATTGTTCGGCAATTTAAGCCTTGACATTACGATCAGATATGAGCGGCCTGACATATACAAACCGCAAGGCTATGCACACAGTAATGAATGGTTATTCAAGGTTGATACACATGTTGAAACACCAAGAATGCATAGTCCAGTCTTTCAGACAACTAATCCTGCTCTTACACTAAATAGCCTAGCTGGCACTACTAAACATAGTTGAGCATCAACTCCCATTTCTACTATTTACCACTGTGCATTGATCATCAATGCCATGACAATTAATCCGTCCCCCAGTTATATTTCAGGGTCAGTGACCGATCTTGTCTGTTCCAACTAAAGTGGGGAAAAGACTGGACAATGCAATGCATAAAGACAAAGCAATAGATAAACATTTAGATTCAAATGATTAATATGCGTAGGAGGTATTTATGGTCGGCGGTATTGCTTATTGATAATATTAGAGCTTGATATTGGAAAGTCAAGCGCATTACTGAAAACTAAATAAAGCAAGATTAGTTTTAAGCTTGAAAAGCAAACAGCCCGGCTTTTGAGTTGTAGTCTATATTATCCATTCCCTTTGTCAATAGCCGAAAAAATAGCCGAATTCCTTTATTGAATTGTATTGACGCAGATTAGACCACTAAAAGTCAGAGTGCATAAACGGTCCTATGGAATGATCATCACCAAATTTACTGGACGGCATTGTTTTCTAAACTACTTGGTAAAGTTCACTGGTTTTTATGTTCATTTTTGTATAACTGAATAAATGTTGACACTACGTCTTGAATGCATCTCACTTGCTTAATCTTCAATTCTCTTGTCAATATTGGATGATTGCCATGCAAACAACAGCTGCATTCCTAAATCATGCAATCATTGGTTTCTTGGGCTAAAACGTACTCTGGGTTTTAGGATACAACTAGAGTTGTATTGACAATATCAGAGCATTCAAATCTCATGTCTGAATTAACATCAATCTAGTGATTGCACAATGCATGATTATGCCAAATGTGGACAATCTCAATTCAAAGCCATCATATGATGGGTATTGCGTTTAGAAAATCAAGAGTATCTGATTGAAAATATGCTGAATATTCAACGACTGGTTATTTCAAAGTAAAAAGCATTGCGAGATGATGTTCCATTTTATGTCTATGGCTGTAAATTCACCAACAAGACCGCTATGCCTCGACTTTCCAAGAGTTGTCTGACCTCTCAAACTCGGCTTTTGAATGCTTCCGCACCACTGAGTCTAATCCGTATATCAAATAGAATGCTAAATTAATGATCCTGAATATGCATACATCCAACACAGATTGTTTACATTTCAGCTGATACCATTCATGGAAATATTGGTAAAGTCAATGTATTTCAATTTCTGTAGTTTAAACTTCATACAGTTAAAACTCAAAAAAAGCTGGATTAGTCAAATAAGTCAATAGCTTGATTCATGACAGTGTTTTATGTAGAAACTGGTTACAGACGACATTATCATAACCATTGTATGCTATTGGCCAGACACGCATTAGTAGAGCTGTAGTCATGGCAGATTTGAAACTGAACTTTATTGTGCCTGTAGCAAAATAGATATACTCACAGTGCTCATTTTTATAGCTAATTGGAAAAGCCATATTATCATTTACTTTTCTACTGGAACTGATGTCAAGCAAAGGCATTGGTATCAATTTTATTGGAATAGAACATCTTTATCCCAAACACCATTTCGAGAAGCAATTTTGATAACCAATTTTGTGTTCAGCACAATCCTGTAATAGCTAAAACCAGTAGATTAAAAAATGGATAGTGTAGCCAGTACCAAACCGTATAAACTACCATCCAACCTTCGTCCATACCATTCAGAAGGTTCTATTGCATCACCGCAAACTCCCAAAACACGACTCACTAATGTCCAATTCGCATCACCACGAATCGAATCCAAGTACAAGTCTGAGCCATCTCTATCTTGCAAGTCACACCCATTGCTTGATACACTCAATGACTGTACTCCTCATACTTACAATGAGTTGATTTTGGCTGCTGAAATACTGGAAAACATTGTGAATGAGGGGACATTTGTTGGAAGCATTCGGTCGCGATATAAGATGTTTGGAAAAACACACGAGCCTGAGCATGCTGGACGAGAAATGAGCGATCGGGTGTTAAAGTTAGTATATGGAACCATGAAATGTATGTAGACCTGTTTATTTGGATAAAGTACTACCTCTGTTGCTGGAATTTACATATCTATATCTCGAGGTATATAAACCCTAACATTACAATGCCTTTATTTACCACTAGTTTTGCCGTATGTCGATCATATCCTTGTAAAAACGCAGTTTTTAGTGTTTAATAATCAGGTAAACTAGCCACTATTTTTGAACTACAGAAAATACCAGATTCAAAATCCATCATTTCATTCAAATACTAACCTTGTTTACACGATAAACATATACTAGTTCCTTGACAGCATTGGTCTAATAAAAGTACTTCTTTACGATCTTATGAAGTACCATTTTGATTATACAAAGTATCCAGGAATTCAATACACACTGCCTTCTTCAACAAATCCTGCCGATGCCCTCTACCAAACCTACACATCCACTACCGTGAAAGAAATGGATGAAGCTCTTTGTTCGTTTCAAATAAAACTATCTGCATCCTACGCACGATTACGTATCGAGAAGCGAGCAAGTGGAGATACATCCCGCGAACAAATGGAAAACATCTTGCCTTTGGATGTAAGAGAGAGAGAAATGATGGCTGTGGATATGCCCAAAACACTCCGAGTCAATACGCTAAAAATCAGTAAAGAATTGGTCGGACACATGCTAGAGGAGGAAGGATACCACGTGTGTTTAAAGTCTTATTCAGAGATCCCTGACAATGTTCACAAGTAAGTACCTATTTAACACGGCTTAATGAGAGTGGCCTAGTTACTGACTTTAAACATCAATACTATTGGCTAAAATAGAAACAACAAGGGAAATCTGATTTGTCTTGATGATGAAATGGACAATCTATTTTTAATTCCACCAAATCTATTTGCAGATATCAAGGCAGGCCCATTGGTAAATAATGGGTTCCTTATATTTCAAGACAAGGCTAGTGTATATGGAATGCAACATCTCTGTAGTCTTGTTTCCGAGGGTGACCAAATTATAGATGCCCGAGCTGGTTGTGGTATCAAAGCTGCTTCCCTTTCCACACTCGCAGGAAAATCGGGCACAGTGTTTGCTTTTGAAAACCGGCCGGGTCGACTAGAAACTCTTAAATCCAACACCAAGCTGTTTGGCTGCTCCAACGTGTCCATTATTGAGGGCGATTTTGGTTTATGCGACACTCAAGATCCTAGATTTTCCAACGTAACCATTGTAGTGCTTGAACCACCCAACTCAGGTACATTGATTATAGACAAGCTTGGGTTCATGTTACAAGAAGAAGAGTTTCCCACAGACCAATATTCACAAAAAGATTTGTACTCTCTTAAACGTCAGCAAATTGTGCTACTTAAACACGCATTCAAGTTTCCCAAAGTCAGGGTGGTGATGTATATAAGTCGGTCACAACATTCGGAAGAAAATGAAGAGGTTGTGAATGAGATCCTCGATCGTTATGGTGTAGACTGGGAGCTTTCATGCGTGTTGCCAAGTATTACTGTCGAAAAAATACATGATTACGAGATTGACGATTGCTTAACAGTGCGTCCTTCCGAGCAGGCAGGAAACGGAATTTTTGTTGCTTGTTTTCAAAAAAAAGCAGTCCAAGTAGTTGAAGAAACTCCAAATGATGAAATAGATAATACATTCCGCCTATCAGAACTCAGTATTGGGGATGAACATATGCATAATCGCGACAGTCGATCATCTATCGCAGCGACCAAAGAAAAAAAGAAGCGAAAGAATGCACTGGGTCATAATCGTAAAATTCGTGTGACTGCCAATATCAAATTACCAAAAGCGCTGAGCGAATCAGTGGCAAGACTATCTATGCCTAGACTGTTTCAACTTGAACAAAAGAAACAAAGGTACGAGCAGTTGGTGCAAAAAAAGCAGCTGTATGACTTTGGAAAAAATAATTTGGAATCTGCCATTGGAAACTCGGACGAAACCATAAATGACGAGTTGGAAAATAGAAACGAGTTGGAATCTGGTCAAAGCAAGCGGATACAAACCGGGAGTCGTGGGTATCTATTTGATCAGCAGTATAATGATATTTCAGTTTTTGGAATGTCACTCTCCAAGTTTTATGGACCGCGTATGGAGGCCATCAAAAAATTACAAGCAGTGGCAAATGATGGTCATTGGAGCTATCCTGTAAGCAGTAATGCCATGCTATATTATGTAATACTCGATCTATTGCCATACTAACATGATCTTTTATAAAACCTAACCTTGCTAATCCCTATCTAGATTCCAAATCCAAGACCATGGAAATGAAAAAACCAATTATTTCCGCACTAGCCTATCCTCAATCAAACCCAGCTCTACAGTGAAAAATAAATACTCGAATACTTTTACTTCTTGCATGGAAGAAGTTGAAAAAGTGTATATTAAAGTTATAGATGCAGTGTTTGGGTCGATTCGGAAAGATGCTAGAGTCGAGCAACTCTATTTTAACCAGACACCTTGAAAAGTACAATCACCGAACATCCAAGTCTTTTTCTGTTGGATTGCGGGTCGGCAGTGCATGATGAGAGGCTCGTCGTTCATGAATAGCACTGATCTTGGCCTCAGTGCGAGCCACTTCACGTTTCGCCTCGTTGTAAAGCCACAGCCCAAAAAAGGTTAGGCAGATACCAGCGGCTTGAGTGATGCTCACCTTATCGCGAAAGTAGATAATGGAGGCAGTAATAACAAATATACGCTTGACAAGAGAAGCAATAGAGTATGTGATGGGTGATGTAAGAGAAAGAATCCAGAAAGCTAGCACGCTTTGAACAAACTGAGAGATACCATTGAGAGCAAAAAGAGTGTAGAGTCGGAAAGACAGCGGATCCGTGTCGCTATTGAAGAATGCAGGAGCCTCGTCGTATGCCCATATTGGAAACATGAGAATGAATGCCATGGAAGAAGAGTAAAACAGCATGTTAAGCTTGTCAATCTTGACTGCCGTTGATACAACTTTTGAGGATGAATCATTAAAGAGTTTCTTGGACACCACATTTTGAACAACAAAGACAAACGTGGATGCGAGCGCGCAGAGAAAGCCAATAACATGGAATTTGATCTCAGTGGCACAGACAAGCATAACACCCATAGTCAATGGCACTAGAGAAAGATACACCCGCCGAGTATACATGATTTTGTAGATGGATCGATAGAGCATGATGGTGAAAAGCGGGGACAGTGCCTTGATGGTATGGGCAAAGCTAACTGGGACATAGGACATGGCAACAGAGGAGAAGATGTGGCCAAAAATCTGAAACAAGGCCAAGGGTAGGATGGTATAGAGGATATCGATAGTGGGTGCACGAATCTGGCAGAATCCAATATTCACATTAGCAGCAATTGCGCAACAGATGGACACCAGAGCAAATTGTACATAAGTAAGCGTGACAGGGTGTTGGTATTCGTTGAGAATCTGTTTGCTTAGGTTGTTTGTGACCGCAGAGGATGCATACCACAATAAACACATGGTTAGAAATTTAACCATATCTGCAGATAAAAAGTCGGAGCAAAAAGCATGGCTAGTCCAGGGGTGTGCCATTGAAGGCATGATATTTTTAGACCTTTGCAACAAGTTTTGAATTCCAAATGGTAGTGACAATGAAAACGAAGTTTTGAATGCATATTCAGGCGAGTCCAAAGACTCTTCAGAAGCCATACTACTGTTACTGTTGCTGGAGTACTGAGCATGAATATTAATTTTAATTTCTGGTTGATGTTGAACGTGGCGCTCTGTTTGGCGGGAACAATCATTGCGAACGTGGGGACGAAGGGAGGATTGCGGTTGGTCAGAGCAAGCATCGCTGGCAAGCTCATAGTTGCTGCCATGTCTATGGTGAGGCATATTGCTGGGAAGACCGTCAGCAATGTTTCTATTGGTAGCATTTTGACTAGAAGTGGGGTTCATGCTGGTTGTCGCTGGAAAGTCGTAAAAATCCAAATGTGGTGCCCAGGATAATGCAGACGAGCTGGAGGGATGGCCTCTAGCAGTTTGAATGTGAGAGGACTCAGTCAAGAGTGGAGAATCACAGCGACTGTGAGCCGTCGCAGGAGAGCTGGCACCAGAAGAGTAGCAAGAGTCCTGGCCAGCGATGGGCAGATTGCATTTGAGGAGGGTAGCTTTGGGTAGAATTTTTGCGAGTTTAACAGAGTGTCAAAGCGAGGATAAAGTTGATGAACCAACTAGTACAAGTAGCAGTGTATAATGTATGTGTAATTATTTTGTCAAGACCTTGAATACTCTTCCAGTTTTATTAACATCAAACAAGCAAAGCTGGTAATGCTGAGGATAAAAAGAAACTCAGCCTCTGAAGGCGGGTGGCTGCTGCTCAGGTTCGAGTGGAGAATGTCGATTAGTCTTCTTGTGTCTTGATATCCTATCAACGTTACCGTAAATACTATTGGCAGATACCTTATCTACTTGCTTATCAATGTTCAATTGTCTAACACGTGGCCTTGTTCTGGATTGCTGTCAAGATTGCATCACTTTCCGGGTAGCTTGTCCCGAGATGCATTCAAGACTAGAGTTTGCTGGCAATCACCATCTGTAGAGCAATCATGGTGCAATGAATACATATTTCAGTAGGAAATATTACCAAACCGTAAACTTTCAATAGATTTCCATTTGGTGTAGATCTGCACGAGTAAAATTTACTATTGATTTTGGATTCGTAAATGACTGTCAGACTCTGTGTGTGGATACATTTCTGCATCTGTCACGATCAACTGACTTGATCTGCCATATTATAGAGTATCTACAAATTGCAATGTTGTCAATACAGCTTTTCAGTATTCAGTCACAACTCTCGTGACTCTGATGGCTTGATGGCTTATTTCATTGATAATATTCAGATGTTCGAGGCAAACAGTACAGAAACATTTTAAAATGCTTGGGTATCAATATACCTCATTGGCACATATGGTATAGTTGGCCCCCTCGTGTATTTGATGTGACCAAGCAGTCTAAATAAATACATGGCCAATTTGGAAACCAATCAGCCTTGGCTATGCATTTTCATGCCAGAATGATCAAATAGATTGGCCTCAACTAATTATAATACCGATCTTGTTTGTGATAAACCCAGATGTTTCCAAGCAGGATATTCACCACCATAACAATATGCTGCTGAATAGACTCGTGCTTCTCACTTGGATAGCCACAGGTGCAGCTGGGCTCATGGTTGAAACCTCCATCTGAAGCTTGTCCGCCACCACTTACTGCGCAAATCTTTCCGTTTCCAGCTGTCACTAGTGGGTATCTTTTCATCATGTGCCTTCGTTTCTGTAGTCGTGTTCAACCATTATTTACTATCCAACATTGCGGCGCTTATGAAACTCGTGGTGTCATCTTACGGCCGCAAATATACTCGAGTCGTGTTCATGTATAATGAAACACTTGCATTATCTTGTGATGGTCGTTTTGAAATAAACAATGGCTAAACATTTTTTGCTATTGGAAACTAATTACTTTATTGAAACTGTTGTATTCTAACATCAGATACGTTTGCGATCTAGTTCAAAAAAACATTTTGGGAATGCAACTGTTGTTTTCATGTCAAGAATGTGAGCATTTGCTTTGTATTTCTGTACAAGAATGAGTACAAGGGGCAAAGACCAGTGAATTAAGGGCCCATACAACAATGTTGTCCAGTAAGATTGGCACCAACCATGAGATTGTTAGTATTGACTATTCAGTGTTTCATTTTACATGGATACGGCTGTGATGAGTAATTCTATCACCTGGTCCAATACCTACTAAGCACATACCATCCCATTTCTTCAAACTTTATCGGGATCTATAGTTTCTGATTACTAATCACATTTGTTGATTCCGGATAACATTAGTAATGATTTCAAATAAACAAATCATCAAAACCAAATAGTCTTTCCAACTATTCATGCATTGGCTCGCCCATGACTACAATGCATTTGGATATGATGTGATCGTAATTTACAACTCAAAACAAGAAATGAAAAAGGTTGCCTTGTATTGAGTCAAGGGAAGCAAGCCATTTAGCAACTGGCCGTGTCAACAAGTCGGATTGTCGTCGTGGTACAAGAAATACAAAGATGCTCCTGCTATTCAAATCAACAATCCATCGATACCTGCAAAAAACACCATCACCAAACAAAAACCCATTCCAACGACACTTTTGTATGGTCGAATTAAATGTGTGCAAGTATCTCGCCAAAAACATGATATACACTGATGGCTTGCTAGCAACTTTTCATTTATCTCCATTATCGCCAACTGTAATAGGGCAAACAAGACGTTTAACCCCCAAATTTTAAAATGTTGTCCAACCGCCTGCATCAAACGCTTGATCAATCTTACGAGCTACATAGCTTGGAATTGCATGTGTAAGCCATAACTTTCGTATTTCTCCATATCGTTTACGATTCAAAAACAATGGTCGTCCGCGTCTATTTGAATTTCAAATAACCAATAGTGAGTTATTCGTCTACCAATATCAAGTGATATTCGTCGCACATAGAACATGAGTAAAACCACTTACCGTAGCTGAGGATCTACCTCACCATGTGCATCTAGATAAGGCAGATCCATAAATGTTCCTTTTCCGTTTGGAAGCAACAATATCATCATTGCTTGCTTGATCAACAAAAAAATACCAACTGATCCACCACACCTTAAATTCAATATGTTGCAAGAAATTCAACGTTAACAAATCACAACTCTCCTTTAAGCTTATCCACAGTCTATACTTGGCATTATTACTCACTCGCGAATGTGTTGGTTGCATTCTCCGTGATCTTCATCAGAGCAGCAATAACTTTGACTACATAGAATCATACCGCAAAGAACACAAAGTGCAGGATCAAGTGGAACCGTTCCACACCGTCGACATACTTTTCTCCTTGACTCTTCAAACAATTTTGCAAGTCGTTGTGGCAATTTTGCAAGTTCAAACACAAGCGGCAGTTCCAATGACACTTGGGGAGGCAATGGAGGTGCCATGGCATCTAAAATTAAATCATAATACCATCAAAAATCATCAATATCGATAAAAAAATACATTCCAATTGATCATGTAGCAAGACTTTACCAGAAGAAATGGATATCATCGCAGACCGTGTTGCACCGACTGTTTTTTGTCGCTCTTTTTCACGTCTACGAGCCGCTTCTGTTGACCATACAACTCCAAAGTGGTTGGCCATAGTTCGTCCAAAATCATGAACCCAGTGCAGCACCATCTGTCCAAATACCCGATCATGCACAATCGGTAGTGATACCAATGTATCTACTTTGGGCAGATCCAAGTACAAACATAGTCTCATCAACTCGTTTTCGTCATTGGCCGCATTGACTCTATCAGTCACATCCGGGCCTAGATCTTCACTATTCTCAGACTGAGCAAGATCAAATCCAAATCCAACAGCCCCTCCAGGAGGTACTAGTCCAAATCTTGCATATAGTAATACTGCACATCGTCGCGCATAAACCAACCCAACACGCTTAAACAGCGCACATACCATGTCCGGTCTAATTGTTTTTTCCACATACACTTTTGCATCTGGCATGAGTTTCATCCCGTTTAATACCACGTTTATCAAATGAGCCAACCCAGCATACTTTGAATCGTCTTCAACTGGAGTATCCGCCAACTCTGATTGTAAATTAGCAGGCTCCGTCACAATATAATCGGATTGATTCTTATCTTTTGTCATAGGTGTCGTATCGAAATAGGTAGATGCATCCTGAGTATGCTCATTAAGAGCAAAAACAACTTGCGGATCAGTAATCCATGTATCGCCATGAAGAAGAATCGACTCAACAACTGATACCACACATCGCACAAGCTCAAATACCCACATGACACGCATCCATTGAAACACTTCCGTTTCGTTTTTGGTGCGTTGTGTCACTCGTGCTGGAATAATCGACATAGATAGAGCAACAAGGTGCGAAAATCCATCACGAAGCAAAGCAGGTGGGTGAGCCTGTGAATCACGCTCGGAAACATGGTTCTCCTTTACATCACCAACGCTATGATCGCCAAATAGTGATGCCAAAAAGCGATTACCATACATCATCAACGTAGCTTGTGGACATTTTGCATACACTGCTGTTCCCAATGTTGCTTCAGATAGCAGACGTAGGCACATGTGCATCTGAGAGCTAATGGTGTCTAATACACCAATGTGTACAAGTTGGTTAGCATGGGAAGATAAAAGCCCAGGAGTCCAACTTGACGAGCTTCCGCGACCAAGTATTTCCAACGATGAAATAGTGTACGCAAAAAGATCCCACATTCTGGTGCAAATTAACATGGCTGGTTCAAGGTTGGTTTCAAAAGGATTAGGTTTGCCATCATCTCTCATCTCTTCTACAAGGTCTTTTAGCTCCGCATACATGTTTCGAGAATATACACTTTGCATTTTCCCCAACAGTTCATGAGATTGGGTCGAGTCTGAGCCACCTTTAAACGTCAACGTTGAGGTGGATAGCGATAAATGATCGACAAATAACTTGTTAAATAGCTCTGAAATGGAAGAATGGTGCACTGCTGTATTTTGATCATTTGATTCATCAGCCGTCCACCCGGTACTAGAATTACTGTCTGCATCCATATCATTTGAAAGTATATCCACCATCCCGTCACTACTCAAATCAGCACAGGCTTCTCTATCGCTTTGAGCACCGGTTGAAGTGTCCATTTTTGAAGCACCTGATACATGTACAAGTTCGCTAGATGTAAGCCATAGACGCATTTCACCCAAAAGTTGCCGATCATCGTACTTTTCAGTGTGCTTCCAAGATACATTAGATCCACGCCAATTTACCGATTCGTGTCGGTTTGACCAAACAACAGGCAAGACAGTATTTCCTAGACTTTTGCATAAAGGACACATAAACTCTCTTGCATCGGTGTCTTCGGGATGATTACGAGTTGGCTGTGACAAATGGCGCGTATCAATAGAGTGGGTGTATGTGTCAAAGCAGCTATAGTGCATTAAATGGCCGCAGCTAGTTGCAGTGATACCTTCAACAGATATCTGTTTCAATGGAACAGAGTTTGTCGATGCTATTGGAGAAGATGATGAAACGCCCGAGGAATTCAAATTTGCAAACTTTTTAAGGTTTGGATCGGATCCCATAGCATCAACTGAGTGACCAAGTGTCACTGGTGTTTGTGATCCACTTGCTGGAATATCGTCTACGCTAGACATCTCATTCTTTTCAGGTACAGTGTCAAATGACTCTGGCAACGCTGTAATTATTTTGGCTAAACTGGAAACATCCCCAAAAGAAATCTGTCTACACACAGTAGTATGTCTTAGTAGACATAGCATACCATACATCTTGTCGCCTGAACTAGCATCTTCCTGGCATACAATACATGTTCCAGCAGCAAATTTCCATGTTCGGTGATCAGAATGGCTAGCAGCGCTATCTTCAGCATGGGAACCATCACCAGTAATTGGATCGTCCACTTCATCATCGTCTAAATCATCTAAATCATCACCAAAATTGGCAATAAAGCTCTTTTGTGCTTGTGCAAATTGTGCCATGATGTTGGCCTGTCGTGCTTTAACAGCAAGCTTTCGTTTTTCTTGTTCAGATGACTCCGTGTCATTATTAGATGAATTCGTGGATTGTATATCAGAGCTCAATCTTGGTTTTCCTAGATCCCAATTGGACTTGTCACGCCATCCTACAATTGTTGTTTCTGCAGTCAAGCCGCCCATTTCCTCAAATCGCCGTACTAAAAACCGTAATCTAGGTGCCTGTTCCTTGATATCCTCCTCGTTTGCTCGATCAACCAAACTCAAAATCAACTCCAGCAATGTCGTAGGCCGCATTTCTGCTCCCTTTCGCACGGGTATCGATACACGTTCCAAAACCGCATGTTGTATAAATCCAATATCAGATACGTTGGTATGAGCCACATTAGTCTTGGACGCACCAACAATTTCAAAGCCAACCATCAGTAAATGCACAGCTTCTGCCAATATCATTTCACTATTTACTGGCTCTTGTCCTGATTCAGCCACAGTACGAGTCACATTCCATAACGAGTAAAAAATGATTTGGTTGAAAATTGGTGAATGGACTAGATTGTTCAATCGATCAAATCCAGTTCCTTGCACTAGCTGACACAACTTGGGCCTTCTTACAGCTTCCTCCTCCAATGCAGCATCATTGCTATGATGTCGATTTAGTGCACGTTTCTTTTCAAGACGCTTGCGCAATACTTCGCCAAGATCCTCGCGCTCGTTACGGGTATAGTGCCAAAACCACGGATCTACATTGGCATACATTTCGTCCTTGAGTTCATACAATCCGTGATCTGCAGTGCCATCTGGAAACTTAAAGTTGGCCACGGACTGCAGAATGGCGTCAACGGATGTGGAATTGACAGTCGGCTCATTCATATCATCTACATCAGGCATACAATCTGCTGCCGCATCAACTAGTGAATCTGCTATACGTCTCGATAGTTCCGAATACGCAGTACCACTACGATGCACAGCCAAATAGTGAATGATCTCTCGTCGAAGCTCATCTGCAGCTGAAATAGCAGCAACATTCGATCGTTCGGTCAACAAAATCATAATCACTTGCAACATATCCTGCACAAATGAAGATATCTGTGCAGATTCGTAGTGCGCTGTATCAGAGCTGATTGTGCGACCTTGGAACCATGATACAAGTCCATAGCGATCTACAAGCATTGTAAGCAGTTTGTCTGGACCAAGGCATACTGTGGCATACTGAAGCAACAACATGTCGTGATCGTGAGCTTCGCGCAAAACCGCATCTGCGTAGTGTTTGGCTTGTTCTCTAACATTGTAGCCATTGCGTACCCAAACACCTGCCTTGATTTGCGATACAAGAACAATTGATCGCAATGGAAAATCAAATATCAACGACATGCGATCTTCCACTGATAAGCAACGCAGCATCTCATCCATGTCAAGAATATGGGTGCTATCGATTGATGCAGGCTCAATAGCGATTGTTGGAGAATCAGCAACAATATCAAAGATATGCTTTACAATAGAGGCTCGCTTATCTACGCTATCTGTATGTCGAAGCAAAGCTGCAGTGTTACGTAAAAGATTTGCCAAAAGCCAGTGCAGACATTTATGAAAAGAAATAGGTTGAAAGGCAACATGGTAGTCTGGAATACGACAGGGTCGACCAGGAACTAATGTGACGATATGAAATCCATCACGAACAGTTTCACGTCTTCTCATGGCTCCTGCAATGGAGATTTGCATTGTCTGCCAGTTTTTAGTGGATTCCACATGACGATGCAATGTCCATTTTAAAAGAGCATCGCGAGTTTCACTCATAGCGTTTAAAAGATTTGCAGCAGAGTTTTCTGATACACTGCTAAAAAAACAATTTGCAAATCCTCGCATGAGCGGAAGAATATTAATACTGTGGTTAAATGCATGCAGCCAGTCATCGGTCTCGTACTCGATATGATTGTGAAGCGACCGCATCTGAGGATTCATGCCTTGCCATACCATACACAAATCAAGAAAACGCAATAGTATTGAAACACGACCATTTGTTGTTGCAGTCGCTAGGGTATTATTGGCAGAAGCACTGTTGCAAACATTGCGTGAAGACAATAGGTATCGGACATCAAACAGTAAATGCGCATGCCTCTTGTTTCTGACTGCCTCGCCGTCAAATCTTAGAACTGGATAAATTGGCTTGAATTCGACTGTTGCTTTCTGAATAGTCTCATAGTACTTGGTTTTGAGAGAATATTCGTCTGGAAGCACATCAGATAAAAAATGAGCCTTGAGCAAAGAAAGCATGTAGGGAAGAATCAGCGTATGATGCATAAGATAATTGGCAATTGTTGGTACAGTAAAAATCTGAACAGTAAAATTCATAATGGACAGATCAATTTCTCGATCGTGGAAAAGATAGCAGCGCGACACTTCCAGATACGAATTCACAAAATGAACGGCCATGCTTTTTTTAAAAATATCTCCATTGACAATCAATGTTCCAATATAAAGTTCTCTAAGAGAATTTCTCATTTCTTTCCAAAAATACGAGTCGAGAACTAGAAAATAGTGAACTCTTGGACGGTGTGGCCGTAACATGACAGGAGTTGGTGACTGTAGCTCGTCAATAAAAGGGGATGTTGAATTATACGTTCCAAGGTCCGTCAAAAGAGGATTGCACAGCTCTTCACAAATAATTGAACGGACCAACTCTGCTATTGATTCATAATGAACACCATCGATGACTTGAGAACCTTGAATAAATCTTGAAAGTGTTTTGAGCCAATTAACCAAAACTCCAGCAATCTCTTCTCTAAATACATCACGAGTGGGTCGGATTGAGACTGTCAAACTGATTCGCGATATAATAGACGCAACACCTATAAGCAATGGAATGGAATCTGAAGTTCTGACAGGGTATCGACCCTACATCCATATATTATAGAGTATTAGTTTGAGTAAAAATTCAACGATTTGAATGTTGAAAAGTATCACACATGCAAGAGTATTACCCTTTTATCCACAGCAACGGCTACACTCCGTGCATATGCCTCAGTGCAATTGGTAGCTTCTGCAACCTGATCAATGACTTCTTGAAACGAATGCGACTCGTCGTTCCACAATACACATGAAAAATTCATTAGTTTGTCCTCACCCATGACTACATCTGGTGCATGTTTTGCCTTGATTATTGCTGGGTCATTAACAAACTGTGGGTTTTCGCATGATCTTGCTAGACTAGATATGGCAAACTCTAAAACAGTTGTAATGGTTTGTCTAATGGCATCTGTCACGGCCTAGAATAGGTTTAAAGTCGTGAATGGTAAGATACCAACCCAAATCAGCATTAAAGCTAAAATCAATCGTAACGCTCAGCATCACTCGACAATACATAAGCTATTTATCAACCATACCAGGGGAATTTTTTCAATGTCGGGCTTTCCATCCAGAATAGATTGAGTATCCATAGAAGCAACATGTGCATCGCTGGATTGAGGACTGTGATATTTACAATACACTGCTAGCTTCCAAGCTTCGGGATCGCCACAATCGCAACAGCCTCCAGATCCCAGAGCAATGGACATGGTAGTATCGTGACCTTCGTGAGCAGCAGCATCAAAACAACGAAAGCAGAATACACAAGTATCGTCTAAAGCACAAGTCCTACAAAGTGAATTTGTAAGAGTTAGTGCAAGATGACAAGCCAGACTAGATTGACATGCAACACTTGCCTGCATCGGTAAATGCCTTCACCACGATCAAAGACATGACCACAAGCTTTTCCCTGTTGACCCTCACGATATTCTAGCGGCAGATAGTCACTATCATCCACAAGAACGCTCTGCTGCCTCTGTGCATCGCTGCTAAAAGCAGTGGTTTCGTCATCCATGGGAATGATAATTTTCAGAGAATTACCCACTAGTTGATCAAATACAGAGCGACGACCCATACTCAAGTTGTACCACAGTACGGCAATGATCATCTTGCGCATATCCAGTGTCAAAGGCAGTTTAAGGTCGAAGATAAAGGGAGCGTAGTAGAGGAAGTTGTAAAGATCATGGCTGGTTTGCGGATGAATGGACTGAATGGACTGTGGTAGTTGAGTCGTTAACCGCTGGACTTCGGTCACCAGCTGCTGGATTTCATCAAATCCCAACTGTGCCATGAAGAGGTATCTATTTTGCTGCAATGTATGGCAAAAAGCTTGGCTATTTACAGCAACCCAAAAATAATATCAAAATCACAAGCGAGATATTGCGACATTCATTACAAGACTCGATCGTTACTAAACAATTCTTGAGCAAGATCGTAGAAACGCATTTGCATTCGCAGTTGTTTTCTGTGCAGTTTCTAGCATTGTCCATCCTCGAATATCTGCCACTGACTGGCATATAGACTGCATGGCACTCATCTCGTCGGCTGCATTGCTCACATCCGACTCAATCAGAATTCTATCGTGTGGAATAGATCGCACTCGATCTTCAAACTTCTTTCCACGAGCATTCACAATTGTGCTGAAGCTAAAATAGAATCGAGATCCAATGTGTGGGAGTTTGACCAGACTTTGTCCAATCTCTTTGGATGCGGTAAATGAGTGCATCATAATAGCTGGTGGGAATGGAAGACGGTCGCTCTCATGTTGAAAAGATTCATTCCAATCTCGACCGTTTCGTTTCCTCTGAGCCTTGATATATCCACAGATTTTGTCCATATCGCGAAAGTAATGAGTAATCTGACTATGGACGTGGACTGCATGCATGCTCACTGGTCGCTCCAACTCTATTGCCAATTGCATTTGAGCCTGGAAAACTTGCATCTGTTGGTCCATTGAATAGAGTTCTCCCGTGGATCTGTCTTTGGCTGCACCATCCAATCCAATCTCCCCTACAATCGCCTGCGGGTGTTTGAGTAGTAATGCTTTGAGATCATTCAACCATTGTGTATCTGGAACCAGTGAAGGTGTCTGAATATCAGATACTTCTGACTCGGTGTCAGTTGGCAATGCTGGATTTAACGTTTCGTTTGCTGTCCATGTGGAATATGGCGGCACTGATGAGGATGACATCCATGGATGAATGCCTAGTATAAAAAGAAAATCAATAGCATTAATCGTCTTGTTTGAACTAATAGGCTACTTATTAAGCTTACCAAAGGCTGGAATCACTTTGGATGGAAATTGGACTGCTGTCTGCTCCACCAGTGCCCAATTGTCCAATTTTGTGCCCATTAGAATGATCTTGGATACTGGAAGTTTGCCAATATCATCGAGTGTGGGTGTGGAATCAGTAAGGTGGCAATGAACATCAGTGCACTCTTTTAAAACTTGTGTCATGCCTTCTTCGGCTGTTGGCTGATCCATTGCAACTTGAACAATCAAATCGGATATTTTATTAAACTGCAAAAATACTAGCAAATAAAATCTTTCTGTTGATATTGCCACAAGTATTGTAAAAAGCCAATCCCGATATTAAAGTGGAATCAGTAGATAAATATAGTCTTGCAACCAATCAGCACCTTGCCTTGTTTGATGCGTACCAGTCAAGTAGACCACTAAACTGAACATTTATATTTTCTGTTATCCCATCACATATTTGATGGTTCATCAGATGTTACAGACTAGACTATACTCTGCAATGTTCATCAACCGCTGACACCTTTGTCGCGTCAGTCTACTACAGCCATTGTAATCATGACTTGAATGCCAATCTGCATGATGAGCCGTGTTTGACTGCTTCGGTATTGACACTGTTGAGTTCAAACAGAAAATCACAGGATTTGCATATAGTATTGATCTATGTGTTGATTTGTCAAAGCAAGCAATATCTGGATCAAGTTTATTGCTTATATGCCAATCTTTCAATTGCATTCTTGTTTTAGTAACTAACAGCAAAGACTTTAGCACCGTAAACCTACGTATGGACAGTTTAAGCGTTCTGCTGCTTCTCCTTCAGCATGAATGACATTAATATTGCACTGTGATGATGGAAATGGTGGAAACTCGGTGCCGCACCATATACACTTGGTGAAATCATCCACGGTCCCTTTCATGCTGTTGTACTGAGGAAAATAATACAGGCCATTTGCTGCAAGCTAAAATCAACAAGATCATTTATTAATTCAGACAACTGGTTATAGCATTTAACAAACCACTCAAGCTCCAACATACCTTTTGAGTAAACTCCCCATCATTACTGTATGATGAAATGACAGTGGCATGATTTGGATGACCTGCAACTTTATGAGGCTGAACAAATGTTGCAACCCGCTTTGCAATGGCAATACTACGACAAGCCATCACTAGATTCGACGTGTATTGCGTGACATGATAGGCATCTATAGTGTAGCCCAGCCATAGATATCATATTAACAAATCCACAAAATCGATAGTTTTTGCTATTAACAATGCTGAAGATAGCTTACCCTGTTGATTTTGGAAGCAAAGCGAAATCAATGAGGGAACTTGCTCATTTTCAGGAACAATTACACTCTCGCATTTGTAAACAGGCAGATTTCCGTGTGTAGCTGCCTCGGGAAAATAGCTATTGAGAGGAACGGACTCTGTTTGAATGTATGCTTTTGATATTGTATTGTGTCCCTGTGTGTTGATTGTGATTCGCGAATCATGGACTGAATAAAATTTTTCGAGTGTTTCAAATACTAAATTGGCCAGGTCCAATACATAAAGTGAGTGTGGTTGTTGTATAAACTTACAATAATAGGATAATTGAAACGTTCTAGTGGCATTGTACATTGCAATACAACTCACGTTGTATATTAAATGCTACGCTTCGTGATCCGTAGAGATAGTTACCAACAAACCTGGCTGGCCAATCTTCCAAAAAATATACAAGTACAGGACCTTTGTTAGCCCATCGCTTTCGCTCCAGATTGTATTTGCTAAGTCTAGCTATCCAGTATCCTGATGGTGGAGTCATTGGGGGTGTGTAATGAAATCGACATAGATCTGAAAATGTTGTATGTGCACGTTGGCAATACTTTTGAGCACGCTGCGTAGCAAGAATTTTTCGAGACAAATGAATATCAGCCGTATCAACATCACTTGGACAATAGTCAGATTCTAAATGAAAAAGTATTGGTTAAACGCTGACAGTTGTATATCTGGTTGTCGTCCAAGCATCTTTGAAGGCTGGCGTGGCCCACATGTAAACTGCTTAAGATACAAATATATTGCTGATAAATAGTACCACTTGCCTCCATCTGGCTCATTCAACTCTTTTGGGGTATTAACAAAATCCTTGTATAGAGAGGTGTTGGTGTTTAATGACTGTAGTACTCCTGGAGTTTCAAGTGCGTTTTCATCATCTAAGTCTAAGCCCATACCTAATTGTATAACAAGAGTTCAATCGCGTAGTAAATAACCAACAAAAAGCACTTTCAATTTTGCTTTAGTTGAGCAATCAATTGATAAGTAGTGCATACTCATATCGGCGTCTGTACATGTGTCCTCTGTAGGATCATCATTGGATGGAAACTCGTACGTCGCGTCGTCCAACTCATCTTCTGCACCATCAGTGTTTGCTAAAGCTGTAGTTTCAGCTGGCTCTATAAAAACAAAATTGGCATAAATTATTATGATATACAAGATAATTGAACTTGAATTTACTGCACAGAAATTCTATATAAATAAGCGCAAAATTTATTATGTAGAGCAAATCTGCATTGCATAAACTCCAAACACAACTTTACTCTTACCTGCAGCACTGGCTATCTGGGAGTGAAGTTTCTGGGTGATACGAGCATGGCGGACTTGAGTTCTCATCTTTGTAGCTCCTGGACGCAGCTCCATTTTCTGGAGCGAGTTTTTTAAGCCTGCAAAGTTTTGTAATTAAGCATAATATGAATCAGCATTGGGTAATATTTTAAAAAATGACGAAACTAGGGTAAAGCAGACACGAAGGGATGGATGGTCTAGTCGTTGGACCAGCGTTTTTTCATAGAGCCAGGCTGGCAAACTTTCTCAAGACACTTTCAAATATAAAGTCAGTAGTATGACTATAGACTGTTCCAGTGATACAGGCAGACAATTGTCGTTTTTACCATCATATTGGTATACTCTATTGTTGTATTTGATTTAGATGCACACAAGAGCCACGGTAGATCTGGTTTATAGTTTCCGCCAACACTCCACTTTCATCTCAACTAATCAGTCATGTAAACTCACCATCCAGAATACTAACAGATTCTTCATCGGCAGTTCGCTTTGTCTTTCGAGTAGTCATGACTGTGTTCATGGTAGTAGATGCCGAGAATGGTAAATGAAATTGAGGTTAAAATCGGAATCTTGAATTACTGATGAATTGTGTGCATTTTCAAGCTTGCTGGGTTTGACAGTCAGACTTGCATACTGTTGCACTTTTTCTTTAAGATGAACAATTGAGCTGAGCAGATTTATTTCAATCTCCAAATGCTTACCATTGAATTCTTTATAAACATGGAATATAGATTCATGGGTTAGTCAAGTGCAGGTACTACCGCCGTATTCGTGGGATGAAGGGCTGAATAAGGGCGTTGGTGTATAATAGTCTCATGAAATGATTGATATTTGCTGAACATTATGTCCTCCAAACTCACTAGTTTACTGATATTTGCTCATTTTTATATAAAAGATTGGATCTTTACATTACAGCTTCAATGCATCTCATTTATCTAGTTTCCAACTCTTATAAAACATTGAGCAATTGGTATGGAAACAGCTGTTACATTCTCAAGATGTGCGATCTTTGTTCTCTTGAACTAGAACGTATCTGATATTAGGATACAACATAGTTTTAATAAAAGAAATAATGGATTTGCAATAACGAATAGTTGACGATTGTTTATTCTAAAAATAATCAATACAGAAAAGTCATTTTACGTGAATATGGTTGCAAACCAGAATCAGATTAAACCCAAATCTTTCCAAGTTTTATTTATTCAATTGACTAAAACATGCTATCCGCTACTGCTAAAATCACACTCCGTTTTAGAGCCAGATATGCTGCTCGAACTGTTTCAGCTGCAGGATATTTACCAAGAACTTCCTTCAATCGCAGTATGGTCTCTGTGCCCAGTGCTGGTCCATTAGTATACGCTGGATCCAAGTATCAATCATGGTATTGGAGCACAGTAGCAGTTGGGCTAGTAGGTGCGGTGACAGCAATGGCTTTTAGTAGCATTCAAGCAGACAATGAAGCAGCAATGCCTTTAGAATTCAAAGGTACTGTGTGATGATCCTCTTTAAATTTATACTGTTGGTCCTACCGTACTTTAATCAAGGCTCATCTTCATTAGCATTATATATTGATCTGATCATAATCTATACTAATTTAATGTGTTAATGGGTGTATCATGAATGTACATCTTCATGTTCTTTATTTGCCATCTCTTGTATCTGACAACGGTCAAATCCCCAGTTGAGCCCATTAGCAAGCTCAATGTGCCCACTCGCATCACAGTATGTCATGATGACCAGTCCAAAGATTTTCAATTGCTTGGACTGGGCGTTCGCCAAGTGACTCTCCTGTACCTTGCTGTATATACTGCTGCCATCTATGTTGATGATTCTCTCACCCAGCGCATTTCTCGCTCTACACGCTGGACGCAAGAGTTTGCGCAGGATAAGCTTGTTCAGAACACATCAGACTCCAAGTGGTTTGTCAGTGATCTTGTTAATGGCCATCCAGGAGAGATTTCTCTTCGCATTGGTATATTGAACTAGCCTAGTCTACTATATGGATGAAATCCAGACTTTGAATCTAATATTCTAATTGATGGTAGATCCAGTCCGCAACACCAACGGTCCACATCTGCGTAACGGGTTTGTGCGATTTCTGACTGAGCGTCAACGTCAGGAAACGCTCAAAGGAACGCTGGATGAGAAAGAGAGTGCAGCATTTACCAAGTCACTAGACGATCTACGAGCTCTGTTTCCTTCTGGTGCAATCATGAAAGGCCAAGTGCTTGTATTTACCAAGCTAAGCGATGGTCGCTTGCATGTCAGTTTTAATGGCCGAGAAATGGGCAGCGTGAACAGTCCGTTGCTGTCGAAATGGGTGATGGAAGGATACTTGCGCAGCGACCCAGTGATTTCGCCCAGTCTAATAGCAAGCGTTGCTGCAGGAGTAAATCATGTTGTGCAAAGCCAGTGACCAAATCAAGATCCCACCAATCAGAACAACTCAATCTCTGCTGAATAAAAAATATTCGGATTTGAAACATAAAAACTATTCAATTTTTTTTATCGAATCAAAACTAAAATGGCACCTAAAACTGAACGCAGAACTGGACGTCGTGCTGGAAAGAAGGATGCAAAGAAGGATGCATCAGTCGAGAGTCTTTCCGAAAATGTCGCAGATATCAAGTTGTTAGATAATAATCGTTCCTCCACTGGTGTTCTTACTTCCGAGAAAAACTCTCGTGACATCAAGGTAACTGACTACAACCTCTAGCTGTGACTATCGCTAGTGAATTGATGTGCTATTGCTAGAACTTGCTATGCTTTGTCTCCATATTGTTTCTGATGTAATGAATTCTATTGAGTGGTGCTGGCATGGCTGGCCGTACTTGAATGGCTGGCCGTACTTGAATGGCATTCTTGTTAATTTTATCGGATTTCCTTTTCAATTCATGCTTTTGTAAAATCATCCCTACTGAAGGAGTCTTGATAATGGGTTGCTATTATATAGGTCAATGTTTAGCCAATCTTTTGATTGTTGCTCCAATTGCACTATTCAACTCGACTGATTTCCCATTTCCGCAAGGTCATGTCAATCTTGTCATTTGAATCAGGTTGTAGCTTTGCTCAATTGCTGTCAGTCTGATATTCAGCTCCCGCTTTATACTACTCCTTTAATTTTGTAAAGTCTATATCTCGTTCTGAGAGTGAAATTCTGTTAGTACTTTGTAGCTAGTGATGTTAACTACTTGACCCATTTCATTAATCAAAAACAATTGTTGCGTAGGTTGAGCTTTACTCGCTTACATCTTTCTCTCAAAATCTGATCAACGAAACCACTATTGAACTCAATTTCGGTCGTCGCTATGGTTTGATTGGTCCCAATGGCAGTGGAAAGTCTACCTTTTTGCAGTCTCTATTTGCTCGCGAAGCTCCTATTCCTGAGCACATTGATATTTATTTACTGAATTCTGAGTATCCTCCCACCGAAATGACTGCTCTTCGTGCCGTTATTGACGATGCTGAGAAGGAACTTGCGGTATGCAGTATATCTTGTTTACAATGTTGCTGTTTGATTGGCTTGGCTGTCGTAAATATGAACAAATGTTGGGCCTAATATACTTGTATTTTCAAATGCACATTAGCGTCTTGAAAAACTTATGGAAGACATTATGAGTGAGGATCCAGAATCTCAACTCCTTGATGATATTTGCGAGCGTATTGACGAGATGGATGCATCCACTTTTGAATCTCGTGCTGCCTCCATTCTTAATGGTCTTGGATTTTCCGATCAGCGTATGAAATTTATGACCAAGGACTTGTCTGGTGGATGGCGTATGCGTGTAGCCCTTGCTCGTGCCTTGTTTGTCAAGCCTACTCTACTGCTTCTTGATGAACCCACTAATCATTTGTAAGTTGTTTTGCTTTAGTCCAACTAGAACCAGCTTGGGTTTTGTAAACTGTCATTGCATTTGAATGGCTATTCTACAGTCCCGACTTTATATTGCATTGAGGATACTTTTACATATTAATTTGCTAACCAGATAATATTTTGAAACATTCTAGGGATCTCGGTGCATGTGTGTGGCTTGAAGACTACCTTGCCAAGTATGATCGTATTCTTTTGGTTATTTCTCACTCTCAGGATTTCCTCAACAATGTCTGCACCAATATTATTGAACTCACTTCCAAAAAGACTCTTACATACTACTCTGGTAACTACGATACGTATATCAAGACCAAAAATGAGCTTGAAGTAAACCAAATGAAGGCTTACGAAAAGCAGCAGACCGAAATAGAGCATATGAAAAAGTTTATTGCTTCTTGTGGTACATATGCCAACTTGGTGCGTCAAGCCAAATCTCGCCAAAAGATTCTTGACAAAATGGAAGCTGATGGTCTTATCGAAAAGGTTGACCGTGCTCGCGACTTCAATTTCACGTTTGAGTCGTGCGGTCCTTTGCCTCCTCCCGTGCTTAGTTTTACTGACATGTCGTTTTCCTACGACGGCAACCTAAAAAATGCCATATATCGTCATCTTGAATATGGTGTCGATACCGAAAGTCGTATTGCTCTTGTTGGACCCAACGGTGCTGGAAAATCTACACTTTTAAAACTTATGAGTGGTGAACTTTCACCCACTGATGGTACTGTGGCTCGTCATACCCATCTCAAGATTGGCAAGTACAATCAACATTCAGCTGATCAACTTGATCTGAATGCTTCTGCAATTGATTACATGCGCAACAAGTTCCCCGACATGCCTCAAGATTTGCAATACTGGCGTCAAAACATTGGCAAATTTGGTCTTACCGGAAACTCTCAGCTTTGTCCCATTTCTCAGCTTTCTGATGGACAAAAAGCCCGTATTGTTTTTGCTGAGCTATCTCTTACACGTCCTAATATGCTTCTTCTTGATGAACCTACCAACGCTCTTGATATTGAGACCATTGATTCTCTTGCTAGAGCCATAAACACCTTTGAAGGTGGTGTCGTACTTGTTTCTCACGATTTCCGTCTTATTAGTCAAGTTGCAGAGGTATGATCTGACTTTGCTTGAACTGTGGCTGTTTTTAAACTATTGATGTACTTTTACTAATCCAGTATTCCATGTGACTGTTTTTTAAATTAGCAAATCTGGGTTTGTGATAATGGCACTATGGAATTGTGGGAGGGTACTATTGGAGAGTACAAAATTCATCTACGGAAAGAGATTACAAAAAACGCCAAATGATTATTGCATTGAATGAAAACCATATGCATAATAAAAATATGCCTATAGTAGTATTCATGGTGTGTTGGGCTCATGGCATAGAGTTGATTTATGACAGTCAAATAGTATGCCAAACTGTCTTTTGAAACAATGCTAGCAGGTATACATAGTTAGATGCAAGATATGCTCATCGTTTGGCTTGATTCTACAACTGTGCTTGTGTAGAATGAAACACTTGCATTTATCTTGTGGTCAGAGCCTCTATTTTGCTTTGGATTATACAAATCTTGAAATACCAATGCATTACAGCTTCTCCCATCAACCTTCAAACACAACATCTATTATGTGATGCACACAATCAAACTATCGTTTTAGACCAAGACCATCTCCTTTTTTGGCATAACCATATGCTTTATGTTACTCTTTCATTAGCCAAACGCGTCGTAAACATGCAGTTCTAAACCTTCCCACAAATCACATTTCCCAACAGGTTGAACGTGTAGCAGCAGCATTCAAACACAATGGATAGTAGTTCTCAGTTGCATTTTGCTAAAAGTTTAATTGGAAAAGACGACCTAACTGATGAAGACCTTGTTGAAGGGTTTGTTTTTTTACAGGTGAGCTGTAGTCTGATTCAATACAACATTTATACTTTAGTGTTTTTGTTTCATGGTGTGTTGGTAGCAGAAATTTGATATGGAATATTAAAGCTTACCATCAAAGTAAATTTACAAATCTAGTGGATATTTACTTTTCATAAAATCATTTCATTTATTAACTATTTATTAGATTTTATCCCTGATAGTGCCATCATCTGTAAATTTGTCATGGTATACTACAGATGCAGCAATGAAATGTACAAATCTTCCTTTACGCAATCATACAGTATTGGCGAAAAGTCTTGACAGTATTTGCAAGGCATCATCTTACCCATCTATCCAAGATACTCTTAAATCAATCTCACAGCAAGTTTTACAAAATGCAAAATCTGGAGATATCGATGCATGCCATACTCTTCTCAATATACTGTGTAGCGCGTATTGCGCAATGAATAATATAGACACTTCCAAGAAAGTTGAACCACTTGATGGATCGGGGAATTTGGACTTGATGGATCAAGATGAAAGCATGACTATCATGGAACCTCAAATGCTAGAGGTGAAAGCAAGCACCAATATAAGAAGTTTGGATGATGAAACGTATATTTGTGCAGAGCCGACATTTAGACCACTTGTACGATGGATTGTAAACAAAACTATTCAGGTCATTCAATCCAAAACAAAGCCGATTCATTCACTTGCCAATAACCTTGAATCTATTTTAGCCGAATTGAGCAATTCAAGCTGTCTAACGCTGTCTACAAATACATTGAATCTTCTTTGCTCTACTCAAATGTATAGTATATTGACGTTTTCTCTATTTGATTCCACGCCCTTATCAGATAGTCATACACTTGAAATTTTGGGCTCTGGTGTCAATCTTCATGCGGATCTAAAGTTTCTTGAAATATTAATGACAAACGGATACCTGCACTTTCAGCATAGTCTGATGGATTCCCTTCGAGATATCATTTGTGATCAAGCCCCGTTTTACGAATCAATTCACGCCAACATCATTTCAGCCCTGCTGTCAGCAAGTTTACGTCACATCGATATAGCAACTGTCGTCAACCATCTTACACATAATTTTACGGAATACAATCCAGCATTGATTTACCCATATGATCTTGAAGATGCGATGTTGGTATGGGCAAACCAATGCATAGTCTCTGTGCAGAAGCATCAATCATCACCGAGTAAAAGTATTACGACATCAAATGGCACATCCTCCGACATGTCTGACTTGGACGATATTGGAAAAGATACGTTTGATGGTCGTGTAATCTGTCTGATTTTATCCAGATACTACCCAACCCAATTCATGGTACATGAGCATACCGTCAAATGGAAATCCAAGCTTACAACTGCGGATATTGTGCTCAACTGGTCGATTATTTCAAAATTCACGCAGTCTAATTTGGGTATTGACCAGCCACTTCTGATGCCATTAGACATTGAAGCTATTCAGACTCAACGAACAGATTCATCTATGGGTGCAGCCAACTCTTCATTATGCACGTTGTTTGTTTCGCTATTGGTTGACGTGTTCAATGCGTGCACAACACAAAAGTTTGCTGATAAAGTGGAAATAGCGACAACAGTCAAGCGTATATCAATATCTAGAACCAAACTACGTGATCGACCCTCTTTGAAATCTGCTGATTCTGAGTCTGGAGTCAAGGTCGATGTTCGACCGCAGAATAATGCGTTTGATAAAATACAAAGAATGGATTCTGCAGTGAGCAATGTTTTGAATACAAATGATGTAGAACATGTCCCATTCAACGTCTCAAATACTTTGACTGTAATGAGATCAGACGTGCCTACAGTAACAGATCAATTAACTCAAAATACAAAGCTATTTGCAAAAGATAGTGAATCAAGCCAGCTACATGCTTCTCAATCACAACCAAAATCTACATCCCCAAAGATCCGTCCAAAAAAGCCATCAATGCATCTAGTGAAAACAATGCAGCAAAGCAAACTTGAACTTTTAACTGTCAAAAATATTCAAAATGGGTCAAAAGATCAGTCTTTAACATCTCAATCCAAATCATGCAAAGAGCTTCGCACTAGCACACCAATATCCAACTCATTTTTGCCATCAATATACAATCCCATACCACAATCTGACCCATCTACATCTACCACTAGTATGATATCAAAACTTCCCGCGTCAGCAAACTCTACTTCAACATCTTCGAGTTCACATAGACAAAAACTAGACGGGGTGATCCTGCCACCACTTGAACATAGCCATAGCGAAAGTATGGTAGCTAAAAGCAATCCATCATTTTCTCAATTTATTACACCGCAACAGTCAATAATAGATGGGAAAAAGGTGGCAGAAAAGGTATTGGTTGCTGTTCAACAATCAACACCGAGGTTGCCGTCGCGTAATGATGTTCATTTGCCATTCATTGAAACTACTCATAGCTTAGTTGAAAAAGCCCCAAATAGCTCAATCGAAAATGCTGGCAGTGTCTATGAACCAATTCATAAAGTTTCTGGCTCTATCCCGTTAGAGTCTTCAGGCAACATACTCGAGTCTCATGCTACTCATGACGATGCGACAATCAAGTATCTAGCCAAAGATGAAAACAAACAGCAAGGCAAAATTGTCACACAATCACAGCTTTGCGAATTATTGGTTGATGAAGCTGATCAAGAATCGCATTTTACAGACAATCAAGAAGATATCGCAAGCTTGACTATGAGTCAGATGCCAGAGCTCAATCAGTATGACAGCATTTCTCAAGTAGAATATTATCAGCATGCATCCAATCAAAGTGTATATGAGGATAACAACTGTTTTGACAAGCATCAATACGTTCAATCAGATACTGAAGAAATGGACCCAGAATTTGACAATGAATTCAAAAATGGTTCTGAAGATAGACAATCTGAACAAGAAATGAACCAGTACCAAGCAGCACAAATCTCGTCTGCATGCAAAAGGGATTGCATTTCTGATGAATCTAGTTCAAAGCCAAACAAATATACACACCCCTATATAGGACAAACTCCACAAGATCGTTCTGCCCAGTCGATGGCATCATCTACGTATAAGAATGAGCAAGAGTATACAGAGCCTTACGATTCCTTAACTAATATATCCGAATTGAACAAAAAATCAGACAACAAACAGCTCTTGCAAAAAAGTGACCAAAATCCAAATGCTCGCTCGTGTACAACCCCATTTGCTTTTTCACTTGACTCAACAGACACAGTTAAAAAGTCGGTATATGACGATAAAGTTAATTTTGATCAGCCAGAGGCAGTAGGTATAAGTAATGCAGCTGAGCCACCATCATTACACGAGAAGAAGGGAACGGCGATATCAGCTCGTGTAGAAAGCTTTCTACCACAGTCGCAAATGGATGCTAGTCCAAAATATACTAAATCATTTCCACCTTCTACTCCACCTACTAAACTACGTCCAAGAACTGGGCTAAAATCGTTCCCGCTTCTCGAAGCTACTCAACCCGAAGCGAAAACACACGAAAGCGTGACCGATACAATGGTACCTTTTGATCAATCTATTCAAGAGACATCTGAAGAGAAAAATACAGTAGATCATGTAGATGAACTTACAGCTGCTGAAAAATGGGAACGAGTTAAAAAATCCAAAGGTATTTCTAGCAACTCGACAGAACCAGTTCCGGGAAAAACAGAAATGGTACTTGTAGCTGATTCAAATTGGATGACTGATAATGTAACTATTTAAAGTAAACCAATTGTATCTGCTAAACCAAATACAGAAATCAAGTTTGACAAAGCTGGATCAGATTCAAAAGCAAAAGGCTGAGCGAGACCAAATTCGAAAAAAGTTGAAGCAAGAGCGTGAAAAGACACTCGAGGTTGCACGAAAGTATGGTTATTCATTAGCAATCAACATTTACAAAGTTGATTTTCATAGTGTGTGATGGTAACAATCTAGTTACTGATTGTTATATATTGATAGAATACTTATTGCAATTCTTTTAATTTATGGTGGTTGATATAGGGAGCAAGCGGAATTACAACTAAAGCGTATGGAAGAGAAAAGTATGCAGAGACTAACTTCAAAAGTCGCGGATAATGGCACTATTGAAATAAAGCATGCCAGTTCTTTACCATCCGAGATTACTCCAGCAAACCCCAAATCTTGTGGTTCAGCATTTGGCACTTCAAAACATCCAATCAAGAGAGCAATCATCAAAGTACAATCGAATCGAACACTCATCAAGAACGCTCTTATGCATGTGTGCCTAGCTGGCTCAGCAAATGAAAGCACAAAGCAAGAAGTCATGGAGGTAAAATTGATTTGGCAATTAATGCACACATTTGAAATCAATAGAGCAGTAATAAGCATTGCCATTATTTACATGCATATTTTGAATTATTTTTTGGTCAGGACCTTCACGATTCACCTGCTCAGCATTTTGTGATTATATTCAAAGATGTCAACAACTTTTCTTTTCGTGGACTATACTCATGGGACGCAGTGCTTGATCAAACTCTCAAAGTATATGCTGGTGCTTTGGGTAGAAATGTACTAGACCCATCTCAAGTGCTGGAGTTTTACAAGTATGACAGTGGAGCGCGCACATTCAAGCCCGTAGCTACCAAGAGTTTTGGTCGAAGTGTACACGCAGTGGCTGTTGGTCGCGACTTTCTCATGTGAAGCAAGTTTGCTTCAGTCTATAGTAAACCATCAATAAAGCTATTTCATGATTTTAATGCAGAACATCAACAACATTGTTTTAAACAGAATCAAATCAATCACCACCCTAATCCTACTGGCTAGAGTAGCAATGCATCAAAATATTATGTTGATAAAAAGTATAATTATATTGCAATTTGACTACCACTTTGTTATCAAACCAGCTGTAGTAGAGGAGGTTAGCGGCTCAACAGAGTGATATCCAGTATGTAACATCTTTCTTGATTTTTCAGTATCCTCCCCACCAAGCCACTCAGCATAAAGCCGTTTGATCACTGCATTGGTTTCTGGGAGTTCAATAGATTCATCTGCCGATCTATACATGGACTCTGCACGAGAAATCCATTGCTTTCCAGATAAAGTACCATCAGTGGTAAGAGATGAAGCAGAAGCAGTGGATTCTATTAGAGGCGGCTGTGCTGTTGACTGTATCTCTAGATCCAACTCGATTGTGTTCACACTATCTTTTGATTCAAAAGTTTGAGTTTTCTCGCTCTTTAGTTGAGGTTCAGGTTTAAGTTGACCTCCACCATTGATGCATCCAGATGGACATGCCATTACTTCTACATAGTTATATTTTCCAGATGCCAGAGCAGTACTTGAACGGACACGCCTTGGGTTCAGCAAAGTGGTGGCAGGTTTCCCAGGCTTTACTTTTCGTATCAAATTCTGAATATTGCGAAATCCATATGAATATGCAAACCTAAGAGCAGGCTCATCAAACCCGGGAGGAGTAAACAGTACATCAGTAGAGTCTGGATTTCGTCCTGCGACAATGGTGATGCCGTTGGTTCCTTCTTGAATGTCCAATGGTGTGAGATCGACTCCAAACAGTGCTTTTGCCGAAAACCTCATTACATATGCTAGGTATCCACCAGATGATGATCCTTCAGATCTTCCATGCGCTCCAAATCTGCATTGCATAATTTAAGCTTTCAAGCACCATTACAAATAGTAAAGCCAACGAGTATAATAGTGCCATTATAAATACATACATCAAGTCTTCTTCGGTTTCTTGCATAGTAGAAATGTCCAAACCTTCCTCCTGAATCATGCGTTCCACTTCACCAGTGCTAATCACACAATCTACATCTCTTGTTTTATAAATGTCGTTGTAGAAATCTTGTCTCGATGCCTCCAATTTCTTATCATAGCAAGGCATCACTGTGATATGGTATATGCGATCTGGATTTACATTCAACTGATTAGCGTAGTAATCCTTGACCAAGCTACCCATTATTTGTTGTGGAGACTTTGTAGTATCTATTAATGGAAGAATAGCCGAGTGTGTTTTTTCAGCATAGCAGATCCAGCCTGGTTGTATCAAAATATTTTGATGAATCGAGTAAGCTAAACCTACTAACGATCAAACCAGCATATCGATTGCAGTAACAAACTTGAGCAAATACCTGGACATGCACTGGTAATCATGGGCATATGCTGCAGCAGGGAAGTGTCTGAACGTGCTTTGTACCTGCGAACAAATTCATGTGCACTTTCTAACAAAGCAAAATCTCTCGAGAAGGCAGTATCCAACACATGGTCCATCTTAAAATGATCTTTGAAAAACCAAGTTAATCGCCGCCGAATCTGCAATGTTATAATTATTAACAAAGATTGACTTTAGTAATTGATATGTCAATATTGTGTAATCAAAGATATATACCTGCCGAGTGGTGAGGTTGTATTTAGCTGCTAATGATGCCCTAGATTGTGGACAAATGGAAATGCATATTTGAGCTCGCTGATCCTTGGCTAAAGCAGAGTTTGCTTCAATCGTATTATAAATCTCCTTGTGGCTTTGTTGAGTAATCAAAATAGCTTCAGCAGATGTGACACATCCACTAAAAGCAAGTGTGAGTGTCGTAGCTGTATTTTAATCTCGAATGAGTTTTATATAGCGGATGAATACCTGCACGAGAGGCAGTCGGTCAATGAGATTGCAGCCGCTTCAAGTTTTGTCTGAGTTCCTTCTTTGGTTACTTCGTAATAATTACCGAGAGAGTCTGATTGAACCTAGTACATATCATAATGTCGATTGTCAGTTTAATTCATTCCAACTGATGCGATGATTGAATTCAATTCGACCAATACATACAGTTGATATGGATTTTGAATCAGCTACTGTTTTGATGAGAGTAGGCTTAATGCAAGCCTGCGATGGAGTAATAAAATCATTGAGGTCAGTGAGCACAATGGCGGATGAAAACGACATTTTTGATATCAAAATCAGCAATTCAATGCGAGAATCAGTTTTAGTTATTTCCATCTCACGGGACATCACGTTATGGATAAACTCGATTTAATATTCAGTTGGACTGTCGATGCGTATCTGCATTAGGCTTCAAGCCATTATGTCGCATTCATGTTTACCGTTTATTCGACAAATGTTGTTTTGTATGTACTTGTTCACTAGTGTGGTCATCACAGAGTCTCTAGCCTCGTCAATCCTGGATGGAATATCCATCACCAACTCCATTGTAGCTTATGGTGAAATAAACCAAAGTGCTGACTTGCATCTGACTGTCGAAAATACTAAAACTATTATCTTGCATTCAGAATTTACCATGGATTCATGGTGCTCCACAATTGTATGTAAAGCTTGCATTCCACTACTGTCTAGATCTACCAATAGTTTTGCTGTTGTTCACATTTATCATTCAATGCATATTAGCCTAGCTGTAGTGGGCTATGTTTAAACCTAAATCAAGAAAACATTACCAGAATCGATTTGTCAATTGACCGACAGACTGTTTTGCCTTACATGGAATTCTTAGTGGTTGGATCGCATTCCTTGCATGATCAATCTATACTTTTAACATTGCGTGACACATTAATGCATGTTCTTGGATCTGGATCGGAAAACTGCCCTCCGAGTCATCATAGGACTGATGAAACCATGGCACAGTACAATATTTCTCAAAACTCGCATATCATTCTCCATAAATTCACTCAACCATCAGTAGATTTTTCACCTCTAAATGCGTTGGATGAATATTGGTCAAGTCGGTTATCAAATTTAGGCTGTTCAGTACCACTTTTACCCATCAGCCAAGTAAACATTCAAATAACTCCTAATGTGTTGGATCAAACTGCCCGCATTCGTATTGAATCTATGACGTCTTCAACTACAAATAAGCTACAATGTTCTAGGATTCAAGCTACGACAGACTACCAACATACTAAGCTTACAGTAAAAACTATTTTGAAAAAAACTATTGTAGATCTTCCTTTGATTCATGCCAAAACTGGCCAGGTTGATTCTATCAAGACTATAGACAATGTACTGGATTATTCTTTTCAAAATGCAACAACTCCAGTGCATATCACTACAACTATAGAGCCTGTAGTTGGCTACCATTCAAAACTCCTTATTTTTGTTTCCAATCCAAATGTATTGGTTTGTACAGCATCGAATAACTATGAAGATGCGTACATGGATTTGGCCGTTGCATTCCACCTTTCCAAAAACGCCTTCATAGATCGGTTTGAAGTTGGACGCATTGACTTTGGACAAAAAGTTCAAATAAGCGTGTTTGGTAATGCTGATTTAGAAGTTCCCGCAAATGACCCTGCTGCTCAGGAAAATATTGCATTACTACGAATTCGAAAAATGTAGGTGTTATGATAAACTTGAAGTCTGACTAGATTGCCCTTTTCAACAATTCTACTACATGATGTATTTAGGTGTAATGAAAAAGAAGAAACTCGTATTGAGATTCCATTTCATTTGAGATATCAACCGCCAACATCAACGAATGCTACATATGCGCAAATTGCAGTGAATCTACCTGTAGCCATGCTTTTGAGCAATGCATCTGGTATGCGTGTTTTATGCGTCGTGTTTTTGAAAATGTAAATCGAAATCTAACGACTTGTGGTTAGAAGTTTTAGATAAAAATTCATATGATTACTCTAAGCAAGCCCATCGACATCAAGCACTTGTACAACTGTTACTTTTAGATACAGGACTACAAATACAAAGATTCCTTGATATTGATTCACTTGAACAAGTCGTGTTTTTTCAAATTCCACTTGGACGAAACGACGACTACATTATGGTGTACTTTGGAAATATATTTGTGGTTCTAGCAGGCACAATCTCGACTGTGTGGACATTGGTCAAATACTGCAAACCTGCTGTTCAAAAGCTAAAAACTGAATAGCTAGTATGTTGCTTTTTTATCAAACCGTGCTTCAAAAGTGGTGTATTTGAATCAAGATGCTTATGGCATGTCGATGGTATTTATCAAACTGGATTCTAATATGAGTATGTCACTATATACATTTGCATACTCGGTTTAGAGCTGTATTAATGCAAAATGGGGCACCTGTATTTATCTTGAATTGACTATTTTGCTCTGGAATAAACAATGACTAAATAGTTGTTTACTTTGCACTGCTTCAATCGTTTTGCTCTGGAGTTTCTCGGCACGAAATCATTGTTCATTTGTAGATCAATTTTATATCTCCTTGCTTTTTTATGGTAGTTTTAAGATGCAAAACTTTTTCGAAGAAACAACAGTTGTTGTATTATTGGCACACATTTAATTGTACTGATTTCAGAAAAACATGCCTAAAATATTAAGCATCATTAGCTTATCGAATAGCACTAAATAGCATACAGCTATTAAACTCGGCTGTAATCTATTCAGCCATATTTAAACAATAAAACTTACATAGACTTGATCTGCTGTCTGTGCCTCCATAATTTGTTTACGACGATGATAAACTAGAGCAACTGCAGTCAACGGAATCAATTCCAAAGAATCAAATGCAATTACTCTGTCCCAAAGTAACAACACCTGTTCACAGTCCAAAATACCCACAAATCCGTATAGTATCCATTTAAACACGAGATTCAATGGAGATAGTTGCAGAGACGATGAGAGATGATAAAATACTACTGCGTCTGCTTGTTTCATCAAGACTTCAAAAGTAAGGCACAGATGTAGCAATGTTTCAGGCTTGGAAGAAATACAATGCAAACGAGAAAAATATCTATAGTTTAAACAAAACATTCAAATCAGGACATGTTGGTAAAAGCGACTGTTACTAATAGAACTCATTTGATTATAGATCAACATAGCGTATTGTGCACGCTATGCGGCTATATGAGATTCAATCATGCTTACCTAGCATAAAGTTCACGAAAGGTCAGATATGCATGTCCGGGATCTGCATAGACAAAACAGATTGGCATAGCATACAATGATATTCCAGAGATTGGATAGATCCCATTTTGTGGATAGTCTACATTTTGAAATTTTCGTTTGGCTAAAACAAAGCAGCAATACAATCAATTAGCAGCCCAATTTTGTATCAAAAAAGTATATTCAAAAACGTGTTTAGCTGTACCTGCTATGCATGACTCATGGATGCAATCAAAAATCTTTGGCATGGAGTGTGCACTTTGTTCTAATTTATAGTCATTTTGTAAACTATCAACTGATTTAAACACTCTATTTTGAGAAGCAGCTGTGTTTGTCGCAATGGCTGTTGAAAGCCATTCATCTCGTGTCCAAAGCAAAAGAATTTGGCACACCATGTCTTCAAATACAAAGTACGAATTGTCATTTGCAGAGTGTTTAGAGTCAAGTTGGATTAGTTTGTCTACTAATAAGTCATAATGCAATAGCTTATTTCTCAATCCTTTATATACACGACTAACCTGGTGTCATATTATAAAAAATCGATGTCAAAAGTAAATATGCTGCCAAGAAATTACAGAAATCTATCATGCAAGCAAAAATGCAAACTCACATGCAACGAGTATGATTCCGAAGCATTGCACTGGATCATCAGATTCCACAACTGTGGTCGTAGGTTTGGCGGTATACCATGTTTGGCATACTGTTGTGCTACTAGGCAAGATTGCGAGGCTATGGCAATTTGACCGATTTCAATGTGAGATGACAAAAAACTTTCTTTCCTGCTTGATGCTGCTTCAGCAATATCATCTACTCCAACGTGTTTGAATTTTGGATGCAACTCATGAAACTTTGACTGCATATCCTCTAAACTACATGTGGGCATATGCACATTTAAAGCAGACCAAATTTTTGTTGTGCTTTGACCATTGATCGATTGCATAAAGTGTAGATTATTTCTGTAAATGATTTGATTGACATTAAAAAGCAGTTTTTAAGCCAAAAGTATAAACATACCTGCTGTTACAAAATGCCAAGCCATCGGATTTGATGGACTTTAGAATTTTGAGCAAGTCTTCATCATCATACAGACATGTTTTTGAGGTATTCTGATTCCACCCTTTTGAGGGAAAGCAATCTGTCTGTGTAAACATATCTGATACATTCATTGAAGATTCACCATCATGCTGTTTTTCATACGCGGCCTTTTCCAGTGGTGTTCTCTAAAATCAAACAGTAGTTAACCTTTGTGTCCTACTTTTGGATTGTGACTATCAATACTATATGGTTTGTGTAACAAACAAATCTAAATTACCTCTCTGGTCAAAGGTAGATTGAGTTCAGTGGACATAGAATTTAATCGTCGTTTGATTAAACGATCCAATTCTATTCGGGCGGTCTGAACCTGATCTTCTAATGTCCGCATATTATTTCTAGAAAACCCAATCATGATAGATTAAGTGTTTGAATAGTTTCCCTCATTTAATCCAATGATCAGAAAAGAGTTTTGTAAATAGACGTACGCTGAAGCTGAATTGGGAAGCTGTACACTTGAATCGACACGTCTTGCAGTATGTCTTTGATGCCATATAGTGGTATAGTTTTCAACACTTGCTCGAAATCCAGCGTACTCATTAAAGGACTTGGTAGCCAGTATCTCCAATTCTTGCGGTGTAACTGCATTCTTGACCAAACTATCCTAAATGTTCATACAGTAATAATTTGAGAGTTTAAAACTGGCTTTGTTGAGTGTTTTCATCCCTTTTAGCTGTATTCCACGAATACATCAAGCACTACAGGATGAAATACCGTACCATCAAACGCTTCTTTTCTATCCAAAACGAAGAAGTAGCTTGGATACGTGTAGCATATATCTGAGATAAAGTCTCCAACTCTATCATTTGCGTATTGATATGAGTATTTGCTCATAGTGCTATAGATCCAGTTTAAATCCAATGCAAAGATAAAAACTTACCTGATGGAGATTGCTTTACCAGACCCATTAATGCAATTGCTGTAAGATAGATATGAATTGTGATAGTAAATGTATATGCTTTAACTTTTTATTGATATTACAATGTATCAAAAGTCCGCTATTTGCAGCTGTATTCACGTAAAATGAAACACTAAACTACACGATAAACAGTCATGTTTGATGAAAATCTTACTGGATATCATTTTGCTCTTGGAATCGTCGTGTAGAACCAGTTTTTGGTGGGTTTATCATTCAAAACATGCCTTTTTACGTATAAATTCATTTTCATGTCAGCACTTTCTATAATATTGTCATGAAAATCAATATATCAAATCATTATTGATGGTCTAGCAATCCTGTAGTCATCAGCACTTGGACAACGAGGCGTTGCAAGCGCACTTGTGGACCTTGTCAAGTGTCTCGGCCAACAGTGTCAATGATATTGAAAATAATACTACAGAAACCAACTCATGAGTGACAGACAGATTGGCAACAAGGGATGTTTCCAGGTTTTATTGACAATATCTGGATTGTAATAAGTGAATCTGGTGATCGTACAATATATGACTATGCAAACAAAGGAGAGAGTGCAAGATCTAAACAAAATAGTTCAAAGTTATAGTTTGGTTGTGTGTCATACGGTCGGTGTGTCTGGAGATTGATCAAAGGAACTGTCAAGACCATAATATGTCAAGACTTTCTAAACGACGACATGAAACATTTCCAAACACGCATATTATTTCAGACAACATTCTATTCCACAAAGCAACTGTCTGATTAGACATGGTTTGTCAACCATTCAACAAATGTCGCGCAGATTGGAGTTCCATATTGTCGATTCTTGAATCCTGCATAAAATGACTCGAGTATAATAAATAATGGGTTTGTTGGTCAAACAATTCCAAACACCGACAAACTGAGAATGCTTATTCAAGCCAATCTGTAGTGTAAAAGCAACAAACAGTCAACCATTGTATACTGCAAACAACAATAAATTCAAGTTCCGTTTTACGTGATGTAGCTGTAAAATTTATACACATGACTTGAAATTTAGCACTGTGTGAATTGTTATCATTGTGAGCTCACAGCATAAAATGGCTTGATGATAATATTCAAGGCTCTTCCGAATTGTTAAATAGGCATAATTTTGGCACCCTTGGATTATAAAATGGTGTGCTGATATAATAATAAGCTCGGGTTTCATTTGACAGGTTGAGGGTTCAAAGTGTCAAGCCCGCAAGATCGCAGCATATAAGCCCATCACATTTTAGTAAGAAGCAACATATTACCCTGATAATTAATCTATAATCCTCTTAAATTATAATTCTATCTATTCAATTCGACAAGATCATGCCGGTCTGCAACTCACTCTCCACCGTATCTAATACAAACTCGGAAGCAACTTTACACCACATGGCACTAGTAAAACACAACTTGAAAGAATTGCCTCCACTTCCAAAACATGAATTACCAGCAATCTTAGAAGCCGTCTTGCTGCCAGAACCTATTAGTGATTCGATTCCCAATAGAATCCATGAAAACGCATATACCAACCAATTTCCATCTCCGCGACATACAATCAACAGTTCAGCCATGCTACCAGATCCAACCCAGTTTAAAACAGAGTCTATTCCATATAAAGCCAATGATCAATACCAGGAGCTAGAACAGCAAAAATCAGTTGCTTTTGAGCCTTTATTTCCAGCTGATGGGTTTGAATGCGCCGTGACGGAATTACTGACATCCGCTCCATATGATCGTGATAAGATTCTTTCGCATCACTTTGGTATGGTGTTGGCGCTAATGCGGTCAAAGTGAATACTGATTCTTGGAATGAATTGATTTATACCACGTCAATAGACTTATGTAATAGTGGGGGGAAATGAACCAATCAAGAAATACACAAAATAGCAAAATGTATAGCATTTTTAAAGTCATGCATAAAGTAGATTAGTATGTCGTATTGAAATGATAGTTTATTTTACAGCCGTTTGTTGTTTTCCTACTACACATTGGGTTGAATAGAATTATCAGTTCTTCCAACACAATACCCACCATATGATGTTTACGATCAAACTATCACATTTTCTTATTTGGTATAGCCATACATTGCACAACCACCAAACTCACTCATTGAGATTCATGTATTGGGTTCAACTGTTTTCAATAAAACTCTACAAACTCGTTGTATTCTACAGTCGTATTCGCGTTCTAATTCAAAAAAACAATGAATGCAATTGTTGCTTCCGTGTCGGTCACCGAAAACTCCTCAATGAACCAAAAGTTTAAAGGAAACAATATTGTTTAGTGAATTTGGTAGTGTCGATCATTTCATAGAACTGGCTGTTCATTCTGCAATAACATCACTAATGACATATTCTACGTGAATACAGCCATAAATGTGATAATGAATACAGTTTGAATCTTGACCAATTCCAATACAAAATGGCGGGTATGCTAACTTTAACAGAGCGACGAAACATTGAACGAGCTGCTGGAGATGAGGTATGCATATTTAGCCATGAGTTGTCTAGTTTTAATGGTGCATCCGCTTGGAACTTTGTTCATATGCGCCATGTATGGATTTGGCCATAACAACTAGAATGCATATTGAATGAATGTCGGTGTAAACCTTTACTATATCAGGTTGTCAGTGCTACTGTTGCACGACTGTACAAGGCTGAAGGCAATGCGAGAGACTATTCATACAGCGGCCTTGTTGGAGCAATTATTCTATTACGTCTAACTAATGGATCGTGGTTCTTTAAGCTGGTCGATGTCACTGTATGTATTTTGAATTCATATCATCTACAATTGTATTGTATATGGTTTTTGTAATGTAACTTGACATAAATCTGATTATGGCTTGATATAGAGTGGTCGGATTCTTTGGGAACAGGACATTAACAGAGATATTAAGTACCAACCAGAACGACCTTTTTTTCATTCATTTCTTGGAGCAGTGAGTGAATCTGCTTTATGCATTATCTGGGATAATACAAATTAAAATGACTGGACATATATTCAACACTGACCATCTATCGGACTCATGGTATAGAATTGCATGATTGGGTTTTCGTTTGCAGATGAGTCCGAGGCTGCCAATTTTTATGATAAGCTATCTCGTAAAGATTCGTATGTTTCTCAGATCCAAGCCCAAAACTACAATACAGCCGCACAACCTGTATTGCCTACAGTTGCTTCAATTCCTTCCACTCCCCAGCCTGGCCTGGTAAAAAGTAACAGCAGCGATTCAATCAACTCTAAAAAGGCAAAAGCAAAATCATCTGGTGGTATTTTATCTGGCCGACCCAAATCCAAAAAAGACAGCAAGGACTCTAAAAAGGGAAAGATTGACAAGAGCATGATTTCTGCTCCTACCAACTTTGAGTATGCATTAGGTCTTGATATGAATTGGAATGCGCAAAGCTCTGATTACTGTTTTAATCTGATTTATCTATAACTGATATTTGTGTGCATGTAAAAAGGCATGTCAGTCACGTTGGATACAATCCCAAAACCGGCTTCAGTGTAAGTAATTGTGTTGCTTTAGTATTGACTGATGGCTATTGTACGTGTGGTTTGAAACTAAATCTAGTTGTATTCTTGTCATGTAACTAGGCTCAAAACATTCCTATGGAATGGAAAATTATTTTTCAAAAAGCTGGCATTACCGAGGAACAGTTACAAGATAAAAAGACTGCAAAGGCAGTTGCCAAGTTTATGAAGCAACACGCTGGTGAGGTTGGTAAGCCGGCAGCAGCTCCTCCAGCCATTCCTGGAACTACTCCAAATGCTATATTGCCTGCTTCATCTGGTATGTCATTTTTAGTAATGAAGCATGAATATTTTACATTTAACCAACTTTACTGCCTTGGCTAGTTTCTCGTGCACCACCACCGCCGCCTCCATCTCGCGGTACTCTTCGGGCACCACCACCCCCTCCACCAGGACGAGGTAGATATTGGTGCTACTTTTCAAAAAGCATAAATGTTTTGAATTTTATACCACTGAATAGTAATAAACCGTGGACCAAACGTGTTTTTATGATCCACTATAATTAGCTGTCGTGGCACAACAACAAGCTCCACCACCTCCTCCCCCATTGCAGGTATACGAAAAAAAGCAGACTGCTGCACCCCTTTCTCTACCGACTCGAGCACCACCTTCTCTACCGTCGAGAAGCCCACCTGCCATTCCACCTCGAGATGATATTGTATCGCCACATGTGCCAACAAGTTATTCACCTGGGGGTCAGTCAGGACCTCCGCCACCTCCACCTCCACCACCAGTTGGATTTGTGGGTAATGCACCTTTGCCCATTGCCAGCTCTAATGCTCGTCCAGTTCCAACTCCAGCTGCGCGCCACGTACCATCACAATCTGCTGGGGCATCTGCCAATACTGGTCTTTTTGATTCTATTCGTCAAGGTATCCAGCTAAAACACGCACCTCAAGAAGCGCCAGCTGCAAGTACTCCTGCAGCTGCACCTGATACAAGTGACGATTTGGCTGGAGCACTTCGGTTTGCTCTTGAAAAACGAATTCAAGCGGTTGCTGGATCTGGTAGGTTGCTGTTTCATTACACCATTTTGAAATGGATTTTCTTTTTGAACTAAACTGTTGATTATTTGATTAATGATGTGACACACGCTGAATGATACGCATACTTTCTAATCCTGCAGATTCGGACGATGACAGTGACGACAATGATAATGAGTGGTGATGATTATATACAGCAATCCTATGCGTTGGTTTTGAAAATGGTTTGTTGATAAGATGTTATAAAGAATACAGCAGATTGTTGAAAATAAAACTGATTTATTTTCAAATTTGTTTGACATGCTTGCCTCACTCGAGTGCAGATTTTGATTTGCTCATTAGCGAATAACCTTGTCCATGGCGCATATAAGTCTAGTAAGATCACATTTGATACCAGATGCAAAGCGTAGTATTTGATCTTTGTTATCCAACAGCTCAATGGTCTCCGTCAAAGCATTATGGTGCGCAATAAATGGACGATCCAGCCCAGCAGTATACTCACTAAATAGTCAATTCAAAATTATAAGGTTGAATCGAAAAAATATATTGGCGATTCTGGATAAATCAGTGTAGACAAGCCATACATCAATCACTTTACTTACCGCACATCGTTCTTCATTTGCAAGAAGCTTTCTGCAACAAAATATACTGGCTGATACTCGGTGATACTAAAACGTGGCATGATGTTATATTCATACTCTGCAATCTAATGACAAAGTGAGAGCATTTTACTTACGGATATTTCTGAACACCCATTACTTCACAATCAAATGGTAATAGTTTAGGTTTTCCTGATATAGAATACTAGTAGTAAGGCATGCATGTCAGCAAAAATATTGATACAAGACAACACTAGGCAGTCTAGGTCATCATGAAAATGACATCAAGTCAGCTATACTCACCTCGAGTTCACCAAAACTAGACAAAAGACCAGCACCATAAGCCTTGAGTTTACCATTCTGGCGACAAAGACCAAATTCAACTATACAAATTGAAAGTAACACGTTTATGTGAGCTGCATGTAAGATCTGCAATGTGCGTTTATGTTAAATATAAAAGTTCAAATGATAAGTGTAATGTACCAGTGAACCAGTAGATCTTGAGTAAAAAGCAGCGCCAAAGTACAGTAAATAAATTAGTCATGAAAATATAAGCAAACGCAAAGTCAGAATTTCCTTGAATAGAGTTACTCACCGTGGCGAGTTTTTGCAGATCATCATCAGATGCTCCTAAAGATGCAAGACCGATTTCCTAAACGCCAGAGTTAGTACACGTTTAAAAATCATATCCGCATAAAACACATTTACTTACCTGGGAAAACGCAGCAAAATCTACGTCCGCATATAGCGGAACGTGACCAAGAAGCTCATGGCAAATATCTGGTTCTGGTGTATAGAATGGAGCAGTGTGATGACGAATGTATTGGGTACTATGAAACACACGGAATGCAAGAGCATTCAAAAAATCACGGGATGAAAGCAGTCCCATGACAGGACGCATAGTCCATCCAGTGCAATCTGAAACCCCGATAATTAAAAAGGTTGGTAAAGCATTTCAGGCATAAACAAAACAGCTTCAACAATCATAGAAAGCTAAAAACAAAAGTATTGCATACCCTTCAAAAACCGAGAGATGTCGGCCATTTGAGGTATGTTATTATTACTGTATCCGCAGTTTTGGACCAAGAGCTGCAAATATAGTTATTTGACAGTGTTGTGGGTTAGTATATGACCAAAAATACCATTCTAATAAATTAAACATAGTAGCATGGTAAATGTGGCATACAGGGAAAATGTACTGGTGTTCCTGACAAGCGTGTGTTTTATAGAGATCCATCAGCTTGTCGAATACAATTCCCCTAATTGAACAAGAGTTGATGTAGAGATAAAGTGTCAGCACTTATTGATTAAAGGCATGGCAGATTAGATAAATTTACCATGTTTTGACTTCTTGTTCAGTGTAATTCACATGAGGCAGTGGCTGTCCGCTGTTCAATGAGGTTAAAAACAATTCATAATAATAAATACTGGTTAGTTTTGATAAGACGACAAATTTAAACAATGCATCATGTCACGACTAACTGCTTGTGTTTCTTGGCAGAATCTGTAATGGCTGAACGGCGCTCACGATATACTGGATCAGTAAATCCTGGATGGTCTGCATCAAGTTCCTAATTTTGCAGATCGTTAGATATTGGAATCAAATGCACGGTATCACAGCAAATCTACCAGCATAGCCATGCTAATATTAACAATACAAGCATATTGCACTATTTACCTCGCCATATGAAAGGACACGTTCAGCAAAAGAATCGAGATCAGCAATTTTTCGTGGAAACCATGGAACGGCACCATCAAGTGAATCTAGTATATACAGATAGAATCGATTTATAACAAAGCCAAAATACAATTGAGATTTTGAATGAAATTATTTGATCACACATGATGAAGCATACCAACGCCAGATCTTCCAGAACTGACCACCTTGACAGATTTGGCCAGCTGAGAAATGCTATTCACAGCTGCTGCAATGTGGGAATCGTCCTCTGCCATAAAATCAACGTAAAAATCATAGTCGCCTTTAGTCTTGCTTGGACGGGATTCAATTCGAGTCAATGAGATACGGACTTGACGAAGACGAGCAAGAATGCCATCAAGCGCATCACTTGAATCCGTGACGGTGAAACTAATTACAGTCATGTTCACGTGGAATGCAACATTAGATAAGGGTGTCAAAACACATAATAAGCAGCATTTCATGAAATGATTGACATCAGTTTTCATCACATTGTTTAATTGGTATGGAAACAACAATTGCATTTCTGAATAAGCAATTTTTGTTTTTTGAACTAGAATGTATCTGATATTAGAACACAACCAAATGAGTTTGTACAGAGTTTGACAGACAACAATCAAAACCAATATATGGGTTACAATGTATGAATCTGGTTTCAAATTTGGAAATCATACAATGCATGGCTATAGCAAATGTGGATAATCTCATTTTAAAACTATAGCCTGCCATGTGATGGAAGTTGTTTAATTGTGAATGTCTATTCAGGCCAATTACTAATAGGAAAGTAGAGCGAATATTCACCATTACTTATTTCAAAGTCATCATTGCGAGATAAATACAAGTGTTTCGTTTACACGGGCACGGTTGTAAATGAAAACTAGACAGCACAGAAATATAATGAAGATTGTAAAGATGCTTAAAAGCATTACAAGCTACAGGAAATGGACCATCAATCACAAAACGGCCAAAGCTTAGCAGGGCCCCATAGGGTATAGATTATACTGGGTGATGGCATTGAACATTTAAAAATAGATGACGAAAATAGCCGAGATACTCACTAAATACTGCAAGGTTTTGACGTAGCAGTGGTAGAGGTGGACAATGCTCTTTCAGCCGAGACAGAAAACCGATTGGCACCAAGAAAGGCTTTGCGTCCAGCAGTGAATCTGGCAGATTGAATCAGTGGCATAAAGGTGGTGGCAATGTTGGTGAATCCGACATTGGAAGTAGAGGTGATGGAGCGACTAAGATGAGCAGAAGAAGCCAAAAAAGATTGGGCATTAGATACCCTAGAGCAATAGATTGCAGCAGAGCGACGCAGCATTATGGCAGTAGATGAAATTATCAAGTTTTACGGATTGCAACTTTAAATCAAAACTTGGTTTAAATAGCATTTCCTGTCAGTCCAACTCATCACTTTCCTCTCAAGTCACGTTTACTTGTTGATACGGCCAGTGAACAAAATATATGGAATACAACCCTAATCTACTATCTCATCAAAAGCAAAGATAGTCAAGTGACCTGAATCGCAAATAAGTACAATGCTCTATATCTTTGTCTGCTTATTATTATTGAAACCAATGGGGTCTAAATCAAGGGCTGTTTATAAAGCCAATCCATTTTAATCCACATTACTTTATTATAAACAGCTGTCAACTTTTGATGGCAAATGTCAAAAACAATTACCATGTAGATTTTATCAATATGATGTTATACATTATTTTGCGAATTGTGCAATGATAGTGTAGTGGTTAACATCCGCGCCTTCCAAGCGCGTGGCCCGGGTTCGATCCCCGGTCATTGCATTTTGCTTTTGACAAGATACACATTTATAGCCGTATTCATGTAAAATGAAACACTTGTAATGACTTTATTTTGCTCCAGAATAAACAATCGTTGCATATTCGTTGTTATTGGAAATGGATTGCTTTTTCTATTGAAACTCTATCCTAATATCAGATACGTTCGCGATCTAGTTTAACATATCTCAGAAATGCAACTATACATGCCAGTCACCCAATATTCACTTGAAATGTTCGTTTTAGAGGAGAGGAAAATTGAAAAGATGTCAGGGATGTGGAATATATTGGAACAGAAATGTAAAGATTCGTTTGTATTTTTGTACAAGAATGAGCATGAAGATCAATAAACTAAAAAAGTTCACAAACAATATTGTATAAGATTAGCACCAATCATTCAATATCATGATGTTTGGATAAAAGAGTTGAAGATTGAACAAATATGAATATTCATTTAGTTGTGTTCATGCAATCACTTTATGCCATAATATTGTCCAGTGAATGTGAATTATTATTTCATAAAACTGTTTATGCACTCTCTCATTTAGTATTACATTTTACGTGAATACGGCGGTAATTGAGAACCAAAATGACGATGGACTTGCAGGCAAACCCCAGAGGAATTCCTCAAGCTCCGTTTGTGGTATGACTATTTCCATTGCATCTACCTTATACTGTGTTTTTGAAAAGAGCACTTTATTCTTTTATACTCTTGATTTGTTCTAGATCCAATCCATATGAGCAACTGGAACTACCCAAGGATCCTGTACAACCCAAACCTTAACATACCACTTGTTTTGTGGTGCTATTGACATAAGACTCTTTATCATCATATAAGAGGTTTAGGATGATATGTGCCAAACCCATCACTCTTTAGTGGTTGACTGCTTTCAGATATATCAAAGTGTGTTGTATCACTGCAACTGGGTTTTGCTAATGAGTAGCATTATTTAATATAGGACGATGTTGCCAAGTTTGTGGCTGATGGTGACTATGAAGGTACTCTTCGTAAGTTTCAGGAAATGATTAGCAAGTATCGATTCATGGAGACACATCTGCTGCAACGAAAAAAGAGTCTAGAGTCCAAGATCCCTGAGATCAGAAAAACTCATGAGATGGTTGTGTTTCTCCAAGCCAAAAAGGCAGGTTTTATCTTCCATTATGCTTTGTCCGATTGCACCGGCGATCATATACTTTGCATTGACTGACAAGCCAATATATTGTCGGATTACAAATATCTGAAACGCTTTGTATGACTGCAACTTTTTCAAACCAATAGGAATCGGATGAGCCTATCGAAGCAGATTTTGAACTTGCAGAAACGCTATGGACCAAGGCTCGTATCCCAGCTACTGAAACTGTCAATCTATGGCTTGGTGTGAGTTGGTTTCCCTATCTACTGACTCGTTTCTTTTAAGTTTAATTATATATCTGAATCCAAACAGTCGGGTTGGATGCTCAAGTGTGTTTATAACTGACTGAATCTATATTTAGGCAAACGTGATGCTCCAATATACTGTTGAAGAGGCAAAAGATCTTCTTTCAAGCAAACTAAAAAGTGCAACTTTATCTCTGAAGCAGGTGGATGAAGATTTGGAGTTTCTTAAGGAGCAGATCACGACCATGGAAGTGAATATGGCACGAGTGTACAATGATGATGTGCGTCGCCGCAGATCAATCCAAGAGCCTGTATCAGCAAAATAACAGTGGCAATTGTTGTCATTCCGGCTGGACATATGCATTCGTTATCCACCTTTATAAAGATATTGTGAACTTTGGCTAATTGGATACTTTAATTAAATTGTCTTCCCAGAGGTTACTCAAGATTGGCTTTGATTTGACATCTTTTATAGTTTGCAGAACAGTCGAGATCATATCAGTTGAAATGGCTTCTACTGTACGGTTTGCATCCACAAACTATAGTCCCTTGCAGATATGAGTGATTTGAATTAGAAAAAGCAATTTTACCTAAACATACTATTTAAAATCAATGCATTCAACTTGCCTTCCAGCTATCATCTGCAATCTGGTAAAAGTTGCGACGAACTGCAGCCTGAAATTCGATAGTTTCATATCGCTCAGATCCATATTCTGCTCGTGCAGCAGCAATTTTAGGATCCAAGTCCAAATATAAAACCAAGTCTGGTTTCAACAAACCCATATCTGGACGTTTACACCATTCCAAGTCTATGCCCTAATATTTTAATTAAAGGACAGTTTAATAAAAGTCATAAGCATGCAGATCTGGTGAATCGATTCAAAGAGACATTGGCATGGTAATACAATGCAGCGCTACATCAACACACCTTTGCAGCAGTATATGCAGCACCGGAAAATGCATATCTGTCGACAACAATGGTTATACCTTGATCAATTAGCGATTTGATATGTCCCCTAAAATGATGTGATTCGGACAGTATTCAACAATATAATTCAACTCAGCAGCTTAAATGAGTAAATAGTTTCATTAATATCCAGCAATGTGTCTTACATGCTCTCCCATCTATTTGCAGAAAACAAGAGATGTATAGCATGATCGTCAACTTCCTTAGTACCCCTAAGATATTGATCAATCAGTACTCCAGTATCCAGAGTTCGATCTGTATCAAGCATAACCCAATAAGTCCAACCATACAAGAATAAAGTGGATAGAATGCATGTTAGTGTATTTGATTAGAAGGGATCGCAGCAGTGATGTGGATTGGTGGTTGCTATTGTTTTTAAAATAAACCCAATGTTACCAGGAAACTTGTGGGCCATGACATTGAAGCCAGCAGCACACAGATGGCTAACTAGCACAGAACATTGAGAAGTCTTTCCACAGCGGTCACCGCCCTCTACAACAATAAGAGCGCCTCTTGATGCTGTAGTATTCGAATCAGACAGTATCATTCTATCAATTACTGCTATATTCACGTAAAATAAAACACTAAATAGGAGAGTCGAAATGCATAACAGTTTTAATCACGTTTACTGGACACTATTATGACATGGAGTGAACAGTTGTATCCTCGAGACTATTCTCTTGAGCATGTCCGAGTTTACAATACAACAGAGATGAGTTTGACCGTCCAATATGTGATATTAAACTTGACGATCGTACAATCAAGATAATGTTTTATTTTGTAATACGCCATGATGGTCATCAGTCTGTCTTGACCATCATGGCGTCATGTGGGCAAGTTGGATGGGCGAAATGAATTCTACCAATTCAAGCAAACATGCAACAACCATTACAGCAACCATTGCAACAGCAACAACCATTACAACAACCACTACAGCAGCAACCACTACAACAGCAACCATTGCAACAGCCACTTTCAGTTGCAAACTTTGCTCAGACACAGCTCCCTTTGCAGCAGCAGCTACACACTAGAAAATTATTGCCATCATTGGTCACCAACAGACTTGGTACTAGACAGGGAAGCTCTACTATGGGTGATATGAGTCGCACTGGGAGAGGATCAAGAACTTTTATTCCCTCCACTCATAGTGAATCAAACCTATCTTCTGCTTCCAGTTCCGTTACTACCAATAATAATGCTGGATCATCGTTTTATCCCAATCGATTGATGCACAATCAAACCAAATTATGGAAACCCAATAGTGCAAGTTCATCCAGCTTACCTATAGGATCTTCCTCTAATGAGGTTAATGGTCCATATGCTGCTGATTGCATATCATCCAATTCTTCTCTTGAATCATCTCATCGGTTTGTTACTGGTGCTCCTACTCGGGACCACTGGAAGGTAATCATTTCTATAATTCAGGTTGTTATTGTCTGCTCCACAGGAGTATTGCATCTAAATGATTTTATATCCATTCATGTGTTGCTTTATAGCCCGATTCAGATGCACCTGAATGTTCTCTTTGCGGACAGCGATTCTCATTCCTTATTCGTAGACATCATTGCAGACGATGTGGCGATGTTTTATGCTCAAGCTGTTGTAATGTAAGATGAAATGGTGCTTCATTTAGCATAGGTTACTTTGTGACCTAGAGTCAGATTTAGACTTGCAAATCTGACCATGTTTTTTGGAACATTACATCTAAAGGCGACAGTCCGACTTGATCAAAATGCAGCATTTCATCCAGCTGGCATGACATGCCGTGTATGCGAGCCATGTTTTAAAGAGTTTCAAAGTTGTCTGATACCACTTAAAACAGCGTCATCGGCAGTAGACAACTCGTATGAACAAGAAGGTTTGTGGATGCACTATGTCATATAGTCAAGATTTAATTTTTACTCATTCTATCGTCAATGTGTAATAGATGAAGTAAATGCGATACCCATTAATCTCAAGGAAAACATCAAAGGTAAGCCATTGACCATGATGTGTTGTGCAAAAACGTATATACTCGAGGTCTAATGAAACATTTACGTATAACTGTCTTGTAGATATAGCAGAAACACCTATGATGTCGGTTCCAAATGACTGGGCATGGTCTACATTCTAATGTCAATTACAACTTTTGTTTGGTTCTTCAATGTAATTGGAAACGAGCGATCCAGACAGAATACGAAAGTGTTATTAGGACATGATTAAAATCGTCCTACTTTGCTTACAACAACACATACAATAATAAATGCATTGCTTTGATATAGTATACGAATAAAGTCTGAAAGCAAATCCTGGTCAACTCGTCCGACATTTTCACCAAAAACAAAAGTTTTGCTATTCAACTATTACCTCGACTACTGTTCAGATAGTATCAAAACAACTGCTACTTGTCAACACATATTATGGGAACTCTAGCTAACACTACTGTTTGGACTTCTGAGCAGGTATACACTTTTCATTTTTACAATGGCATTCAACTATTGATCTTGAAAACGAGTATTGTGCTGCCCACTGGCTTGGAATATAGATTCATACTTGTGATTTTATGAATGAATAGGACCAGAAATTGCGTGAGGGGTTTGAGCAGCATGGCCGTCACTGGGTGCATGTCAAGAAAGTCATGGGCAATGCGTTCAAGGTGTCCGAAGTAAGACCGTTGATATTGCTTCTTGTACGCTGTGGTTGCATCTGGCTAGTGTTGTTTACAGTGTTTGTATAGATTCGCAGCAGAGCTATTGCTTTAGGTCTTTTACCAGAAGAACATCTTCCAGCACATCATCTTGCTCAGGTTACCACTGCCGCCATTGGCTCTGCAAATGCTGCTACCACGCTCAAAGAAATGGTTGCTCTGCCTAACATGTATTGTATTCAAATCGTTATTCACACTATCATTGTATTTGGTTTATTCATGGAATTGTGTGAATCTGCTGTCTGACCAACTCACTCATATTATACACTGCTATTCAACTGAAAATGGACTCGAATCTGGAATATCAAATTTGTTTGGCCATATTGGATGCATTATCAGCGATCCTCCCATGACTCCAAGGAGGCGAGCGCTCGCTGCCAAGAAAAAATCAGCTACCATGGAGGAAACATCTGACCAGAAATCCTTGTCCGCCTCTCCTTTCAAGCAACAGATGAATACACCCGACAAAACAAAACCAAAAGAATTATTATCCGTCAAATTGCCTGCTCCAAAATTTGTCCAGGATGCCAACATTGCTTCTTCAGAAGCTGTGTCATTATCACTGATGAACCTGGAAAATATTGCTGCTGCTGCAGATCCGCCTACTGTTGTTCCTACACCAGCTACTCTAAAACCCATGCCATCTCACTACAATTTTGTATTTAGTAAAGCTACCAATTCTCCCATAGCTAATTTAGAAACTGCAACTGCTGTCTCTAAAGCTCCTGAAGTGGTTGTTGCACCAATGACTCCATCGCGTCGTGCTGCTGTGCGTGCTCAACGTGTCAGTCGATCTAAACTTTCGTCATCTTTTGTAAACGCTGCTGCTGCCCATTCTAATATAAACGATTTGAGCGCTGTTTCTGTTTCTGATTGTAATTTTAAATTTACGGATACCACAAAGACTGCAAGTGTAGCCTTTTCTGTAAACAAGTTTGAGCATCCGCCAGTTGCTTCACCTTCCATGCAGGCCGCTCTTTCTCGTCGCCAATCATTACTTGGTCTGCGCTCTCGACTAACAGAAAAACTTGCCATGGAATCTACAACAGCTTCAAAAGATTTGTTGGCTGCATTGGGCGATCGTTCTTCTCCGGTTTACAAATCGACAACTCCTATTCAATCTCATAATAAAGTAGCTTTGCTGGTTGAAAAACATCAGGCTGCGATTAGCAAGGTGGTACCGCCATTAGAAACCGGTCACCGTATGACTCGTCGTGGTTCTGCTACTCATGCGGCTACTCTGATCCATTCTAAGCCTGTAGTAACGAGGCTGGCCAACATTGAAAATCTGTCCAACTTGACTGGAACTGAACAGAACGCAGCCTCCATGTTGTTTTTGGATGACACTCTTGCGTCACCACTTCGTCGATCAAAGCGTCGCGAACTTGTTGACAGCCCTGCACGTACCCCTACTGATTCATTGTCAAAGAGTGCTGCCATTGCTATGAATACTGTTGACAAAAGTATGTTGGTTACTCCAGTGATGGAGATGAAAACCACTTTGAAAACTCCTATTGCTACTTTGACTTTAAAGCCAGATTTAAATGAGAATGCTATTGGAGCGACTTACAATCCAGTTTTGGATGCTGCACCAAAAGTTACTGGAGCATCTGGTGTTAAAACAAAACCAGTCGATACTTCTTTTGAGTCACTAACAGTAGGAAGCAACATGAACGTAAATCCTATGGGCACTAAAGTAGCTGAAACACCTGTGACTCCCGTACAGTCCTTCAAGCGTGGCGAAAAAGTTGATTTAATTCATCTAATGAAACCAGGTGTCAATATGCCAATATGTTTTGACGAATGTGCTCCAACTCCTCCTGCTGCTCGCGAGGTTGTCGGCAAACGGAAGCGTTTGATTGGAAACGAGCTAAAGACTCCATCCCAAAAGGCCACGATGCTAATTTCAGCTGCTGCTACACCTGCATCGGCTCGTATTATTAAGCGTAAGCGTATTCGCCTAATGAGGTCTGATACTCAATCTTGCAGCGACGATGAAGAAGCCAATGCCACTGCTCTACATTTGGAACCAGCTTCCAAGGTTTTTGCATCTTCATCTCGGTCAAGTGCTGAGGATACGTTGTCCAATTTAGATGAGTTTGCTTCTACTTCACACATTGAATCTACCGATAATGAGTTTGACAAAGAAAAGAATGGGGATATATCTGAAACAAAGAGTGATTTTGGCGACGATACTAAAGAGAGCAACGATATGGATGTGGGTATGGATGACTGGCCAATGGATCATGAAACTTGGACTATTCGTGCAGTGAAGCGTTTTGCGCGTGCATTGTATTTGGTGCAATGAATGGTTTCTTGCAATGCTGAAATAGAAACAGCGCGGGAATATGCTAGTTGAATCTGGTCTTATTGTTTCTATACATTGATGATATTGGTTTGTGTTTGAACTTTGCTTGTTTTACAGATTTGTTAGTGTTTGTCTGAAATACAACTGTTTGAATATCTTTTTGGGTGGAATCAAAAAAGAATAAATTCAAATTTAAATTACAGTCATTCTACAAGTCGAAAATTTAATGAACACAGTTCTACTCAACCCACTCGGGGGCCAGTGTACAGACAAGGAACAGTTAAGACGTGTTCGTCTGCAGGAAGAACGGCGTGAGGATATGCGACGACATCTGGCAGCACAAGCTGCCCAGCATCATCCTCGTCTTCGTTGTATTATTGCTAAACACCAGGAACCTGTCGCGTCTGTGCCTTCGTTGCCATTTGCAGCAAAGGGCAGTTCAAATGACACTAGTTCAAGTCATCAGCCTATTGGTCTATTGCTCAAAGAACGGCCATTATCTGCAGAAAGTCAGCACCATTCTGCAAATGTCAGTCAACCTAATGTAGAATATAATAAAGGAAACGGACACTCTGCTATACAAGATCCAGCTTTAACCTCGAGTCCATACCCAGCGTATCCTCAAAGCATGAGCAATGCATTTCCACATGCCACGCATCTATATCCATCATACCCAATAGGGTATCCGTATCACATGCAGCCAACATATGGTTGCATGCCCTATCCACCATCCACACAATCTCCTTGGAATCTACCGCCACATCACGCCGAGTTTGACAAGAGGCTTCCACTACCTCCAGTGCCAGCTGTTCGATGGGATCAGACATCTTCTGCTCATCCAAATATACACCTTTCTGATACAGATCCAATACATCCACAGTATAACCATTCATATGCCAACCCATATCCCATAGCTTTTGAACAGCAAAATGAACCTCCACAGCAAGGAACATCCAATTGGTATCTTCAGCCACCAGCATTTCTTAACCCACATCGATTACTACCAGCTATCTATCCAAAACATGACGAATTCAATCCAAACTCGGCACCAATGCGTGCAGAAAATGATCTACCTTTAACACAACCAAGAGTCATTCCAGAAATCTCCACCCGTCTATTGGATCGTACCGATTCTAAAATGAATGGCCGCCAATCCAAACAATCCTATGCAGCAGATTTAGGTAATCCAGCACCAATAATGTGTTTGCTGAATATTGTTGAGTTGTGTTAAAATAGAACTAACGGTTGATGTTATATTGCACATGATCAATATCTCGTAATAGAACGACAAATTGCTGAAAAGGCGGCTCAAAAGCAACAAGAAAGAGCTTTTCGACAGGTACTCGAGATATTTCATTGATCTACTTTTTATCTAATCAAAAACATAAAAGTTTATTTGGTATTAAGTGAAAGTGTGAGCTAACTGATTAGTGCGACTTTCAAATAGGGATTTGCTGAAAATGCCCATATTCCTTTGGTAGGCTGGAATAGTGTATGGATTGAGATGATATATAGTGAATGATTTGCCAATGACACTTGTCTATTCACGTAATCCGATTTAGCTGGACACGCCTGGTGATTCACACAATGCATTTCGTTTTCAACAGCAAGCGCAATCGTATTATCCTAAACAGTCAAATCCATCAAACGATTATCGACATTTTGATCGGTCATTAGCTCCGCTGTCAAACAATATTGAATTGAGCGAAAAGAAACCTTTAAACACAGTAAGTGTTGCTAAATCAAAGCCTAGGATGTATTAGGTTGTATGATGGCTATCACTAGATTGATGAAGCTGATTTTTGAATCAATTCATTTCTACAATCATAGAAATCTCAATATCTCAAAGATTTGGGTATGTATATATTTTATAAGCTTTATCTTTCAGTGTCAATGCATTGGTTGTAGGTTTTAAATTTCGGCAATATCTAGATGACCAGATTCGACAAAAAAAAGAAATAACAGACCGACAAAAACAGATTCAAAAACTTCAAGATGAAAAGGTATAGCAGTAATGTTGAGTACAGCTACAAAACCAACAAAAGCTGAGCCATGAGTATATTTGTAAATGTCATCTTTTATTTATAGAAGGAAAAGGAAATAAGCGATTATTCACCATTTGGGCGAAGTGGTGCTGGTGCACCTCATCAACAGCAGCAGCAAGAAACATCTGGATTAACAGGTAGACGAAAGGTATGATACTTTTGCTAGAATTTACTGTTGAATTTCAAAGATTATTTATTCGGTCAACTATTATAAATAGTTTCCTCAACAACACGCTTCGCAAACATCAGCAGGTGAATATTCTGAAGCTCGGTCTGATCTTCAAAGCTCATCTCCAACTGGTGAGCACCGCACTATGCACTCTCTTCAGCCCGACTTTCCCAATAACCAGAAAATAAGCTTTTTGGAGGATAATATGAATGGTTTCAGACCTTCAATATCAAATTCGTCTTTTGATCTCATGCATCACAACTCCAACCAAAACGGGACACAACAGTACAACAATCACTCAATGCACAGCCAATCTTCTTTTTCTCCGCCTCCATCTTTGTTTCCTCCAAAGTAATGTATATGTACTAGAATGCACTATTTTGATCATTCTTGGACATATTATACTATAAACTAACCCAGTAAATATACATTAAACCAGCAATACCGCGACAAATCAATCTACTCAGAATAAGAATCAAAGCAACGGAGAAAAGTCTTATCTGAGAGGTGTCGCCAATATAGATACTATGCCTCAATGGCGTCGCGAAGAGCTATCACGAAAGCAAAAAATGCAGCAAGAAACTCAAGTACGTCTATTGATTTTCCATATGGCTAGAGCATCAAACTTTATGGTTTAGTTATACCTGTAATAATAAACAAATTGGTGACCTAGTACTAACAACTGCGTTTGATAGGACGGGCTACTACTTCAGATTGCTGAAAAAGAGGCCGAAAAGGCAAAACAAGAAGCTATTCGAAAAAAAGAAGACGAAAAAGAGCTGGAAAGACTGGTAAAAGAACAGGAACTGCTTAGAGAAAAATATGCCCGTGAAACTGAAATGGCTCGACAAAAAGAGGTGATCGTTTATTGCACCGGCGTACTGCTACCTATTTACTTTGTTCACATATATGCAAACTTGAATCAATAACACTTGCTGAGATATCTTCAACCATAGGAGGAAACTATGCTTGAGAATGAAAAACAGAGGCAAGTAAAAGTACAGGAAAATATACGGCATGAACAATTGACAGCGCATCAAAACAGTCTAGATATGCTTGAATCTACAGATGGTATCAAGACATCCTACGCAACTAAATCACAGAAAAATAAAAATTCGACTTCAAACGATACCCACCAAGAATCCAAATCACGATTTAAAGCTGATTCTTTACCATTGACTGGACAGAGTAAGCCTGTAATGATCGATCACCAAACATCTCGACCACGCTCGCCTCCAATTCCGACAGTTTTAAAAAAACTGCAACAGGCTGGCCTGTATTCAGAAATCAAGCCAAATGTATTAAACTCGGCTCCAATCTCCAATCAGTGCAGCGTTAATCAGCACTCGTCAACAACACATCACGAAAATGAAGGAGTTATTGTAAACCCTGCAACACAAGCCATACCTTCAACATCACACCGCCAACAAAGCACGCCAAGTACAAAAGTTGCAATGGCGCCAATGTCACCGCCGCTTCCTGCGCAAATTAGACGTCAAAAAGTAATTGATCAGTCCAACACCGAGGTTACTGAAATGGATAACAAGGTGTTGCTAAAGCAACTATCTGATATTCAAAAGGTGTGCGCGTAAATCTATTTAGTGTCTTTGGGTTTAAAAAAGTATATGCAACTAACCTTGTAATGACATAGGAACTTGCTCAAGAAGATATGAAAATTCGACAAGATTTGTGTTTATCAGGTAACCATTTCGAATATAGACATAAACAGATTTGTTGACTCATATTTTTAAACTTGAAACTCGCATAAAACAGCTGCACCGAGTAAAGATAGACAGTTTCGACATCCAATTACATTGGCACCATTTCAACTCAAACCGTCTAAAAAGACGCAGCATGCAACTACCAAACAAACGTCAGTACAGCAGAAAACTAGTATTGACACCCATCGAGAAAGTTGCGAATTTCTACCTTTATTGCTTCATCCAGTTCCTGTTCGATCCCTTAATCTTGCTGAAACATTTGACCATCAGTCTATTTTAAAACTCGATGGTTTTATTGAGCACAAAGACAATCAGGATAATGATTCACTGGTTTATGATTGGAAACAGTACGACACTAAACAAAACAAAACATCTAGAAAAAGCAGTATAAATAGTCGTTTAGGTTTTGATCACATCGATTCCGCATTTAAAATACATTATCTAGATGACGCAATACACGGTTCAAATAAGCAAGGCATGTCTAGAACTAGTTCCAATTATCAACTCAAATCTGAAAAAAGGTGAGTTTAATAGCTCATGCTTATACAAGAGATGCAAGTGGTGATTATGTTTAATTTACTAACGATTACATCGTTGTTTATATTGTTGATACATGTAAATTAAACAAAATCAATGTGTGTTTTATGCAATCTGAACCGTTCAAACACTAGCAAAGCATGTGGACACTTAGATCAGCCATATCGTGTTCAGTCCGTGTTGGATATATTTAGCAATTCTAGATCAGAATCAAGGTATTATTTTGAATCCATGCTCATATTAAGCCAAAATTGTTTTTTATTGCCATGCGATTCGAAGATGAGTATCAAGTTACTAATGTTGAATGTAATCAAAATCAGACAAGGGACACCAAGGGATTCAAAGCCAAACAAGACAACCTTAGATCATGATCGTATTTTGCGAGCTCAAAGTGCTGAGTGGTCATTGAGTATGGACGAAATTGAACGACGGAATGAGCAGCGACTAGAGCGACTAACGCGACTTGAAGCGCGACAGAATCAGTATTTGGAAGATGAACGCAATAGTGGACACGAAGACAAAGCAGAGATTATTCGATTATTTATGCTCAAAGGAGAAGGAGCCCAAGAGATTTGTGAAAAAGCACAGGATGAATGCAGTATTCCAACCACTCCATCAGTGTTTCGACCTTTAAAAATAGATAAACATGGAGATTGGAAGTAAACCACACAAGACCAGTTCGAATAGAGAAAAAGAATGCTTTAAACACATGCTGCTGATAGTAGTCGATTCAGACAACTCAAGAATGCTGTCTGAATCGACAAATTCAAAAGATTTTTTGTAATAACAAATTTGTGGTTGCACAAGAAGTTCTTTACAACTTGTTGTTGGTTTTGGTCCTGGTGAACAGAGATAGCAATAGTATTCGCACTCTTGAGTCTGCATATTCATTCTGTTAGAACCAGCGGCTTCCTTTTTGTTAAAATTGTTGCTTGGAAGTAGGACAGCTGGATTGGTCGTTTTGCTAAAGTCAAGTCAGCAGCAACATCTGCAAGTCTGTAAGTTGTCGCTGAAGAGAGCCCAATGGCAGACCCTCATATACAAAACAGCACTGCTGCTTCTGCCAGCTCTGCCAATACTACTGCCACTTCAACTGGAAATATGGATGCCAGCCTAATGCAACAGCAACGCTTCTATTGGCAGCAACAGCAGTTGATGAATACTTCTGCATATGGAAATGGCAGTCAGTCAATGCCTTCTGTTTATTCTCAGATGCCTGCGATCTCTGCTTCTCAATTAGATATGAACAGACTTCACCGCCCATCCATGTCCTTGCACTCTCAATCGCACGGTCTTGCATCTGGTTCTGATCCTGCAACTACTAATAATACTATTAATGGTCCTTCTGCTATTGCATCCATGTCAGGTCCAGTAGACATAAATGCTGTCTTGGAAGTGTCGACTGCTTTAACTGCAGCCACATACCCACAGAACATATCTGCATCCACTGTGTCCGATCTACCAACTCAGATGCGCTCGCGGATGTCATTTTCACAACTACCGCAACAGTATCCATATCTTCAACAGCAACAGTTTGGTAATATATCCTTTCCTTTTATTCAACAGAATGATTCAGTATCCAATAATTCAATGAGCCGGACTCCTAGTCAACAAAGCATGTCACAATCGTTTTTTCATAATGGTATTTTGATTGCTGTAGCATTGTTTTCAGCGAGATTACTTGCAGGTCTTGTATTCATTTTACCTTGAAGTTGCTAACCCATTGTTTAAACTTTATACATGTCTACTATTTAGTAGACTATGGGAATACAAATAAATCTGGACAAGCTACAGTTTTAAATGGTGATGGATCCAATTTAGAGCCTGATTTAGCCATGCACTCTGCCAATCTGAACCAGAAAAATAATGACACCGATGGTAGTAGCATGGCTGGGGACATGGGGAATGTACACCGAGAAAGTATACAGTCTACTTTTGGTATGAAAAACCAGGCTGGATCTATAGGACTCTCGAATCTTGGGGCGTCTGCTCCAATGCAAGGCTTTCAGCACAATCCTTCCCGTGTTGCTCTAGAGTCTTCGAGCACACAACCACACTTTCAACCCCATTCCGCAATTCAATTACCGTCACAATTTCAAGCCCAACCACCTTCTCAGCCGTGGTTGCAACATCAATTGCAAGAATCTCGGCCTAAATCTATAGATTCACGACCAACCCAAAATTCTCAATCTTTGCTTGACGCAACATCAGGATCCATGGGGAATGCGTTTTCTTTGAATCAAATGAATCCAGCGAGACCTACAGAGACCGGAGCAATGCAGCAGCAAAATATGGATCAGAATCAGTTTTTGCAGCGGATACAGCCGTATCAGCAAAATCAAATGTGGGCCCAGCAACTTCAGATGCAACAACATCAGTTTCAGCAAGCATTACAAAATCAAATATCTGTTTCTGCTGGTATGGGAACACAGGTTAGTACAATGCAGCAACCACATATTCAAGATGAAATGGCTCAGTCTTTCCAACCCAACTTTCTTGAGCGAACGACTACATATGGTTCAGAATTGCCATTCCTATCCACACTGCCAACTTCTTTTCCTAATTCCTCGTTTACTTCTCCACCACCCATGAGCAAGAAAGGGTCTATATCTAGCATACAGTCAGCTCGTGACACGTCTTATTTGAAGCAAGCGTCTTTAAATGATACAGTGAATGCAGCGGTAATCAAAAATACTGCTCAACACGGGATGTTGACAAACAACGAACGGCTGATGCTTGATTCTAAAGTGAATTCTGCTTCTAATCATTTTGGACAGCAAACTGCTGGTGGATCAGCTGGAAAATTTACAAACGATTCTGCATCAGGCGTACCTTTTATCAATGGATCTCAGACATATGCTTCACAGCCCGCTGTTTCTTCTGGTGCTTCTGCACCAGATGTTATGGCGAATCGTGGATCTATTTCTGGAAATACTGGGGTGTCGCTACCGACTCAAGGAGCTTATCGCACAGATGGAAATTCTAGTACTAATACGAGTCTTGTCCAAATGCAACAACAGTTTATGATGCAACAGCAACAGTTGCGACAGTTTCAGCAGCAACAGTTGCAGCAGTTACAGCAGCAGCAATCGCTTACTCCACAACAAATTCGGCAAATACAGCAACAGCATCAAATGAATCAGCATCAGCTGTTGCAAATGCAGCAGCAAACAATACAAAGTCAGCAGTCTCAATTGATGCAACAACAAAAAAGTTTGCAGTTATCCCCTTCACAACAGAATCCTATTGTTTCAAATGTAGTTCATCCTATAGCACAACAACAACACTTTTTACAAAAGGTTCAGGACAAACAGTGGTTCGATCAAGTGTTTAATAATTTTATGATCAGTCGCAACATTACTTTCAACAGAGTTCCTATATTGGCTTCTAAACCGCTTAATATGCACGCTCTATTTCTTGCTGTGGTAGAGGCAGGGGGGATGGAAAAGGTAAGATTTAAATGCCGAGCGCTGCTAGTTTGAACAAGAGTGAATTGTTTAAATCTGAATTTGACTTTTATTAATCAACTATTATGATTTGTACATTTACTGATATTTTACTACATTTTTTAATTTGTATCTTAACAATCGCTGCGTCCAATGCTTGCAATGTATTTGCTTTAGCTTTCCGCCAAAGCGGCATGGAGACCAATTTCCAAGAAGCTGGGATATGATACACAACCAAATGTACCATCACTACTTCGAAAACACTACACTAGTCACTTGTATCCGTTTGAGCAGTTTCTTTTTCCAAGCTTGACCAGTACGAATCCAGATGCTAATAGAAAAAGTGTAACTCCTACGCCTCTTCAAAAAACAATTAAATCCAAAACCATGTCCATGCATTCGACACCAGATACGACTGCTGCTGCGACTGCTCAAAACGGAGTTTCGTCAAGTGTATCCAAAGCGCAGATGCATCCAATGACGTTTCAAGGACCGCCATTTTCAAGTGATGCGACGACTAGTGTGCACTCTAGTACTGCTCCTCAAACTGCTCTGCAGCTGCCCATGAATACTATGGAGAGTATGAATAAGGTGTTATTACAGAACGATAATTCAATTGTACCTAAAACACCTAATACTCAGGTAGGTACTACTGGTGCATCACAACCACCAATGAATTCGGCCGGATCTCGTACTGGATTTTCCGATTCTGCCAATCAGTGGCAGCATGCTGGCACAATGGGAATGGTTCAGCCATCTCCTTTACATACTTCTCGAACACCGTGTACGTCTATTACTGCAACTTCTGAAATTTCACAGGCTCCTGTTGCACATACCTCGACATTTCAGATGTCTGGAGCACAGTCTCTGCTTGCTTCTAATCAAAATATATCACCCCACGCATTGTCTGATCAATCTGGAACTTCTCTTCATCCCAACTTTCAATATGAAAAGGATGGTTTGTCACATTCTGCTTTACAGACTTTTTCAGCCGATTCACCAGCTTCAGGTGATACCCGTTCACATTTACCACCTCATCAATCGCTTTCATCTCAGCAACAGTTGCAACTGCAACAAATTATGCAGATGAAACAGCTTCAAATGCAAAAGCAGAGCACACCGTCTCAACAAAAGGAAGAGGTTTTAGTCAAAACAGAGCATGCTACAGTAGCAGCACCTTTATCACAGGGATCTTTGGAAACGCAAGCCGAAATGCAATCCAAGACATCCCATACTCGACCTGTGCATTTGTTTACACCACGATCACGCCGATTGACTACATATGGTGGTATAGATTTAGAGAAGCTTGCGCGAGCCATTCGTCGTGCTTCTCCTTGTAAAGAGCAATATGGTGGGTTTTACATTTGTTTAAATAATGATACATTTTGACCATATAGTGTGTGCTGGTGTTTGTATTAATAGCCCTACTGTTTATGTTATTTGGTTTACTTTATTCTTGATTGGTGCAATTATATAGCTATTCAAGATATGTCTCGACTTACCATGTCGCTCAAATCCAGATTGCAGTCCGAAGTACGATATGCTCTTGACGCACTGCTAATTTTTTCCCATGAGGGCACAATCAGGTTCACAGAGTGCATTGATTTGCTAAACGCGCTTGTTCGACTCGCTGGAGACTCTCTTACAGAACTGTTTTCATTGACACAAGCTAAAATGCAGGTTCTTGATCATCCTCATGCCACGTACCTGTCATTATTTGAAACACAATTTCATGAGCAGCATATGCTTGAGCCTATGGGTCGACCCACACTGTGTAGAACTAAACTTCTGTCAGATTGCTGTTTGAGCATTGGAATTATTTTGCGCAATTGTTCCTTTTTTTCAGAGAATCAAAGAATGCTGGCTGAGCATGCAGGCGTTGTAGAGCTACTCTACTGGGAGATTGATTTGACTGCCTTATTAGATACACCTATGGCCGAGTATATAGATGGTAATTATACTGCCGACACATATGATCAATGTAGCAACGTGGAGGATGAAGCAAGTAAACCGCATCAGGATAATTTATTGGATGTTGAACGTCGAGCAGATTTTTCTGTTTGTAGTGAGCTAGCTCAAGATACCACTGATAGCGCTACGCACTCTTTTCCGCGTTGTCATCGTCAGACTGTACCTAAGCCCACCTTTAGCATGCTGCATATTTTGGATCATCGAAAAAATGCTATAGTGATTCTTTCCAATATTGGCAATTTTGTGCACTGCCGTACCGAATCCATTTCAACAGCATTTTTGAATACCATATCAGACTTTATTGGCTGCAATTCGGCATATGTGTACCCAGCACTCGATGCTATGGCACGATTGATGCTTGTATCGGACAATCTGGACCGGTTTTCTCGGTATGATGGGATTTATGTACTTGCAAATAGAATAGCTGCACTTTTACCCGACCGAATTCTATTTGACATGCCACCAGAGCAGCATGCTCTGCTTGAACTTGTTTCCATGACACTCTATTCCGTGACATTTATTGGCAACGACATGCTTCGTCAACACATATGCCAGATCCCAGGTTTGATACAAACTCTTTTGCGACTCTGCCATCTTCCTTACATGCAATACATTGGACAGCGAGTAAATGTCACGCAGGCACAATTTAAACTTTTACAAAAGCAGCTGATTCAAATGTTGCCAATCTGCCAGCGTTCGATGCGAACCATATACGAATGCGCCAAGTATGCAGGAAACAGAGACAGGCTGCTATTATTTGAACAAGAGCTTTTGGAAACATCTATTGATGCACAGCAGGCAGGTGACGATAATTTGGCGAAGCTTACAGCAGAAGTGCTATCAGAGCTGAGTGGTGTTGACTAATAAAAAGATGCGCAATTCACAGCCGTATTCATGTAAAATGGAACACTAAATAAAGGTGCCAAATACATAATAAATAAACAGTCTCATGAAATGATGGATGCCAATTTACTGGACAACATTGCGTTTGACAGAGTTGACCTTTCTCTTGGTGATTAGCATGAAAACAGCGAATGCATTGCCGAGATTGTTTCTTGAATTACAACGCGAGCGTTGAGATTTTAGGATACAGGGAAGTTTAATTGACAAGATTAAAATAGTCGGATTCAATATTTAGATTCTGATGAATGAATCTGATTTCAAATTTGTATATGATGGCTGTTGTGTTTGGAAAAATTAAAAATTTCAATTTTTAATAGTAAAGTACAACGCATTTATTATTTATTCCAAAGACCTGTTGCAAGATCAATACAAAAGTGTTATTTTACATGAATATGGCTGTAAAATGATGTGTAAATTCTGACCTGATGTAGATCACGTGGGATTGCAGGATTGATTTCACTTGTTTTGATGGCAATTGTTTTTTTCCAGCAACTCATAGATTGACAGTCACTCACTGCGATGATACAGAAAGCTTTCGTTTCTGTTGGTGTTATTGCAGCCACACCAGTGTCTTTTTTTTGTTGCAACACAAGTGGTCAAGCACTGTGCACGGTTTCCAAAACCACTAAAACCATTACACAGATCAGACATAACAGCAACGTTCAAGCATCCTTGTCAGTAGGAGGAAAGCGACAACCTAGAGCGCAGGCAGGAGCCATAACTCGACGAAATGTAGGGGTTAATCCTCCATTATTTCATCAAAAAGTGGTTCATTCGGATGGCAGCACATTCACCATTCGATCGAGTTCACCCAGATCGATTCTTGTTTTAACGAGAGATACATGTAATCATCAGCTGTGGAACCCCACATCACAAGCAGTGGATGATCGAGGTGGAGAGTTGCGCAAGTTTAGTGAACGGTTTGCAGGAATTGGAGATCTTGGGCAGTTGGAGAGTGAGATTGAGTTTGTGCAAGTGCAGTCCGAGTCATCCAAAGCGAAAGCAGCAGCAGCAGCGGCGGCAGCAGCAGCCAAGCTTGCCGAACAAAGCAAGAAGACCAAGAAAAAGAAATAAACTTTATTATTTGTATGATGGTGTTTATTGGTGTAACTCTGTTGATGGATCATTTGGTAAACTCGACTCTTACAAATGATAAATCATTCGAGGGTTAGATCTGCATGTCTAGATCACCTTTCAAGCCAAATCACAGTATGCGGCTTGTCGTGTACAACTTCACAAAGTAGTTTATACAAGAGTTGTATGCCAAATCTTGATTGTTCCAAAATTATAATTTGCGGTCAGTCATGATAACATTACTGCGATTGGCCAATGCAAGCTTATGAACTTGCTCTCTTTTTTGCAAAACAGCACCTTTGTTTTCCAAAATAGCCAACAGTTCCTTGCCAATACGCACACCAGCTGCTTGTGAGCTTCTTCCGTTGAGAGCAGCATCACGGATCCACAAGATTCCAGTACGGTTTCGCTGACGATCGGTAAGAGGAAACGGAGTAGGCACGTTTTTCCCCCTGCGTTTAAACGAAACGACTTTAACAAAGGGTGAAGCTTTTTGAACAGCAGCATCAATGACGGAACGAGGATCTTGGCGGGTCTGGGTCTGGATATACAACATGGCATCACTCATGATACGGCGAGCAACAGCTTTGTTGCCACTTTTCATAATGTTGTTAACAAACTGCTCAATGACTGGGTGTTCTTTTTTCACATTAACTTCTGATAGTTTGACTTCACCGTCCAAGTCTTCAGCAGAAAGTTGGTTTTGAATTGATCCATTGGAAGGATTGTGAGCCAAGGCTGCAGATGGTGATTTGTTTAGTTGGAAGCGCTGAGAAAGCTGAGGAGTGCTGCTTCCGGTGGATAATTCCGACATATATCTGCATGGTAAAAGTCTGATTTTGGTAGTAGATGTGAATGAATGCCTTGTTGACAACAGCAGAGTGGATGATCTGAACATGGTCATCAATAGTTTTGACAACAGTTTTGATGGCGAATTTCAACCAATAAAAACAAAAAGCACGTGATTGATCTCCACCATCAAATCAATACAGTCTAGACCCTATATTTACCGTTGTTTTGGTGGTTGGATTCGCAGCCTTGCAACTCTCATTGCTATCCACCAACAGTGACACTAATAATGATGAGAATGGGGGTTGCATCCTCTGCTATGCGTAGAGTCGCTCCTGCTATGGTCTCAACTCCTGCCTTTTCTCATAGATTCACCAGACTTTCTGCTTTTGTTTCTGGCTCAAATGGTCAGTGCTTTTTTGTTTTCACTGGTTGTCAATGAACTCGAGTATTCTATTGTCCTATTGCATTGCCTGGCAAATGAACAGCGCTACAGTTTTATTATACTTTTGATCTGATATTTTGTTCAATCATTCATGCTTACTTCATCTCGCTATTATCTGAACGCCCATCTCACATTGTTTTTCAATCCACCGTTTAATTCTGTCGAATCTTGATGGGTGATCCATGTTGTATCTCACCTGTGTTCAGTAGCCACAAGATCTCTCCACGCAAGCCAAGCTGCTCGTAACACTGGTAGGATTGAAATAGTGCATCATTAAACTTTTGAAATGTGTACCAGTCACCAATTTAACATGCCGAGTTCAAATTAAAAATGCAATCCATTAGGAGCGAGTGCTAACCCAGACCCAGTTGAACTTCTCAAAACCACTGATAAACTGCAAGAGTTTGGCAAATACATTGCGTCGTGCATGCCAAAATACATTCAGCAGATCACTGTTTACAAGGATGAACTGACTCTTTTTATAGCACCATCTGGATTGATTCCAGTTGCTACATTTTTGAGAGATCATCAGGCAACACAGTTTCAGCAGGTTCAGAATATCACTGTAGTGGACTATCCATCTCGTGAAAACCGATTTGAGGTTGTTTATAATTTTCTGAGTGTGCGCTTCAACAACCGCATTCGAGTCAAAACGTACACCAACGAGATTGATCCAGTTCCATCTCTGGTTCCGTTGTACACAGGAGCCAACTGGTATGAACGCGAGGTTTGGGACATGTTTGGTGTATTTTTTACAGGACATCCAGATCTGCGCCGTATCTTGACAGACTATGGATTTGAAGGACATCCACTACGCAAGGATTTCCCACTGACAGGATATGTTGAAATGCGCTACGATGAGGAAAAGAAGAGAGTGATTGCAGAGCCCCTCGAGCTTGCACAGTCGTTTAGGATGTTTGAGTATCAATCACCATGGTAGGTACCTTGTAGCTTATACTGATGGCAAAGAATGCAGACAGATACTAACAGTTTGTATTAGGGAACAAACGGGCAAGGGGACTGAGGTCAAGAAGTTGGCTCCAGAGCCACTGGCACCGCCAGAACCATCAAAATAGGACTCAATACATTGATTCAGAATTGAAACAGAATGTTTTTTTAAATGGCAGGAATGCCTTGGAGAGAGATTGTTCAACTGATAGCATGTTGAAGAGTTGAAACAAACAAGCACAGTCACGTGTAATCCAGCCAATCAATCGCTGACACCGGTTCTAAGTTGGAAAATAAGCGACATTCGACTATAAAAAGCGATGATCAGATCTGTCTGCACACCCACACTGCATCATCATGGTTCGTAGTACTAAATCCTCCTGGTGGTCTGCCATCGTGCTAGCCATATTCATCGCCTTTCTCTCCCCACTCTCCGTTCTTGCGGAGAAGGATTCAAAGATTGTTGGTCCTGTTATTGGTATTGATCTGGGAACAACTTACAGGTATGGTTTTTGCTGTCTTGTTCTGCTTGCATACAGGCACTAATCTCTACTGCTATCAGTTGTGTGGGTGTTTTTAAGAATGGTCGTGTTGAGATTATTGCCAATGACCAGGGCAACCGTATCACTCCCTCGTATGTTGCATTCACCGAAACCGAGCGTCTTGTCGGTGATCCCGCAAAGAATCAGGCTCCTACTAATCCCCATAACACTATCTACGATGCCAAGCGATTGGTCGGTCGTCGTTTTGAAGACAAGGATGTTCAGGCAGACATGAAGCACTGGCCCTTCAAGGTTATCAATGACGGTGGTAAGCCAAAGTTCCAAGTCGAGGTCAAGGGCTCCAAGAAAGACTTTACCCCTGAAGAGATCTCTGCCATGATTCTTGGAAAGATGAAGGAAGTTGCCGAGGCTTACCTTGGTACCACCGTCTCTCATGCTGGTATGTGTTTTGAATTGTTGCTGGCTTTTATGCCTAGTTTCTCATCTTGCTTTATATTCTAGTTGTTACTGTCCCCGCCTACTTTAACGATGCTCAGCGTCAGGCTACCAAGGATGCTGGTGTCATTGCTGGTCTGACAGTTGCCCGTATCATTAACGAACCCACTGCTGCTGCCATTGCCTACGGTCTTGACAAGAAGGGTGAAGCCAACATTCTCGTGTTTGATCTTGGTGGTGGTACTTTTGATGTGTCTGTGCTGACCATCGACGATGGTGTTTTCGAAGTCAAGGCTACAAACGGTGATACCCATCTGGGTGGTGAGGACTTTGATAACCGTATCATTTCCCACTTTGTTGATCTCCACAAGAAGAAAACCGGTGACAATGCATCCAAGGATCCCAAGGCCATGGGCAAACTTAAGCGCGAAGCCGAAAAGGCAAAGCGTGCTCTTTCTGGTCAACCCTCGGTTAAGATTGAAATTGAAGCTTTCCTCAACGGAAAAGACTTTTCTGAAACTCTCAGTCGTGCCAAGTTTGAGGAGCTCAATATTGATCTATTCAAAAAGACTATTGATCCCGTTAAGCGCGTTCTCAAGGACTCTGGTCTTAGCAAAGAATCTATCTCTGAAATTGTTCTTGTTGGTGGTTCTACTCGTATTCCAAAGGTTGTTAGTTTGATTGAAGAGTACTTTAATGGTAAGAAGGCTTCCAAGGGCATCAATCCTGATGAAGCCGTTGCTTATGGTGCAGCTGTTCAGGGTGGTGTGCTCACTGGTGACGATGCTGTTTCTGATGTTTTGCTGCTCGATGTCAACCCCCTGACCCTCGGCATTGAGACCACTGGTGGAGTCATGACCAAACTCATTCCCCGAAATACCCAGATTCCCACCAAAAAGGCCCAGATCTTCTCCACCGCCGTCGACAATCAACCCGTTGTGCTTATCCAAGTCTTTGAAGGTGAACGTCCTCTTACCAAGGATAATAATCTACTCGGCAAGTTCGAACTTACTGGTCTTCCTCCCTCTCCCCGTGGTGTTCCTCAAATTGAGGTTTCTTTTGAAATCGATGTCAATGGTATTCTCCGTGTTTCTGCACAAGACAAGGGCACTGGCAAGGTTGAGTCCATTACCATCACTAATGATAAGGGCCGTCTCAGTCAAGAGGACATTGACCGCATGGTTGCCGAGGCCGAAGCCATGGCAGATGAGGACAACATGGTCAAGGAACAAATTGAGGCCAAGAACCAGTTTGAGAATTACCTGTATACTCTGAAATCTCAGCTTTCTGACGAAAAGCAGATGGGCGGCAAACTCTCTGATGAGGACAAGGTCACCATGGGTGATGCACTCAAGGAGCATCAACAATGGATTGAATCTAACCCTCAAGCCACCAAGGATGAGATTGAAGAGCACAAGTCTGAGCTTGAGAGCATCGTCAACCCCATCACCGCCAAACTCTATGCTGAGGCCGGTGGTGATACCAAGGGTCCTACCGACTCTGATGATCACGATGAACTCTAAGCGACTTGGTTTTCATTTTGTTACCTTCACAAATACATTATTTTTACTCCGTATTTGTTACATTTTGGGTGTTTTATTATTATTTTGGATTGGTTTTGCAACATTGTTGGCTCGAGTGCTGTTTTGTCAAACAGTAATGTTTTTAAAGATGGATAGCATTCTTTACATGATTCACAAATTATAGTCGAGTCAAATTATTCTCATCTCTATGCTTGATATGACTATGCAGTCTACGATTGACAAGTTCAAGACCAGATATTGGGTTCAACTGTTGCCAATCAAACCTCTTTTAAAATCACGAATACGCTCTAGTTCAAGAAAGCAAATATCGCATATTGGGAATACAACTGTTGTTTCCATGCCAGTCACTGGAAAACAGGCCAGTAAATTTGACACCCATCGTTTTATGACTGGCTGTTTATTATGCATTGACATATAGCTGCAGGTGTATTCTGTCGTGACAAAAACGTCAATAGTGCCAAATCAATCTAAAAACTATTGTGGAGTTGATGCATACGAGGGTCGTAAACTGGATGAAATTGACAGTGCTGTTGTATTCGATGCAAGAACCAATCATCCCAATTAGCGTGCATGGCTTGATATTCTAGCAGACATTGATCGTGCCAGCGTGAAGCCTGTTGGTCAAAACAGATAAATTTTCAGGTTTTCCAGTCAGCCATTGACTAGTCCATCAACCCATTATGACTGATAGTATAGACCCAGAAGCATTAAAGAAGCAGCTGAAACAAGAGTTGGCATTACGCAGATTTCAGGAACTTGCAACCGATCTTGTGCCCAGATGTTTCTCTAAATGTGTTATTCGCCCAGGTTTGAAACTAGACAGTTATGAGCAGGTATTTACATTTATACGGATCAGCAACAATACAATACTTTATTCTTTTAGATTTATAGTGATTCTAACTTTATTCAATCCAACAGTCATGTTTAGCACGATGCACAGACCAATACCAGGAAGTTATGCAAGTGGTATCCAAAAGGTTTTTGAAGAAACTGGAACAAGGATCTATGCAGGACTAGAGCAATTGGTCGTTCATATACTGATAAATATATTCTAGTTTGCATATTTGAAAATGGTTTCTATTGGAATGTAAATGGGAATCTGGCTGAATCCAGCCAAACCAATAGATTTATTAGTGGCCATAAACAGCTGTTGTGCGTTTTTCATGGCGTTGGAGCTGTCCAACGCTTTCCTTGAATCTACACCATTCAAGCCAAACAGCAATCATGTCAAGACACAGAAATATTCGCAATATGGACCTGAATGGTAACAAACTACTATAAACTGCAAAACTGCTGCACTGCTCTACAAAAACTGGATTTAACATTGTGCCAGATTTTTATGATGACGAGGATGACTATTACGAGGATGATGATGATGCCGAGGCCATTGATGATGACCAGAACGATACTGACTCTGAATGTCATGGTATAGCAACAGTTATATTGTGCAGCTCTTGTACAGTATCTCTAAATACTAATGCATGTGTTCATCCGCTTTTTTGTGCTAGTCGCATACGATCCATCAGCTCACAAAGCATCAGTCAATGCCAACATCCAAAAAGAAATCTCAATAGTATCCCAATTTGTCGGTCCTTCTTATTCAGAAGCTTATATCAAAACGATTCTTGCTTCCAATGGGAATAATCCTGAACAAAGCATCAACTATATCTTGAGTAAGATTCAACTACAGTTCATAAATTGTGGCTATATTAGCAAGATTTATTGTTGCTATGAGCTACCTACTAATATTAATAATTTTATATATTGAATTGTTTGCATATACAGATCATCAAAAACCAGGTAATTTCAGTTGATCTTTGTTGGTATCCTATTTCTTTGTAGAGTAGAATTTTGGAAAGTATGGTTTAGATCCTATGCTTCACCTCACTTGCTTTTTGGGTTTGCTCAGGATACAATGATGTAGTAGTAGTGATTTGGAATGATGTGGTGGTTGAATCAGCGCATCAAACATGCCAGCATTCAAGTTGGCAGTATTCGCTGTATAATCAGCTATACACTCATCACAAAACACAAATCTAAAGTTCTTTTGGATTCTGATGCTATACAACACGTTCGATCAACAGATTCAAGACGGCTTCATATGACGTGTATAGAATCACCACAATTTTTTACAGAGATGGATGGATCAGACTCGATTGAATCTGCTACTTGTATTCCTCATGCCTTTAAAACTTTCCATCGAGTACGTTTTTCACCAATGGAGTCAAAGCTTGTTCGGAACCCGCCATTCCTCTCAAACGACTGTGTCGCGAGAAAATCTGCTCTTGCTAATAGTCTTGCTACAGGCATGGATACAACAGACGAAACAGTTGTAAAAAGTGCACACAAAGCCACTCACTCTACTTTATCCACCACTCCTGCTCAGATATCAACGATAAAAGGATCTACAATTTCATCCATTGCAAATGTGTCTGTATCTCCACTTTTCAAGTCTTTACCCAACACAGATGCGCCTGTATCAGCATTATCTCAGACCAAGAGCAGTGATATAGCTTCAAAAAGCTCTTTGCTTTCATTAGCTTCCCTAAAGCACATTGATAAACCTAAAACACATTCTTCTGGTAGTACAGTTGGCTCGCTCAAATCATTATCTGAAAATTTGGCGCAGCCATCTAATCTTTTGTCACTTTCTGGAAACGCTGCCACTTTTTCCAAATCTAAATCGACAGGAACAGCTGTATCACTTTTGTCACTGGCTAATCTACAACAGCAAAAGTCTCAATTTAATGAAAAACAAAGCATCATTCAAACAGCTATATCAGCACTAGAAGCTCCTAATAAATCTGCATCGACTAAATCGTTTTCTCCATCAATACACGGATCTAGAAAATCTGCAACTCAACAAATAACACTTGCTCAGCTCTCTGCTAGTCCCTCCGTTTGGTCGGCATCGTCTGAATCCAACTCTTTATTGAGTTCCAAACCCCTACCAAAATCACTTTTTGAAACGTCAAATACCACTGCTCAGTCAATTAATATTTCACATTCTTCTCAAGCTAGACAGGCAAAAAATGCATTGAATCCACTTTCAACCAGGCTTCTTGATACGTTTCAAAATACTACTGCTACAATTACATCCTGCAAACCTTCCATTGGTGCAATACCTTCTACTTTTGCACAATTTTTAATCAAGCGGACAGCATGTGAATTAGATAATCAGTTGGCTAACAGGATTACTTTTGTTTCAATAGAACCAAGTGCATCCTCGGTGATTACTAATAAACCTACATTCACGTTTAATAAGCCCAGTCCAGACGATATTGTGAAGCAGGCGCGCTCCAAAAAGTCTGCCAAAGGTAAGTATTTGCTTAAACATGATTATAGGAGTTTGCCAAGGTATATATACGGCATTACTCATTCTTGTATACAGTCGACAAACTCTCTACAGCTGATAGTGGCTCTACATCAGATGATGTGAATGTAGTGGTTTCTGACATGGAGGCTTTGGGATTCAAGCAAGTAAAAACACCTCTTGCTTCACAGATGGGTGCACGCAATAAAGCTCTATTGACATCAACTGAAACGCCAGTTATCCCTGGAAAATCCGTACCGCCTTCAAAAATGGTCAGAGTACAATCTTCCGATAATGGACCTGGGATGGTTCGTGTCCAATCCAATTCCTCAGTCAAATCTAGTCCCAAGTTCAAACGAGTTAACATCAAGGAAGAACTTGCGAAGCGATCGGCTCAAAAGGACCATTTAAACTTGATTGTTGTTGGTAAATTATTATATGTTATCAGTACTAGATAGCTGCTATGAGTGATTAAAACGTTGCAACTTTAGTGGCAGTAGTTTACTGGTATATTCTTTATTGAATTAACACTGACGGTCATGCTTTTAGGTCATGTTGATGCAGGTAAAAGCACAATGATGGGCCATCTGCTGGTTCTTCTTGGAGAAGTATCAGAGCGGACTATCAAGAAATACGAACGCGAGGCCGAAAAAATCCGAAAGAAATCGTTTGCTTTTGCATGGGTTCTTGATGAGACAGAGGATGAGCGAAGCAGGTACAACTATTTACATCTGCTGGCTTTGATTCAACAATTCATGTGTATGCGTTGGTTTGGAATCTGACTTTTTCAAAATAATTAGAGGTGTGACCATCGATGTTGCAGTGTCAAAGTTTGAAACACCCAATCATTCCTTTACTCTTTTGGATGCACCGGGACACAAGGATTTTATTCCCAACATGATATCAGGAGCATCACAAGCAGATGTTGCTTTGTTGGTTGTAGACAGTATTCAGGGAGAGTTTGAGGCTGGATTTGATAATGGAGGCCAGACACGTGAACATGCCATTTTGATTCGGAGTCTGGGAGTATCTCAAATTATTGTTGCGATAAACAAGCTGGATGCTGTAAGTAGTGCTATGAGATAAATAGCTAGGCTGGTATATTCATGTAAGAGTCACTTTAAACAATTATACTTTTATTAGATTGATTGGTCAATGGTGCGTTTTGAGCAAATACAGGCGCAATTACAGACTTTTTTGGTTCAGGTTGGGTTTAAAAAGCAGCGCATCGTGTTTATTCCCTGTAGTGGGTTCAGTGGAGAAAATCTTAAAGAGCGTCAAGTAGATGGTCTTTGTCGCTGGTATTCTGGACCTACCCTGATTGAGGCACTTGGTGGGTATTTCTATAAAATTTTGCTTCTCAGTTTTGTATGCGAATGGCTTGATGTATGCTTGATAGAGTTTAGCAAGTTTACCTATTGTTCCTATGTGGGATCTATGTAGACGCTCTCGAGGCTCCACCGCGTTCCATAGAACGACCATTTAGAATTTCTGTTCAAGACTTGTTTAAAGGAGCCATGGCGGCAGGGACAAGTGGCGATGTCACAGTTAGTGGTCGTATCGAGTCTGGCAGTGTACAGCTTGGAGATACTATGATGGCTATGCCGATATTTGAAACAGGACAGGTCCGTGCGATTGAAATTGGAGGAGAGGGAGTTTCGTGGGCTGTTGCTGGGGATCAAGTATCCATGTCACTTGGCGGTCTTGACATTCAGCAATTGAGCACTGGGAGTATTCTTTGTGATCCATCTGCACCGGTATCTATTACGAGCCACTTTCGTGCTCAAATTGTTACGTTTGACATCAATATTCCTCTAACTATTGGAATACCGGTAAGCACTTTTATGGATCTGCTCTTGACAATCTTTTGACTATACAAATATACAGTGACTATTTACTTGTATGACCGAGTATTTTCAACCGTTTTATTTTGAATGTGGTTTAATACCGACAAAACATCTTACCGTTTTGGAATTGGATCTATTTAGATTGTCGTGCATCATCTGGGCCGGTCAGAGGCAGGATACATTGAGCGTCTTGTATCGCTTCTAAACAAGTCGACGGGAGCCGTTGTCAAGAAAAATCCAAGAGCACTTGGTCAAAGCGTGACAGCCGTAGTAGAAATTCGCACTCAGCGTCCCATGTGTTTAGAAACATTCCAAACCACTAAAGAGCTTGGTCGTTTTATGCTACGCAATGGCTCTACAACTGTTGCTGCTGGAATTGTTACAGACATTCTAAGTTTTGAGTAAAGCTGTGGTTTATAAATCATTTCAAGCAGTACAAGACACTAAATGATTATAACTATAATCTTTTTCAACCACAATTTGGGTTTAAAACTTGAAGGCGGTATAAGACTGATTTAGGCCGTATTCGCGTAAAATGAAACATTTCACGTATTTATCTTGAATCGACTATTTTGCTACAGAATAAAAAATGGTTATATTTGTCGTCTTCCTACTACAAATTGACTTTGATAGACATTCTCAATTCTTTGTTCTGTAATTGCTCAACGCACAAACCATTTTTTATACTCGACTCATTTTCAGCAGGGCTCAAGAATGGACGATGTGGAGCGGTTAGTGCAGCTCTAATCCATGTGCCGCTGCTAGATCTTGATATCCGATAAACTGCTTTGTTTGATGGCCTTACTTTTTGCTCATACTCTTGACTGTCCTTGAATTGATTAAAATCACATGCTAAATAAAGCAGTAATTGGCTAGTGTAATAAACCGCAATCTTTACATTGAAATGTCACTGGACTAAAACTCCGCCTTTTGCTGCAAATAAGTTGAATTTAGCAATCGCATTTACGTAAACTGCCACTTTCTGTATTGCGCTCCAGTCACTGCTATCTTGCTTGGGAATAGACAATGGTTAAATATTTATTGTGCCTTCCTATTAGGAATTGACTTGGCAGAGATTTTCAATTCAACAAACAGCATCCACCATAATGCATACACAATTCAACTAGGTTCAAACTGAAACTAGCCCTATCTTCATTCCTGGTAGTCATACATTGTACGATCATCAAGTTTGAAACCAGATCCATTTAGATATCGGGTTCGACGGTTGTCAAGACAACTCTACAAACTCATGTGTTCTAAAATATCAGATACGTTTTAGTTGGAGAAAACAAAGATCGTATATTTCAAGAATGAAGCTGCTGTTTCCATGCCAACCCCCCAATGTTCGATTTGTAGAAAGGAGAGCTGGGAACTGAACAAGTGCCAGGGATGCGAGATTGACTAGAACATGTGAATGCTGCTTTGAACATTCGTTCAGTTTTTTATAAAAAATAGGTATGGCGGAGAAAGATCAATCAGTTTTATCAAGGAGTTCGGAGAATACAATATTGTCCAGTATCTGGCACCAATCATCTCATAAGATGCTGCTTATTATGTGTTTTGGCACCTTTATTTAGTGTTCTATTTTACGTGAATACGGCTGTAACAGACCCAAGCTTGTATTTAGTGGCAGTGTTTTTGTATTGGCGGGGAATACAAGTTTTTTAAATTGGACGAGTTTGGACTATTATATGCTTCTTTTATCCATTCTAGGTTGGTACTATCTATCATGTCCCTAATACGAGCGCTAGTGAGGTAAATCTGGCCATGCATTGTTGATAGATATATGTTCAAGTCACCCACCAACAAGTTTAGTCAATTATAAAGAGTTGGATATAGCACCTCAATAGCCAAATATACAAGGTCTCGAGAGTATGCTCTTCTGTTCTACAGAGTGCACTTGACAGACGTGTCTTGGGGCAAAAATCATGTCATATTGCTATAGGAAACCTTTAATTTACTTGCTATAATTGATATAGGCGGCGTTTTGTCAAAATGATCATTTGGATGGTAGCAATTTTCCTAGCTATTATTTGTATAAACAGTATTGTGTATCTAGACCAAAATGTGGAAGTTCATAGTGCCATGAACGACAGTGATTCTGTTCAGGTATGTATATTAGTCATTTCCCCTATATCTGGTCAAATGCTTTATATTTTCTGCTATTTCAGATTCGACAGAGGTAATGCATGTTTCACATCTAATCTTTTGGATCGTCGTGTGTCTACACTGATAATATATAATTAGCCGACCATTGGAGAGGTAGGCCAGTTTTTAATGGTCAAAAACAATTTGCCGTTGCAGCTTAAACAGTATCCACCAACGTCGAATGAACTAGACGATGGGAATTCAACTTTGCCATCGAAATACTTTCTTGTCGCGGCTGCCATGATGTATAACAAGGGAGATTATATTACTGAATGGATAGAATTTCATCTTCTTCAAGGGTTTGACAGATTTGTTATATACGATCATATGGGAACAGACAATCTATCGGCAGTTATCAATCCTTATATTGAAGCAGGAGTCGCCGAAGTGATTGTATGGCCAAAAGAGTTTGAATTGACAGATCTCCCACCATTAGGGCCGCGGATCTGGCCTAGCGATGACATAAAGGAAAGCTTTGAAACGTCTTTTAAGCGTGAGTGCTTAGAAATCAAAGATTTATGGCATATTCATGGCGGATGTCAACGTACCGCCATGCAAGATGCTATTGCAAGATATCGAAATCGCACGGAATGGATTACCGTGTTTGATGTCGACGAGTTTTTTTATGTTTCAAAAACAGTAAGTATCAGCACATGGTTTTAGAATTTTACACGCATTGTAGTTTAACTTGGTATCTTGATTATATATCAAGTATGAGATTGACATGGGTAATAAAACCTACTTTTGCAATATAAATGTGCCACTCAGGGAAACGAAACAGCAGATACTGCAAGCATCACTACAGTTCGGGATGTTTTGATGTCTAAAGGAAAGGATTATGATCACATTAAAGTTCCTGGCAAGATTTTTGGTACGAGCGGCTTTTTACATAAGCCTATTTCGCAGAACGGCTTGCCTAACCGACTTGTTACTGAAGCGTATCGGTACAGAGTCAACACAGAGACTGGACAAAGACATGAAGAGTTGTTTATGGCCGGCAGATCATATTGCGAAAAATCATTTGCACGCATTTCTACCGTTACCAGCACAGTTATTCATCATTTTACATTTGATCACTATGAAAGCGAGGGAAACACAGTGCGGGAACTCACAACTGGCAACGAATTAATAGACATGAATCATTATCAATATCTGTCACACTATCAGCAAAATTTTAAAGCGTTTGTAAACACTAATTGGAATATTTTTTACTGGAGACCTGTAGAAATGCTTTTTTGCGAAACGCTCGACTACAGTGTTGGATATCTCGTGCCTTTGGTTGACTACAATTTACGCGTTCGATATCACTATGATCGATTGAAAACAATTGCTCAGAAACATCAATTGCAAGACAGTCCCCATTTTAAAAATGTAAGCATTTTAGTTGAATTTGCTATTCTATGCAGTAGTTGATTGTATTTGTAAAAAGCGATGCTCAACTCCTTTGTCTACCAAACTCTTGTCGATAGCATCGTAATTCAGTTTCTCAATTCAGTCTTTCAAGAAAACCATTTGAGTTGTGTATTGCATTTACTCATGTCAATAATGAGGCTCATAAACTTCGACGCGCCATAAATACCATTCTGCACCATATGATAAATGTCGAACCAGACATCACATTTAAAACAGTATTGGTTATGAACCATCAATCTGCTCCACAGGAGCCAACTAAACTTGAATTGGAGTATCTCCACGACATAGTGTCTTTGTTTGATGAGATTGAGGTGCTCCCAAAACTCAGTCCGTGGACTATTGCAATGGACAGAGCTACAGAGCGATGCAAAAGTGCCCAGTACACACTGTTCATGGAGGACAACTGGGAAACTCGCATTTACTCGGGGTCTATATCCGATTATAGTCGTCCTGGTCTCAACTTGCCCATGATTCGTCATGCAATGCACCTAATGGATCACGAAAAAAACATTCTTGAGGTATGGCTTGGCGATACTCCAATTGACCCACCAGCTTATGAGCATGTACGATCAGGCTGGATCAAGGCAACATTTCTTCCAGCTCTTGATCGCAATGACTCAAATTTTCGACTTCTTCAAAAACAAATCTACGATGATAAGCTAAAAAATGCTGTATGGAAAGACACGTTTGATAATTTTTTGAAAGAAAAGAAAATCAAGCAACGATTTATGCAGTACGCCAAGGATACTCTTGATTTAGAACGTCGTGACCAAACGCCTTTTATTTTGTCCTCTGAAGGAGATGAAGATTACTCGGTCGAGCAAAAGCGGGATTTAAGTCAAGTTGATCAAGATTTGGATGAGTTTGATTACGATGATGCAGTAGTTGAGTCAGACAAGCCAGTCGAGATCAAAAGTCGCGAACGATCAGCAAAACTTCTTGCAGACTTTTACAAATCTGCCAAATTACGCTTGAATTGCTTTCCTCAAATTGAATGCCCTTCGCGAATCACCTATATTCGAGTACAGGGAATGCAAGGTGGTAGTGGTTTGTCTGTTGTGCGACTCGGTGGAACAATCAAAAATAACCAACGCCTTGCAACGCTTCCATCGTGGAACAATATTGCTGATAACGCAAAGCATCAGTCGCCATTGGTTATTCAAGAGATGTACGGACAAGAGGCAATATCTCGTGGATTCAAGAGTGCACATATTTGCTTGACAACGCCAGGCTTGCAGGCTGAATGTAATCTTGATCCTGATTACATGTCCGACGAGGTTGTTACTGGAATCATGTGGCGACAGCGAATCTTGCTGGACAAGGACCGCACTGGACCTGCATTTCCCGATCGTCCTATGGATGTCTAACTAAATAGTCCATCGAGGTAGTTATTATATACGATTAGGGATTTAGTACAATAGCATCTCTAAAAGCATATTTGGGACTCGTGTCAACAGTACTTCCAACGCTATCCAATGTTGATTAAATTACAATTACGACAAAAACAATAGTTTTTATTATAACGCATCATGAAAATAGGCATCTCTTTCTGTCCAACAGCCATTATATGTCATAACAGCTGGTAGCATGGGTTAAAGATGATTATTTGAGTAGTTATAACGTGCTAGTTTTAAATAAAACACCATACTTTTATAAACTTGAGATATTGCTGCAATTCATTTACACTAGTTTTTGTAGATTTAGTGTTGATTGATGCAAACAATTTACTCCATTTTTGCATTGCTAAACTACAGGTTCCAAGAATATCAAAAGCGTGGTTGGATAATTTTGAATTTATAACCAGTGTTAGCCGAGGCAATTAAAAATGGTTCTAGGCAAAACAAAAACCTTACATCCATCTCGGGGTGTTGTTCCTTGAATCTTTTGAGTACATCTGCTTTTTTCTGATCATCGCTAGAAGGAAGACCCATTGCTTTTTGGCGTTGATCAAACTAGATTTCGTAGTGGTATCAAATATATTAGAGTTTAATGCATATCGCTCAAGCAACCATGTATTCAATACTCCAAATCATTAGAGGTGGTAGCCTAACCATCATTTTTTCAACCATGGCACGAGTTTCGCCATCCAAGTCTCCAAGTTTTGAATTTTCGGGGACAATCTTTGTGGTGTCGATCGCTGGGTGGTCAGTAATGACATTCTTCCACCATTCTCGATCATTGATTTTTTCCAAGTGGATCATGATCTCGCCATTATCTTTCGAGCGGAGCAGGATGTTAGTATTGGCGTCACAATAGCATAGAAATATTAAAGACAAACAAGCTTACCAAATAGCCAAGTGGAGTCCTCCACCTTGATATTGTTGCAGAGCTCACCCTATATTTCCCAGCATACAAGGATAGTTAGATCTAACGAAATACAATCTGAAGCACAGCTGTCGGGGTTGAATCCACTTACACTGAAGATGGGAGTGGGAGTGGACTTGAAGCCAACACTAAGATGCTTCTGTTTGATTGTAATGGCCATGTCTTTAGCCCTGGTGCCTTTTGGAATGGGAACAGCAATATCTACATCTTGTAGAGTTTGCCTCCACTTGTAAGGCAGAGCTTTAACGATACAAAGGTCAGATTCTGCTATGATGACATGAGAAAACACTCACATACCATCCTGCTCTTCCTTTTCTTTTATGCGAGCGAGCCTGTCCTTTTCCTCACGGTCCTTGTCAGACAAGAGCGAGTCGTCCTTGGGGTCGTTCATCATCATTGCAATCGGCTGGTTGGCTGCAATCTGGCTGCAGCGACAAATCTATCCTTCATCACGTGATGATTAAATTGAAATAAAAAACAGTTCATTTGCCATCACTTGGATTGCAGCCATCAGATTGCAGTTATGATCCAAATGAAGACCTTTTTAAAGGTATTGTTCTGTGCTCGTTGTTTATAAATCCAGTCTGGTTTCTCATTGTATTTTATTTCAGGTCATCGACAACTCTGGTGCTCTCGTTGTTGAGTGCATTAATGTTATGGGTCGACGTCGCATTGCTTCTGTTGGCGATGAGATCGTTTGCTCAGTGAAAAAAGCCAAACCTATTCTTGCCGACTCATCTACTACTGCTGCCAGCATCGTTCAGAAACTTAAAAAGGGTGATGTTGTGCGTGCTCTTGTTGTTCGACAGCGTAAAGAGGTCAGGAGACTGGACGGTAGCTATATCAAGTTTGATGATAATGCTGTAGTCATGCTCAATAAGCAGGGTCAGCCGCTTGGGAATCGTGTTATGGGTATCATTGCTAGAGAATGTAGGCAGAAACGATGGGCAAAGATTGTTGCCATGGCTCCAAAAGTTATTTAACCCTGCTATAATCTGCATATTGCGAGCTCTAATTTTGCCGTGTCGTCATGAGTCTCATTTCAAGCCGAGAAATGAGTCTTTTTACAGTCGTATTCATGTAAAATGAAACACTTTTCTGTATTTATCTTGAATTGACTCTATTTGTTCCTAAAGCACACAATGGTTCAATCGTATTTGTCTTTATTATAAACGCCTACTCAAACTAAAATCATCAATATAACTTTGCTACAACTATTGTATTTCAAAAAACAATCGATCGTCCATAGTTACATCATCCAATGGATACGATTGTGGTGTCCATCCTTCAAAATGAGAATTCAACCCTTGTATCATCATACTCTGGTCGTTAGATATATCCAACGTCATTGATTCGCTTTCAAGCTCACAATTAGATTGTGCAGACACTGTATTTGGATCATCCACTTTTGCGCGTCCATTATCACTAGGTTTTACACTCTTGGACATAGGCTGTTGGTTGATATCAAGTTGTTGGTCACGCATAAATTGCTTGAGTGTAACCATTCTCTTTCGAGCTTGGATCTGATCTTGACGGGTTATACTAATCAAATCAAGTATCTCGATGGTTTTTCCTATAGCACTGATGACTGCACTCCTATAGCATACCTCACGAACAGCCTGAGCAGTGCATTCCCGAGTTTCGTCTTTGCTTTTCTGATCCTGACTTACATTACGTAGCTCACAGTCAGTATAAAACTGCTCAGTAATTGGGTTTCCTCTAATATTATAATTCAAAAAAACAAACATAAATATATCAAGCCAAATCAAAATTCATGCAAAATGAATTTGCAATCCTTTATATATAGACAAGTACAAATAGAGCTAATAAAGAATCACCCACCTTAGATCAAGTGTACGCAGATGGGATAGTTTACGCAACGTACTCAACACTCCACTGATCTCGGCAATTTTGTTATTAGACATGTCCAGTATTTGTAAATTGTAAAGGGCTGCCAAAGAGCTTATATCACTAATTTGATTGCCGCAAAGACACAAACGCCATAGTGTGCCTGCAAGTCGTGTAAAAGGTGGAATGGATTGAATTCCTGCATTACGACACTCCACCGCTTCCATAAACGGTCCAGTCAATGCATCCATTCGATCAAGAGTGTTTCCTAATCAACAATCAAAATTTTCAAATCAATTAGATACATAAATGAGCAAGTGATTCATTCAATTCCATTAAGGCTTGGTGTGACAAAATGCGTTTACCTGATATACGCAGTTCTTTTAATGTATCATACCCAGTTAAAAACAATATCCTGATAAATGTAAAAATATGCCAGTGTTAGTCCAGCAAACATATCAATCCAAACATTGTACAATGAAACTCGAGAGGATTGCTACTCACAAATCATCCGTTCGCTGATCTTCTATGGAAAGAATCTCCAATGAACACATCCCTTCAGGCTCGTCAATTTCAGGAATGCAGTTTCCATCAAGCTTCAATTGTATAAGCCCCGGGAAAGATGATCCTCCAAATGACACAAGACGGTTGTATGATACATTCATGCATCGCAATCTATGGAGTGGACGAGAAACTGAAAAGCTACGCAGATAGTTGCATTCTTTTATATAACAATCGGTTAGATTAAAACGTTGATTTAGATTGGCGTTACATTAGAGTGTTTAAAAGTATGACAAATTAAAGTTTACCTAAATTCAAATCTTGCAGATTCAAGAGTCTATGAAGATATTTTACCCGTTTTAAATTATTATACGATACATCTAGATAATGCAAGCGTTCACTAAAAATAAAATTATAGTGTTAGAATGTTGAGATCGCAAGTTGCTTTAAAAAACTCATGAAAACATGCATCACCGTACAGAGTCGAAAACTGAAAATTAAGCGATTCAATTTGATTATGACCCATCCTAAGATTTGATAGTGATGAAAGAAGTAGTAATGGCCCAATGTTGATAATCTTGTTAAAAGATACATCCAATTCGACCAAAGTCCGAAGACAAGCAACAGCTAAAAACCATATTCATTACAGAAAGATCAAACGTTGGTTACTAACATATGATTGGTATGCTTTGGTCGCGTACAACAGTATGATCAAACGCTTTAAAACATAACACGTGGTAATACCTGAAATATCAAAAATATCATTTCTGGAAATATCAAGAACTCTCAAAGCAGACAAGTGAGAAAAGCTAGTTATATTGAATAATCTATAGATTAACTCATATTAGTTAGTAAACTAGGTATTTCTGAAAAATATATCAATTGTGATCCATATAGTTTATAGCTGCTTACAGATTATTAGATATGTGGAGAATCTCTGTACTAGTCGACAGATCTGACAAAAAAGTAATTTGATTATTATCTCTACAAATACGCAAAACAGTTTAATTTAGTAAAGTTTAGCACATTTGAATAAAAGCAACAACATACAACCAAAAACGTGGCAGCTTTAATTTACTCACAAAGTTAATCGCTTTGGACCTGCCATGATTTCAGGAATATTTTTGACAGAATGAATCTCGCAACCGCTTAGATTAACATGGTTTGTGTTTGGAGAAACATATGCAACGCGGCCTCGTATATTTTTTTGTGATTTGTGTGTGGGAGTAATGGCGCTACTGGCTGCTGGAGAAAAGTCGGATAGAGTGGTATAAGTGGTTGACACAGACGCTCTGAGATTCAAGGATTGTTGACTGCTTGCAGGATTAAACGAATACAATGATTGCGGTGAATCTTGTGCACAACAATGATCAAAAGACTTTTTATACGCACAAATACCATCATGTGGTTTGACTTGATGTTGAGATACATCACTCTGTAATGCATGCACTTGAGTTGGAGTTGAGTTTGTAGAGTCAGGTTTGTTTCCAAAAAAAGTTGAATCACACTTTGCTGGTACATGCTTTACGTTTGACGGTTGAATGGATTCCTTACTCTCGGCCTTTTTTGGAAATGACTGAGCATTGGATCTACAAAAATCGGTATTCACATGCAATGTGGGTACAGTTGGAGATTGTAAAGCAGATTGCTTAATTGATGCTGGTATACTTTCTTGGTGTAGTTTAGAAGGCAAAGGTGGCAGAAAGTTTATATGCTTTGGAGTCACACGATTCGAGGTGCTTGGAGTTTGATCATAACCAAGTGACTGTCTGTCATGCTGAAGGGGCGGCTTAAGATTGGGTTTAGCATGTTGTTGATGCGAATTTGGACGAGATTGTGGTGCCATTAATGGCTGGTTAGGGAACGATTGAACGTAGTCTAGATTTGAGCCACGACCATTTTGATTTGTCTTTTCCGAGCTTAGTTTCTGAAGCACATCTGGACTCTGAGCGATGGGATGGATTTGATTAGACACGGCGAGACTGGAATGAAAGTCATCACGATCAATCTCACTTTGATCAACACCTGAATCGGTGGCATCCACAACGATACTCTGACCATTATCCATATCAGACAATTCATCCAAAAAATCGATATCTTCAGGATATATTTGATGAGAGGTAGCAGGTTGAAGCAGGTCAGTATCAGCAGGCATAGATAGATCGGTAGCATGGTTACTAGAAAGTGACTGTTCAGCGGCAATAGCAGCAAGTGTTGGGCTAGTGAACAAAGTTGAAGCAGCAGGCCACATAAACGTATCTCTTTCAGAAGGGATTTGTCTATGAACACTGCCGCTACTAGCTGTGCTAATGGTATTGGTATTACTATTATTTTTCCGAGTAGAAATGGTCGGACATTCAGCTTTGTCATTATCCGATGAATGCAACTCGGACATGAGGGCAGACAGCCTGCGTTTAGTCCAGGTGTCATGTTGCTCTCCAAACAGCTTGTTAGTGAATGGGTCAGAATTATTGCTATCGGCAGAGGAAGTTCCATGAGCAGTTGCATGAAGCGGGTTGGTGGATTCAGTGTTCTGAGGACGCCTATCCTGAAACAGACGCTCAAGTGACGACGGACCAAAAAGTTCACTCAGATGAGCAGTATCCTGCGGCCACTTTCTGCTAGTAGTTGCACTAGGTCCAGTAATGGATCCAACAGTGGATTTGCTGACAAGTCCAGATTTGGTAGTGCCATTGGGATCATCCCGAACAACAACAGTTCCCAAGTACGATGAGGCTGAATCAGCTAAAGCATTTTCCGTAGATATAGGTTCACTGGAAGTAGCATTATCCCATTGTTCATCCAGACCCACCCACAGACTGCTATTGGTATTTATGGATGATAACATCAATAATGGCTGAAGTTCAGACGCGAAACTTGAATTTCAACACTTTGTCTTGGACTCTTGCAACTGTAGATATCATGAAGAGAAACGATAAAGTATCCTCTGCTGCTGCTGCTTCTTCTTTTGCTGGAACGTCGCTTTTGAGTTTGCCTTTAAACGATGTAAATAAAAATCTTTGTTATTGCTATCAAATTTGTCTATTTTTACTCATTCTAGATATTCGAATTGTAGGATACTTGGGATGCTTTTGTTTTCATCATTTATCAGGACCAACCTTTGAGTATGGAATTTAGCTCTACTAAGCTACATCAACTGTATGTTATTTTCTCTCATTTGTATTTCCAAACTTATTGGCAAGTCTAATTACTATATATTTCCCAACATTGAATTCAAGATTTGAATATATGCTGACCAATATTGAACTCATTTTAATATTTTCAAACCTTCAAGATGTGATTGGATATCAAGTGGATACAGACAAAGATTTAATGTGCTTCAAAAAAGCGACTTGCTTGCTTGGGTATTAGTATTTGGGTCATATATTTTTCACTTTGAACAAACTGCAGTCAGAATAGCTCAACTATTCAACTGCTGTGTTGATAATAACATCAATTTCAGTTTCATATTCTAGTAACCATTTTAATGGTTATATTATCACTCAAATCTGATTATTAACAATTATCAACTGATATGCTCAAATTATTCAGGCACTTGAAAATGCAAAAGTATTTGAGCCTTGTAAAGAAATCAAGTCACTGACAGATAGCGGTGTTTCAGAATCAGAGCTTCCGGATGCAAGTCTCGCTCGTTTAGTCAAGCTTTGGATGATTATATCAAAGCAAGAAGGCATAGAAGCTAAAAACGCGATCAAGGCTCAAAAGGATGCTGCAGATTCTTTGGGACTTTTGGGAGAGTCGATGGATCCGACAAAAATTAGACAGACTAAGCTTGAAAAGGATAAAGACAAGGAGCGTGCCAAGTCGCCCAGTTTAAAAAAACTCGGCAATGTCCCCAGTTCCACACCTGCTGCAGCAGTTGTATCTCCTGGAAAAGGTAATAGTTTTTTTATCGCCAACTGATTGAATCCCTATTTCTGATTGTATTTCAACTTGAATCAATATTCCTGATTGAAAGCTAAATCAAAGTGACTGTCAATCAATAAACATGATCTCAAGGTGGAAATTTTGCCGCTCCAGGAACCGCTTTGGGAAAACTAACCGAGTCTGCTCATCCAGATACATCATCAACAGCTATGGACTTACTACGAAGAAAAAACAAACTGCGAGATCGTACTGGAAAGGGTGATGCGAAACCCATCGCGATTGGTGACGAACCTCAAGATGGTCCAGATGTGTACTACCTTCTCAAAGATTTTGAAAGCACTGGATTTCTCAAATCACTTGTTGAAGACAACGATGTTCCAGTATCAGCTGTATTTCATATTGAAGATTCTATGGTGTCAGGTAGCAATGCTACGGGGCCAGGAAAGCGATTGCCTTTCTCCACAGAAACTACAGCAATCCCAGCAGCTATTAATGCAAATTGGCTCAATTTGAAAAGTATGGCAGCATCAGCACCTGAATCATCCGTGTGGAAACACACTGTATGGTGTCCTATCCAACCCGTCGAGATCAAGGATTATAAAGACATGTTTGATCTTTTTGCCAGGAAAATATATGCAGTGCTTGAAAAACGCCATGTATATCAGAGCTACTACAACAATGACATCAATATCAATATCCCTGATATCAATCCAATTACCACTGTCAAAAACGATCTAAGATACTATGAACATCTTGCAAAAACAGCTGATATGTATGGTTCAGTAAATGAGAGTCTTATACTGGCACTTTTGCTTGAGCATCTGACTAAATCATTTTCCGACACAGTGCTAGTTGATGATGAGAGTGCTACCAACTCGGAAAATTCAGTTTCGCGTGAAAACAATACCAATATCGAAATGAGTATTCTGTCGCTCTATTTTGAACAGGCCGTACGCAGACTTGCCATCAGCACGAGAGATCCACCAGATTTAGAAGGTGCTGATAATATTGTATCTGGAAACCTACATCCATCTATCAAAATAGCCCATTCGAGCAACAAAAACATGATCAGTATACTCTTAATGCAAGCACTTGAATCTCAAAGTATTAATCCGACTGAGCTGATTCATTCAATTACAGACGCATTCCCAAGTAACCGTTTTGTTCATTTTTTAAAATGTGTTCCGGAATTCGAATCGATTGATTCAAGCTGGATTATCCGTGAAAAAATGCTTCAAAAAACTGAATTTTCTCGTGTATGTTCAACAAAACTTGTCGAATCGACTCTTGACCACTTGCTGCTTCAATTGGAATTTGAAAAAATGCTGCATGAAAATACAATCGACTTGGAAAATGCTATATCTACACAAGCATGGTGTTGGACCGAGTCACTCGATCCAAGCACATTGACCCAGGTGCTTCAAAATGCAATGATATATAGACCAAAAGCTATATTAAAGTTTAATAAGGGTGCCGGAGTCTTGTTTTTAGCGCTTTTTAGTCCTGGTCCATTGGGGACTTCGCGATATGAAAAAACCGAAACAATACAAGTGCGAACTAAAGTTGGATTTTCGTTATTTTATGATTTAGCCACTGGCTCAGCCAAGCCCCCTCTACAACCTTTGTTACAGTCTGCGCAATCGACTCCACCAAAGTCAGACACGCCGATGTCTTTGGTTACTGGAAACGTTATTTCAGGCACCACTTTAAACCCGGCCGAAGGTTTAAACACTACTTCTGCAACTTCAATTGACTTTATTCCAGGTGTAGATTCGGATTCTCGTGCTGGTGCCTCATATGTGTACTCTGGAATAGATCAAATTATTCAAATTAGCGAGAATACTCAATATATGTATCCACTTGATGATATAATTGTTCGATTGTGTAGTTTGTCATCACGTATTGCTGGAAAACGTAAGATATTCAAGCTTTATATTTTATGCTGCATTTAATACTGCTTGACCAGTATATTGAAAATAATTTTCATTTGTTACAATTTTTAATGTTCATATACTCTAACTATCCGTCATTTTGAAAACAACCAATTATGGTGAAATTTAGACACATACACCACTATATCGTGCGAGGATGCAGTATTTTCGTTTTCTGGAAATACAGCCAGTAAGACTGGCGCATATTTTACAGCATCGTTCTCAGATGGAGTCGTATTTTCATGTACCAAGAACCAATTTGGATTTCATGCTCAAGTATCAACCCAAATAGGGCATGTTGTAAAGTATCTTGACAATGGCTGCTTGGCTATTCATAAAGGAAACACAGTATTACATCGATCAACAAAGCCCACAACGGAAACTAGAAGGGTTGTGATTCCAATGGGCACGGTTATCAGATACTTTGATGATGAATCATCGCAGGTACTATTTGCGGATGGATCAATAATAACCGAGTCTCGTAAGCATGAAATTACAAAAGTTAGTCGCGAGGGAGTTAAAACCGAGCATTTCAAAGGAGTATCCGTTACTGCAGCACCTGGAGCTTCATCAAAAACAGATGAAGATGTTCCCATCAAACAATATAAAGTTTCTCAAGAGCGCAACATTTCAACCAATTGTGTGGTGTTTACAAGAGAAGATTTGGTAACAATTTCATATCAGGATCATGGACCTATTGTAACAAATCACGCTGACGGTACAGTGTTTACTTCTGTTCCGCAAGTGAGCACTGTGATTGAAGCACCTGAATGTCCTACAATTCTGCTGGAAAATGGAAAGGATGTGACTACGTTTTCACCATGCTTTTCAATTGAACGGCGCTTCAATGAATATAAAGAACATACCAGCAAAGTTTCAGAAAAAGTCAAATCCGCTATTCTAAATGAGCATTCAGTATTTTATATCAAAAAAGTAAGCTTATTTTGCCAAAAATTGCAGAATCTATGTCTAAACTGTAACTATAAATTAATGAATGATATTTATTTAGAATGATATGCGAATTAAGCTCGAGTCAACGGGAAAAGTCCAGATTCAGCTATTTTCAGCCAAGGATAATCAGCAGCCATCTAATAATATGAATATTGACTGGCATAAAGGAATATTTGAGTATGCAGATACAGACGGTCAAATCTATAAAATCAATGAAATGGGAAAAGCCGAGGTAATACATCAAGTTTTTTTATCAATAGCTTAAAGTATAATTGTCTTGATGATTAATATACCAAATAGGTTCAAGAAAGTAATGTTCCTAAACAAGCCAGTACTTTTTCATTTGGGGGTAAACTTGTTCAAGAAAGTCTTGAAAAAGCGGATCCGACTGCAATACTTTTTGGAAATCAGCCAAAACTATTTGTCATTCACCATGATGGATCAGGAAAACAGCTTCTTACAGACATAGATATGAAATACTATTTTAGTAATCACTCGAATACTTTTTTGCAAACCAATGAAGAGGTGACAGAAGATGTAGCATCAGTTGCTGTTACATTTATTTCAAAATATGTACCAGCTTTTGGTACTAATTCAATAATGACGTATCGTCAGGTAAAAGTAGATGCTTGTTGATTGGTACAAGCCATGTTTCATCAATGATTTTATACTGACTGCATAATTTCGTATATTGATACAGACATGTCGACATCAACAACTAGATCCAGTGACTCGTAATAAAGTGGAAACAGAGTTTAGAGAATTTGAGGCTCGTCGAGCAAGCCGTGGCGAGGTAACTGTTTTATTCAACGAGACAGAGGGTGTTGCTGAGTCGACAGGATCGCTTCAATCTGATTGTATAACAGTTGGACAAAATAAGTTGGCCACTGAAGAAGCCATCATTCGTAAATATGGGTTGCTCGAGGAACACGCTTTAAGAAATGGTCACTCAACGGTAAATATATTGAGGTTCAAAGATCTGCTGAATAGTAAAGAGATTGTCAAATTGATTTTTTGTCTTGAACTTTTACAAGTTAAGCTGGATCTATTTCAGCTGAAGGTTGTGGACTAATTTTAATTTATATTCTACTTTTATAACTGTATTGAATGCACACACATCAATTAGGACCAAATTCAACCCAAGCAGGTATATGTCAATTGATTGTACTCTTACAGTTTTAATTTGTTAATTAAATCATAATTAATATATGAAAGGAGATGGATACATCCAAATACTGGAGAAAACCGCGTATATTACGTTTGAGAAACTCGCTTAAAGATCAGAAGGAGCAAACTTCCCATAAATCAACCCGCTCACCAGTACGAATCGAGAGTGTGAATACCAAATATTTTGAAACTCCCGAAGGCAAAGCATTTTTGCATCATCAACAGGCAAGTGTAAACATTTTAGATTGTGGCTTGGAAAATAAAGTTGCTGGTATCCCATTGGTGCCGATTATGTTTTATTCGAGTGCTAATTAAATGAAACAGTTGAATGATTGCTGTCCGGCTCAGAAAAACATAGGTTCCAATGGTATTCATTTTCCACAGTCTGTAAGTATTGGCACTTATGCACTCTAAATATTTCTGAATTGTATTTGATTGTCTAAATTTGACACTAATTAGTCTACACTTTAAATTTCAGAGTCAATCTATAGAATTAGAAAACCCCAAGGCAAATGAGCAGCAGCATCGACCAGCACCAGCTGCTGAAAGAATTCGACATATCCCTATTAAACAAACCAGGCCAATAAAATTGGCTTGTCTTGTTCCATCCATCAAAAAAACTGCAAATATCACAACCTTGGCCAAAAAAACAACACCTTCATTGGAATGCACTCCGCTTTCAATTGATACGCCTTTGACTTCCTCACCCAACAAGGGCCGCAAACTTGCCCTTCCTGTGTCGATTCGTCGATCGCAACCAGGAGCTGAACCAAACGTCAAATATCTCAAACAAGAACTCGAAGCCAGACGACAAATTCAGACTTCATCGACATCTCTACTCGCTAAAACCAACTCAAACTACGGTCTTGGTGGGTTTGCTATTCATCCCTCCAAATGCAAATTCAATATAGTCTCTTCAGCAGAGAATGCCGAAATGGCTTTGACTATGACGAATATTGGCATTGATTCGACACGGTTTTTTGTCAGACAGCCCAAATGTAAAGGAATCAAGGCTGATTTCAAACCTGGACCAGTTGCTCCGGGTATGGCCACACATATCTTTGTGCGAGTTCAAAGTGATTTAGTTGCAACAGGTGCGTTGGCTAACAGTAAGCCGGACAGTATGAGTATCAAGATTACAGATGAGCTGCAGATTGTTTCCGAAAGCGAGATTTTACATATTCCAATTACTGTTGGTAAGTGTCTATACATTGAGTCTGTGATTATTTTGCAAATATTCAACACAATTATTAAATGTTGCCATGATATTTAGTGATAAATTTGACACAAAAGGATTCAATGGATGAACTTGCAGAATAATAATCCAGGATTTATACATGGAAAATATCGCTGGGATTTGACCAAATATATTTGGTAATAAATCTTTTAGTATTCAAACCATTATTTTTGTAAGAGATTTGGGAGAAATATGCCAAGACAAAGAAAGCAGTGTTTGGCTAAAACAATCAGTTTAATACCAATTACCAATGCTGCAGTTTAGTCTCGCATAACTGACACAACTAACAGTACATTTCTAAGACTGAGAGCCATTTTCTATTCTTGCCATCATTCATTAGTAACAGCAGCTCTTTATTGCCTATCACTTTGAGATTGAATTGCCATCAATGATTTCAAAAGTATCATCAATGATTGCCAAATTGCTGTCGGACAAAGTCAAGGTGGGTCGATGTATATTACAGCGATATTCACGCAAATGGAACACTTGTATTTATCTTATAGTCACCGCCTGTTTGGGATAGACAATGCTTAAATATTCATTGTGACTCTACTACAGATTGACCGACTCTTTAGTAGACAATGTCCATCGTATGATGCTCACAATCAAATTATAACTTTGAACTGAAATCATCTTTTTTAAACCTCCCTTTCTCCTTTTTTGGTATAACCATACATTGTACGATCACCATATTTATTCATTGCAGTCCATATATTGAATTTGACTGTTGATATTGTCAATACAATTCATGTGTTGTATCCCAAAACTCGAATATGCTCGCGTTCTAGTTTAAAACGATGATTGTACGTCTCAAGAATGCAACTGTTGTTTCCATGACAATCATCCAATGTTTGGTTTGGATCAAAGAAAAGTTGGAGATTAAACAAGTGGGATTTACTAAAACTGTAAACGTTCGTTCAGTTGCTTTATACAAAAGTGAGCATAAATCAATCAGTTTTATCTGGAGTTTGAAGGACACAATCTTGTCCAGTAAACTGGTATTGATCATTTCATGAGACGCCGTTTATTATGTATTTTGGCACTTTTATTTAGTATTCTATTTACGTGAATACGACTGCAACAATGCTTTTGAAAGTATCATAATCCACTTGTGATTGCTCACAGTTGCCTAAATCTGTCGAGCCAATCAAATTCATTTTTACAGATACAAAATATTGCCATGCATTACTGATAAATCTGTACTGATTGTAAACACCAATTAAATTTGTTTATTTTCAATAGGAAAGGCGATCTGGATACGATCACTTGTGTCAATGGCTAGATTCTCTTCAATTTGCTGACAACGATGAGGATTCTGAAAACAAGAATACGCATAATAATTTGACCCACCGTGGTGCTCGAGATACTTATTGCCAGCCAAATTCAAATTGCAGCTCTGATAAAGATGATGCCGTTTGGCTTAGACTAATTGAATCATACTGTCGTTTTTCTGAAACTGAGCAAGGCCTTGCCATCTCAAAGACAAAAACAAGCTTTGGTTCCAAGACAGTCCGCACCACAATTGGTTCAGCTCCGACTATTCAAATGATTGGGGAAACATTTTCCAAAATATGCGATGTGTATGCAAGAATCTATCCTTTTGTAGCTGTCCAGTCTACATTTGTTATGGATCACGTTTTGCATACATTAAAATGCGCATCTGGTCAATATGCAGAGGAAAATGCATACTCTGCAGCAGTTATCAAACTACTATACCCATTAAGATTCTCATATGCGCTGGGCCTACGACACTTGCTTCGCGCACGCTTGATTCGAAGCCATCTCACAGCAGATATATGGGATCACTTGTTTATTCTCATTACTGATATTTTAGCTCCACAAGAAAATGACATGAACGATGAGTCCACGTCAGAAATTACAGATACACACTTTTCCAATAGTTATATCACCAATTCGACCAGCTCTCAAAATGATCGCCGTCCAGATAGTGCTGAACTAGCTGAAAGTCTTACTTTTTTAGTGTCGGGCTATCACCTTTCGCATATTTTTTCTCGTGCTGGAGATATTTTACGCACTGCAACAAGATACCTGCAAATGTATCGTGGTGAAAGTAATATGGCATCGTGCATGCTGGGCTGTATTTTATTTGTCATATCCCATATTGCCGTGGATCATTTGGATGGATCGCTTGATATACTAGACACTACCATGCCTTTTATGCTAGATATGTGGGAGTGTAGGTCAGTATCATTGAAAGCTCATATTCTCAATATAGCTAGAATGTTTCTGATACTCAACAAGGCAAGAGATAATCATGAGCCATTTACTTTGGGCTGTGTCAACCGAATAGCCACACTTATCATTTCATCGTGGTCTTTAAGAATGTCTACATCCGCATTTGATCTCGTGTTTGACAGCATCTTGACTGATACCTATTTTTCAGTAAAACATGCATTATCAAGCCATCGTATGGTCGATCGATCAGCACAAACTGAAATAATTTTGCTAGAAACAGATCTTGCCTCGTTGCTGTTATGCTGGCAATTGGAACATATGTATACTACTTCTGAAACAAATGAATTTCGGCTAAAAGACGAGCAAACGCTACTACTCAAGGACAGAGCTAATGATTCTGCATGCGATTCTCCACGAAAACGATTTTGCAAATCAGCCCAGACACTTGTTACTGAGTTGACTGCATTGATTCAAAATGCGATTCATACAAAAACCAAGGCACTTTATATTCATCTGTTGGCCATCTCTGCCTCGCGTAGATGGGATTTATGCAAAGACTATGTCCATAAGCATCTCAATGCGATTCTTCAAGCATTAACATCTAGCAATACTCAAGTCAAAGAAGCTTCACTTTTGTTGGTTTATGTTCTGGTATCAAATATTTGTTTAAAAGGTGATTTAGCACAACCAACGATCAACTCATCGTGCACCTATATAGATACAAACTCTGTCCAGTATCTGAACTCGGATCACAAAAACCTGTCTGAGGCATGGATGATTCCTGAAATTTGGTTCATTATTGTTTCCAAAGCAAGTCACTCAGAAAGCTTTTTATCAATTCGTGTTGGAATACTTTCAATAATGGCAGCTCATCGTTTAGTGCCCAATAGTCAATTGGTAAAATATTACACAGAAGAGTTTCTTTCCAATGCATCTACAGCAATGATAATTGGATTTCCTTTAGAGACTCAATTTCAGATGCGAATGTATCCGCTGCTGTTAGATTTGGAGACCAAAAGCGCACTAATGTATTGGAAGATTGCAATGTCTTCATTGACGACTCTTTTTTCTGAAGAAATGCTGGGAATTTCATCAACACATATTTCGTGTCTGGCTGAATCTATACTTGCATCCTTTGGATTTGATTGCAAATGTCATAAACGCAACTATACGGCACTTTACAATACCAATTTTTCGTCAAATCAACTACTTTTTGAAATAATGTTCGAGTCTATTCAAAAAAACGTTGGCATTTTTAAAGAGTCTTTTAATATCTTTCCATGTCGAAGCTTTCCACATACAGCCATTCGACAGCATACTGACGTTCATCAAAATGTGGCCAATCTTGAGCAGTTTTTTGCATTTCTTATACCTTATCTCAATGATACTATTATTTCTAAAGAAATGATGTCATTTCAGTCTGAAACAACCTCGGCAACAAATACCAAGTTTTTTAAAGCACTCTCGGCGCTATTAATATTTCTGCTCACTATTTTTCAGACGGTATCTGTATCATCTGATATACGTGAGTCTGATTTGAACATCCAGGAAAAATTGCAGCAACTGCAAGATGCGATTGGAAAGTTGGCTGGTTGCTGGGTAACTCGATTACATGGCTTAATTTCATTGAACGTGCAATGGAGTACAGAAATTCTTTGTGAGGTTTTTGGATGGATTTCATATTTGCCATTTGCCCGTCAAAATTCAATGGTTTTACCAAAACAAGTTCAACAGGTAAGCTTAAATGTTTACATTTTGTAATTGACTGATGTTTAATTTGCACATTGTATTATTTCAATCGACTATTTAGGAGTTCCATCTTTTATGGCCAACCTCAGTATCTACTACCACTGACATGATTCTCTCTGTCACTCAAGCGTCATTGGATTTACAATCTCTGGACAATCCCATCAGTCAACAAACCTTGAAAAACCAAGGAACAGCCAAAACTAAACGACAGCTGCGATGCCAACTGGGTGCATCCATGAGTTTTGAAGTTGCTTGTTATGACGATCTCGTGGAAAATCCGCAACCTAGATCAGCTGTTTTGCTGAGTATAGCACATACTGCTTTGGGCTCTCTCTGTCTTGAAAATGTGCCAAAAAAAGTGCTGGAAGCAACCCAAGAAATGTTTATATATTATATTCAACAACCATCCTTGGGATTACTTTTAAAGCATGATCTTATTGCACTATTGACAAGATTGGAGTATTTATCAAAAAAAGACTTTTTTTATCGATTAATGACAGTCATCATGTGCATGCTACAGGGGCTTCAAATGGAAAAATGTGACGAGTATCTTGTTTTCAGTATTGAAATGATCAATGTCATTTTTTCAAAATTACTTGACACGAATTTTGACAAAGATGATGCTAATCAAGATGGCGGAAACTCTCGTGCGTCGTTGATGACTTTTATTCGGTTCGTCAGTATTCAAGGAGTGGCAAAAAAACTATCAAATCAAGGACTATCAGGACTGTTGAATTTGATTGAGCGAGTTCAAGCGGTTAATTCTGCTTTTCCTGATTTTGACTGCGTTGACACTTTGCTGCGTCTACTCAATGTTTCCAACTTTCAATCCAAACTGCTTTGGGCAGATAAAGGCGTGTCGATTCTTGTTGGATGTTCTGATTCTGCACAGTATGAACATATACATGATTGTGTAGCAAAACAAATGTCCAGCGATCCAGTCGATGATGCCGAATTAGTTTCTACATGTGCTATCTATGCATTTTTGGCAGTAGCAAGCAAAGGAGCCTGTATGTCAGCAATTGTTTCGATTGTCCGACTTATCAATGATGATACAAACGTAACGGTGTTACGTGTTCTCGACAAAATATCTGTTCAGCTTGGATTTTCATCCTTGAATTTAATGCTCAGAACATTTTTTATTGAAATCATCAATGACGCTGGCAGTGTATCTCAATGTCCTTGGAGTATTCTTGGCGATTTAACATCCGAACAGCAGTTTTTTGCACAGTACCTCGAGTTTTTGATACCTTTGGCTGTGAAAACTGTGAGCCTAGCAAAATTTCTTGGCGAGATTAAAAATGCCAAAGATCTTTTGATCAGCAAGTTTGGAGTTGTATATGGAGAGCTACTACCATTGACTTTTGATGCAAACCATGGTACAAAGGTAAAACTACAGTTTTTTGACAACATGCACTTTGATTTGGCCGTTTTTTAACCAAAATTGATTGATTATGATGTGTAATCAGGCAAAAGCAGCAGATATAGCAATATTTGAAGCATGTGGATTACAGTCAGATAACAGATGTAAAGAGATGCTAAGGTTTTCCTCAACAATACTGTATACCATTTTTTTAAAAATCAACGGATGGGAAGTGATTAAAAATATTGATCACGAACGAAACAAAATAGACTCGCTTCTTGTTGGTGAATTGGATCAAATCCAGCCATGGACTCCGCCATCGGATTTATCTTTGCCTTGTTGCCATTTTATAAACTTATTGGAACCTGTACCTTCATCTCAAATATCCAACGTCAGCGAATGCATCCAATCCATTCATGATTTTTGCAATACCATCAAGTTCAAAAAGATATCTGATCTTTTAAAGCCTCAGCGTTTACAAAAGATCGTTCACAAATTACATTGCATAATACATGCAAACCCACTCCCTTTATATCGTCGAAGCTGGCTGTATAATGGATATACAATGCTAATGGTGATGGCTCAAGAACACTGGTTTCATCCCTTCATATTTAGATCTTCATTGCAGTTTCTGCTTCAACAGGCATCGCACGAATTTATGGTCGGAACATGCTGTGGAATAATCGAGTATATGGTAAACAAGTCTTTGAAGCTAGGATTCCCTGAGAATTTGCTTGATAATTTTGGATATTTATGCGCAACGCTCTCGAAATTAGGCGAAGAGTACCAGCAACGAGGATTGGCGATTGATGCAGCATATAAAAACTATTCCGATACCCACAATCATTGTCACTGGGCAGCAAAAGCGTGTGCATCTCTTCTCAAACTATTACTTGAATTATTTGGCGCGGACAACACTGATTCTATCCAACTCGCTATTTTAAACGTGGATATGAAAAATTCATTGTTTTCAGATCAGCTGGAGAAATATTTAGCAGATAATATATCTACCTGTGTGGTCAAAAAGGCTTTGTTAAACAGCAAAGTACAATCACCAGCACCTTTACAATATTTTCAACGGATACTCGATACCCCCTCGACGCATGTATCTGATTGGCTTTCAGATTTAGAGATTTCTCATCTCTTTAATGTGCTACAGGATCTGGCTAGCTCAATCTTCACTACTCAAGCTATTCGAACTGAAGCTTTAAAATCTGTTGCAAAGCTATCGCTATTTACCACACATACTCAATTTGTTCAATCGACTCTGCTGTCTAGCATAGATACGTCTTTGTCCACTATGAGCAAAGACATATTTTTTGATGAATTCTTTCTTAAAGGCTATATCGTTGTACTACAGTTTTTAGCTCATTCACTTCTTGATACTGATCTGGACGTCATATCTGTGACTATCAAAACTCTTTCTACCATTGCTACAAAAGAATTGATAGAAACTGCCATCCCGTACCTGTCAGCACGAGACGTGGCATTTATTAGGCTGTTTACGGGACGGAGTCAATCAGGACGGGAATTGCCTATATCATCCACGACAGCTTCTTGCTTATGTCTAGATACCATGTTTATGAATAGTGAAACACCTATGATTTGGTCCCAAAACATTGCAACCGCGTTGCTGGCTACCTATACATACACGCTGACATACTCTGGTTTAAGCAAAATGTTTGAAATCCGACCAGAACTTGCAGATATGATACTGCCATATCTGTTCTATACCCCACTTGCAGATGAACTGGACACATCCGATTCTGTTCGTAAAGAACTATCCTGCATTTTGAATGCATTTTTTGAAAAGGCTACCAAGAAAGATGCATATGCTATATCTAAGCTAATCAATGTAGTGCATGTAAGTTTTCATGTGCTCATTACGCTGTAGTGCTGAAGCTTGTTAATGTGATTGCAGAGTTGCTTAAATTGCTTTTTGATTGCATAATTTTTAGTTTATGTATAAATGTCCAGCACCACATTCAATCATTAGGTACGAGTGGTTTGATTTAGACTATTCCGCCGTATCTAGAGCTGCAGCTTTAGTAAACCCACTTGAAGCACTATTTTTTATTGAAACTCAACATGTCAAATCACATGATCCCGATAATACTCCAACTTCATCGACATGGAACACGCTGCGGGAGTGCTACGCATCATTAAACGAGTTGGATAGTTTTGAAGGCGTGATATCTCATTATCGCCATGACACAGACAGTATTCTTATACAAAAGTATGAGCATGGACACCAGTGGGGGAAGATAATGTCGCTGATGGATACACGACTACAACTTTTCAAAGTAAATGGTGAGTCAAAGGATCAAGCGTCTGCTTATAATGATGAGCTGAAACTATGTAAAGCACTGAGTCAGTCTGGACAATATCATATTCTGGAAAAGTTGTTGGAATCTATTTTTCAATCGATGGGATCTGAAAAAGGTCAAGATGCTGCTTTGCCAGATTCGACACAATCTTCATTTAATCTAGCAATCTCAGAGTTGAGGCATGAGTGTTTTTGGCGCATAGGCAGATGGAATATGTTGACGACTGATAGTGGTAACTTTTTTAAAAATAATGGTTGAAGTTGTATTCAAATACTTATATATTTTAATTTTTTACAGGATCAAAAAAGCCAGAAAAATCAATCTACGCTTCATTAAAAGCACTCTACACTCTTCCGTTTTCAACTGCTACATATACCACATTGCTAAAATCATTAACTGACTTGACTGGACACAAGCGTGCATTTCCAGATCTATTATGCATTGTCGAAGCCATTGAAGTATATGAGCTACTTATAGATAGCGATAAAAGCTTTACCGCCATGCTAGATTTATGGAACTCTCGTCTTAAACAAGTTTCTGAGCATGAGTCGTTTTTGGAAATTGAACGACTCATGACGTTTAGAATTCAACTACTTTTTTCTTTTCGGCAGGCTTGTATTAATGCAAACAAGGATATTCAAGTGATTGATCAATTCAGCGCTACATATCTGGTAGATTTATCTCGTCAAGCTCTGTCTAATCAATATTTTCATACAAGTCAGCACGCCATTCAACGGTTTTCAGAGTTGAATACACAGTCGCTTCCGTGGCAATCGCTGGATATGGAAATCCAAAAACTAAAATTGTATTGGCTGCAGGGTGATCAAGCTTTAGCAATCGGGTTACTGAAAGATTTGATTGACAAGAAAAAAACTATTCTTGCTGTGCCAGTCAAAGAAAACCGTAATGCATATGCAAGCTTACTTTGCTTACTTGGAGATTGGTCATCACAAAATCAATCCCAAACGCCACAAAATATTGTCAGAAAGTACTTGCTACCCGCTTCTGACATCCGTAGTCAGATTGATAGTATTTCAGCTTATACAACCTCAACCACACACGCTAGCGAGTATTATCAGTTGGCACGGTTTTGCGATCAAATTTTACACGAAATGGAATCAGATGATACACATATCCGTGCAAATCAGGTGTTGCAAGATCGACAAGAGGAGCTACGTCAGTATATAACCGTAGAGTCCACAACACACACAAAACATGAACGAATTAGTATTGATCGCGCCAAAACCAAACTTGTAAAGCAGATTGATATTGATCAAGCAGAGGCGAATCGCTACAATCGCGAAATGTCCGTTTATCTTAAGCTTAGTGTACAAAACTACATGAAAGCGCTAACGTACTCCACTCAGCATTCTGAAGAAACCGTGTTTCGATTCTGTTCATTGTGGTTCTCTCATTCTACCAATACAAGTTTACAAGAAACAATCGCTAAAAAAGTTGATACTTTGCCTACACACAAGTTTTTGGTTTTGATGTATCAAATATCTGCTCGATTGATGTCATCAACACCGTCCGCTTATACTGAATCGACAAATCAACATAATCAAACTGTTGATAAAGAAGTACGATTTTGTCAAGTGTTGGAAATACTCATTATCAGAATTATCAAAGAGTATCCATATCACTCCCTGCCACATCTTATTGCCTTTAAAAACGGTGCTGATGGCAAGTCGAACCCATCACATCACACTTTAAAAAATGGTGCGCTAGGCATAAACCATAGCGAAAACGAGTGTCAGCAACCCATCAACTCTGCACAAAAGATTTTGGATGTCATTACGGCTGATAAATCTCTGCAAACATCAACCAAACAAGCAAGCCTAAATAGTATTATATTAAGCTTGGATGGCTTATTTAATCTATATATGCAAGTTGCAGAGCTCAAGCATGATAAAAAGACGGCAAAACCAAACAAGCAGAATAAGAATTCTAAAGGATACTTGTTTGAATCTGCATTGCTTATATCCAAGTATACAGAAAATTCGAGTGTTCCTATTTTGACATTGGAACAATCTATTGGAACTCCTGGCGATTGGAGCAATATTGTGCATGTTTTCAAGTTTGAAAAATCGTATACACTCCCAGGCGGCATCAACGCTCCAAAGGTGATCAAATGTATAGGTAATAATGGTAAAGAATACCAACAGCTGGTTAAAGGAAACGAAGATTTGAGACAAGATGCAGTTTTGTCGTCCATTTTCAGCATGGTTAATGTACTTTTACTAAAGAAGTTTGAGTCGCGTAAGCGTAAGCTGAACATTCGCACATACAAAATCACCCCAATGTCCCCACAGACAGGAGTAATTGAATGGGTAAATGGAACTGTGCCTATTGGAACCATTTTGGTTGATGCACATCAACGATATAGACCAACAGATTTAACCACAAGCGATTGCCGCCAATTGATGATGAAAGAACATGAACGAGTGGGATCAGACTCTGCATCAAAACTTGCTGTATATCAGACAATCATGAATCAGTTCAAGCCTGTGTTTTCGCAAGTACTATTGGAACGGTTTACAGACGCACGAGAGTGGCTGCAATGTCGAACACGATACACACGTAGTGTAGCTGCAAATTCAATGGCAGGATATATTGTTGGCGTTGGAGATCGCCACGCACAAAATATTTTATTTGATTGTCAGACTGCAGAGGTTGTACATATTGATCTGGGGATTGCATTTGATCAGGGAAAGCTGCTGTCTATTCCCGAACTGGTACCATTTCGACTGACTCGAGATATGGGTAAATTTTTGCATCCAGAATGATAGTATGTATGCATCAATGTTTTCTAACTATATGATTAGTGGACTGTATGGGAATGACAGGAATAGAAGGGGTATTTAGAAAAGGATGCGAGGAAACCTTGCGAGTTTTAAGGCAGGAATCATCAGCGATATCGATGCTGCTAGATGTGTTTCTACACGATCCGCTGTACAATTGGAAGATATCACCGCTAAAGCTAAAGCGATTGCAAAAAAAATCGACAGTAGGGTCGACAGAAAATGAAGTGATTGAGCAAATATCAACAAAATCATCGAAAATCATTAGATCCGCAGGCATTGTTCACAAGGAAGAAACGCGAGGCAGAGAAGAGGCTGCACGAGCCATCTTTGGAGTGCATAAGAAACTATCGAGTACACTTGGACTAGAATGCCAAGTATCGCAACTCATTAGTACGGCAGTCGATGCAAATAATTTAAGCAGAATGTTTCCAGGATGGTAAGTTTTATTGGTAGAGTGGATTCGATATTATGCTGTTCATATAGTAATCTGAATATGATGAATACAGGCAACCGTGGCTATAAATACCATGACAAGAAATTCAATAAAAGTAATCAATACCATTACTAAGCCGGCGAGTTGAATTTATCTTGCATTGTTTGCAGTATACAATGGTTGACTGTTTGTTGCTTTTACACTACAGATTGGCTTGAATAAGCATTCTCAGTTTGTCGGTGTTTGGAATTGTTTGACCAACAAACCCATTATTTATTATACTCGAGTCATTTTATGCAGGATTCAAGAATCGACAATATGGAACTCCAATCTGCGCGACATTTGTTGAATGGTTGACAAACCATGTCTAATCAGACAGTTGCTTTGTGGAATAGAATGTTGTCTGGAATAATATGCGTGTTTGGAAATGTTTCATGTCGTCGTTTAGAAAGTCTTGACATATTATGGTCTTGACAGTTCCTTTGATCAATCTCCAGACACACCGACCGTATGACACACAACCAAACTATAACTTTGAACTATTTTGTTTAGATCTTGCACTCTCTCCTTTGTTTGCATAGTCATATATTGTACGATCACCAGATTCACTTATTACAATCCAGATATTGTCAATAAAATCTGGAAACATCCCTTGCTGCCAATCTGTCTGTCACTCGTGAGTTGGTTTCTGTAGTATTATTTTCAATATCATTGACACTGTTGGCCGAGACACTTGACAAGGTCCACAAGTGCGCTTGCAACGCCTCGTTGTCCAAGTGCTGATGACTACAGGATTGCTAGACCATCAATAATGATTTGATATATTGATTTTCATGACAATATTATAGAAAGTGCTGACATGAAAATGAATTTATACGTAAAAAGGCATGTTTTGAATGATAAACCCACCAAAAACTGGTTCTACACGACGATTCCAAGAGCAAAATGATATCCAGTAAGATTTTCATCAAACATGACTGTTTATCGTGTAGTTTAGTGTTTCATTTTACGTGAATACGGCTGTAAATTTAAATTTGGTAGAAATCATGTCATGAAACCGAGTATTTATTAGACATTTATTTAATGTTCTACTTTGCGTGAATACGACTGTAAATTCAGAACAGTTTGCTACGCCTGGAACCATTACTAGCACATTATGGATGCTCCAACCCAGCTAATGGACGACGTTTCTACTAATGATTCCATTGAAAGACTCAGCCATTCCGGTGTGAATGGAAAAATACCAATAACTATATCCACTACTGGGCTAGAACACTCGCAGCAACAGCCTTCAACGTCATCCAACCACATGCCTTCTTCTACTAGTACAGCAACTACTTTATCATCCTCAATTCACTCTGCCGGATCACTTCCTCTTATCCACCTATCCAAAATGATTGATCCTTCACTTCCTGAATACAAACAGATTCAGACTTCCAGAGAAGAAATTTTGAAGTTATTGGACATGACGATTCCTGGAGATGATGTTGAAGTTGCTGCAACCACTCATTCTTTAAAAACCACTCCATCTCATTCCAGCATGCATGATCACTTGAACACGTCCATACCGTCTGTTTCCGCAATGCCTGATGCCATCAGTCATGATACAGACACTAGTTGCTCTCAGCCTACATACAAGCATCACTCCATTGGTGGATGTGTTCGTGTTCATCAAGACAATGATGGTGATTTGGATAGCTTTAATGACGATAACAGAGATGCTTGTGGTAATGATTATCGGACATTTAGTTATTCTAATCAAAAAACGAGATATCACCACGCTCCATCACAAGGCGGTATTTGTTTAAATGCCCATCAACGATATGCATGTGCAAGGCTCTTGCGAAATTTAAAAGTCTATAGAGCAGCCTGCTCTCGTACCAACCAAGTATGTATACTGTCCCTTTGTATTCGCACCCTACACAATCCAGCTTGTTTATCTCTATTAATTTACAAATAGGATGAAATAGACGATTTTGTTCAGCAGGAGTTGGATGCTGCGTTATCAATCATTAAAGAACTGGTTGAAGTCAAGAGTGCTCATGAGAACGAATTAGAAAAAATTCGTAATGACTACAGCACGTTGTATTCCTATCACGATAATCTCAAGGCAGATAATGACGATTTGCAAGTCAATAGAGACACATTGCGTGACGAGCGAGATGGGTTGGTTGCTGCCATTGAACAGTCGAATGCCGATTTAAAAAGAGCCAAAATTGCTGCCACTCAATCCGTGTCCGAATTGACCGTAGCCAAGACACAGCTTGCTGATCGCGAAACTTATATCCAGTCGCTGGAACGACAACTACAACTATCTACAGAGGTTCGCGTTCCTTGTGAATTGACTAGCTCTGTGGCTCCTGTAGATAATGCAGTCAGCGATTCAGCTGCCGATATGACAGCCGCTCAACATGTAATTTGGTCCCTTCAACAGGAACTGCAGGTCCTTCAAAATGCATACGAAACCATGAAACAGCAGTCTGAAACAACAGAAGCTCGTCAAATTTCTAAAGCATCAGAATGTGAGCAACTTTCTCAGCTCGTGTCTGTGTATGAGGAAGAACGGCTGCAATATGAGACCAGGATAGCTGAATTAACCGAGATACAGACTACTTCTCAGTTAGCATCTATGGTTGAAACTACCGAAGTTGATTCGCCAATTCAGATGCAACTAAAGGCAGATTTGTTGAAAACACAGGGAGAGCTGGAATTAGTAAAACAGCAACTTGAAACTACTAGGCAGGAACACCATGAATTCAAACTTATGGATGACGAAATCAAAACGGCCGAAAAGAAGCGATTCATGACAGAAAATACTGTGTTGAAGCAAGAAAATAATGGCTTATCAGCGATTATAGAAAGCATGAAGGTTTCTGAAGCGAAATTAGTTCATGATAACCAAGTAATGTACTGGCCGAAAAAAATGATGGCTTGATTGCTGTTGGATGCAAATTATACTCTAACCACTTTTATCTTGCCATCCCACATATTCTTATTTTCATTTGAAACGGATGATTAGATGCTAGAAGCCAAACAGACTGGATTGCAAAATGAAATTTCTAATCTTCGGGACAAATCTATATGTACACTGCAAAAAGACTCCACTATTGCTCAGCTCACTCGCGATCTCAAATCTACTCTAAAAGAATTAGATATAGTAAAACATCAACTTGAAGAACATGAGACTGAGTACAAGAAAGAGGCAGAAAAAGAAATCAAGTTACTAACTGAACACCAAGAAGAGCTCAAGTCACAGTTTTTGGATGTCCTGTCCAAAGCGTCAGATGCCTACTCTGCGTTATCATCAGCAGATTTAGCTATACAGCAGCATCCTCTTTTGGGTCGTGTACTTGATCGATTGAGTGAAATTGAACATGAAGGGCTGTCACTAACCTGGTTGTAAAATACTACAGCCATACTCATGTGAAGTGGAACACCTGTATTCATCTTGCAATCATTATTTTGCTTTGGAATAAACAATGGTTAAACATTTGTTGAACTTTCCTACTAGAGATTGACTGCATTGCTTCTTTGATATATGTTTTCGATTCTTCAATAGACAATGTTCATCATATGATGCATACAAAATCAAACTATGGGTTTGAACCGAAATTACTCTTCAAGCCTCCCTCTTTCATTTGATAGCCATATACTGTACGATCACCAGATTCATTCATTGCAGTCCATGTATTAGATTCGACTGTTCTCATGTTAATAAATTCATCTTTTTTGTATCCTAAAAACTCGCAGACACGCTCACATTCTAATTTAAAAAGACAACATTGTCCAGTAACTTGACACCCATCATTTCATGAAAATGGCCGTTTATTTGTATTGGTATCCTTAGCCAGTGGTTCATTTTACGTGAATACGGCAGTAAACTCAAACTGGAACAAATAGGTTACAAAAATGTCAAGGCAACGTTTCCAGCAGAAGACTGAACAGTCAACGAACTGGATGGGTTTGCATCCTCCTTGCCAATTCGTCCAGAAATGGTTCCACCTATACCAAAATTGCTCTTGTTTTTGCACTGATCGGCAGTATGTCCAGTGACTTTGATATCACCAATGGATGTAGAAACTTTGTATTTGCCAAAATATCCCATGTATTCGCTAGTGCCATCATTGGCTAAGACTTGGGCATGAACATTGCCAACGGCTGTCCTACATATCGTTTTAGATGCAAATCCAGGAGAAACGTCCAACTCGACATTACCAGCTCCCGTGTCAGACTTGAAGGATTTATAGCCAGTAACAGATCCACTAATGGATCCAACACCTGCTTCAGAAACAACAGTGAGTCCAGAAGGTATTCCATATGAAGCACTGCCACCAGAATTGAACGAACCGACGCGAAGTTGGACATCGCCTGCACCAGTACTAGCAATGAAGGAATCAGATGCAAGAAGCGAGGCCTGGATATTACCTAAACCTGTATCCAACTTGGTAGTATTTACCGCGACTCCACTGATATGGATATTTCCAATATCACTTTTAATGCCAACATTTGAAAAGAATGGAGTGGCTTTGGTAATATCTGTTGGAGTTTGGATTGTAACGACTCCCTGAGAAACAGTTGCACAAAGTGTCGGGGGTGGTTTAGTAGTCAATACTGTTGCAAGAGAAGTGGGGAGCGTAATGGTTGCAAATAGCTTGAGCTTGTCAGTTGAAGGAACTGATGCAGGTGGTGTAACAACAAGTTCGAGATGATCGCTAATGACCTGAGCATCCACAACTAAATCGTCTTGCAAAAACTCGTTGGATGAGTTTAGCTTGTATGAAAATTTGATTGAATCGAGATTGGTACTATCCGAATCTACGGTATTGATGGTAAGCTCTGAAACCTGATATTCAATGTAATGATAAAACATGAGTTAGATTGCATGAAGTGCTACTTGAAGCAGTTTAATTGTCAAGATGGTTTAATCAACTAGCTACTTACCATGTTGTCTTTGAATCTTAAATTCAAATGTCTTGCACCTGTCCAACTGAAATTATCGCTTCGAACCAAATGAGTTACACTCTTTGAATTGCTCTTGGATAGGAACTTTGATGTTGTTGATTCGCTAGTACCAGTGAATGCACGAATAAAGGTGGAAATCCCTTTGATAATAGGATGAAACCCTTGGTTGTAATTAAACTCGGAGTCACATCTTGAAGTTGATGGAATCGGTGGGATGGGTGGAATTGGCGGGATGGGTGGGATTGACGAAATCGATGGGATTGATGGAATGGGCGGAATCGATGGGATGGATGGGATTGGCGGAATCGATGAAGTGGCCGGAGTAAACGGAACATTAGACGGAAATGGAATAGCTGGAGGATGAGCATATAAAGGGCGGCCCAATGAATCATAGCAAACTGGCTTGCTATAATCTATAAACCCAATTGGATTTTGAGGTGGGTGTGATGGATGTGGAATCTGAAATGGAGGTTGTGGAAGGATTGGTAATTCAGATTCTCTTCTCATTCCAAAACTGATACCTTCAATATCGTAACCATTGCAATCATTGTTAATAGTCATACTTGAATTCAGTGAGTAAACAGCGATTGATAGATATTAATAAATGCGGTGAATTCACGAGCTTTTATGCTTTCCAACTCTTAATACCAGATCCACCAATCACATCAAGCCACGCGTTTATGCTGGTAATTGCATTCAAATCCACCAATTACATTTAGCCACATTTATTATTACATTTTACGTGAATATAAATGACATATTATTATAACACGCTTGGAAGTACAAGCCCGTTGTCAGGAAGAGCAATATCAGTCCATTTGTCTGGGACAATTAAAAAATTGTGCTCCATGGCTTCACGAAACCGATCTCGATACTGGTCAGGCGGAATCACTGTTACTGCTTTCCTTGACCCAAGAGTAGACTGGAGTGTCGTTTTGCCTTGCATCTCAAGCATCTTGGACCAGTTGAACGATGCAATAAAATCTACATTATCAACATTTATTCATAGAAATGAAAAAGTTAGTTTAGCATGCCGCATCAGTCAAACTAAATTAAACTCACCAACAATCCCAACCACCAACTCTTTGGTGTCATTTTTGACACCAACTAATAAAGAATAATCCATCACTTGAGCTTGACATAGAAAATCCGTATCGTTATAGACCGACTCCATCAATATTCGCTTAGAATGAGCAAACAGCCGCAATAATGATCTGTACTGTCCAGAGTTCCAGTCTCCATCCCACATAACTTGATCATGTGTATCTACTGGCCCATATCGCTTCACGTTTTGAGGTACAACATGTCGATCTGGAACCCCTTTGAGATCAAATTTCTAACAGTCATATGATTTCAGATTATACAAAACATTAACAGTTGCTGACCACGCTTTGTTAGACATACACAACTTACTCTGGATATATTAACATTAGCAAATAAATGCTCCATTACAATCACATCAAGAACACTAGTCTGCCCGGTTGAAAGATTCTTTTTTGTGATTGTATAAAATCCTAATATCTTTGTCAGCAGAGTAGGCTGTCGATCTGACTTGACTAGATATTCAAAATACTTTGGGATAAACTTGAAAAGCATATCCTTTTCATTAGACATCCACCTTGAGGAAAGCTCCTTCATAATAAACCGGTCATCTATTATTGAATATATCATCACAATTGTTATTCACTAGAGCAGAATTACAAGCCTATATCAAAATATCAAAAACAAACTTTTCATGCTACCTGTTGTTTTGAAAAATGAAGCTGCCGACTTTCCTCCTGAAGCGTTCCATGGAGCAGATCTTTCCAATGATTTTATATACTGCTCACTAACACCACACATTTTTCGAACATCATTAAACTCTTGAGCAAAATATACCGTGCAAGAAAAGCTTGTTCGCAAATCAGCAAACTCTAGTCACAAGTTGATGGTTAGGGTTGGTAATATGTAACAAAGCAATTGCAATCAAAAATAACTTTTTTAAACAGTATTAATACTAACCGTAATTGATATGCTTTCCTTTAGAATCTAATGTGTGGCTATTCGATACACGACTGATTCTGTACTTGCAATCTTGGCCGAGAGATGTCCATGCATCTTTATCACTGGAAAATTTCAATTGCATGTGATCTTCCAACTCATTGATAACTGGAAAATAATTTGCCAAGTCTGCTGTACGCATATATTCTACAAATGGCTTGGAGCTATAACCAAAGTAACAAATATATGATTAGAATATATGATATCAATCTCGATACTAAAACAAACCTGTACCTCAAAGTAAATGCTATAATTGAGCTTGGTTCGTTTTCTCGCACAATAGTAGATGATGAGGGAACAAGATGCAACAAATGATGCTTGCTAAATTAGCCGGGTTGCGTATGATACTATGTTAATATACATGCAAACGTAAAAAAATAACCTTTCTCAATCAACAATCCAGACTGTTGAAAAAGGTATACTTACTTGATATAATAATCAGGCAACTTCCAGCTCAAGCAACAAGTAGAAAGAATGGGATACTCTTTATGTAAAGTATCCATACTCAGAATGCGCTCTTGCATGCGCTTACACAACAACCGTTTCAATACATTCATATCTGTTGAATGTACCGCTGCGTCAAGAAAGTGACACTGCTCATCAGCAAACATACATGTCATATCATTTAATAGCTCAGATAGTCGCTCCTTTGAACTTGGTTGATTGGTCAAGCCTTTCTTTAAAATACAATCAGATGTTTCGGTGGAGCCCCAGATAGACGGTACGGACTCGGAATTCACGTTTTGTAATGCAGCAGCTAAATAAACAAACAGAGATTGATAAAACTCGCGAATATCTTGTCTAATGGCATTGATCTGATCTTCATCAGGCTCAAATTCAAAATAAGATACGTGGTGTGTCCCAGCTTTACGTTGAACAGAAGCAGCGTCTTGATAAACATTGATTTTTGGAAGTCGTATTTCAAATAGATCCATATGAAAAAACTCGAATAAAACAGTGTATTTTCCAAAACGAAAGTGACGTCGAATATACGAACGATCGTATAAAATATGTTGGCAAGCTCCAGTTGGTATAAATGAATGATGATAAAAAATCAATTCCAAAAACTTTCCAAATGAATAATACCAGCTGGCAGTGGACAGTGGAGTTACGTCACTAAGCTTGCTGCATTCAGTACAGCTTGTCCAAAAAAATATTCTGCAATCAGTATGATTTAGCCTTTCATTATCTGATACCGCCAAACTGACAAGAACGCATCCTTCATCGTGATGATACGCCATACGATGTTGACCCATAGCACGAGGACATGTATTACTCAAACAAGATCTGTCGGCATTTACGCACAAGAAATGTATGTACTGTCCAAGAGTGCAATCTTGATATCCAATCGATAGTTTGTCATAGTATCTAATGGTGTATACTTTAGAAGGATAGCATGGTATAGCTGTTTCAGCATCGCAAAAATACGAAAACGAAAAACTAATCGATTGGTGACGCATAATACCGCTAATAGCATTGTTATTTTTCATCAAACACGATAGTTTTACTTGGGAGTCTGTTGAAATCCAACTACGCTTGCCTGTAATTTTACCAGGTGACAAGGGACTTTTAGGTGCAATCTTAAGATGACTTGCAGTTACTGATTCAGATTTGCACATCAATTGATTTATAAAATCATGGTTTACCGATCGGTTCAAAAGCACCAAGCGATCTGGAGTACTTGGTGGTGTTGTAGAGTGTGTGTATGTTTGTGGTGTATCTATATCTTGATCAGACTCATGGTCGCGAAGATGAACCAAGATTGGCGGTGAAGGAAATACAACGCCTGGAGAAGAACTCAAAATAGTTTGTTCGATATGCTGAATGGCTTGATCAAACTGATTTGTGGGCTTGATAAAAGTATCTGAACGTGAGATTTGCTCATCAGCCACAGATTCAAAAGTATGCCTATATTGTTTAGAGCTGTCAAATGGCCAGATACGCCACGAAATCAATTTGGATTGCTGTGAGTTGGGAACAATCAAAGTGGATACTAGATCGGTTGCTTGATTGAAATTCGTTTGTGAAGATTGAGATTGACAGCGTTTTTGCCATATCCATTTCCACATGCTTGGTTTTATAGATCCAACCATACCTGTATTGGCCACATTAGTAGTATTTGATACAGGCTTGCATGTTCCGTCAACAGATGAAGTAGTAGTATTGAATATCATATGCGGCATGCGCATGTCTTGGAGCAGTAAAACCTCTAGATTCTGGTGGCATGCAACGTATACCACCAGCTCCATTAATGGTACCAATTTGCAAAGATCCTTTGAATTTCCACGTAGAATTATTTGGCCACGAATCTGACCATGAATTGATTCTCCGCCATCACAAACATTGTGCAAGTTGTATTTGAGTGAATCCAATGAGGAAATAAATTCGGAATCTGACGGTTGACCATCCTCTGTACAAACGGTGATGGTGTGATAATAAAGACCTTTCGTTTCATGTTTGACGCTTGGTAGTATATTTGAATTTGATGATGATTGAAAGGACAATTGCAATCTCGGCCAATAATAGTCTGGGGTATCGATCTTGGTCTCCTTGCAAGAGTTGTGTCCTAACCAACTGGGCAAATCAAATCGTAGACCATTTGCTGAGGATCCGACTTTGGCGATCTGAAGCGAATCTAAAATATATGGAATATCTTGAGTAGTCATCAAACCAATATTAACAATGATGGACTGCCATGGATCAGAGGATATATGTGCTTCATCAAGACATTGCTTGACAAGAGCATGTAAATGTTGTTTATGTAAAGTATCTATCTTGGACGAGAGTTTTATAGGATCAACAGCAGATCTTGGCGACATGAGTTCCAACAAGACGCCTGGATTACTGACCAAAAAGGTAAAATCAATATTGGCGACTTGAGCGGAAACATCCGTTTATGTTGCTCGCGGCGTGACCACAATATCCAGTGACTATCGAGTCAGCCATTGGATATTATTTGCATCCGACTCACCATCTTATCATATCACCATGCCTCGATTCCTGCTGGCTTTTGACTTTGACCACACTATGATTGATGAAGACAGCGATGCATTTGTCTTTCAACAGCTTGCTCCTGAATTACATGAAAAGGTGTTGCTAAACTCGTTTGTATTTTATTAGATTCTTGTTATCTAGCGGTAGAATGCTGAGTCCGTTTTGATATATGCATTGTATAGATGAAAGAATTGTACAGTACTGGAGAGTATGTTTGGACAGACCTTATGGACTTATTGTTGGGCGACCTTTATCAAAAAGGAGTTCATCAGCACACTCTTACACAAAAACTTGGCGAGATTTCATTTGTAAATAATTGACTACCCTTTGCAACCTCATGATATCTCGTCATTTCTGGATATTATCCAATTCATATAGATTCATACCACCATTGGGTACCTGTATTTGTATCTATAAATCTGATCTATTTTGTGGGTGCACTAGAGCCATTCAATGAAGAAAGCCTTGGAATTAGCTAGCTCGATGGGAAGCGAGATTGTCGTGATATCTGATGCCAACACAGTTTATATTGATACCATCACAAAGGTAGATCATGATTTCTATTCTGAAATTGATTGAACCGTGGCTTGATATTGACACATCTATATACTCCACATTTCTGCTATTTAAACCGTGTAGGCTAAAGGCATTAACAACAATATTAGTAAAGTTATTACCAATCCTGGGTATTTTGATACCGATGGCCGACTCCGAGTTAAGCGCTGGACTACAGAGCCTGCACACGAATGCATTCGTTGTTCTGTGAATTTGTGCAAAGGAAAGGAGATTCTTGAACTTATCCGCTCAAACGGACCTTTTGATAGAGTAATCTACCTTGGTGATGGTCAGAATGACTATTGTCCATCAACTAAACTCAACCGGTTTGTATTTTATTGCTACTAATACATGCCATGATCCAACCACATACAAATTACAAGATCTACCAAATTGAGCTAATTTGACGGCTACTGTTTTATTGATGGCTCGTACAATATAGAACAGATTTGGTACTGGCTCGCACTGGGCGGTCTTTGGATAAAATGCTCAAGGATGATACAACGCGATCACTTGTCAATGCCAATATCATGTATTGGAAGACTGCAGATGATGTTCTTGAAATTTTCAAGGAAATCTTTGATGTAAACCATAGTGTTCCTACCTTGATTCATACCGAAACAGACAAAAAGCAATGCACCGATAAAAGCCATTCCATTTTTTAACTTACAGTCGTATTCACGTAGAGTGGATCGTTAAATAAAGATGCCAAAATATACAATAAATCGCCAGCTTTATATGAATACGGGGTAATTACCAATGTAGCGACTTTATAATAGATTCAGAATGGTGTTTGTTTTTTAAAATGTATTTTGAATTGATGATATGTTCTATTTCCACATTGAATAGTCGACTAACCAGTTTTCCAATCATCACTTCTGGCGTCTACTTGTTATCAATAGGTTGCCCATCTATCAAACGAACGATCCATCGAGTTGGGTTGAATTCATTTGTAAAGCTAGAAAACTATAACGAGTTGAAATCAAACCACCACCCAAAGATATATCGTTAAACTATTCAGTACTAAAAATGTAGATTGGGTTTTCATTTACATACTATTGTTCAACGCATGCCAGCCCATCAGGTTCTTATAAATTGATCCACACGATTTTTACGCCGTAGTATATATGCATCATACCCTCTGCATTGTCGCAATTTGCTCTCATCAAATATGTTGTTTTCAAGTTCAATCCATACTACTCCAGTAGATTCCAAAAACGATTCTGGAAATCGAATCAGATTATTGTTGGCTAACCGCATCGACTTGATGGCTTGCATCCCAGAAAAGGTTTCGGGAATTTCCTGGATCTTGTTGCAAGAAACATCCAAGTCCTCTAATACTTTCATCGAAGCCATTGAATCTGGAAGTGAGCGAAGAAGGTTATTAGAAAGCTGCAAGGTGACAATCTTTCCTAGTAGCCCAATTGAGTCGGGTAATTGGTGGATGCAGTTACTAGACAGGTCAAGCATCTTTAGATTTAAAAGAGACTCGAAGCCTTCTTCTGGTAATACTTTGATTTTGTTTCCTGATAGGTTTAATGTCTCTAATGCGACAAGTTTAGTGAGTGCTGTTGGTATTGTAGTGAGCCTATTTTGAGCCAAACAAAGGAACTTTAAATTGGACAGATTGCTGATTTCTATAGGTATAGACTCAATACGATTCTTTGACCTAGGGTTGATGCATGCAATATCAGTGACCTAACCAGTCAATCATGGTTGTGCCAGGCACTACTACAAACTAGCAGCCACCACTTACAAGTCAAGATTGCGCAGTTTTCTAACCTCGAGTATTTTATCAGGGATATGCTTTAGTCCAGCATCTGTAAGGGTAAATGTTGCTGTCTTTTGGGCATTGGATAGTCGCTCTGGCAGTGAGTTTCCCTGACCCATGTAGTGATGTAAAAGGCTGAGGAAAGTGGGTGAAAATAGAGCTTGGCTTAGTGAAACTGATTACAAACAAGTCATATACCAAAAGTGATATAGCTGAGCACCAGTATAATTAGGCCGGTTTTCATTCAATTGATCAACCTGGTATTGGTTGCGTACTCTCTGGAGCATGAACTTGATTGGTAAGCAATTTTTATTCGAATAGAGTTCTTGGGAATACACCTTATCTGATTAAACACTATTGAGTTCGACTCATCCAAAGACATGTGCATGGACGCTTGATCGATGACAGAAACTGTTTCTAAAATGGACAACACCCTAAAGACTTTTGGAGCAAAAGTCTCGACTTATCATTACACCAATCGGCCATATACTCGATCTTATGCTTGTGGTGCACTTGGGATTATATTCAGTATTTTTGGAATATCTAGGAGTGCGCTGTATTGATTGTTTCAATGCTGATGGTCTAGAACTACTGTCTGAATTAGACTAAAAAGTATCAGTTTATTCATCTAAAACAGACACTTGCATTTATCTTGCTTCCGAGTATACCATGGTTGAACATTCCTTGTACTTTCCTACCAGACATTCTTAAATTTTCGAGATACAACGTCCACCATACGATGCCTACATAGTTGACCAAGTTTTGAACTAAACCTGGTATTTTTTCATTTGGTATAGCCATACATTGTACGATTACTAGGATAAATACTAGTGAATTAAAAAAGCTTAAAATACACAATATTTCCAGTAAATTGGCACCAATCATTTCATAAAACTGACCGTTTATTACACTTTTATTTGGTATTCCATTTTACGCGAACACGGCTTTAAATTTGACAAAGTGAATTTTATCACGTGATACAAATATCACTTTTGCCTTCTTTTCTTTCATGAAACAAAAGGCAAATTCATAACTTGTTCAACCCAAAAAACAATTGTTGCATCCCCTTCGTCATGCCTCAAAACTTTTATATCGAAGAGGCAATCAAAAAACATGGTCGTCGACTTGACCATGAGGAGCGCAAGTATGTATCTTGTATACATCACAATGTCTACTACTTTGACTTGCATTTGACGGATTTCTTGAATGACCATAATCTAAATTCTTTTTTAAAATAAAAAATAGACGTAAACGAGAAGCTCGCGAGGTTCATAAGACTTCTGCCAAAGCACAGAAGCTGCATGGCTTCAAGGCAAAACTATACAACAAGAAGCGTCATTCTGAGAAGATCCAGATGAAAAAAACGTATGTTATTTTGTTTAGCCATCACACCCCTTTATAATCTGCCTCATTTACTCATTGTTTCATTTTTAACTACATGTGTACCGGAATATGGACTGTGTCAATGGTACGGACGAATGCAATCAATAATGCTTGAAATATAATCCATATGCTATATAGTATCAAAATGCACGAAGAACGCAACAACAAGCATAAAACTAATGATCAACCTGTTCAAGAGGGTGCCGTTCCCACATATCTGTTGGATCGTGAAAACCAAACTCGTGCAAAGGTTCTTTCAAATATGATTAAACAGAAGCGAAAGGAAAAGGCTGGTAAATGGCAAGTTCCCCTGCCTAAAGTCAAAGGCATGGATGAAGCAGAAGTTTTCAAAGTGGTGCGATCAGGAAAGCGCAAGATCAAGCAATGGAAACGTATTGTTACAAAAGCTACATTTGTTGGTGAAGGGTTCACACGTAAACCTCCAAAGTATGAGCGATTTATTAGACCCATGGCTTTGCGTTATAAAAAAGCACATGTCACACATCCTGAGCTTGGTGCAACATTCTGTTTGCCAATTCTTGGTGTAAAAAAGAATCCTTCATCGCCCATGTACACTCAGCTTGGTGTCATGACCAAGGGTACAGTCATTGAAGTGAACGTGTCTGAGCTTGGGCTAGTAACGCAGACTGGCAAAGTTGTTTGGGGTAAATACGCACAGATCACAAACAATCCAGAAAATGATGGTGTAAGTTGACTTTGAAACTTGTATTTTGAACTGGCTTGAGATTTGATAGCAAGTTTAAATTAATTTTATCCGATTGCTGATGTTAACATACTCTAGTGCATCAACGCCGTTTTGCTTGTCTAGTATGAGATTGTACGTATGATTCGATCCTATACAAAACTCCATTCAAATTCAGAAATAAAGTTATTTGTCAAATTTTCAATGATATTTATTCTTGTCAAGCCAGCAATTTTAAATTGTAAAACCCATTACTGGATCATCGGGGAGGATGCGGTGGTGGCTGTGGCGATTGAGGATATCTCCCATAGTTGTATTGGCCTGGATATGTGCCTGTAGCAGGCGACTGTGATGGCTGCTGTCCATATTGTAGTGGTTGCTGCCCATATTGTAGTGGTTGAGCTGGGTTCCACGTGCCTGTTCAGCAAAAGGTAAAAAACAATGTCAGATTTGTATAAAACCAAGATATCTGAATAAAAATTTAAAACTACATGCCTGGTTGAAAAGAAGGATTAGCTTGTCCATAAGTGTAATTTGATGGCTGAGCAACACCGTATCCTGGTTGAGCCTGTCCATACTGAAGTGGTTGAGTGGAATTCCACGTCCCTGGAATTGGCATTGCAGACTGGGTTGAAGCAGGAAACAATGCAGGTCTCTGAAGACTAGGATATGCAGATGGCAAGGTAGATCCAGTAGGAGGTGCATTTGGAGTATAAGGGTTAGATGTGTTTTGACTAGACAAAGATTGCCCTGGACCATCAGCAAAGTGCATGCTTGCGACACCCAACTGAATTTGAGAAATCATGTCCTTCTTTTCAATATCTCGAGCTAAAGTAAAATCGCGACAACTTGACAGATACTTTCCAAGACTTGCCTCCATATCATTGTAAAACTGATATTAATTGTAAAGTTGATAATACAGGTAAACGAGTCAACACAAGGTTCAATTTCAAATGGAAGTTCTGTAATCAATAAAAAGTGCGACCATTCAATAAAATTGACACAATATAGCCTACCCTGACACCTTCATCCAGATTGGCAGAAATCTCCTTGAATGCTTTGTATCCGTTTTCGAGTGATTGCAGTGCATTTTCTCGATCTCGAATCAATTCATTTGTTTGTCTCGATTCAACAAACTTTTTGTTGCAATTCTAAAACAATATCAAAATCACAGCAAGGTAAGATAAGTGGTAAAAACAACGATAGCGCGATTTAAAATTGGCGTTCAATCAAGACAATGGGTACTAACCACAATGGAGTTGAGCAGCTGCTCCTGTTGACTTATAATTTCTTTAACTTGATTGTTTGTCTCATCATATTTTTTCAACTGATCAGTCAATGCTGCAGTCTTGTCAAACAAAGCGCCATTAGCAGCGCCTTCTAAAAGTTTGGGAGTAATATCGTCATTGTGCACATCTGCCTTTGTTTTTGCAATCAAATCATTTCTTTGCTTGATGCTTGCATTAAGCTGCTCCAGTAAAGTCTTGAGTTGCCTAAGATTTGGATCTTTAAGAGCCAGTGTTGTCCCCGAAGTACTAGCAGGAACAGATGCCTCGAGCTCTGAGCGAGTTAGTCCTAGATTAGCAATCAAATGCCCCTGAGATTCCATTTTGGTTTGAACAAGACGATTTGAATTGTCTGCATCTTGAAGCTTTTTGCGAAATCGTTTCTCTGCATCGCGTAGGTTATCAGCAAGCGACCCAGATGTGGCACGAGTCCATTTTGCACCAAACTGGATATGAAGGGATTGATCTTCAGCAGCTTCCTTATCAAGAACCTCCATGGTGTCCTTGATGATATCCCAACATCGCTTAGAAAGAGTATTGATAGTTTTGAAAGAAGACTCGAGACCTTTTTCTCCACCGAGAGCACGTACTTCATCAGAACGACGAATAACAGATTCTGGCAGACCAATTGGCTGTTCAAGAGCCTCAATTGCACCAGGAAGATTCAAACTTGCCAAGGTACTAATAGGTTGAAAATTGCACAAAAATTCGTTTCACAATAGTTACAATTCAAGTTTAGCATGGTCATAAAAACAAATATACAAAGATAACATTGCAAATCTAGTATTTGTATATAATATACCTAAATGCAATAGAAATTGATTCTGTCAGTTTGTCATGTACATCTTTAGCAATTGCATCTTTTTTTGCAGCGTATTCAGAAGCTGCCTGGTGAATCTCAAATGGAACCAAATGTTTGAATAAAGGTTTTTCGATTATTTTTAAAAGGGATGCAGTATCAGGCATAGGGGTTGGATTGACCATACGTGCCGGTGCAATAGCTGTCAAGGTTTCTGCACGAGGAACGATTTCCATGTCTTTACAGAGTATGCTTGTTAAAAACTCGACATATCAACAATGAATAGGCATTTGTAGCTAAAATATTGTGATGTAGAAAAAAGTGTATGCTTACAAATAACATCATTGTCCTTGTTTGCTTGCAAAAGTGACTTTTCAATCAATGTTTGCGTAGCCTATTGATTTCAACTCTAATCCATCAGTAAATTGATTATTTGTAGCAAAAGCACGCTCCTAGTCTAAAGTTTACATTGCCAAACTCGGCTAATTAATGCATACCTTGATATCGGAAGGTAGAGAAGCAAGAGTGACGCTTTTCATGACATTTGCATCTAATGCCTTTTTGGACAATGCTAAAGCAGCCTGCAACCATGCAATCTGCTCGCCATATTTTCCAGAGCCCAAAGAGTCCATCGCCTTATGGTAGTGAGCAATAGCTTTCAAATGGAGCATTTTGACTTGCATGTAGCTACTCCACGCCTAGATTATAGAAACAGTTCAAAATGGAATGATAAATAATAACAGCGTAAATGACAAGACACGATCAAATGAAGTTGATTAAATGAAAAGGCAAAATGTACCTTGTCAAACACTTGAGTCTGACTTGCTCCATCAAATGCAGCATTGTAAAACAGGGATGCTTGCAATGCAAGCTTGGCGAGACTGGCGTCCTTCATCTTCCCTACAAGATGGAATACACCGGATCAATAAAATACAAACCAGACACTTGATTGAATCAATCAACACACCTGCAAGTGCTTTTTCAAAAAATACTTCTTGCCCTTGAGCAAGCATCAATTGCGAGAGTGCACTCAGTTGAATAGAACTAGATCCTGCAATATTCCAGAGCGGAAGATTTTCAACAATCATGGCATAAACACCAGCAGCTTGCTATATACATTCAGTACAGATACAAAAATAAAAGTGTCAATAGGTTTTAAATTGGCTGCAGATGTCAAAGATGAATCATTTACTTGAAAATAAGCTGCTGCTTTCTTGTAAGATTCCTCAGAGGTCAAGCTGACACTTCCTGCAATCTGACTATACAACGCAGCTAAATTGAACAAAACGCTGGCTTTTTCAAAGCCGACATTGTAGCTTGAAGCTTGGTTATAGTGAGTTGAGATTTACGAAACGAGTGTCAATACGGTACAATTAATCAAGGTTTAAAGGCTGATTGTATTTTAAACTAATAGTACGTACTGAATTCCTTATCTTTTCCTAGAGCACTGGCCCAGGTGAATGCGATGCGAATCTATATTAGCATTTTAATTCCGATAAGCCAGTGCATAATAAATCTCAAACGGCGCAAGACAGCCTGACAACCTAATTGAGCTCATTAAACTGTAGATAACATTGAACAACTCACATGGTCATCGTCCATGATAAACTTTCCAGACAAAAAGTTCAATTGGGCATAGTATCTGAAAGACGATGTATCGGTTAGTGCATAGGATTGTTATAATTGTGCAAATTCGATGTAGTGGATGAATTCAACACCACTGGATTCGCAGTCTTTAATCATTTGTATTGATAAACTTGTTAAAACTGGACCATCATTCATTACCTTAGATGCTGATTGGCACTTTCATCATGCAAGTCTGGTGTTGCGATAGCAGCACGATATTCATCAAGAGCCCGTAAATCATCGATATATTGATCTGGATCCTCAGCAAAAGCAGATGCAATGTAGGCACGCAGGGGTTGAATAAAAGACACTCTTTCTGTCTGCTTGAAAGGCACTACTAGAAAACGGCCGGGGAGCAAGGGGACTGTTTTTCCCAAAAGGTCTGCAAACATCTCTGTTAATGTGAAGAGTAGATGAAATTCAGATAATTTCAACTGGCTGAAAGCTGTATCAGATTTAAACATCCATTTTCATGATATTGCTCAACTCAGAAACCAACTTTAATTCTCAAGGATAATTAAGGATCTTGAGTCAGGTTTATTGATGTGGACAAGTCGAGCCATCCGATTCAAATCGGTCACTGCGTTCACTGCGTTCAGAGTCATCTTGTGTATAATTAATCATTGGTGATTTTTATGGAAATAGGAGGATAAGCATCTTCAAATGTATCGTAAGTTATTTTTTGTTCGCTATCCATCTAGAAATCGGGTTGCATTAGTCGACGTGTTAATCATACGTGTAGTTGTTGAAACAAGAATACATGCCTGCTGTTGGTATTTACGAGCCTCGTCAAACCAGAGTTCATATCTTGGCGAAGTGATTCCCAAAAGGTCTGCTACTACATTACTTACATAGTCAATACCATTCCAAATGCGACCACCCACACATCCAAAGACGGAACAAATCTAAAGTTTATTGACATTTCAAATGATAAAATGGTTGAATCCCAATGTTAATTCAGCCAATACTGGATTGTACAATAGCTATAAACAAACCTTTACCTTGCTAAGAGATGTATTTGATTCTGAACAAGGCAGTTTATTTAAATCACTTGGATTGTCTTGGCTGTGACCATGAACGATGGATGAATTTCCCGAGTTGAGCCAAGTAGGATTTGTGCTAGACAAATGCTGACTTTGTGCAGATGGATTTGATTCTTGCACAGCAGGTGGATATAATGCATCATTATCTGATACTGCACGAATGGATACAGATGTTGAACACGTAGGTTCAGGAGTATCTACTGCAGGCTCTTGAAGAGGCATTTCTACTATATCACAAAACAACCGCGAACCTGGTTTTTGAGAATTCGCGAGCAAAGTATTATTGGCTAATGACTGGCAAGTGGTATTTGGAGACGAAATAGAACATGTCTGCTCCAGTTCAGTAGAATGCAGTGACGGCATAGCAACAAACGAATGTTTCGTGTTGGTAGTATGGCTACCTAAATGCTCTGCAGATGCGGCTATCGCTGAGAGATATTGACCATCGGAACTCGAGTCACGTCCATCCCATGGCAAGCATACATTTGGGGGGATATAAATGGTGGAATGACGTTTGGTATTATATGGTGTATCTTTTTGGTTTGAATGGGCTCGTCGAGGCACGCAGTGATATTCCATTGTGTAATTGAACGATTCTTTAACAAGGACAGTGTATAAAGATTCCAACACGATTATAAATGTTTTTACAATCGTGTTGATGCATGTTTATGTTTGGATTTATCAAGAACAAGTTTGAACTTTAAATTTTCTACACAACCTTGTTTTAAAATGAATATCGATTGACGGAATCTAAATAAAACCATCAATAAGTAGATAAATGCAACCAATTTAAATATACAATGATTTTGAATTAGATTCAATACAACAAGAATTTGAATAGATTCAATACAACAAGAATTTTGAATTAGATTCAATACAACAAGAATTTGAATAGATTCAATACAACAATGATTTTGAATAGATTCAATACAATAATGATTTTACAACCAAATTGACTTGTGGCTGTAAAATCAAAGTAAAATTCAACAAGGTGCAGACGCGCCATTCTTGCCCCCGTTGAACTGTTAAACCATGGTTAGTAAATGTGTACTTGTCAGAATGAATCCATCCATCCATTGTTGGAATCAGAGATTTCAGACCATAAAGACTCATGCATGATGACAGATTCTTCATGCATCTTGGACTCATCTGTCTTGATCTGTAACTGCCAAACTGTTTGTTTCAGCCTTACTAATCTGCTGTGATTGATCAATCTACTATGTACATATAGGTTAACTTCTCCATTGATGAAGTATGTATTCACTATGATTTGGACTACTGGATTTTCATGATGGATAGTCTGGTGTTGTGTCTGGTTGGGTTGTCAGCTAAGACGGAGTGAATCAGTTGTCCAACTAGTAGTCGGCTGCTAGTCACTCTTGGTTCTCAAGTGTCTCCCATCCAGAATATACATTGAAACACTTGCACTTCTAGTTGATACTCACCTGATTGTTTATTGCTCTATTAACAGATTCGGGCCCTTATGGGCAAGCCCTGCAACGTCCGTAACATGTCCGTCATTGCTGTAAGTTGGATTGGTTGACTCTAGCTATAGATGTGTTGTGCCAGTGAGACTAACCTGTTCTTAATGTTTCTAGCACGTCGATCATGGCAAGAGTAAGTGATGCTGTGGCTGTCGACGATCCCAGTGAATGACACTTGATGTTCTATTCACTTGTTTCCATCTCACAATATTCTATTGCTGGGTTTCTTACTACTTGATCCCGCTGTTCTTTTGGAGTGTTTTATATATACTGACTAATGACTTGTTCTCATTTTCAAAATACATCATCCCACTTCTCTGCTGTCCACTGTAATACCTTGTTACCCATGAATCACTCTGTTGTCTAGGTACTCTGACTGTAAGTTTTGATGGTGGAAAGCAGCCAGGGTTTGACTTTCATCATATTACAATCTAATCTTGATGTACTATGCATTTTTAGGACTCTCTTGTGTCCAAGGCCGGTATTATTGCTTCCGCCAAGGCTGGTGATGCTCGTTATATGGACACCCGTGCGGACGAAAAGGAACGTGGTATTACCATCAAATCTACTGCAATTTCCATGTACTTCCAAATGCCTGAAAAAGATCTCTCTGAAATCAAGCAGCGCACTGATGGTATGCCGTTTTTATATTAAATGCGCTCGACTTGAAGCATCTGGGTTGGAAACTAACAATTGATTGGGTTTCTATTACAGGCAATGATTTCCTTATCAACTTGATTGATTCTCCTGGTCACGTTGATTTCTCTTCTGAAGTTACTGCTGCTCTCCGTGTCACTGATGGTGCTCTTGTCGTCGTTGACACCATTGACGGTGTATGTGTCCAAACCGAGACTGTGCTTCGTCAAGCTCTTGGCGAGCGTATCAAGCCCATTGTTATCATCAACAAAGTTGATCGTGCTCTTCTTGAATTGCAGCTCACCAAGGATGATCTCTACATGACTTTCCGTCGTACCATTGAGTCTGTCAACGTTATTATATCTACCTATTTTGACAAGGTCATTGGTGATTGTCAGGTATACCCCGAGAAAGGTACTGTTGCTTTTGGTTCCGGTCTTCACGGATGGGCCTTTACTCTTCGTCAGTTTGCACAGCGTTATGCTCAAAAGTTTGGTGTTGACTCTGAGAAGATGATGTCTCGTCTTTGGGGAGAAAACTACTTTAACCCTGCTACCAAAAAGTGGGTTACCAGTCCTAATGCCGATGGTGGTAAAACTCTTGAGCGTGCCTTCAACATGTTTGTTTTGGACCCCATTTTCAAGGTTTTTGATGCTATTATGAATGTCAAGAAGGAGGCCACTACCAAGATGCTCGAGAAACTTGATATCCAGCTCAAGTCTGATGAGGCTGATTTAGAAGGCAAGCCTTTGATGAAGGTTGTCATGAAAAAGTTTCTTCCTGCTGGAGATGCTCTTTTGGAGATGATTGTTATTCATTTGCCATCCCCCGAGACTGCTCAGCGTTACCGTTTTGATACTCTCTATGAAGGTCCCGCTGATGACGAGTGTGCTATTGCCATTCGTGACACTGATCCTAACGGTCCACTCATGGTTTACATCTCCAAGATGGTGCCTACCTCTGATAAGGGTCGTTTCTACGCTTTTGGTCGTGTATTCTCTGGCACTGTCCGTGGTGGCCTCAAGGTCCGTATTCAGGGTCCCCACTACACTGTTGGCAAGAAGGATGACTTGTTCATCAAGAGCGTCCAGCGTGTTGTTCTTATGATGGGTCGTACCGTCGAATCCCTTGACGATTGTCCCGCCGGAAACATTGTTGGTCTTGTTGGTATCGATCAGTTCTTGCTCAAGTCTGGAACTATCACCACCAGTGAGAATGCCCACAATCTCAAGGTTATGAAGTTCTCCGTTTCTCCTGTCGTGCAGGTCGCTGTCGAGGTTAAAAACGCCAACGATCTTCCCAAACTTGTTGAAGGTCTTAAGCGTCTTTCCAAATCTGATCCATGTGTGCTCTGCTATACCTCTGAATCTGGTGAGCACATTGTTGCTGGTGCTGGTGAGCTTCATCTTGAGATTTGTCTCAAGGATCTTGAGGAAGATCATGCCCAGGTTCCTCTTCGTCACGGTGACCCTGTTGTGCAATACCGTGAGACCGTCACTGCCGAGTCCAGTATTGTCTGTCTGTCCAAGTCCCCTAATAAGCATAACCGTATTTTCATGAAAGCATCCCCTCTTCAGGAGGAGATTGCTGTTGATATCGAGGCTGGAAGAATCTCTCCCAAGGACGATTTTAAGGCTCGTGCACGTATCCTTGCTGAGGAATATGGCTGGGATGTTACTGATGCTCGTAAGATTTGGTGTTTCGGTCCCGACACTGCTGGTGCCAACTTGTTGGTTGATGTTACCAAGGGTGTTCAATACCTTAATGAAATCAAGGACTCTTGTGTTACTGCTTTCCAATGGGCTACCAAGGAGGGTTGCATTGCTGACGAGAATATGCGTGCTATTCGTTTCAATATCATTGATGTTGTTCTTCACGCCGATGCTATCCATCGTGGTGGTGGTCAGCTCATTCCCACTGCCCGTCGTGTCTGCTTTGCCTCTGTTCTCTCTGCTACTCCCGGAGTTATGGAGCCTGTTTATCAAGTCGAGATTCAATGTCCTGAAAATGCTATGGGTGGTATCTATGGTGTGCTTAACAGACGTCGTGGCCACGTCTTTTCCGAAGAACAGCGTACTGGTACTCCACTCTATACCATCAAGGCATATCTTCCCATTATGGAGTCTTTTGGTTTCACTGCCGATCTTCGTGCTGCCACAGGTGGTCAGGCTTTCCCCCAGTGTGTGTTTGATCACTGGCAATTGCTTAACGGAAACCCACTCGAGGCTGGCAAGGTTCAGGACATCATTACTGCTGTCCGTAAGCGAAAGGGTCTCTCTGAGGAAATTCCTCCCTTTGATCGTTATTACGACAAATTGTAAGCGACAGTCTTCAAGTCCATCTTTTTTGCAACTGTTATTTGTCAATGTCGTTTTCCCTATTCAGAAAAAATACAGTCGACTTTCCATCATCAAACCATTGTTTTTATTTTAATCATTTGGGTCAGGGCAATTTTGAATGGGTAGAGAACTGTTTAAACCTAAACTATTGGTATACCATTGTTTTCCATTCCTGCTTTTTTAAGCATTTTGGCATACAACTTGGCTAATATCTCGCTATGACCAATAATCCATGGGTGATTGAGTGCTTGCGTCACATCCAATCGTTTGCTTGCATCTGCCTGCAGTAAAGCAGATACCATACTTTTTGCTGATCACACGTATTTAGTAAAGCGTATATAGATGAGTTGTTCCAGTACCAAGATATGGTTTTCACTTACCATCGTTTGAAATAGATGGCCATGGATCATCTTCAAACGAGTATTCAACGCGTCGGATCCGATCAATCAAGATGGCATGATCAGCATCTGTTCCAAATGGAAGTGCGCCAGCTAACCTATAAACACCATCTTACATGGTCAATACTCTAAATACCAAACTTGTCAGATATTGAAGAATATTAACAATTGTATACATTGTGAATAAAAGCACGCCAAGAGCCCAGCAATCAACTTGGTAAGAGTATCCACCTGGAGAATCCAAAATCTCTGGAGCAAGATAAGTGAATGTTCCACATTTGGTTTGCATTTGCTGTAGCGAGTTTTGTAATGCCTTTGCCATTCCAAAATCAGAAATAAGTAGTCTAGCACGATCCGTTTTTATAAGTTAGTATAGACCATGATGGAGCAAGATGTGCCATTCCAAAATCATATACCTAGAAAAGGGCTTGGATGATTCCAACAGAATGTTTTCTGCTTTAAGATCTCGATGACAGATATTATGGTCATGAAGATACTATATTGACAAAATGCAATTAAAAAAGTATACATGAGCATAGTGTTATATTCAAAATAACATGACCAACATACCTTGACAGCAAGAAGCAATTGGTAGAAAATAAATTTAGCTTCCGATTCTTCGATTCCTTCGCTATTGACAATATGGTCAAACAGCTCGCCACCAGAGATGCGAGTCAAAAAGATGTACACTGCGTTGTTTTCATGTGAAACCACCACATCTTTGATTGATACAATATTTGGATGCTCAACAAGACGCAGTACAGACACTTCTTGCTGGGCCACTGCCAAGGATGCTTCAAGGTCTGATGTACCTCTTTTGTTCAGTTGAATTCGCTTAGTATCAATGATCTTGCAAGCTACACGCTCAAGAGTATGTAGATCAATTGCCATTTTAACTAAAGGACGCCAAAACTCAAGTTTAATCGAATGCAATGTCCAAGTCTTGGAAGCTGGCAACTCTACTTACCAATAGCAAACGTTCCTTGACCCAAAACTTGAGTTTCAAATACACAGTATCTATCTGTAATACTTTGTAAAAGCGTTTGATCACGGCACTTTGCATTAATAAATACAAAATCTAGATGCGTTTAAATACGCATACAAGTGAATTTAGTTGACATATTGGTTAAAATGTCAATAGCAGGCTGGGTTAAACTGTACACATACAAAGATCCCACTTGATCTCAATTTCTGCTCTATCAGGAAGGGGTATCTACCAGTATGGATTGATAAGAGTTTAGTATCAATGCATGACACTGACAGACCCGAGCAGGAAATACAGGATCTCACCATTCGTTTGCAAATCTTGTTTCCATTAACAATTGTGCCATTATAACTACAATCCTCAATGCACGGAATACCTCCAGTCTATTTATGCATATGTAATAGATGACTCTATGCGGTTAGTATGGCATACGATCAAGTCCAGTTCATGCATAATGATTTTAAACCCTACAACTGGTTACCAAATAAATCCTAAAGTGCTCCTTTGAACATCGCAATGTCTTGTCAAACACTACCAAGCTGCATAGTTTGGGATCCCTTCCAACAGTATATGAATCAGCCGTACAATCTATATGCCAGACATTATAACTTAATATTTTAAAAGTGGAGACAGGCTTTACAAATATATTGATGAGATCAATAGCACATCATCAGCTTCCATGATATGACAATATACTGGTGGTTGTAGTTGGACAATGTTCCAGACAGATCAAAACGAAGCATACCAATCCGGATGGCCTTTGGCGGATTCAGAGCCAAAAGACAACCCCATACTTGTTGCTGATGTTTATTATATGAATGATTCATCACCAGTAAACGTTTGTCAACGATCAGCAATTAATCGTTTATAATTTTCAAACTCGGACTGTTTTCAACTTGTTTTTAACTTGTTTTCAACTCTCAAAAACACAAACATCCAATTTAGCATAATCTTAATATTTGCACATGGCTGGTTTACAATGACATAATAATCTGATCTGGCTTTAAATCTTGTGGTCCAGCTGGAACACTGGGCACATACTGCTCTCGTAAGGCAATTGCAACTACACAATATATCAAGATTGTTATATTTGGCTCGCATAATACTATCAAACTATATATACATACTTGTACTGGGTCGCTGGTAGCTCTTTTCTGTAGCCACAGTAAAACACTTTGCTAAAAACTTGTCATAGTAACTAAAAGATGCCAACAGTATAAGGGTTTTAGTGCAGTGATCGTCACAAGAATCTATTCAAACAAACTGACCCTTTGCCATATCCAATCCGATTTCCAGAGTGATCAAACGCTAGACCTGGCATAATGATCAAATCTAACCCGCCGACTGAAGGATCTAGCGCTGCAAGATGTGTGAGTTGGGAGTATATTAGCAAACTATACACTGGATAAAGTACATTGGCTCAACATTATCTAACCATTGAGTCTGCCATCTTGAGGTTGCGGTTCAGGAATTCCCCAGCTGTTTCGTGGCAGTTTCTCAAAATCATCCCATGATTTGAGCAATACCATTTCCTATATGACAAAGTACAATCGATCGATATAATAGCAAGACGAGTTTAAAGCTGCTTCAGTAAAGATTCATGTTGGCGCCAAGTCTTGAGATGCTTTTAGTTTAAAAAACTGTTCTTACCATGGCTTCTGGATTGCACATTGGAATAAAGCATTGCTTTCCTAATACAACATCCCAATCCAAATAGAAAGTAGATTAAACAACTAGTCAGAATCCGTTTGCTTGAAAATTGACAGTGCCAAGGGAAACACATGATATAAACAAGACTTGAAAAACATTTACCAGATTCAAGGACATCTCGAAGGATCTGAGTAGTATCAACCTCGCCCTTCATGCTCAAAAACAGTGCAATCTTGCTGCTGCGCTGATACTCGGGAGTAGCTAGTAGCTTGCCAGTCACAGCTTTGGCTAAAATCAATTAAAGTTGTTTGAAATTGTTCTAGTATTGTCAAATATCTGGCATCAATGGTGATCATTATAAAAAATAAAATGGAGTTTCAATTCAATATAAACTAGCAAATGCACATGGGCAGCTAGACAGTGACCTACATTGTTGTTCAATGGATTCAAAAGGAACTGTCTTGAGTGTTGCTCGCATCTGCTTGCGAAATGCAGCCTTGGCTAGTTTGACGGTCGTTTCCATTGTTGTAAACCAATGTTATAGCCGTATTCACGTAAAACGAAACACCAAGTAAAGATGTTAATCAACAGCCAGTCTTGAAATAATTTACACCAAATTGACTGGGCAGCATGGTATCTTTTGAATTCTTTGACAAAATCGGCTGGTTTTTGAATGATCTGCATGGAAACAACTGTTGTTTTCCTGAGATATTCAATCTTGGATTCCTTGAATTAGAATGTAAACGTATGTGAGATTTAAGATACACCAAACAGGCGTTTGATTGTGAGAGCATCATATGATGGCCATTGTGTTGATTGAAAACTTGAGAATGCCAATTGGTAGTAGAAAAACAACAAACATTCAACCATTGCTTGGCCAAAGACAATTATTACAAGATAATCACAACTGTTTTATTTTATGCGAATACAGCTGTAAATAATGTGCATTCATACGAGTTTCAAACCATATATTGCAAATTTAGTTTATTTCATCAACTATTACCACAAGAAATTCTTGTAACCATCAAGTCAATCCATCCAATTAAAAATCATTATTGGATATGGGTAGCCAGGCAACTTTATATACTATCAAGTTGATAATGAATACCAGTATAAACGCTCAAATGAATCAAATAGTATTGAGTGTAAAACTGATAGTCTTAATCAAATGATTGAAAGTAGTATGACAATGATCAAGCAGACAAAACTAAAACCACTGATATGAAATTAACATGGTATTGATTGGATAGCAATACAAGATTAGTACACCAATGATTATCAGATGAATATTATATAATTACAAGAGATTTTCAAAAATATAGCAGAGATAGTATAGTGGCAGTACTCCACGTTGTGGCCGTGATGGCCCCGGTTCGATTCCGGGTCTCTGCATTTTGCACAAATCGAGACTGAAACAAACCGACAATTTTGTTGAAATATTTTGTATTGATCTTGTATGGACTCTATTTTGCTCTGGGATAAACAATGGTTAAGTATTCGTTATGATTGGAAATTGATTGCTCCTTTTATTGAAGCTCTGTTGTATCCTAATGTCAGATACGTTCGCGATCTAGTTCAAGAAAACATCTCAGGAATGCAACTATACATGCCGGTCACCCAATGTATTGGACATCAGCAGATTGTATAAAATCACTAAAAAGATAATGCAATGAAAGACCAAAGTAAATCTTTGAAAGTATTGACAGAAATCCGACCGACACAAGGACTGATGTGCATGATCAAAAGAGTCTGGTTATGGATTGTATTACAAACAATCTCCAGTGTTACAGCTACTTATATACTATAAATATCACCATTGCTTTGAATAATAACTGATTGCTATCTATCAATCCATAGCAAGTTTCAGTTCAACTCCAACTTGAAAATCTCACCAGCAACACATGACTGCATTTTCTTTGGCAATTTTAATTGGCATTTCTAACCCAAAGCAATCCACAATGAACATATTCATTGGTGTTAAACAGCTGTCATTGCTTCGACCTCGGTCATGCATGCCATTGATATCTCATGTTCCTGCAACATCTCTTAAATCCTATTTTTCAACTACTTCCGCTACATTCACATCAACCCACACTTCAAAACAAGACTCTGTCCAAAGTGAATGGGAAACTGTAAGCGATGACACTTTCACCAAGGCCCAAGAAACGATGCAGCACTCGGGCCGTTCATGGAAAAGTAAATCAAACTCATCCGGCTCTAAAAAACCATTTACTGGACCTAATACTATGCTTCGTCGTGTCCTGCATATTCGTCGAGTTGCTCATGTCAACAGTGGTGGTAAACAGCGATCTATTTCTGTTCTTGCGGTTGTGGGTAATCAGAATGGATCTGCTGGATATGGCATGGGAAGAGCCCTTGATTCAGGTGCTGCCATGCGCAAAGCACTGGTTCTTGCAGAGAAAAATATGATTCATTTCAATCGATTGGACAATCGCACCATCTTTGCTGATCTGGAACACACTTATCACAAAACAGTTTTGCAACTGCGTACTGCTAGTCCAGGTATATTTTAAATTTTGACTGACGATGCTAAACATACATATCTAACTCATGTTACATGCATATTTATTACTACATTTTAGGTTATGGCCTTATGGTCAATCGTAATATTCACGAAGTTTGCAGATGCATTGGTATCACTGATCTTTCTGGAAAAGTACGGGGCTCCCTCAATCCAATGAATGTCATCAAAGCCACCTTTGATGCACTCTCGACGCAAAAAAACCCTTCAGAGATTGCAAAGATTCGTGGTAAAAAGGTGGTCGATATCCAACTCGCATATTATGGAACCAAGCTCTAGGAACTAGGATCTGGTTCCTGTAGTAGATGGATACGACTCCAGTCTGGAACTGTTTTGTGCTTAATAAAGTCTTCTCTGGTGATTTCAAACTTGGTTTTGATTTTTACCGAGCCAATAAGTGAGCCTAAATAAGTTTAAAAAAATATTTGAGTTCAGTAGCCAAAAACCAACTCAGGTTAGACTATCTACTATATTAACCACATCCATTTTAAATACAGAGCAGTATTCAGACGCGAATGCCTACCGCCAACCCACGCCTGTTGTGATGGCTGAAATGGACTGTAGATAAAATTGATTTTTGAAACTAATTTACGAGCAGATTTCAAATTTGAATGTTCATCAGCCAAATGCTGCATTTCGTATCTCAAACGATCTTCTAGTCCAGGAATGGAGCAAGTTCCTCCGCATAGCAGAATGTTTTGTATCAATTCTAAACGAGTGGTTACATGGCACTAGAGATCGACACGCATTACATAGGTCAGGGTTAGCGCATTTGAGTTTCAATCCATATCAATGTCATTAGCTATTTGTGCTGACAGCATGCTTTCACCTTTAACAGAGTGTCGAGGAGACAACCTTGAAGTGTTTCACCTTCCTCATTTCCCTCAAACAGTACATCTGCTGCAACATATCCCACCCAAGTCGGTATCCGAACAACGTTGAACGAGTCTATTGTAACATCATAGTACGCGCTAGTATCAGCCTCGTCATGAACAGAGTCATTTTTACAAGTACTAGTATGATGTGATTGCCAATCCTTTCTAGTTGGATATGCTACAACAATAGTGGCCTTCAGAGTTTCCCAAAACGTATCTGATGCCTTTTGCAGTATATCTACAACTTGATGATGATCATGGCTGGATACTTCTATAGACGATGTACCCAATGTATTATTGACAATGTGACCATACTGGCAAACCAGTTCTTTTAACCGTTTAGAAACGTGATATCCAGCAAGCGGCACGGATTTAGAGCATGCAATAAGGGGGAGACTACCATAAATCTATATCCGATTCAAAGCATTCAAATTGATGCCATGAATAGTGGATTAAAACCAAGACACAATAAAGAATTGGGTTTGGTTCAAGAATACTTACAGAAAGCGCGCATGCCTCTTGATACCCACAATCCAATACTAGTCCAATAGTTTGTCCTGTAGCAAGCAATGCAGCGAATGATGCGGGGACAAAAGAAATCGACTTGGCCTAGATCGATCCAAACAAGTGCATTCAACACATCAATCGTGTCAGCTTGACATATTATGGGTAAATATCAGTATTTCAAGTATATACTTGCAGAGAATTTATAAAATAGGATTTCAGCAAGCGTCTGTTTGAATTCTATGGAAACAAACAAGCTTTCACAAACAACGATTTGCTTGTGTTTTACATCAGTCAGCAATATATGATGAAATATAGTCCGAAGTAGCGATCCCAGGAATTCTGTGTGCACTGACAATGACTGATGTTCTACTCGAAAAGGAGAAGTCTAAGTAGAATGAGATCGTTTTAATAAGTTATGGACAGGACAAGTGGATACGTTCAACTCAAAGGCAGTTTATCGTCCAACTCACATGGAACCCATTTGCACAACCCAGTTTCTTTTCAGCAACTCCAGGAATATAAGTACGCCTGGGAGTAGGTTCCCAAGATAGTCCGACTTTGCAAGAGAACGATCCTATATCAAGCACGATCCTGTCTTCAGCACCATGATAAGCAGCCTTTTTCAACAGGCTTGCAGTAGATAATGATAATGCACTGGCAGTAGGAGTGCTTACACCTGAGCCACTGCCAACACCAGAACTGAGAGAACTGAGAGAGGCGTTGGAAGAATGCGTTGTAACAGACAGTGGCATGGATTGCGACAAGCTGCTGGCTTAGATCGAATGCTATGAATTCAGGCTGATAAATGCAAACTGCCAGATTTCAAGTTGCTTCAATTTGAGCAATGGTCAATCCTAACAAGAACATTCCAGCTGCGATTCTTCAGACTGCACCGTGGCTGTTTGCTAGAGAATGGCTGCTGGTTACTGTCCTGATTTTTGGTGGTTGCTGTTCCAATGTTTACACTCTGGAGATGCTGGTTAGGTGAATTCATCACTTTGATATCAACCGTTTAGTGTTTTGTTGGCTTGGAATTCGTATCATCTTGTTGGCTTGCAATTCATGTCATCCTGAATCTTCATATCTAGAAACACTCCATGCAGAGTCACTTATTATTCTTTAATTCAATGCTGCATTGAATTGGATTCTGTAGCTGATCGCATTCCATCTGCATATGGCAATCTTGTCGATTTGCCATTTCAAATATAGGCATTGACTCACCAGTTTGCATTGTTCCGTCTTTGTAGATCTTCTCCAGCTAGTGGCAATCTCATTACATTTTCTCAGTTTGCTGTGGTTGCTATCGAGGGATTTATTAGTAATTTGGAATTCATACCATCTGAATCTACGACCAACGAGCCACAATCCAGATTCAACTGGAAATTCCCATTGCGATTGCGACAAAGAGTAGTCCCACTGTATCGTTGGATGGGCATCATTGCCCTTTTTTTAAGTGTGTCGGTCTTGAATAATTATGCTCTTGGATTTTCTATTTCAATGCCTGTGCATATCATCTTTAGATCTGCTTCGTTATGGGTAAGCATGATAATGAGTTGGTTGATGTTCAACAAAAGGTAAGCTTGCATTCTAGTTTTCACTACTTGGCTTTATTTGAAACAATTTATTCATCAGTTTTGGTTACTATACGGCCGATTTAGCTATTCCAAAAATCAAATCACTGGAGCAGTCTTGGTAACCATTGGAATGGTTTTGGCAACACTCAAAGAATCTAATTTTCTCAATTCCACCAATTCATTAGAAGCCTCAGCTCAGCAGTCCGTTCTGATGGTCCAATGGACTATAGGTGTCATCATTCTATCGATTGCTATCATTCTCTCGTGTTTTTTGGGCCAGTTGCAACAGCATGTCTATCAAGAGTACGGAGAGCAATGGCGTGAAGGATTGTTTTATACTCATGCGTTGGGATTGCCTGCATTTATATTTTTATACAAGGATCTAAAAATGCAGGCTCTCGAGTACAATGCATCTCCAATCATATCCATTGGAGATGTGGCTGCTGAATGGCTACCTGGACCGCTGTCAAAAGCCATATGGAGCGTAATGGGGCTTGATGCTCTTCGGCAAGTGTTTGTGCCTGAAATGTGGCTGTTTCTTGTAGGAAATGTGTTGACGCAATGTAGGTCCAACACTTGGTTAAATGTCAAGTCAATACTGTAACAAATACTTATTTTGGCATCTTCAACTTTCTAGATGTTTGTATATCTGGAGTTCATAGGTTGAGTTTTATGACATCTGCAGTCACATTGCATCTGGTACGTATTTACTGTGATTCACTTTTTGTAATTGAACCCAGCTTCGAGTAAACCAACACTTGTTCACATTTCTTTACAATCGAATAGATTCTGACACTACGCAAGTTTGTCTCGCTTATTCTCTCTGTCCTCGTTTTCAAAAACGTTTTTACAACACAGAATTGGGTCGGTGCAGCATTTGTGTTTATTGGAACATTGATCTACACGTTTTCAAAAAATCTGCCTAAACAACCTCACATGCAGGAAAATGTTTCTGTATCTCAACTATCCACTTCAACCCAACCCAAAACCCCGAGATTTAAACAGGCCTAGTGCTGTTTAGCCAGGACCAGTATAAACTTGGATCCATTCACCTAATAAAGTCAATATTAACAGAATTCAATATCGAATTAGTCATCACATTAACCATGATTTGCATTCTCACTCATTTCAAACATATGGGTCACCTCTTGCTCTTCCTTGATAATCACTTGGGTACTGTCAAGCAAAGCAGTCGACACTCCAATTTTCTGCTTGAGATATCGCACAAGCGTTTGTTCCTGAGCAACAATCATATTCGCGAGTTGGTTATCAGGATCGCTTAATATCTCATAGTAATACAGAGTGTCGTCAACTGGCTGCAATCCAGCCTTCTTGCGCAAACGCTGAATACGATTAATAAGCTCACGGGCAAGTCCTTCTTGAATGAGTTCCTGGTCCAACGTGGTATCCAAGATAACTAGAACTTCGTTGGTGAAATTGGCATGGAAACCACTATGGCTGTTATCAAAGTACCGCGTCACTTGCGCATCCTCTGAAGTGATTTCAAATCCTTGAACATTCAATGAGCATTTAGCCATAAACTCCTTGATCTCATTTATAGAAAGTTCAGGCAATGCGTTGCGAATTTTGGTTGCGTCCTTTTTGAATTTCGTACCAAGAGCTTTGGCATCTGCTACAAGCTTGTATTTGACACCATAGGATTCTTCATTGGCAGTCACCGTAACTGTACGTACATTGAGTTCTTCCTGAATGTACTGTTCAAGAGATCTGATGTCCTTGTGGAATTGCTCATCTGGAGTAATAATAATCAGTTCACGGCATGGGGTTTTGAGCGACAAAGTCTGTTGCTCACGGATAAATCGTCCCAATTCAATCACAGTTTGCATGCGACCCACAGCACGTTCCACATCTGCATTAAAATACTCCTGTTTTACTTCTGGATAAAGCAAAAAGTGAACACTGCGAGTATCTTCCTTGGTTTCAGGAATACAAGTCTTGAGATTCTGATACATGGTTTCTGTAAGGAAAGGTGCAAAAGCAGCCATCAAGCGACAAAGAGTAAACAGCACTTCAAAAAGAACATTAAGTGCACGTTCAGCATCGGCAACACCGTTTTCACCCTTGAGACGCTTACGATTGAAGCGCACATACCAGTTGGTAAGTGTATCAATTAGCTTCAACAAGCGAGGAGTCACAGTATATAATCTATATGCAGTCATCTCCTGCTTGACAAATGCAATAAGGGATTGCGTCGATGCCAAAATCCAAATATCCATAATGTTTTGATCCTTGGAAAGATCCAGATGAGAGTTGTAAACAAAATCAAAGTTGTGCTCTTTTTTTAAAAGAGCAAGCTGGGCAAAGAAAAATCGATACGCATTGTACCAAGGCAGCATCACCTTGCTAATCATATCCTTAACGCCCTCTTCACGGAAACGAGAACTTTCAGCGCGAACAGCAGGGGATGTGATCAGATACAGACGTAGCACATCGGCACCATAGCTGTTGAGTACATCCATTGGATCGGGATAATTTTTAAGACGCTTGCTCATTTTTTTCCCATCGCTCGCAAGAATCAAACCATTGACAATGACATTTTTAAAAGCGGGCTTGTCAAACAAATGTGCGGCAAGCACAGTGAGAGTGTAGAACCAGCCGCGAGTCTGATCAATGCCCTCGGCAATAAAGTCGGCAGGAAACGAGGCCTCAAACTTTTCCTTGTTCTCAAAAGGATAGTGTTGCTGAGCATAGGGCATGCTACCCGACTCAAACCAACAGTCAAATACTTCTGGTATACGTTTTAGATCGGGCTTGCCCATTTTGGAGGGAATTGTAATGTGATCAATATTGTCCCTGTGAAGATCTGTGATGCCTTTGACACCGGATAACTCCTCAAGCTCTTGTACAGATCCAATGGCAACAATCTCCTCCATGTCATCACTTGACCAGATAGGAATGGGAGTTCCCCAATAACGGTTACGAGAAATACCCCAGTCATGGGCATTAGCAAGCCAGTTGTGGAATCGTTTTTCTCCCACGAAATCTGGAACCCAGTATGACTGGCTGTTGTTGGTGGTAAGCTTGTCGACAATGTTGGAAACACGGACGTACCACGATGGCACTGCTCTGTAGATCAGCGGAGTATCCGATCTGTAGCAAAAGGGATAACTATGCGACAACTGAGTTTGACGAATCAGACGGCCTTGAGCTTTAAGATCTTTTTGAATAGGTTTATCGGCGTCTTTAACGTTCATACCTTTATACTCTTTGACTGCATCAGTAAAGTTACCCGAGGCGTCCAGAGGGCAGGGCAGATCAGTCTCGCCGGTAACAATACCGTTGGCCATGCAAATACGGTAATCGTCCTCACCAAAGGCGGGAGCAGAGTGAACAATGCCGGTACCACTGTCGTCCGTTACATATGTATCGTTGATGACCACAAATGACTTTCCAGGGCGATCAGCAAAGTAGTTGAACAAAGGAATATATGTCATACCCTTGAGATCCGAGCCCTTGAATCGCTTCACAATAGTAAACTTTGCTTTTTTGGGATCCTTGTATAAGATATCCAAACGTTTTTCCATTAGAATCCATTCGGCACCCGTTTCACCATCCTTGATCTGAATATACTCGAAATCGGGGTGCACACACAACGCCAAATTAGAAGGAAGAGTCCATGGCGTGGTAGTCCATGCCAGAAACGACACGGATGGGTCCGAAGTCAATGGAAAGGAAACCACCACGGCGGGATCAATGACATCCTTGTAGTTTTGATTGGCTTCAAAGTTGGACAAAGGCGTGCAAACAGCCATGGAGTAAGGCATGATCTTGAATCCTCGATAGACTTGGCCCTTGTCAAACAGCTGCTTAAAAACCCACCATACAGATTCCATAAAGGAAATATTCAAGGTTTTGTAATCGTTCTTGAAATCAATCCAGCGGCCCATACGAGTAACGGTAGTTTCCCATTCGTCAGCATAGGTCATGACAATAGCTCTGCATTCTGCATTGTACTTTGCAATTCCCATGGCAGCAACATCTGCAGGACCCTTAATGTTGAGCTTCTTGTCAATCTCGTACTCTACTGGAAGGCCGTGAGTATCCCAGCCAAAGCGGCGCTCCACATAATGACCATTAAGATGAGCAAATCGAGTCACTACGTCCTAAAATTAATTCAAGCCATACAAACCGATTGTTTTGTAAATGAAATGATCGGGTAGGCGATTTGCGACCCACTTCAAGATAACCCCAAACACTGCAGCAAGAAGTCCAAGTCATAATCCAACCTTGATTGTTCCAGCAAGAAGATGACCGTAATGTGGACGACCAGTAGCGAATGGAGGACCATCGTAAAATGAGAATGGAGGGCGGCCTTCAGAAAGCTTCAACGATGTTTCAAATGCATCGATCTCTTTCCAGAAAGCCAGCACTTTTTCTTCTTCGCCAGGGAAGGAAATGCTTGCAGGAACTAATGGTTGATTCCAATTGTTTAGCATATCATTATGGAGAGTGTCAGTGAAGGTTTAATGAGTGAATTCAGATATCAATGGCAAAGAAATACAATGTTGGAATATCAGTTAGCGAGGAATATTACCATTAGGAATGTCGCTGACCATTTTAGTTGAAGTAATATCAGAGGATTTAGATGGTTGGCAGGTGTTGATTGAATTGGAAAGATTGCGGTAGTGTCGATGTATTAATCGGTTAGTTGGAGAGTTCGAAGCTAATGAACAAAATAAACGGCGATTCTTGATGGAAGCCAACACAAAACCCTTCAACATAAACTGATGACATTTTACATCAAAAATCATTCTCGCTTAAATTAAATCTTGCATTTCCTGGGGACGTTTATCGGACTATCTGATTCTGTTATTCAAAAAGTATTCTAAACCAATGTGCAAGGTAAATGCTCTTATTTCTATTAATTCATACTATCAAACTTTTTATTTGCTGATTTGCTTTTCTCTTGCATGGCTTCGAATCGGTGTTTTGTCATAGATTTTGACTGCTGTCTTTGGTGTTGACAATGTGTGCTCACTGTTGGATTTTCTGAACAAGCGTTGGAAGAATCATACATGCACGACATTGAATCAAGACTCTTTACTGGTTAATCAAAATAGTCCTCTTGCTCTTACCCGTCTGCTAAATGAAACACTGGTCGCCTTTTCATCCAAATCTGTACAAAAAAAGCAACCCATTCCAAAACCACGCGAGCCAGGTTTTAATCGCAATCAAACCGAGGTATAGTCTCATCAGTCATCCACTATACTGTGCATTCAAATCGTGTCTAGTTTTGGAATGTATCATTGACTAACTGAATCTCAAGATCATCAATTGCCAAATTGAGCGTATATTACAGTCTGGCAAATTACCTAAAAATATACTTGCTTTAGGGTACCGTCATGTAAGGCAACTATGTAGTCGACTTGGTGTTGACTCAAATGTGCATTTAAAATGACTTGAACACGGCGTTTTAATTAAAATAATTTGATTTAGATTTCTGGCCACTCTATCGGTGCCATGACTTTATCAAAAAGTCTGGAAAGCTATTTTCCAAACACTCTAACTGGAACTCTTAAGACATATGGATGGAATCTACTTTTAGAAAGGTATTCAAATTGCTTGTTTTATAAATGTATGCTTTATTTAAATTTTGTATTCAACAAATGTAGGATTGGCGATCTTTCAATGGGATATCTACTAAGTGAAACAAGCATCTTTATCAAAATGCCAAATGGATGCTTATGTCAGGTCACAGGTTTGCTTTTCCTGACTATGTTTTTGAACATTTGATTTGAAATTCTCATTTACTAACTGCGATCGCGCATTTTGTAAAACGTAGGTGCTCCACTCTATACTTTTGATACATTCAATGCTAGATTGAATTTGCCACCATTTTTCGTAATACCATTCAATAGTGATGCAGTGTCTATTGAAAAATCGGAAAATTATTCGAAACTCAGCCAACATAGTTTTATTTCAGAGGAGGTGAAATCATGCATACCTAGCAAAAGAAAGTGCAATGCACTATTAGCAAATGAGACATGTTCAGTTGACTACAGCAATCAGATAAAAGAAAAGTCAGATGATAAAAAACCAAAGCAGTCTAGATCTCGAAAGAGACGCAAAAAATCAGTCAAGAGTGCAGTTGAAACTGATACTACTTTAAATTCTGATGCGCTTAAATCATCGGTCAAGTCAGCTATTAGTCCATCATTGGTTTTTCTGCCATGGTCAAACATTTTTTACAGCAGACCCTCACTAACTCATCGTAATATACAGCGACACGGATTTCCTGAATCACGCAAGTTTTTATTGCAATTGCTTAGATTCTAAAGTTGGTTTGATTATATCGTATTGATTGCTGATGGTTTAAACTGATTTTATTTCATTTCATTTAGATTTACTTTGCCTGCTGATGCAAGACAGAAATGAATTGGTACTTGCCTTGTCTAGATCCATATTTCCTATTCAGCATCGTTTGCCAAGCCCAATACTTGAAACGTGTATATCACAAAGTAAACGAAATGGAAAATCAGATAATGCAAAAATTAAAGTAAGCAAGTCTTGGTAAGAGTCGTTGATGTATCAACACATTTCTCATCAGAATCTGCTGATTTTTTTGAACTGTATTAAACATAAAAGAAGCGTTTGCAGCGTATTAGAGCACTTGATCCATTGCTGGATATGATTTTAACCAAATGCAAGAAATGCAATTATAAAGCATTGTTGGACTATCATTGTCCTCTTCCCAAAATGGTTGATGTCAAGGTGAAATATATTTAGTATATGTAGATTGCTTTTTACAATTTTTAAACTAAAATGCAAATTTCTTTAGGATGGAGTCAAGAGAATTTTGGATATGCATATAAGGCAGCAGCAGGTAAACTACAAAATAATTTGAAGCCCATTTTGCAATCGTGATGATTGACTTGCTAGTCGTTTATTCAATCAACTAGGTTTCGTCTTTTGTAAAATCTGTTTTAAAACATATTATTCCCAATGATATTTGGGGAGATGATTCCAACCGGGATGCTTTTATGGCTGGTACGTTTCAGCTTACTTTAAAAGCAAGATCTTAAAATCTCACATACAATTCATGGTGTCTTTAGTTGTTGTTCAGCTTGTATCTTTGCGAAGATACGAGGTATTGTCACTTCAAAACATTGGAAATGGCATCAAGGTAGGCAAAACATTTTCCATCGAGTTTGAAGATTTCGACTATGTAGTAATATATCAGCAATTTCCGCAATGTAAAACAATGCTTTCTAGATTTCAAAAATGGCTTGGCTGACATCAGGCATCAAGCCAGCACTACATTTATCCACATGCGAAGCTGAAAAGCAACGTCAAATGCTTTACGAGTTTTTGTATTGGCTCTTTGCTGATGTAGTGGTTTCATTAATCAAGGTAGATGTTGTATATTGACGTGACACGGCTTTGTTTTATGTTGACATGCATTATAGACAAATTTCTATGCCACAGATACAGTTCCGTTCAAAAATCGTGTGTTTTATTTTCGACATGAAACATGGAGTCGTATCAACCAATCATTGCAATCCGTATTCAAACGCAATTTATTGAAACCGATAGAAATGGTAACAAAATAACATCAATAGCATTATAAATGTGTTATTTAATATTCAACTCTATATTCAAATGCTTATTTTTAAAATATTATGGTTTATTTATTCATACTGGCCATGAAACTAGCCGCTTGTCACATCCGCATTAGCTGGAGAGAGTTTCCACAAAGCCTTGGGGTTCTCAACTACCAGATTAATCCCTAAGGAATCAGGTGCTCGAATGATTATGAATCTAGGACGAAAACCCAAGCCCAAGGTAGTTTTGTCTGATGCTTGTAGATTTTTAAATCCAATTTGTATTATAATCTAACCTTGTGCTACACTACGCGTTAAACTATGTTCAGGAACTGGCACAAATTGGGCTAAATCCAGAGCAAATAAAGCAACTCATGTGCTACCGCTACAACGGAGAAAATTTGCTATCTATAAATCAATTGCTTACCAATGCGCATCATGTGCTCACATTGGAAAAGGTATGTAGCAGTTGATCTGTCCAACAGTTTTATAGCTCTTATAATAATGCTTTGGTTACAAAATTTAGACTGAGCAGTCAGATTTGATGAAAACAACAATGCTTGGACTGGATGATATATATACACGATTTAAAGCATTCAAGCTTGGCTTGGTTGCAGCTAGTGCCGATGGGTCTATACCACAACTCTATTGTTGTAAAATGGATATTGCGTCTTGTTTTGACACCATTAATCAGGATAAGCTCTTGTCATTGCTGCAATCGTTTTTAACAAAAACCGACTATGTAATTCAAAAGTATGCTGTTTTGTATGCAAGTGGGGATCGTATTCGACGTGTATTTCAAAAACGAGCACGAGACGCAGGTCAGTTGAGTTGATACTCATAGATTGTGCTTGAATTTTATAACTGATGTATCCAACTATTGACATGACGCACGATTTACCATAAAATAGCCAACTTTCAAACATTTACCGAGTTTGTTGAAGATGCATCCGCGACTGTAAAGCAAACGGTATTTGTAGATCAGGTTGAATATCGAATCGAGGCAGCCGAGTCCATCAAAGACCTTTTGAAATCACATATTCAAAATAATTTTATCAAGGTCTATTTCTACTATTACCTGTTTGAAAAATACCTTTTTATATTCTAACTCGTTCAAACTCTACTATTTTAGATTGGCAAAAAGTTTTTTTGTCAATCGGCTGGCATTCCACAGGGATCCATAGTTTCGATTATATTATGCAGGTACTCTATATTGTTGAAAAACAAAATACAATGCTGACTTTTTAACCGACTATTTTTTATACACGACACGTTGGCGGAGCTAGTTTTTTTTACGCTCATTTTGAAAAATCATATTTGGCAGATCTAATCATGGATAGCTCTGAAACTCTGCTACTGCGCTATATTGATGATTTTCTTTTCATCACTACATTTTTTATAAGGCGCAGCAGTTTATGGAGATTATGCATAAAGGTAACTTTCTGTTGTGCTGAACCAATAGTATCTGTATTGAATTTTAATATGAAGTTTTGACTAATATTTATACTTGTTTATAGCGCATCCGGAATTCGGGTGTTCTGTGAATATAAGCAAGTCTCTATCAAATTTCTCAATGTCTTTGTTGGATGGTCGTGCCATTCCAGAGACATATAGAGGTACTGATTAGATAGAATGTTTAAGGAAATTCTGATATATAATACAGCTAATATATTTGGAATTGATTTATTCCCATCAAATAGATTTCCCTTGGTGCGGATTTGTAATTGATCTCAAACGGTTGGAAATTAAAAACACTTTATTTCAAAATCGAAGCATAACATGTGCGTATTATTGTACCAGCATTATCTTGCCTGAACCTATACAATGGGATTTTGCTAATTTGTATACATTTGCTTTTGGTATTGCAAAAATAGATGTTGCCGACTCACTTAGTGTGAATATATCACAAACTCCTGGAAAGCATCTTCGCTCCAAACTGTTTCAGTATGAAAATCTCCATGAAAACACTACATACTGTTTTTATCTCTATTTGCGCTTACTCTATGTTTTGAATACTGTATTTTGTATAGGTACATCAAAGCTAAATGCCATCCTATTTTTTTAGATACAAAAGTGAATTCTGTATTCTGTGTGTTATCCAACATTTACGACAATTTTTGTTCAGCTGCAATGCGATTTTGCTCGTATTTGAATATTGCTTTTGATGGAAAGATTTACCGCAATGCCAAGTTTATTGTTGGTAAGTGTATTGATGGTATTGTTAGTGTAGAGATGAAGCCATTACAGCAATCTACACCATTTTAAACCCAGTGCTGTTTTGACTCGAATCTATTGACTATTTTGGCGTTTATAGGTGTAGTGGAGGATGCTGTTTGTTTTGGAGCACATATCATGCACAATCGAACGCGTCGCAGTATTGCAGTCTTGAACTCATGCGAGTTTCGTATCAGCACTAAAGAAATCCATCGGTATTAAGTTTTATTTTTGATGCACACCAATCGCATTGCTTGGTGTTTTCGTATGATAGAATTGAAGGTTTCTAACTTTTGTTTCATTTTGTTTTGACAGAATTGGACTCGGATCATTTATATTTATTCTTGGTCGTCGTCAAGGCAAATTCAGTAAACTTGTGCAATCACTTTGTGAGCTATACGATAAAATCAGCATTTCTGAAGAGAGAAAGCAGCTGCATAGTAAGATCCAGTCACGATGGAGAGCAAGTGCTCAAAAGGTTGTGTATTGACCGTAATCATAAGAATCCCAGCTAAATCTGACTACTGCTTAATGCAGTGTGACGGAAATCTTTAATAAACAAGTTATTTTAACACAACAGATGAGCCGACTATTCCATACTAAGAAAAACATTGCTTTTGTAACCGGAATAGGGCATTTTTAAGTTTTAATATGGTGTTATAAAGAAACATAATTGTTTCCGCCAAATGACCCGGTAAGCTTGTTCCGTAAGAAAGCAAAAAAGTCCTAAATATACAGCAAATGATTAAAAAAGATTTAAAAAAGTGTTGAATAAGTCAGCAGTCTTATAGACAAATCCTCGACATGATCAAATCAATATGTTGATGTTAAAAGCATACCATTGTGTTTAAGGCCAAGGCAGTCCACAGCTCGTGATGTGGCAGAATATCTGGAAAGTTGGAAACTGTTGAAAAATGGAAATTTGACATCTAGATTAGTATGTTTGCAGCAGCCAAAGCAAATTCGCCAAAAATAAACCCTACTTTTGAGTACGGAATAATTATATGCCATTCCAATTATAAAATATCCAAATAGTCCAGCAAAAAGAATTGTGAAAAAGAATCCAGTAGTAGACATGGATGATGATCCAGGAGAAGATCCGGTTGGGATTGATGTGCCACAGCCTCCAGCATGATCCCAGTTCAGTTGAATTTGCTTCAAGTCAATAACGACCCTTGGTTCAGATGGTGCCTATTTATAGTTGTAAATATTTACAAATCCAAATCAACAGTCAGATCAGATCTGTGTGCCTTTATAATCGGAAACTGAATGTAGGCCAGATTTGAATGGATTCCAGTGCAATTTAGTATCAAGGTAAACTTACGACAATTTCTTTTTTGCAATGGATATTCAGTATAACCATAGTTTCATTTAAACCGTTGTACGACAGGCTTATACCGTCAGAGATGGCCGTGGTAGCAGCGATAGCAGCGTCACCAGCTACATACTGGCGCACATTGGTAATCCGAGCATCAGTGTGCTTCCAGTTTGTAGTGATCTCGCAAAATCTGGTATTGGTAGGACATTGGTCTTCTGATGGTTTAGATTGATCAACTGTCATCACTGAGCAAGGACTACCATATAGATTGACTACATCCAAGGTTGGGGCGTGAAAATCTTCAGATAATGTGGCATTAAAAAATGGAGTCCTGTTGGAATTAAAAGTGTTTTAATACGGCTGGTTATATATTGAGCAATAAGATTTCAACCAAGAGGCCATGTCAAAAGTACTTACAAAAACACGGATGACAGGTTGTAGGACAAGCCATTGATACTGAAGATGCAGCCTGGGTTGCTCGAGTCTAGAAAAATTGCTGGTAGTTGCTGAGAGTTGGCAAATGCCGTGGTAGTTTGAATAGCCAGTGCAGCAGTAACAATAGACCTGACCACTGTCTTCCACGAAACAGCGATACTTGGCATATATAGATTCATTGTTACGAGTTGAAGAAAGTTTTGGCAAATTGCTCGCTAATATTTGGCCCGTGATTTTTGCCCAAATGAACATCAAAAATAAGGCTTGCTTTTGTTTTTTTCTACACTTTGAATTTTATTTCTCTAGGCAGCAAGTTCGTTTTGTTTTGTTACTTGTTTTCTTAATATTCGATTATAGTTGATCATGTCTTTCTATGGTAACAATGGTGGAGGCTCGTAAGTGTTATTGAACTTTTCCTAGTTTCTCTTCATTATATGTCTTGTCTACTGTCTGCAACTGCTTTCCATGTATAGTTTTACTTACCAATGTTTTGTTTTGTATTTCTTTATTTCATTGTTCCAATCGTTGTTTATCACTGGCTGTGCATTCCATCCTGCTCTGCACCGTCTTGAACATTCAATGGCATTGCTCATGTCTTTGCATTGTTACTGGATTCATGATACTTGTATTGCATTGAATCCTCTTTAATGTTGGATTGTGAAACTGCCTTTTATTTCCAACCTTGCTGATTCATACAAAAATTTAATGTGAAAAGCTATGGAGGAAATGGCAGTAGCTACGGAGGCAATGGCGGTGGTTACGGAGGAGGTGGTGGTTATGGAGGAAGCGGTGGTGGTGGTTATGGAGGAGGCAATGGTGGTGGTTACGGAGGAGGTAGTGGTTATGGAGGAGGTGGTCGTGGTGGTGGTCGTTCTTTTGGAAATGATCGCATGGGCGGTCTCGGCAATAGTCTTCGAAAGCCAGACTGGGAACGTGAACTGCCTAATCTTCCTGCTTTTGAA